TTAATTCGAAGTTTTTGGGAATATTAAGGGTGGGGTAGCAATTGCACGTTGACTGCTAGTTGGAATTCCAGTGTAGGAGGTAGGGATCACAACTTGTAGAGGGGGTGGGTACTTCTGAAAGAGAAAAAAGGGGGTAGCATGCAAGTTGGGGTGATAATGCAAATATCACACGGAGGCAGCCAGGGAGGAGGTGTAGCTTTGCTTGAGCAGGTCGTTTAAAACAATTTGTTATTGCAGGTCATGCGCTCGTTTGTTAGCGCCACCAAGCTGCCCTACGGCAGCAAACAAGTCAGAGATGGAGGGTGGAGGAGGAGGAGGAGGAGGAAGTGGTGGTGGTGAAGAAGGAGCAGGAGGAAGCTCGCTTATCTCACATCCTTGCCAGAACGGATGGTCTCCTCGAAAGTGTCCCCGACGATCGTCACAACAGAACCCTCCTGCTTCACCGGCTGCAGTCGGGTGGTCAGGCACACAGAGGAAAGGGGAGGTGGATGGTACCACTGGCTCCGAGCGCAGGAAGCGCTTGAGTTTGCCTGAGTTATACCTGTAAAGGCGGTTAGGAGGAGGAACGAAGATGAAGACGGGAGGTGGAGGCAGCGAGAGATGGAGAGGAGGAGAGGAACGTGTGATGGTGGTGGAGGGGAGGGGTCAGGACAGCAAGTGGATGAGCGGGGGACATGGAAATGTGGGGAGGAGGGCAAGAGAAGTGGAGAGCAAGAGGAGCACAGCACTCACTTCTCGAGGAATTTGTTGAGTTCATCAGCGTCAATGTTCTTCGCCTTGTCCGTGTTCCACTGCTTGGTCTTCTTGTCCAGCTTGCCGTATTTGAACTGCCGCTGACCCACCTGAGCCCAAGAACAGCACATCAGTGCACCATAATAGGAGGATGAGGATGAGGATGAGGATGAGGAGAAGAGAGGAGGAGAGATATGAGGTGTGTGCGTGTGTGCCGGGGGGAGAACGGGGAAGAAGAAGCTGAGACGCCTGACCTCAGGATGGAGGTCAATGATCATGATCTGCGGCAGGAGCGCTCTATCCATCCTGAAGAACTGCAGCAGACCCTGCGCCTCTCCAGGGACGAGGACAAACTTCATCTCTCCCCGCTGTGCACCCATAAGACCGCTGGCTTTCTCCTCCTCTCCTCCTCCTCTTACCTTGTCCAGCGCCACCTGATGGAGGACCTTGTCATACTGCGCCCACTGCTCTGTCCCCTTCTCTACAAACGCCCACAAGAACTTCTGCAGCTTTCCCGTCGTGATCTGGTTGGTCAGAGCGTCCGAGTAATACCACACGACAGGAGCGCCATGCACATCCACGAAGCGCACGATCCCGTCTACGTCCTCCTCCTTCTCCTTCTCCAGCCTGTACACCGGACCCTGCTCATCACCATCAGCTCTCACCTCCCCCATATTCATCTCTTCATCCACAAACTCCAATACCATATCCTGCCAGCATCCCCCCCCCCCCCTCCCCCCCACAGCTCCCCCTCTGCGTCTCCCCTCCATAATGACCTTGGGGTCTTGAGTGTACTTGGTGATGACAAACACTCCCTCCTTAACCTTCTGATCCTCCTCGCTCAGCCATTTCTTCGCCAAACTTGCATCCTTCACCCAAACGTACAAGGGGAGGAGACGCCCGAACTTGGCCTCCTTGAACGCCTCGAACTTCTTGCTGTTCTCTCCCTCGGGGAAGACTCCCAGCACTACCGATGAAACTTTCTGGTCCGAGAAATCCACGTTCGCCTCGAGAATCTTGTCCAGCTCCTCTGAGGATGTCACCTCACGGGGAGGGAGGCCGATTTCTCGCATGTAGGTAACGACGCGTTCTGTGGTCCTCTCCTCGTTGTCCCATCGCTCCAGCGTGCCAAGAGGCTGGTTGGGGTCAGAGTCGTACATGCGCTTGAACACGCGGATGGTTGGGAAACCGCTGATGCCGAACTCGCCCGCGAACGGATGGTTCATCTCCTGATCCATGTTGACCTTGGCGAGAGGAATTCCTGCCATTTTTCGTCATTTTCAATCCCCCCCCCGCCCCCCCTTTCCTTGATCCCCCCCTCCACACACACCCCTCCATCCTATTCCTCCCCCTCCCCGCCCCCCAAGCCTCCCTCGGCCTCCCCTACAACCCTCCTTCTCCTCACCGTCCTTCTTGAGCTGCTTTGCCGCTTGCGCGTACAGAGGCGCGAAACCTCTGCAATGACCGCACCAAGGCGTGTAGAACTCTACCATGACAAGCTTCTGCGACTGAACGTAGGACGTGAAGTTGTTGCGGTCGAGGATAACGGTATCCACATCGCCCTCCCACGGGTCTGCAGGTGACGAGCGGACATGGAACAAGCTTGAGGAAGCAAGGCAGAAGAGGAAGAGAAGAACAGTCCTGCCCATGCCGGCTTCTTGAGTAACGATTGCCAGTCCTGAAGTCGCTAGGTCAGCATGACCTCATCCTTATCTCATCACATCTCGTTCAGTTCTAAAGGGAGGTCAACCCATTGCTTCCTCGAGCGACCCGCTGTGAGGGTTTCGGGGTGAAACGAGAAAATGGTGTTCACTCTAACTTCCTCATGTAAACCTCACTTCCCTCCATTGATGCTTTCGTCCTCTCCCTCTCCGTTATCACCAGATTTACTCATGTTTCTCACAACCTTCCTGTACCTTCTTCATCTCTGAATACTTGCTCGCACTTCTGTCGATGGGATTTCACTTCCATACCATCCTTAGCTAGCATTGAGATGAATATACCTCGAGTAGCCCTGTTCCCTTTCTCCATGATCTCGTTGCTAGTCCAGACATGTTCTTCTCTCTCCCTCGCTCTGCTCTGCTCTGCTCTGCTCTGCTCTGCTCTGCTCTGCTCTACTCTGCCTTCGTGACGTCGAATTCCTTTTGGCATTCTACCGCCTCCATTGAATTCTTCTAGCTGTGGGGAAATCAGGGGGTAGGGGTATAAATATCACCGGTACCTTTGCTGCAGACCCATAATGTTACCGGTGAATAGAACTGGTAAAAATGGGGTGATCCACTGATTGGGAGGGTACTGAGTTCAAAACATCCAGAATGAAAACACATTCATGTAGGGTTATCGATCCTGATCTACTCTCAAGGGGGGTAGGGGTGCATATTTCTGTATAAGTACCCGGTTGATTTAGACAATTTTCATTGAAATATGGGGGGTAAGGGAGACCACGTTAGTATACATGTGACGTGGAAATATGACCCCCCTACCCCCTATTTCAAACGCACACCCCTTCAATCTTTCAACACCGGTTCTTGGGAAAGTACCCGACCTCCATGATAAACACAACCCTATCTTTTCCTTCTAAAGTACCCTACCTTTATACTTGAATTGTCGACTTCAAATGTAAAGATGGTAACTCTAAAGTACCCTACCCCAACTTGGAATGACCCCCACGCCCAATGGATAAGGAGCACCCCTCCCATATGAGTGATACAAACAGCACGTGAACCGGGCGATCAACACCGAGCCTGATCTGGAACATCGTTGTAGCAACGAGGTAAGCCGATGGTATGTGTTGGAATGCCGTGAATTCTTCTTCTTCCAACTATTTCTTGTCTTCCTTCTTCCAGCAAACTATGCGAAACCGTGCTTTACAATCCTGATTTCACATGATCCTTGTGTGATGCGAACTGTCCGCTGTTTCGAACACCCGGGGCTTGCAAATTCATGAAGATGATGAATCCTTTTTCGAATTCTGCTTCACTGAAACCAGTGATGAACATTTTCTGGCATGGATTCTGATTCATGAGTACCGAGCTACCTGTTTGAAAGTTTGTACACTGCATGCTGTTTGATCACTTTCATTATAGCTCTGAAAGCTTCCTGAATCTCATTTTTTTGCGCAGGGATCAGAGGTTAACGAAGCCAAGAGTGGCCTGACCTGTAATGAACAATTCAACACATTTAATGAAAAATCCGAATAAAACACATTTTCAACATGACGATGCTTCAAACCACCCGTCGCCTTAACAATTTCAGCTTGTGAACCGCAAGTGGTTCTCTTCACGCCTTCTTCTTCTTCTCCTTGAGCTCTTTGGCTGCATTGACATCAACCCGTCAACACAGGTGTCCATCATGTACAGGAGTGAACCACCGGCAGTCAGGTACTTTGAATAGTACTCGGGATGGCACTTGAGCCATGTCAGGCTGGCCGACGGAATGACATCCGTCATGGGCAGGACCTGAGGGGGTCAGTGAGACGAGAGAGGAGGCAGCCCATAGGAGCAATGCCACCTCCTCTAGCAGGCCAAACCACTTGGCATTTGGCTCCACCTTGTCGAACATTGCACCCATCAAGACAGCCTGACAGGCCAGCTGCTGAGGTCTAATGCCAACCATCATGAGAAGTTCGAACCTGCACAGGCCCCCAGATGAGGTCAAAGCCCTCCCCGATGAAGGGTAGGAGGTATGTGGCGTTGCCGATCACGAAGTCCATGAAGAGGCAGAGCCACAACTGCAAGATCCCACCGGTGAGATGAGGAGATCAAGCTTTCAAGCCCTCACCTGGAAGAGAGGGTGTTTCGGAATGAAGAGGGGGAGCAGCTCCCAGGGCTTCGGTCGAGTGCCGACATTGTAAACAAGTCGCTTCCCTACATCTTCTTCCAGGATCTACAGCAAATCGGTCAGCCCTTCAAAAATTCAAGGAACCATTGCAACCGAGTCCACGAACGGCTGAAGGAGATTTTTCCGCCCTGTCGTGGACAATTTAGTGAAGATTAGTGTCCATCTCTACAACCCACCAGGTGGAGAGAGCAGAAGGATCAAGCCCAAGATCAAGGTGTTGAAAAGGACGAGAATCCCTGTGACGCTAAGGAGGAGGACGAACAAGAAGGTTCAAGAAATGAAGGTGCACGGTTGAACATACATTGCAATAGGAAGGAAAAGAGGCAAACCGATGGTAAACGCGATGATACCGAATGGAATCACACAAGCCATTGCTGGAATGAACATCATTGCGACGAACAATCCCATATACTAAAACAGAAATTTCACTTCTCCAACCTGTGATGATACGAGACAAACAATGGGAAAGCATCATCTTTTCTGACCTTGTTGTAGATGACAGGAAGAGCTATCCCCACTGTCGTCTCAACCTGAATTCGAGCCATAAGTCCACCATCTTGGAGTGACCTTGCGTTACCCGCTTGTACATCGGGTCGATGAAGCTGACGACATTGTCAAAAGTTCCCATGACGACGGCAAACTCAGGCCGGAATTCCATCATTTCACCCTGTCAGTTGTCATAGTGTTAGCGTAATGGTTGTGCCGTGTTAACATTGACGTTGAAGAGTTGGGCCAACTGAAAATCCTGTGTGATCTAACCTCACTCACTCCTCAATTTTTCGTGTAGAACAGCAAAGTCTGACTCGTGTAGTCTGCAATCATTCCATGCTAGATCCCTTCTTCATTGGGTAATCATTGGATCTGAGTTCTCATCAGGACTTCACGTGTATGTCGCCATCAACGCAAACTCGGCCAGTCAATGAGAGATTACATTTCGTCTCGAGCCATGTCACCTAGCCTTCTTGTGATGCCTATTATCTCGCATCATTCACTAGACCCCTTTCAATGATCACTTCATCAACAATCTTCTTCCTACTCGAAGTGTCAAACACTTCTCGCTCTCTGCCCCGTCGCTGCATTTCGGAGCCGCTCTCAATCTGATTGGAGTTTCAAAACCGGGCCGTGACGGCCCGGGGCCGGCTCGGCGGCGGGCCATACAATCTTCTTTCTGATTTAACTTAACTTTGAGTAAAGATTCTTACTGAGCCCGTTGGCAGTTCTACGGGGTGCCGACCTTTTACTCAAAGTTAAGTTAAAAATCGGTTCAAGCGCCGGCTGCCTTATCAAAATTTTCCATGCCAGCCACAAGTGGGAACCAGCGACAAGGCGCGCAAGAGAAGGAAGATGGAAGGCCCCGAGGAGGAAGAGGGAGGCAGGAAAGGAAGGAACAAGGGCTCAGAGGAAGGAGAGGGAGCGAGAGCTGACGATAGACAAGGAGAGGGGACTAAAAGACAGAGAAAACAAAAAAAGGTAGTGTGCGAGCACGGGCGGCGGCGATCCCGATGCAAGGCATGCGGGGGAGGGAGCATATGTGAGCACGGGCGGATCCGATCCCACTGCAAGGCATGCGGGGGAGGGAGCATATGCGAGCACGGGCGGCGGCGATCAGAATGCAAGGCATGCGGGGGAGGGAGCATATGCGAGCACGGGCGGATCCGATCAGAATGCAAGGCATGCGGGGGAGGGAGCATATGCGAGCACGGGCGGAGGCGATCCCACTGCAAGGCATGCGGGGGAGGGAGCATATGCGAGCACGGGCGGATCCGATCCCACTGCAAGGCATGCGGGGGAGGGAGCATATGCGAGCACGGGCGGATCCGATCCCACTGCAAGGCATGCGGGGGAGGGAGCATATGCGAGCACTGGCGACGGCGATCAGAATGCAAGGCATGCGGGGGAGGGAGCATATGCGAGCACGGGCGGATCCGATCAGAATGCAAGGCATGCGGGGGAGGGAGCATATGCGAGCACGGGCGGAGGCGATCCCACTGCAAGGCATGCGGGGGAGGGAGCATATGCGAGCACGGGCGGAGGCGATCCCACTGCAAGGCATGAGGGGGAGGGAGCATATGCGAGCAAGACAAGAACTGATCATGTGGCATTGATATGCGGTCTTGCTGTATTGACATCATGCAGCATGTGCACAGGGAGCATGCTGCCAAGCTTTACCAGCAGGATCCTCAGTAGACGGAGGAGTCAACGAAGTCTGTCGCCTCGAGCGGCCATAGACTTTGTCACGTCAAGCGTTTTTAGATCGGCTGGACCTGGCAGCTGGGACCAGAATCGGGCCCTGGATTGAGTACTACTGGAATCCTGCGAAGCTTCTTTGTTTCGGATAGAGAAGAGGAGCAATAAAGGAGCTTGAAGTCAGTCTGAGTCAAGCGGACACTTTTATTCCTCCTTGTCTTGCACTGCCTGATGTGCAGCTGTCACGGATGAGTTGGCATGGCGATGATCAGGGGCATGTGATGGGTTGGGCGTGACTTGACTCAGGTCGCGCAGGACTCTATCTCTGATCCGGGATCATCATGCGATGATGCACATCCGATATGGCCTGTATCCCGGCGCCGGAAGGCCCTGACTGGCGGCTCGGCTGCGGCGCCGTTCAACGCCGACCGGGCCTCCGAGGCTTCGTCAATGATATTCCAGCTGATCATCTGTCATTGACATGCGGTCTTGCCGCTGTGCTGTGTTGACATGACTGTGATGCAGCACGTGCACGCCGGGGAGCATGCGGGTGCTGCCAACTTCGCGGCTCGAGTCCAGGCCCCCGCACCTTCACTGCCTTCCGAAATGGGGGTTTAGAGCGTTTCAAGTTTCGGGACTTCACGAGTCTGGGTGGTTGATATGACTGAGAATGAGATGACTCAGTGAAGCACGCCGACATCTCTTGCTCCTTACATCCGATCAGTGCACTGCCCGGCGGCGGGCCGGCATGATGAGGTGCCGCACACGCGGCAACTTTCAGTCACGCCGGAGAGTATCCGATGGCCTCGTCGACCGGACGGTTTGCCATGATGGCGCGGCTGAAGGTGTGCAACGCGAAAGGTTTGGCCTGTCTGATTAACAATATGCATCAAATGTCCACATTCAGCACCTGCCTGATGAGCTGCAGCTGCGTCTTTTCGGTGCCTGGCAGTGGGCTGACGGACGGTCGCCGTTCAACCGTCCGGCGTCGGTTTGGCCAGCCGGAGGAACTTAACTTTGAGCAAAGAAGCCACGGTGTGTAGTACGTGCTTTTCACTACTGAGTGACTGACACGGGCCGGCGGACCTGTACACCGTGACCTCGCCACTTTCGGCCCCGGCCAGGTCATTACCCCCGGGATCGGATTGTACGGTAGCCTGGTGCACTGAGAATTTTAACTAAAGTATTAGTTATCCGATGATATCCATGGAATTCGATGGAGTTTGTGCCGGGCGGGATGAGGGGCGCGATCTGATTCCCCGGGGTGGCCACCGCAGGGTAGGGGGACCAGTACCAATCTTAAAACTATATAAGTCCTACAAGCAATTTAAAAAGTACCAAAATTCGATCCTGAATCTGAAATGGGCCTGTTCTACAACATTGTATATCTTATAAAAATAGTCTATGTAGAGTCCTGGTATGTATGAGGTTGTACCAGACCCCCAAGCACCCATACAAACACGTTTTTATGTTACTCGATGCCGAGACATGATCTACAAAAGTTTTTAAGAAACCGCTGGACACTCGCGGGCGTCGCCTTTAAAATACTTTTTGTTTCAGATACCAGAGCGGCCTCGTCAAAACTCAACGTTTGTGACTTCAATTGAGTCCAATTTACAGCAGAATCATGACCAGTCGCTCCTGTGGTGCACTCTACATTATCAATTCTTCGAATAAGAATATAATTCAATTGGATATACCTTTTATCATCGCTTTCCTGGCTGCCTCCATTCAATCAGATTGCGACGGGACGGATTTCTCGTACACTCATATACAGTTGAAATAGAAAGATTTGAATATTAATGAAATCGAAAAAGCTTTGTTTCGATTTAGATATATCAGAAGCAATTATTCCTTCAAAATCAGGTCATACGTAGGATCAGTCAGAAGGGGGTCATCTTTTGGTGGAGATGAAAAGTTAAAGGTAGGGTCAATGATGTACCGGTAATTCAAAGGTAAAAATCACCCCTTATCGTGTAGATCAGTTTTGTTTGCCAGGGTACCATACATTACAAGGGGTAGGGATATGACTATAAAACAATTAATCTTTATAAAGCAGGTCATGGCTGATCAGAACTAGTGGGGTGGGGGTGGTAAGTCGGATCTGATGCTTGTAGGGTGGGTCTTGATTTGAAAGGGGTAGGAGCAAGCTTGCGCCGCAAGTGGGAGCAAACATATTCAGGGCATACTCCAATTTGTTTCTCTTTTATTTTGAAATTACACCTCATAGATAATAAAGTTTGAATATGTTTTGTAGAGTTGCCTTGGGCTGAAAGCCTCCTTGAGGGTAGGGTAGTAATGATCTAGCAGGGTGAACAGCTCTACCCACTAGGTGGGTAGGAACTCGAGAAGGGGTAGGGGTACGATCAGATGGTAGATGCCTACGACCAAAGGTCTTACGTTCATCTATATCTAGAGGGTGGGGTAGTTTTTGCGATATAGCTAGGGGTGGAGTCATCCTACGTCCTGACCGCACGCGGCCCGGAAATGAAAGGGATCTAAAGGTACAAGGAAGAGGAACGTAGAAAAGTCAGGTGGTATTGAAAGAAGGAGAACAGGATAGCAAAAGGCTATCATACTGCGACAAGCTTATTATATAGATATCAATCTGGATACATGATCAGTTGTTGAAATAGTTGTGGATATTATTTTCTTTGGATTGTCTCTTTTGTCGGGATTCCACCTGGCACAAGGTGTGATCATGGCATACAAATTCAGATCCACCCTAGCGGGATTATTCTTTCTCTGGATTTTGAGTGGTGGAGATGTTGGGCTGGCGTCCGACTCTTCATGGAAGTGGATTCACAGAGCGTTTGCTCCAAGCTCAAGCCGGCACAGGGACTCGAAGATTTTCGAGTCAGTTTTGCGGGAATCCACGTCCAAGGAGGCTGGCAAGCCAATCAGGTGGGTTCAAAGAGCCATCGCTCCAACCTCATCGTTGCCTTCGCCCGTTTCTCTCTCTTCGCATCAACTCCGGGCGACGGAGGAGCACAGATCGACACACAAGTTGTCAAGAGTTTCTGTGGATATCCCGGACGTGGCTCATCCGGTCTTTGGCTGCGACGAGTTTCACAGTGCTGGATCATTGCGTGGAGGTGTTGCAGCGTTTGTCTTGAATGGGCCTGTTGTTGTCGAGGGGAAACGAACACGTATTTGCTCGCACAAGCCGAATTTGCGGGCATCCAAATCGAAGATGGTATTTGATGGGTTTGGGGATGCAGCAATGTGGGCTGGTCAAACGATCTCATTGATGCATCAGAGAAGTAAGACAACGCTTCAAGCGTCGACCAGTGTACTCTCACAACCCTCAAACACCTTGGAAACAATCAAAGCTGGAGTCCTTGGATTTTCAACCGCCCTATCGAACGCCAGCAAGGTCGAGAAGGAAGAAATGGCTTCAGTTATGTTGCCTTCCGGCCCGCCCTCTCTCAGGGCCTACGCAGGTTCCGAAGGCCAAAGTAAGCATGCCGAAACTCGCCTGAAATCTTCTGCTAAGATGCACGAATCTTCCGATCCTATCCATTTTCTTGGGTCTTTGAACACTTTGGTGGTGAACTTTGTATCTTCGCTACATCTGCCGGTTTCTGTCCGTCATGTTTCTGGGATTCTCGATCTGTTTTCTTCATGGCAGAAGCTTGACTCGCTACAGTCCACCATTGAGAAGAGGCGAGAGTCAGTCGATGAGTTGGTTTGGCAGAAGGAAACGAAGTCATATCCGTCGGAGGAGGCCTTTCTGTTTTGGACTGGGAAATCATTCAGCAGAGTCATTCACAATCTCTCGCAAGTACAAAAGGCTTACTCGGACAGCGCAACCTGGTTGTACAGCAGAGCAGTGGAATTAGATCCAAGACATGTGCCTTGGATCGTAGCAGGGGCCAGCCAGGCAACGATGGAGAAGTTAAACGAATTGAACTCCAAACTTGCAGAGCTGATTGAGTCTGAGATTTACCATCTGTTCAATCGTTTCGATAGGGAATTGATGGGATTGAAGCGACAGTCGCAACCGGAGCGGGCGAATCCTCCTTCGTGTATGGTCATGAGTGCGAGTGGAGAGGCTCAGTTACTCAAGTATGGGAGCGCGATTCCTCAGCTCCTCTATGACACGAATGAAAATCACAGGATGTTTGATGCACCCATGATGGTGGCGCTTGACACTGATGAGGATGGAAATTTGTACTTGGGCACTCCAGAGAGGAACCGTGGAACCCCCCTGCCACTTGCTTCCGACGTGTTCTGGATGAGACAGATGGCGTCTTACGCGAACGAAGTTTCTTCTGGAAGTCGTGCCAATGGCTCGGAAGATGAAGAGCCAGGGCCCGTTACTGTTGCAGCAGTTACTCTGCCTGTGAACTCGAATGGTGACGTGCTGGTTACGCAGAGAGCGTTCCGCGGCATGTATGATGGAATGTGGGTTTTCCCTGGGGGCCATGTTGATGGCGGCGAGGCGCTGTCAGCAGCAGCAGTGAGAGAGGTCTTGGAGGAAACAGGCTTGCGGGTGGTGAAGGATTCATTGAGGCCGCTAGCAGTATGGGAGGGAACCGTGACGTCGAAGAAGAGGCAGTTTTGTGTTGTCTTCTTTGCAGCCGATGTCAGCGGAAACTCTGAGAACATGTACTTGCAAACAAAAGAGGTTCATCGAGCTACTTGGATCCCAGCGGATCTCTTGCCACGAATGCTGGATACCCACGTCTTGCATGAAAATGAGCTTGAAGGCTGTGCAGTTGTTGGCAACGAGCAAGAATCGACAAAAATCAAGCTGTCAGAACTCCAGAAAGGATTGGGCGAAGGTCATAAATTTGCTCTCCGAGCGTATCTAGAATCAAGGAAGGTGGAGACACCGTTGAACCAAGATCCCTTCTTGGACAGTAGTGATGATTATTCAAGCTCTTATCGTTCCATCTGAACAGGACTATCTTCTTATTTATCTGTACAAAATGTTATATGAATGGACTGTATATAAACAATTTTCAACGGATTCAGCGTGTGAAAGAAAGAATATTCATTGTCCACTTTAGTGTTAATGCCACTGCAAGTGCAGCAGCCCTCAGATCGACCAGGGATCTCCCCCCAACTGCGCTTTGCCCGTCGCCTTCTCCTTTGGCAACCCCATACTCTCTGCCGCTTTCTTGGCAGCATGCCCGAGGCCTAGCACTTTCTGCGGAGCGGGATAGTCAGACGACAAGCTTGAACTATTACTGAGAGCTTACCTTGTAGTCAGATGTAAGTTCCTTCTGAATGATGGCCAGGTTCTTGAGGGCCCTTGTCTTATCACTGGAAGAGCCAGACGCATTGTCGAACTCCTGTCAAACACCAACCGTGTCAAGACGTTCCTGCATCCTCAGTCACATGTCTAACAACCTTGGAGAGCTTCAGGAGCTTCGATCCCACAGAGTTTGGGTTATGTACAACTTTCACCTTCTTCTCCCTCTCCGAGTGTCTGCAGAGCTCGATCACAGATGGCCTTCGTCAAACAGGAATCTTCTCACCTCGACTTGCGCCTTGATCCCGAAAGCGACTGAGTGTTGCTCGCGCTTCCGTCAGACTGCCTGCCGTCCGTGCTCGACGATTGATCGTCTCCGGAATCTAAAGAAGAACTTCCAGATCCTGTACCACCCTGAGGAGCACGATCGTCAACGCTACGAAGGAGTAAGGCTGATTGTCAACTACCATGGAATCATAGAATGAAGTAGAATCCGAGGCCGAGGAGGAGCCCGAGGAGGAGCCCGAGGAAGTCACATCCCCCAAGGCTGACGATTGATCGTCATCCATGTCGCCCATGTCGCCCATGGAGGAGCTCGACGAATCATCCCCATCGCTCGAGCCGTAGATGGCCTCCCAGCTTGCTGACCCCGTGGACAGCTCGGACTGGACCCCCTGCTTCAGAATCAGCTCGATGTTCTCTCCTTCCTCTCGTAACCCAGGGATCTCTTCCTCACCTTCGTCTTCGTTGCTGATCCCGAACCCGATCGAGCGTATCCGATACACATGATGGCCATCACAGCAACCATAGACACAGCTGCCGCCGCACGCAAGAGGCGTCGATTCTTGTGCTCCCGGTTCTCCATCGAGGCGGCAAGGGCATAATATGGGGCAAAGAATGAAGGAGTGAATGCCTGCTGCTGGTTTCCGTCGGAGGTCACGTAGACGCTGTCCTCCCCGGAACCATTTCCCTCCCTCAACAGGATATACCGCGCTGTCCCGTGCATCGTTTCGTCGGGTAACAGTTGGCAAGGAAGTTCCCAAGAGAACAGTCAAAGACGCAGCTTGTCAGTGGACAGAGGAGTCCCCTCTCCTCCTCCTTGTCTCTGGGATGTACCTACTCGCTCCTGCTCCCTGCAGCTCCTGCTTCCTGCCAACAATCCTTTCGCTGGTTGTCCGCAAATAGATTTGACTACCCCTCCTACCACTGAGTGTATCAAACCACTGATACGATGTTGTCGGTGGGTAGAATCGCTCATATGGGTAGGGGTATCGATTGCGAAACAATTGGCTATAAAAGGGTGGGTACTTTTAATATAATTTGGGGGTATAGAACAAAAAAATTGCCATTGATGGAGGTGGGTAGTTTTCTCCCTAGGGTAGTACGGAAATTGTCACGGAATTACCAGGGGGTGGCAGGGGATATGACGTAGGGGGTTGAGGGGGTACGGTGGTAGTCCGAAATCTGCTCATCATCCGGCCTTCTCCCCGGCGACCGGACTAGTTGACTTTAGTACCGGCGCCGAGTCGGACTCCCGGATCGGATCGGGCCCGGGCCCAGCCCCGCGGCCGGGCCGCGCCCGGCCCGGCAGCCTGTAGGCAGGAACTTCGGAAGGCGGCTACCCGGCGGCTCTTTCCTTCATTCTGAGCAGCAAGCCATCTTTGGGCTTCATCATTGGGATGAACGTGAGAGAGAAGTCCTGCCCAGCAGTCAGCATGCTGGCAGGTGGATTGGACCGGGACTCCGACAAAGAGCGTACTGCCGGGTACCGTAGTACTACCTGCCCCTCTACAGCGGAGAAGTCGAACGTCCTTAGGAAGATGGAGAGAAAGATCTTGAGCTCCAGCAGCGCAAGGCGCTGACCGATGCAGAGGTGAGGGCCAGCCCCGAAGGAATCTAAGTCAAGCGTCAGCAACCCTGGCACGAGCCAGCAGCCTCTGAGCGGCCCAGCTCACAGTGCTGGGAGGCCTTGCTCTGGGAGGCGAAGGGGCAGAAGTCCTCGCCGCTCGGGCTGAGCTCCTCCAGGCGATTGGTCAGGAAGATCCCAAACAGCACCTGCCCCGTCCCTTCACCTGGCACACACAGGATTCGGCCTGCCCCTCACCTGATACCCTGCTGGGACCCGGAACCCCTCGTGCTCGAACTCGCAGACAGACTCTCGGATCACACCGGAGGCAGGAGGGTACAACCGCAGGGACTCCTGCAGCGCCTGCTCTAGCAGCGGCATGCTCTGCAGCTGCACCGACAGGGGATCGCCCCCTTCCATGGCCCTCACCTGCTCCTCCACCAGCTGCACCCGGAGGTCCTCACGTCGGGCGACCTCCATCAGGAAGCAGGTGGCCGCGCTGGCCGAGGTCTCGTGCCCGGCAATGAGCAGCATGATCATCTGTGCCGCCAGGTCGTCATCGCTCAAGGCGGTGCCATCGTCTGCCTTGGAGTCGATGAGCAGGTTCAGCGCGTCCCTGCCCTGCCGGGGGAGCCTCCTCCTCTTTGCGATCAGATCCTTCAGCGCGTTCACCAGATTCGTGCGGGACTTCATCGCGCGGCGGAAGGGAGGAAACCAAGAGTAGGGGAGCGAGAAGAACGCTCCCTGGATGTCGCCGAACCATTTGCTGTACAGCTCCAGCTGCTCTCCATCCATGTTGTCGCCGATTAGCACGAAATAGGCGATATCGAGCATGACGTCCAACAGCTCACCATAGATCCGCATCTCGAACTCTCCCCCTCCTCCTTCTTCTCCTCCTAAGGTCCTCCACTTTTGCGCATAGCGTACGCACACTTGCTCGATGTACTGCGAGTAGGACGCAACCGCGCTGGGCGTGAAGGCCTTGCCGATGACCTGCCTCGCCCGCTCGTGAGTTGGGCCGTCAGAATTTGGGAGCACGTTGGGTCCCAGGAGCTCGATGACGCTCTTGGGATAGGTAGAGATAAGCGTCCTGCCCTGGTTCTGTGCGAGGAACTTCATGGCATCGACTCCGTTCAAGACTACCGATGGCTTCCCTAGGATGTGTGACTTGTAGATCCTGCCGTACTTGTTCAATTTGTGCCGCACGAACGATTCCGTGTTCAGCAGGAAGGGGATGGTTTCTCCGAGGAAGGGTAGCCCTGATCGACCAGGAGGGAGAGGAAGCTCCGTGCTGCATGAGATCTTCGCTGCTCGCCGGTGAGGCACAGCATGCTTGCGATGGAAGAGACTCAACTTGTGAAAGCCCACACGAAAACCGTGACATGACTTGAAAGTTAGCATCATCGTTATCATCACCATCATCGCCATCATCGCCATCATCGGTTTCTTCCTCCTTTTCCTCTGCGTCCTCGTCGCTGCCGTCGCCATCTTCCACCACCTACCCGGGCCTCGTTTTATATGTTTCGGGAAGGGACCTCTACTGTTTTATAGGGACCTCTCTCTATAAGACCTCTACTGAAAACTTTTCAGTAGCGGAGCGGCAGGGGGGGGCAGGAGGAGGAGGAGGAGGAGGAGGAGGAGGAGGAGGAGGAGCATCTTCTGCCAACGCGCCAGCAAGGAAGGAAGAAAGCATCAACCACGGATTAGCGATGCTGACATCAACGCTCCCAATCTGACGTCTCAGCAATGGTGGAAGAGGGCGGGGAGAAACAGGAGGACGAGAGCGTTGACACGGCCCGTGTCACGTTGTCCATCCGCCTGTCCCTGTTCATCTCTGCCGTCTTCATACTCCTCCTCTTCATCCCCATGGCATCGAAGGGCTGGATTGCTGCGCTCGGCGCTTCCATGGTGTTCGGCTCGTCGAGCATCCCCGCCAAGCACCCATGCTGCAGGATTGTCGGGCCCTTCGGTTTCCAGCTGTGGGTAACAGCAGGGAACGCCATGACAACCATGTCTCTCGCTCTCCTCAAGGGATCCCCCGTCCGATGGTCAAGTTGGGGAGCTGCTGGGGCTTTGCTCCTCACAGCCACCCAGTGCTGTGCATGGCCGGCGGTGGGCGCTCTTGGAGCAGCAGCAGGTCCAGGCATCTGGTGCGGGGTCGGGATGTCAGTTGCGTTCATGTGGGGGACGATCGTCTTCCAGGAAGCCGTTCGCTCGCTTGCGCTGTGCATTGTTGCTCTGATCCTCCTCTTCTTCGGGATCGTGGGTATATCTCTCGTTCAGTCCAGCATGCTTCAGCGGCTCTTGGGCGAGTCGGGGGCAACGGGGCTGATGTCGTTCAAGGAGCTTCAGGCAGAAAGCTCAGGGCCGGAGGAGGAGCGTGAGGGAGGGGAATGGAGAGAAAGAGGCGGAAGGAGAGAAGAAGAGAGCAATAAGACTGGTCGAGCGAGGATCGCTGTGGGAGTCTTGCTGGCACTCATGACGGGATTGTTTGACGGTTCCCTCATGGCACCTTTCAAGGCATACCTCGCCTCTCACCCTTCCCTAGTCTCCTCCTCCTCCTCCTCCTCCTCCTCCTCCTCCTCCTCCGACGTCGTCGTCTTCGAGTACTTGGGCTCCTTTGCACTCGCACTGCCGGTGGTGGCTGGAGGGTCCCTCGTGCTCATCATGTTCTACCAGCATCGTGCCTTAAACTCAGGTCCCGATCGCAGCAGCTTCAGGCAAGCGGCGTACCCTGGTTTCTGCGCTGGCGTGTTGTGGGCTGTCGGCAACGTTCTGTCGGTGCATGCGACGCTGGAGCTTGGGCAGTCTATCGGGTTCCCGATGACGCAGAGTTGTGTGGTGATATCAGCCCTGTGGGGAATCGTCGTCTTCAAGGAGATGACCGCCAGGACTCCTCTCCTCCTCTTCCTCCTCTCCTCGACGCTGGTGGCGGCAGGCGCGAGTCTCCTCGGCAGTAACTCTTACAGATAGCACAGAGACTGGTCGACAGTGGGGGGGGCAAGAGTTGGTCAGGAGCCTCTGCGACGACTTGGGCCATCCCGCCTGGCATGCTTCCTGCGCTGATCGCTCTGACAAGGGATATGTGATAATGAACCATCTTGCCCCACGGATTGACCAGGAAGCAGCCACGGGGCATGACACAAGGAACAAGCAGGAGATGACAGCTGCTGCTGCGCAGGAGCATCTCCTCCATCGCCCTCCATCTCGCTATGCAACATCGACAAGGTCCGACAAGCTTGCCTACTGAAGCCCTCACATGTCCCTGATCACTTCATCTTGTATTATTATGTACACAACAGACTCTACTTTACACCTCGCTACCTCCTCCTCCCTGGCTCCCCTTCCCTCCCTGCCTCTACTGCTCCTCGGCCTTGGGCTCGTCGGCCTCTTCCTGTATCCTCCCCGGGAGGCCGCGCCTCGCCATGGTCGAGCGGATGTTGTCGAGCAGGAAGCACAGGGAGGGAGAGGGCTTTGGGCGCTGGGCGGCCCGGGAGGGCGGGCTAGAAGGGAGGCGGAAGACAGGGTCGCAGGCGAAGCGGATGGTACTACGGGGCGGGAGGGGGGCAGAGACCATGGAGGAGCGGAAGGGGGATAGGGGACAGTGGGGAGGTCGGGCTGAGAGGAGGTATATCAAGGGGGGAGGGGGGGAGGGGCTGACTCAATATGGGACGATTCGTGATTTATTCGCTAGACGATTGTTCTCCATCAATATGTCTCCTCATTGACCAGCCGCTCGGCGTCCAAGTCTGATGCGATGGCCAGCTGACCGACAGGATGGACTGCATATCCCTTGCAGAGATGATGAAGAGGAAAAGCTCGACCAGCACGTGAGGAGAAGCTTAATCAGCCTGAGCTGCAAACCGATAATCGCACAGAAAGACCACAAAAGGACCAGAGGACATAAGGACAAGGCGGCTCGTTGTTTTACACTTGCCAGATTCAGAAAAGAGCATGAAACGATCAGAAAAGACTCGCCACCACCACCATGAAGCTCCCAACAGCATAATTGTTGAACCATGATGACCTGTGTCCCCGTGTCATCCGTTGGAGATCAGATGAAAAGGAGTGGTGTCAACAAGTTCTTACAAGTTCATCTTGTATTATTATGTACACAACAGACTCTACTTTACACCTCGCTACCTCCTCCTCCCTGGCTCCCCTTCCCTCCCTGCCTCTACTGCTCCTCGGCCTTGGGCTCGTCGGCCTCTTCCTGTATCCTCCCCGGGAGGCCGCGCCTCGCCATGGTCGAGCGGATGTTGTCGAGCAGGAAGCACAGGGAGGGAGAGGGCTTGGGGCGCTGGGCGGCCCGGGAGGGCGGGCTAGGAGGGAGGCGGAAGACAGGGTCGCAGGCGAAGCGGATGGTACTACGGGGCGGGAGAGGGGCAGAGACCATGGAGGAGCGGAAGGGGGATAGGGGACAGTGGGGAGGTCGGGCTGAGAGGAGGGCTAGTATATCAGGGGGGGGAGGGGGGGGGGGGGGGGGCTGACTCAATATCCGGACCAGAATCTTGTCCCATCGAAGCGTTGCGTAGTGAGTTGAGGAACAAGGTGCACGACGTGCAGAGTTGCGTTTTGAAGTGGCTCGGAAGCACGGGTCTCATATTTTATCCCCGGCTGGCCGGAAGCGACCGTGAATCGCTGCGACTCCCGAGTCCACCAATGATCCGTTGCCGTAGCGTAGTACGGTAGGTGCCTGCGCCCCCCTCCCCTCAGAGTCCCTCTCCCTAAGATGCCGGGGGATAGGGGACTGTGACGGTGGGGAGGTCGGGCTGAGAGGAGGTATATCAAGGGGGGACTCGTTGAAGGGGGCGGAGGGGGTGACTCAATACAGTGGGACGATTCGTATTCCCGCGTCAGCCGACACGAAGCGTTGCGTAGAAGAACGTCAGAATCTTAGCCCCATCGAAACGATGCGTGGTGAGATGAGGAGCCGCGATTCAACGACGGTTGTATCCCCGGCAAATCACTTCTTGTCTGAGCCGGGGTCTGAACAGGTGCAGCGATGATCTCGAGTAGATAGAGCCTGAGTAGATATCTGTTCAGTCGTCATCAAACTGTGCCACCGATTCCGCTCCCACCGGACTCCGAGGCTCCGAATACTATGATATGTTTCAGCAGTGCCCGGGCCGCGGGCCTTGCCGGGGCCTTGTTTCACAGTGCCAGGCCCTAGTCAACCCGGCGGCCCAGGCGAAACGGTTCGAGTGACTCGCTGAGCAGAGAGACTCACCACGCCGGTCACACTGACTTTCAAGTTTCACCGGCGGCGGGGCCCGGCAGTGCGACCGTGACGGTGGTCCGCCGGGGCCGCCCGGCCCGCCTTTCTCCCGGCCGGGCGCCGGGCCCGGGGGACCGTCCGAGTCCGAGTCGGGGCCGGCGGCGGGACTCGGCCCGTGACTTGAACGGTCCGAGTCCGAGTGGCCCGGACCGGCGGCCGGGCGCCGTAACCACTGCCACCGCCGGACCGTACTCTGTTACTTGGGCGGCCGCTAGCCTAGTAGTTCAAGTTACGGTCACGGTACCAGGCTACTGAACCGGCGGACTCGACCGTGCGTTCAACGGTTGCCAAGCAAGTTGGCTCCGGGGCAGTCCGACCATCGTAACACCTGACCGTGACTGTGATCGTCACTGTCAGTTGCCGCGCGGCCGCTCACGGGTCACGGGTGACCCGTGACCGGGCCGCCGGGATCAGCCTGAGTGAGTCGGGGGCCCCCGGGCCCGCCGATGCAGCCGGGCCACGCCGGTGGCATACGGCGGGGCCGATCTCCGAGGCTGCGGCCGGGCAGCCACCGTCGGGTGGCGGCGGGCGCGCGCCGGGCGCCGGGCGCCGGGCCCGGAAGACGGGCAGCCTGTGACTCCTCAGACTCGGACCCGGCCCGGCGGGCGCCGGGCCGGCCCACGGCCCGACCCAGAAACCGTTGAAGACAGTTATATATTACCCTTCCGAGAAGCACGAAGAGCCATCCTGCGGCGTTGATGGAGCTGCAGAAGAGAGAGTGGGAAGGAGGAGAGAGAGTGGGAAGGAGAAGAGAGAAGAATTTACATGATGAACTTGAGGATGGGTATCAACAGATTCATGGGGGAGGGGGTGGGAATGTAACAGCACAAACCCTCATAACTCATCACGAATTGCAAATGATCCTGGATTGCAAGCTTGCGAGGGATAGAAAGAAATGAGGATCATGCATGGCAACTGAAGTCATCGAAATATGCCAAAGGTCTTAGCTTGTCTAGTTCTTTGGTTTTGGTCTGGTTTATCTAGCTCTTTCTTTTTGGTCCTTTCTTTCATATCATGTTTTTGTTGATTGTGCCAGACTCGATCAAAAAAACAGACTCTAGCATGGTCTCGCTGTCCATGTGACTGAATATGGGCATGTCCTTGTGTTGTGAATTTGGATCAGAAATCAGATTGATACAAGATTCATGTTGTGCAGCTCTTGTTCCTGACGTGTTGCCCTGCAGTACCTTTTGCAATGCCCATCCTTCGCCTTCCTGTCATGAGGTAAGCCTGTTCCGTTCATATACCAACGCGCCTCAACTTCGTCTCGCAGATCTCTCTTCTCGGGTACCCCTCCCTTCGGGATGCCCCACGTCAACCCCACCATCCCTACATGGGGTAAGCCTCTCGATTTCTTGCTCCCTTCCTGCATGCTCTCGTTCAAAGATCTCCTCCACTCGTCTCCTCCCTCCCTCCCTCCCTCCCTCCCTCCCTCCCTCCCTCCCTCCCTTCTCTCTCTCACTCTCTCCGTTGCCTTGCTGACTGTGCGATAGGCACGGACGATGACGGCAGGAAGCCGTACGAGCTCAGCGAGGCCACCCTCCACAACTCGGGATACGTTGGCTCCGACAACGCCATGGGCTCTCCTGACTACTTCATCGACTATGCTGACCCCAAGGGACCCAACGAGTCCCACCAGTGGCTGCAGAGCCATCCTTTTTACTAGAGGGCTGCTCTTTGACCTTTACGAAACATATTAATGTACAGCGTGGAGTTTGACAACCGTATCCTTGCGCTACATGAGCTCTCTCATGGAAGCTGACGAGCCTTTCGCATCCATCATCAGCTTGAAGCGGAGAAGCTCCTCCTCGTCCTCCACTTCTCCCTTCTGCAATGCACGTGTCAGTGGCTTGGTGGTGTTCGCTCCCTGTTACCTTGGCGTTGTTGTCCGTTCCACCTCCCGGCGATTTCTCGCCATCCTCTTCCAGTATCCTTCGCGAACCTTCTCTTCCAAGAGCAAGAGTCCCGGAGGAAGACGTAGATAGCCGCACAGGCCCTCCATCGTCGTTCCATGAGGTTTGCAGGAAGCCCTCGCACGGCTTTCTCACCTCCTCCTCCCACACCTGACGCTGCCCCTCCGTGTAGGCCTCCAGCGCTTTGCGACTGTAGGAGTTGCCTGGCAAATCAGGGTCGCTCCAGTAGAGTTCGATGTGCATGCAGAGGTCTGAGTCGCTGGGATGTAGCACGTAGCAGGGGACACAGGCCGGATGGTCTGTGAACGCGTTCGCCTGCGAGCCCAGCGAGTTGGTTGGTCTTGGCCAAGTCGTCACCTCCAGCAGGGCCTGAGCTCGCCTTGCAGTTCCGGGCTGGAAGGTGCAGACGGCGAGGGGGTCAGCTCCTCCTCCTTGACAGACGCGATCGGAGTTTCCCAGGTCGTCCACGAGGATGGTAATCTCGTCTGCCCCAGTCCCTCCATACCCTCCCAGCAGCGTCTGCAGCGACGAGTCTGCCAGGCCGCACAGCAGCCCAGCGGCGCACACGCGCCCTGCTGGGGACCAGCCGGGGACCCTGGAGGGGCTCTTGTACCTTAGACCTCGGAGAGCCTGTTGGACAGCAGCCAGGGGTCCTTCGAAGATCATCCTCCTGTCCGCCGTCCCTCCCCCCTCCAGGAAGTGGAGGATAGCGGCATCCCTCCCCCTCCAGGCCGCCAGGTTGAGGTTCGACACGCCAGGTACTTGCGGCACGTAGAAGGGCTTCACCACCGTCCTCGTGTTCCCTGCCACGATCGGTTCCTCCGAGCTGACGCCGATCGAGACGTCCCCCATGTACCCGAGAGCGATACTGCTGTCCAGCGCCTGGCCCTGCTGCCTGCTAGAGGTGGAGGGTAGGGAGTCCGCAAACGGAGCGTCGACGAACAGGTAGCCGTGCAAGCAGCTCAGCTCGACCCGGAGGCGGCGGACGATGAGCGAAGGCGCATTCACCCGATCCTCCCCGAGGTCAGGGTCTTCGACCTTGAGCCCTGGCACAGAGATCTCCTCCCCTGCCGTTCCCTTCAGCAGGCGAGGGATGACGCTGGTGTTGCCGATGAGGCGGCTGCGGGAGTTCCACGTGGGAAAGGAGCGATAGATCGCCCAGCCTTGCTCGTGCCATGTCCTCGTGATGACGATGCGGAACATGCTTCCGTACTGATTGTTGGCAGGCCACCTGAAGTAGCTCCTTGTCCCCTCCACGAAGGGCCCAGCTCCTGCAGTTCCATTGGCCCTGCCGATGGATACCCACCCAACGTTCACCTCTTCCGCGTTGTACTCTCCTACCTCTGCGTTCCAGTTGCCTCCCACGAACCCCTCGAGCTCGACGATTCCGTCGCTCGTCATGATCAGGAGGACCTCCGACACCAGCACCGCATGGTCCCAAGTGAAAATTACCTGGGCTCTGGCTGCGTTAGGGAGAAATTTCTCCGTGTACGTGAAGTCCCGCAGCGCCACATCGCCAGGAGCGATCTTGTAGTAGCGATTGAGCAGGAGGCCGACGCCGACGTTGACGTCCAACCCACCGCTGACCCTGTTGGCAACATAGGAGACACCTGCATGTGTGGTCAATGACCCTGCTGCTGCTGCTGCTCCTCCTCCTCCTCCTCCTCCTCCTCCTCCTCTCTTATCCTTCCTGGTTTTTGTGCTTCTTACCCCGCGCAACAACTCTTACAACTCAGCTCTTTCCCCCTTTCTGCTCTAATCCTATAAGACCGTTTTTTTCCAATTGCTCCCCCCTGCCTCTCCCCTCCCTCTCTCCAACTTTTTTCATTTTCTTTCTCTTCCACTGGCTCCTCGTCCCCTCCTTGTCACCTGAGCTCCTCACGGCACACTCCCCGTCCATGCTCCCCGGGGGGACCGCGACAGAAAGGAAGTCAGCTCTTGTCTTGAGGGGAACGTTGATGGTGGGCGGCCTGTTAGACTTCCAGGAGGACCGCATGCCTCGGGGAGCTGACTCCGCCAGGGCAACGAAGTAGCGGAAGGGAGCGGTGAGGACTGCTGGAGACTTCTGCTCTGCAGCGCCCAAGGGAGAGGAGACTGTGTACTGCACGACTGCGATGAAGCATGAGGAGAGGAGGAAGAAGCACGGAGTCAGAAGAGCGCTCCTTACCGCTGCTGGAGTAGTCAAAAGGTCCAAACCCCAGGACTCTTGCTAGAGAGCGATCCTTGTTGGGCCCGCTGTTGAAGAGGAGCAGGAATTTCCCTCCCCACCACCCGCACGAATGATCTTTGGCTTGTATCCCACCGCCCTAGACACGTCGGTGAGGGAACGAGGCGTTGGGATACATCATAGAGGCTGGTGAGGGAGAAAAAGTCTGAAGATGAGGGAGACAAACTGGGAGAGCAGGAGGAGGCGCAAGGGAGAGGAGGGGAAGGGAATCTTGGCTACCTGATCATCGCAGGGCAGGGCGTTGGTGTACTGCCCGTTGATCACTGCGTCCTCCCCGACAGGATCGTAGGTGAAGGTGAAGGTCATGCTGGCGGGATCAGCGAGGAGGCGTATCGAACCTCCGTGTCCAGGTTGCGAGAACTGAGAAAATGAGGAGGGTCAGCAAGCCGGGAAAGCAGAGGAGGAGCAGGATGGAAGCAGCAGGAGGAGGAGAGGAGGAGAGGAGGAGAGAAGGAGAGAAGGAGCAGGAGGGGAGGAGGAGAGAACCTGGAAAGGAGGTGCAGCCTTCCATGCGACACAGATGTCTGCCGTTCCGCGCTGCTGGCCCAGCGGCCCATCATCGCACTTCCAGAAGAAATCGGAGATGGATGAAGCAAGAGAGGATGAGACCGCGGCTGCAAGCTCGATGGCGCTGTAGTTGCCGACTGGCACCGAAGCGCTGAAGGAGACGCGTGAGAAAAGAAAGAAGGTGGGGAGAATGAGTAGGGAAAGAAACATCCCCATTGCTTGCCTGCCTTTCCCGCACATGACAGAAGGAAGTTGATTTGGAAGGGGGTAAGAGTCTACCTGGCGACGTAAGGGAGCCTTCGGAAAGTTTCCACGCCTCCATGCTTCATCCCCTCCAAGTTGATCTCGAGCTGCTCAAACCCTACGTCGATCCATCGATCCTCATCCAATACCTCCATCACAAGTCAGCCCCTTCATCCTCCTCCTTCTCCTCCTCCTCCTGCACCTCAATCCTCTCCTCCTGGCTGGAGTTGGAGCCACTGCCTCCATCCTCCAAGATCTCCACGTTGATCCTCATCGTCGAGGACCTCGGGCCTCCTCCTCCTGTGTTGCCGTTGTCGTCCACTATCACCGTTATAGTGTCGTTGCTTGTCCGCTGAGAGCTGGAGGAAGGAACGCTGGCCTCCAGCAGGTACGTCAGCGACGCCAGCGCCTTCTTCACGCTCCGCTCGTCCCCACTGAACCTCATGGTCGTGTCCCGGTGCCCATCCCCCAGCAGGAAGTGGAGCCCCGAGCTGCGGTACCCCGGGGGGACCGGCAGAGAGTCGCGCTCCTCCGCCAGGATCCAGCGGCAGAGTAGGGAGGCTGGAGGATCGAGGAGGACAGACGCTCCTGTGGCCTCTTGGAAGCTGGTCACGGAGTACTTCAGCTTCTGGAACTTCAGGTCGTAGATCATATGCACATCCTGCCGTACACTCCCTGTCTCATATTCTACTCCTCCTCCTCCTTGTTGCCTCCAGTCCGGCCTGCCTCCGGAGTCGTAACCGGCCCCCTGTGCCCCGGCCCCAGGAGGGAGTGTAGACACCCATCGGCCTCCTCCATCCTGTCGCCAACCTGGTTTCTGTAGGTCGATACTCTGCTGGACTACAAGGAACCACCTGCTGGGGGAGGAGACGGAGATAACCGCATGCCCGATGGTGGCGTTGTACTGCCCGAGGAGAGTCGCAGTCCGGTCGTAGGAGAAGAATTGCTTCCTGGCGTACTTAAGGAAGTTCTCGTGGTCGAGGAGGAGAACATCGACGGGTCTGTCCGCCTCCACTCGGTACTGCAGCTCGAAATCACCTTCGGCGTCGAAGTGAGCATGGAAGGCGCTCCCAGCATGGATGAGGAATGAGCGGACGGGGCTGACGCTGCCGTCAGGATGCTCGCCGGCGATCGAGTTCCTCCTTACGAAGAAGCTCTCTCCGTACGGCCCTTGCACCCGGTACTCATCCGCAAACCCCCCGGGCAGGCTGCACAGCACGTCCCGAGTGAACGAGCCCCGCTCCTCCGCGCTCGTGATCTGCCGCCCCGAGATCCACTCCGCGTCCCCTTCCTCCCCCGCCTTCCCTGCTGCTGACGGGGGATGCGAGTCGAGCCATGATCCGAACCCATGCACCGACACCTTCCCCAGCAAGGAGGAGACAGTGACAGTCAGGTAGCCCTCGTACACGTCCTCGTCCTCCACATGCAGGCCGAAGATCGCAGTCTCGGTCCCCAGCGGCACTTTGCGGCTGGCAACGCTCCCAGAGTACGGCAGTACAGGCTCACTGAGGTACTCAGGCCAGAGGAAGAGGGAGGGAGGCTGGTTGTCCGGGCCGGGGAAGATGGAAATGTTGAGGAGAAGGTGATCAGTCTTGCTCCCTCCTGCTCCTGTGTTCCCCTGGTCATCCACATGGATGTTGATGGAGTCTTGCAGCTCTCCTGCTCCCCCGAGGTCAGATGGAGCTTGATACTTGAGCTCCGACAATGCAGCCTGTGGGGAGGAAGAAGTTAGCAGGAGCGCCGAAAAGGCACAGGGAGGGAGCGAGCAAGTATAGGATGAGATGGATAGGAAGGGAGGAGATCGGGAAGCGGGTGTGGGCCAGAGGTGAGAGAGACAGACGATCTCACAACAGAGGAAGGAGAGGAAAGGAGGACGGAGCAACGGATAATAGAGACAAGATTACCTGGACGACGTCGAGCTTCCCTTGTACCAAGATTCGTTTCCCTCTGAGCGTGGAGGTCTGGAGGGGACTTGACTGATTCACCTGCAAGGATCCGAAGGAGGGGTAAAGACTGTTGACCACCGAGCGAGGGTCCACGTTGTAGAAGAAAGTCCCGGCCTATGGGCAAAAAGCCTTCAGCAAAAAGTAGAAAATCGCTCTTCAAGAGTACCAGGGCTGAGAGCCTCGGGAGGCTCGGGAGGGAGATAAAGCCGTGCGAGCAGTTGAGCTCGACGAGGATGGAGTTATTCATGACATCCGGATCTCTCACTGTGATACCCGCGAGCCTGACCGTCCTCCCGGACTCGAGGAGGAGGTAGTACACTTTCTGCTTCCTGATGCTCACAAAGATCTGAAAGACGATCAGTCAGCAAGAATGTGGGCAGACAGCCAAGATGATCAGCTAGAAGCGCAAGACCAGGTGGTTGAAGAGAAGGAGACAGCACAGCATCGCATTCTACATCTTATCGTCTCCGAGAATGTTCAGAGACTCTCGCTTACCTCTCCGACTACACTCTCCATGCTGACTGGGCTGACGAGCGGGAAGGAGGTAGCCAGGGTAAAATTCACGGCAGGAATCTGGAAGTTGACAAACCCCAGCTCCTGTGGGGGCAATCCGGAGAAGTACGGCAACTGAGAGGGCGACCGGCCGTCCGCGTGCCATACCCGGAGCTGAATCCACTGACTGTCCTCTTGCAATGGGAAGAAGACGAACGTCTGGTTCCACACTGGGCTGGAGGTTCCAGGTACGATGCTCGTTTGCTCCATGGCTGAGTTGACCTTCACCTCTACGTAGGGGTTCGCAGCTCGGCGGTCGTTCAGACCTGCGGCAACGGATCAGCATCAAGGATCTGCTCTTGTGGGGTGAGGCAGGTTCGCGCAGCGAGTCATTATCACAGTTTCCTCCCAACCCCACCAGAGAGAAGGAGGACGAGGACGAGGATGAGCACGAGGACGAGGATGAGCACGAGGACGAGCACGAGGACGAGGAGGAAGAGCGGGGGGCGAAGTTACCTCCAGGCATCTGACCAAGGATCGACGAAGGCGGGGTATCGAGCTTCCCCGGGAGGAGAGTCAGGTTCCTTGCCTCCACCACCTCAATTTCGACGCGATCGACAAGCTGAGGATGAGCAACGCTGGCCTCCCAGGGGAGCGACTGACGGTCGCGATCTGCGCGATCCATGGTGCTGGATATTGCGATGACAGGGCCAACGTTGACTGGTGCTGACAGCCGAGGGTTCAAGTGATACTTTTCTAGGAGAGAGTGCAAGGCTCCAACTTGAAACATGAAACGGATCTTTGGTGCATCTCCGATGTACCGGTTGAGGAGGAAGACGTATGGTTCTACAACGTTGGAAGCAACTTCGTTCAACGCTCCCTTCAAGACCCCATTTCTTCCCAAGAGCGGCGCGGTGCCCCCCATCTGCATGGAGGAGGTTTGATAGTTGATTCCTGTCACGGGAATGTCCATAGAGCTGAAGAGCTGGTAGATGTCTGTGCAGCGAGGACAGTGGTCAGCATGAAACAGCATCACCACATATCCCTGCTCCTGCTTGCTTGAAGTGAGGTCGTACAGCACTCGTCTGCTCTCGGCATGCTCGATTTCGTACGACAGATAAGGCCACTGCCACCATTCTTCCGTTGCTATCGATGTCGATGATGTATCGTTTTCGCCAACTTGTACATACTCCGTGATAACATACGCTTCAGCAGCCCTGCAAAGGAGGAGCAGGAGAACGAGTGTCAAACATGGACGCATCGAGAGTCACTCAGCCGACACGCTGGGGAGATTTGCAAGTCTTCATCAAGTCATCGTCTTCATCTTCTCTCTTCCTCGTTCTTCTCGCTCGATCGTCAGCGGACGCTTGCCATTCTTATCCGTTAAAACGCCATTGTGGGAGCTCCATCGGGCAGGATGGTGTGGGAGCAAACTTGGGAACTTTGAAACTTTGAAACTTCCGACGGCGCCCGGCCCGGCCGGGCCCGTCGCGCCGCCGCCGGCTACCCGGCGGCGCCGCCTGGCCGCTCACGGTACTGGCCCCGCCACTTGACTCGGCTGTGACGGCCCGGCGGTGAGCCGCCTTTACTTAAGTTACTTAACTTTGAGTAAAGTTACCCTACCTGCCGGACTCGGGACACCAAACTTTTTTAGTTACGGGTAAAGTTTTAGAAGTTTGGCTGAGGCTTCCCAAGTTCCAAACTTAACTACTTTTTGACACTTGAAAGCCTCGGCCCATGGCGAAAGACGACCAAGCGATCGCGGCGATACAAGATGCCGGAAAGACGGTGAGCGGCTGAAGATGACCAGCGACTTAAGAAGAGAGCGGGGAATGCATTGATGAAATCAAGTGAAAGAGAGAAAATTGAGAACAAGTGGAAGGGAAGCGATCGAGCTTGATCGTTGGATGGAGGGAACTATCTAGTACATCTGAACACTGAGCACCTGTTTGTTACAGTTGTGGGAGATCCTCGACGCAGTCATTTCAGCCCCGGGAATGGCAGCAACCGGGTTCAACAAGTACGACCACTCTGACCATCCTCTCATATCTGATGAGTCGCCAACTCCCTGCTGACCACCATGAACGCAGGGGTGTTCAAGCTGTCCCTCTCCCCGGTCATGGGGCAAAGTTGCCGAACCCCTGCTTGGAGGCAGCGAAGCTCTTGTCTGATCACATCGACGAACTTCCTAAGAGTGGTATCTCAATGCCCAACTCACGTCCACATGGCGGGATGAATTTCGTTGACAGGCTTTGTGCAAGTGATAGCGAGCGATGGGGACGAGAGGAAAGGTGAGCATCAAGATGGTGAGGCATCGATCGGAGGTGAAGTTTGAGTCCTCCAGGCTCCATCAGCAGCCAGGGATCTCGCAGGTTGAGCAAATCGATCAAGGAGCTCATCGAGCAGACCGATGCTGTCATTGCAAGCTCCAAGACTCCAATGTATGTAGACCGCAAATCCAACTCATCAACCGAGAAAGGCAAAGCAACAGAGGAGGAGAAGAACGAGCTGTTGAGCAAGGTTATGAAGAAGATCCAGGATAAGACCGAGAAGAGCAAGGATGTCGCTGAAGACATGGGCCTCCAAGAGCTGATTGACAAGACCCCTCTTGCGCTGCTATTGCCCAAGCCTCCAAAGGAGGAAAGCAAACCTGACATTGCAACCGAGGCACTGGCCGAGCAAGCAAGACGGTCGACTGGTCTACAGGCCAAGCTGAAAGGAATCGTGCAGGGAGTGAGAGAGCGCGCGGGTTCTGAGGAGAAGGAAAGTACGATATAACACACCAAGATACTCCTGGAAAACTGCATGCATGCCGGGAACTTTATGATGCACAAGAAGATAAATTATGCTACATCTGTGTTGGCCGGTTGTGACGAAAGCCTTTCCATCTCTCCAAAATCTCGACAGTGATTGTCCAGCTCTTTTCAGTGATAGATCCGGAAAAGAACAATCAGGGTTGCAAGGTATCTGCCAGGGAAATTCAATGCTACTCATCTCAACCGAGTTCGATCAAAGTCTTACAGAGTGATGGAAGGAAGAATCTCTGCCGCTCCTGACTTCCCTGTGGCAATCTACGGAACATCCCGTCAGGTCCTGCGGAAGCAGGAAGGTACAGTAGGGACACTCGCCTGGTAGAGCTGCTTGCTAGCGCACTTCTCCGAATGCACTCCAAAGCAAAGATCGTCGCACTCCTGCCATGGCGAGTCAAAAGCTTCAGGTGGTTCGGAGGGCCTGAACCTGCGACAGCATGAAGAGGCAGTCCTTAGAGAGCAGCGACTTGCACTCCCTGTGGCAGTCGAAGAGGGGAGTGTAGGTCTGAACATACTGCACGCAAGTTGCGTCGGAGACTTTCACCTTGACCGTATCATTCCTTCCCTGGTCGACCTGTGCGAGACATGAGCATCGTCGGCAGCATGAGGGCGGGGAGGAAGCGAGACGTTCTTGCCTTCATCGTATCCTTCACTCCGTTCAGGAACGTCACACTGTTCGGTTGCGATTCAGCGCGGCATTGCAGAGGCAGGACACACTCACGTAGTTGCCTTGCCATGCTTGTGCGACTCATCCGCAAAGTCGTTCAGAGTCTGAGTCGTTAGCGGGTCGTCAGGAGACCCATACTGCACATCCATGAACCGTCATCACGCTGGCACCCCAGCAACAGGACGGGCACTATCACCTTGTTGCACAGCCCCACGTGGCAGCATTTGGGGAAGTTCCGGAGACAGAGAAACTGCACGCATGTCATCGTCGTCGTCCCTTGGGCTCAGCATGGCCGCACTCACCTGACGGAAGTTGGCCCGGCACTGGTGGATGACCGGGAGTTCAAAATGCTTCTCCGAGATCCGCATGTGCGGAACGATCTTCTTGAAGACCGCGTGCGAGTCGAAGTCCAGCTGGGCAAACGTTTGGTCCACCGAGGGCCTGTAGACGGGGTAGTTGACGTTCTGACAGAACCTCATGGCTGGTGGGACTGAGCACACGGGGGGGGATTGGGGCAGTTTCGGCAGCCCGACCTTGTTCGCCAGAGCATTAGCTTCCTTAACACTCTGCTTGCGACCTGATCTTGCACGAGACTGGGCCAGCTTGTGGTGAGCATGTCGGACAGCCGCTGCATGCACTGCCGCATGCGCCGACAAATGCAGCTCGCTATCCTCCTGCTCCCTGTCAGCCCAGGACATCAAGTGGCGCTGGCTCTCGTGTTCCTCCAAGATTTTCTCGTCAGAATGATCCAAGGAAAGATCACTATCTATCCATCTGTCGTCATCAAGAAGTCCTTCCTTGCCCGCAGCATCCTTGAGCTGAGCGTTGCCTACATCATCTGCCAGCACGTGTGAGGGAAAATCGAGCAGAAGACAGGCTGAGTACCTCCCAGCGTGTTCACTGCAAGGAATAGCAGAACAGCAGACAAAACCATCCGAGACACCATGCTCGCCCGTAGACTCAACGAGCTTGAGAGATCGGACGTGACCCGTTGGCTTTTTCACTCAGTGAGTGACGTCAACTTTCGACCCTTCGCTATCCTGTATCTTAGAGGACACGAAGGCGCTTAGTTTCCTGCTCCTCGTCGTACTGTCTTTGTCGTCGTCCTACTCTCTTACTTCTCTGCTTCTCCTTCTCCTCCAGCTCCTCGCTCTCTCGCTCTCTCTCCCTCTCACTTCTACCCTCCTATGCCTGACACATCAGCATCACTTTATCCCCGCCCTCCCTTCCTTGACTACCCTACCCCCTCAATGAGTACTCAATCAACTAATTTGCACCGGTAGTTTCAGGTAGTGTTGGACCCCTAAGTTCTACTCACCAGTCGGGCAAGATGATGCTGGAAGCCGGGAAGGCGATGGATGGCGGGGGGAGGGGGAGCGAGGAGCGAGGAGATCAGCGATGGGTGTGATGAAGCTGAGGAGGACGTAGAAGGAGATGCTTGGAGCTGTCTGGCGGGATCTGGTCAAGAAGCATCTTGAGATTGAGCAGGGCACGTGTGATCGATGATCCATCCTTGTCGACCCGCCAGGGGGACTGGGGGGAGATAGAAAGGAGGGTAGAGGAGAAGGAGAGAGTGACCTCATAGGTGAGGTAGGATCAGTCAAGCAGACAAAGATGGTGGGTCCAAGAACGAAATAGATGCCGCGAGCACACGAGGAGGAGAGGGCGCAAACGCCAGGGACGAGCGGTTGGTGGTGTTGAAACTATGCGATAAATCTCTTCAAGACATAGACGACCTCTGACATGTGTTCTTTCAAAGCCTATCCGTCATCTCCAGTGCTTCAGCATAGAATGAGCGCGGCAAAGCGATCATACTCGGGGCTACAGAAGCAGGTCTTAGGTTTGTATCGAGAGTGCTTGAGAGTCGCGCGAACAAAGTCGGATGACATGAGGGTCGGATCTCTCTCTTCTTCCTTTCCCTTCCCCTCTCTTCCCCTTCCACTCTCTTTCTCCATTCCCTCTCTTTCTCCATTCCCTGCCTCCCTTCGTTTCTTCATGCAATCCTCCTGCCAACACTATCCCTACCCCCTTGCCCCTCTCCCTCGAGCACGCTTTTAACAAACCTCGTTCATCTTGACCTCACATCTCACACAGGCCAACGTTACCAACATCGCGCGGGAAGAGTTCAAGAGCAAGAAAGGAATCCCTAAGAACGAGATAGAGTGAGTTCTCCGGCCTTTCTTTCCACCCTTTGATCAAGCTCGAGCAGGAGGATCGAATATCTGCTACGAAAAGGAAGGAAACAGCTTGATAGGATTAGATCGTCAAACGTCGACGGGGTCAGTCGCTCATAGCGCTCAGTCTTTGTAGATTTATGAAGGAGGCATTTACAACGTGCATGTACATTTGCGGCTAACAAGATAGTTTCAAGTACTCCTCCCATGATGTCGAACTGCCATCAACGATGATAGAATCTTTTGTTTGTCAAAAGAAAACAAGGTTAGCCCCTTCCATAACCATGAAAGTAAGATCAACCTATCAGAGGAGGAGCAGCCACCGGCTCCGGGACGATGGTGAAGACTTTCAGGGTTCGGTCTGGGCGAATATCTCAGAACAACACAGCAGTGCATATTGAGATAGGGGGTGACCTGAGAGGTAGTCGGGATAGGTTCCATCCGTGAACAGCGTCACCAGCGCCTCTCCAGCCTGCGGCATCGGAGAGAGAGCACTTAGCAAGACCAGACAAGAGTATGGCAGATGAGGGACCTTGACATGATCCCCGACCTTGAAGTGAAAGACAAGTCCGGCCTTGAAGTCGATCTTGCTGTCCAGGGTCTCCCGCCCTCCTCCCAGCTTGTTGTTGATCAACCCAACCTCGAACGCATCGATAGCCTTTATCCATCCATCATGGTCGCTGAGAACAGCAAGAGAGTGTTTCTGAAACACATTAGGTCAGGAGTGTGCGGGACCAACAAGAAAGCTGCCACACAGGCTTTGGATACGATTCTGGAGCGTCGATGTACATCGACGAGCCTCCCTGAGCCTCTATCATCTGTTTGAACTTCTGCAAACCTTCTCCGTTCTCAATCTTCAATTCTGGGAGGTAGAGAATCAACGATACAAGGAGAAGAACGTGATATATACCGGCCATAGCTCTCCCTTCCTGATACGTCTTGACCCTCCCGGCCAACAGCAGCATCAACGCGCATTGTACGATGACCAGCTCGCGCACATCACTTGGACCCTTCAGGTGAGGAAGTTAATGCCTCATTTCTCTCCTCTCCAAATTTCACGCCCTCCTCTTCTCTTTCCACTTCCTGACCCCGACTCGCCCACCTAACCCCCATCTACCACTCCTCCTCCTCCCCTCAATCCTCCAAACATCTCACTCCTTGTTCACACCTTGCCATTGAGAATGTCAATCGATTCTCGCATCTCGAGCCAGTTTCCAACTGTGTTCCCTAGAGGCTGATCCATGTTCGTTATGATGGCCATGGCGTTCCTTCCTGCAGCCTGCGACAAGTCAGAGATGTCCAACAGCTAGAAACAGAGCACAAGGCGTACTTTTCCAGCAGACACCAAAGTCTCAGCTAGTCTCTTCGTCGCCTCCATGTCCTGCAGGAACGCTCCTTTGCCGGCTTTGACGTCAAGCAGGAGCGAGTCAGTGCCTTCAGACAGCTTCTTGGACATGATAGAGGAAGCGATCAGAGGCAGGCTGGATGTCGTTCCTGTGACGTCACGAAGACTGTACACCCTCTTGTCGACGGGAGCAATGTCTGCGTTGGCGCCCGTGATCACTACGTGTATCTTGCTCAGTTGATCGTAAACTTCCTGCGTGCTCAGCGAAGTCTTGAGGTTCGGGATCGACTCCAGCTTGTCTAGGGTTCCTCCGGTGTGGCCCAACCCTCGCCCGCTGATCATGGGGACTGCTACTCCGCACGATGCAACCAAAGGAGCTAGAGGGATGGAAATTTTGTCCCCGACTCCCCCAGTGGAGTGCTTGTCTGCTGTGTGCATCCCAAGAAAGCTGAGGTCAGACACCTTTCCTGTGTCCATGAAAGCCATTGTCAGGTGGAAAATTTCTTCTGATGTCATTCCTTTGAGATAGATAGCCATGAGCAGCGCGGTCATCTGATAGTCTGGGATCTTGCTCTGGTGGAATTCGAACACAAAGAACCTGATTTCCTCTTCGGTCAACACGTGCCCATCCCTCTTCTTCATGATTAGCTCCACGGCCGAGAAAACCTTCTCTTGATCATGCAATGAGCCGTTCATCGTCCCGTTTTCTCGCATCCCCACACTGCCACGCTCCTTCAATCTCGTTGCGTTCCTTCCGCGGTATCAGTATCAGTATCAGTATCAGCCTCAACTTGGGTCTTGATCTCAGTCTGCAAGTGTCTCTTTCTTCAACCTTCCTCTCGCTCTCTTTCCTGCTCGTTTGTCTGCCGCTCTGTTCGCGCTACCTCGACCTCGTTTCCTCCAATCTCTCAGATTTCCTCCTGCCGCCTCCTCCCCTCCCATCACTCTGCGTACTTTCATGTTGGGTGAGACGGGGTAGGGTTATACTACCCACCCCTACTAAAACTCTTTAGATGCAGTAAATACACCCCGTAGGTTTCCTCAGCCCCCTTTCGGCCCCCATCCCCCTATACTACCTCCAGCAGTACCAGGAGCAGTACCCCACTCTTCTACTGTGAAAGCTACCCTACCCACATACATTCCCCTTCTACCCCACCCTTCTACCACAAACCACCTACCTTCTTGACTCATAACCCCACTGGTTTGTACGGAAAAGCACCCCCTTGCCGGACCGCAATAATACCCTACCCTGGTCTCACCTGACGAAATTCAGTGAAATGCACCGGTGATTTCCCCTCGCATCAAAGTACCCCTGTTGAAATGCTAAATCTTGTGTCTGAAATGGAGGGTGGGTGAGAAGGAAATATGACCTCCATCCTGGAAAGGCATGCTGGGGTAGGTGAGTCATGGATGGACCCCTATTCGAGTTAAGACCCTTGACCCTACCCCAGCAAAGAGGGCCTGTTCGAGGAAGATTGGGGGTAGCAGTAGGAAGTTATGTTCATAGGGGTGGGTGATACCAAGAGTGTTCCTCTTGGATGAGGTTGCGCTAGAACCAGGATATTGATAGGGTGCATCAGTGGTCGGGGGGTGGGGGTAGTTCCAGAGAGGGAACGGGTATGTCTGTCATGTTTGGAAGGGGTTTCCAATGATAAAACGATGGTGTCGTAAGTTTAGGGTAGGGGTCGTAGAACAAGAGTGTAGGGTGGTTGGGGTAGGTTGTGATGGAAACTGGTTGCAAGCTTTGTAAATACCTCGGACGAAAGCGACAAAAAGGAGAAATGCGCAGAAGCAGGAGAGGCAACATGAAGAGAATATGAGCGCGAACCAAAAAATATGATTTCGAAGTAGAACTCAAGTGAAGACAGCTCATTCGTCCTTGCGATTGCGTGCATGCATATGTGCTTTAAACAGGAATTGATGGTACGTTTTGTTTGGCTAGATGGCCAAGATCGATACGATATGGCGCAAGATATCATATTTGCATTCTCATCATGACAGATTGTTTCTGCACAAAGTATGGTATCTTCTCCTAAAGCCCATGGAAGATTAACGATTCCCGAAGGGGCTTGGTGTGGTGGCACTTTTGCACTACATGTATCGTTTCTACTCTCTCGTCACGAAGGGTCTGCTACCTTGACACTCTCTCCATACTAATAGACTTCAGGATCCATGGGTTTTAAGACCTTTCCTGACACTTTCACTCTACTCGCCATCTTGCTCCATAGCGGTATGAGTGATAGTTTGGAATGGCATATTGGCTGACTTCTGCAAAAGCGCTCTCGCTTTCAGCGTTGATTTTCAAGACTCCAATTCGTCGAACTTCTTCTCAGCCTATGTGATGCCTTGAACAACACATAGCAAGTGACTGACACCCTACAGGATGTGGAAGGAGTTCCAGCTTCACAGCATCACTTTCGCAATGCGATCCCTAGGTGTGATGATGCTGATATACTTGGGGCTTCATCGCTTCAGAGCTGTCGTCGTTATCACCTGTCATTATGTAGCCGACCAAATCACCAAGCGTTACAAGCAGGTCTTCACTGTCCCTCCTGTTTACGAGCTCACTCTGACCGTTCAGGGAACTACCATGAGGGATATGCCACTGCCAGAGATTCTTGTACCATACTCAAGAGAGATGAACCTGTTCTACTCTACCAGTCAACTGTTCGCTGTTGTGGGTGTCTTAGTCCTGGGTATTGAGGAAGTCTTCCTCATCTTATTCCCGATTCAGTTCGCTGCATTCCTTCTCACTCTGGTGAGGATCAGAGGTAATCCGAGTACCTCTAAGAAACCTTATTCTGGTTGTTGTTAGGTTCGCAAAAACATCATCGGCCCTTTCGGTAAGATATCAGATTACTCATCGAATATGCTGCTGGACATTTCTAACAAATTCATTCCAGGCTGGCACGCTATGTACACATGGAGCCTGATACTTCCATATCTTTACCTCGCCTTTTTCTTGCCGGTTTGAGTTGTCGGGGTAACACACTTGTTCATAACAAAGCCACAGGTACCAAGAGTTGCCGAGCTTCTTTGTATCGGAATTACTGCCGCGCTACTGCGATTCAAGTAAGTGATGACTTTTGGCGAGCATACCCGATAACTGAGCCTTACTTTGCATAGGTTCCGATGCAGCAAATACATGATCTGTATGAATTTATCATGATGAGATATTGCGGGGTTTCTGACTGTCTCTAAAGGGATACCTTTATCAACATGTTTGTATTTCATGCCATCTAGGATCGAGGAGGATGGAAGGAGCACAAGCCGCTGGTCTTCCGCGATTTCTTTGGTAGGAATTGGATCAGTCCGCTCTGGGATGCTTATCGATTTCTAAGTTCTCGATCAGGAGCAATCAAACTTCAGATCCTTCACACTGCAAGCAGAGGCGAACAGTTCGGCAGGTAGGAATCGTTTTGGAACTGGCTGTGCCTCAGGAATGATCAACTGATCCCTTCAATGCAGATATTGGTGACAAGCAAAAGGATCCGTTTATGCTTTCATTTCTTACATCCATGATAAAATCGTAAGAAAGGTCTCAGTCTAGTCCCTGGCCTAGTTTCCCGGACTCGGAGTCGGACTCGAGTCGGAGTCACCGGGTGACCGCCGTGCCGCGGCGCCGCGCCGGCGCCCCGCCCGCCCCGCCCGCATGCGGCTCGGCGGGCCGGGGCGTCACAGTTTGGATCACCCGGCATGATCCGATCAGGGAAGCCGCCTCTGGATCGCCAACGTCGAACTCAGTCAGTCACGGTTATGACTTCACTGAACGGCTACTGCGCGGCCGGGCAAACCAGGCTTGACAGCCGGCGGCCCGCCGGGCCCGGCCCCTGACCGGCCCTTGATCAAGGCGATTTGAGGCGGGCCCAGAGTCAGGTATGCTGTACGAACGAAGCAGGTAGGAGGAGCAGTTTCTAGGCTATGACGGGGTAGAAGGTGGAGGTCGGGGACTACCATGCAGGGGAACGGGAAAAGACATGACCTCCTTGGCTCTTCCTTCCCGTCCCCTTCGTTTCTCTGCTTTCCTCATTATCTCCTCATCCTGCTCATGGCTCTGAGGTGCCCCCGGGAATCACTATCTGCATGTTCGAGCGATGCGCAAGTACAGATTCTTCGCCCATCTTCGGGAGACGTCGTATTCGATCCTGCTCCTGAGCTTGAACTCAGTGCGATCATTCGTGACGATGGGGTAGAGGGTGTGTCCTCATTCGCATCTCAGGCATGTTTCACATTCTGGCTGCAGATTACCATCAAATTAGAGTCTTGCTCGACGGAAACTATGTCATCGAGCTCCCTCTATCAGCAGGACAGGTTGAGTACTCCATTTGTGTTGAATGCACGAACTTTGACTTTCAATGCAGGTGCAACTTTCAGGATTGAAGAACGGACTGCACAACGTCCATGTGCAGGTGCTATGATCGTGATGTCATCCCAGCACGAGGCTGAAAACAGCAAAGATGGTGTGCAAAGGAAGCGAAGTGGCAAGCTCAACGTCACTCTTTATTTACATGACACCCGAAGACGACAAAGGGGATGCGGACGAATGGCAGGTGAAGTTGGGATACTGTGCACTGCAAAGGTCTAACAACAGTTCCTTCAGCTGTCCTGGGTGAAATCTTTGGATTACAAGCATCGTCTTCGGATGATCTATGATGCTTTCAAGACGGTTAAGCTTCTTATCAACCTGTTCGTCATGATGGACTCACAAGTTGGTCTGCAGATCGCCCAGAGGCATCAAGAGGAGGTACAGGACCTGCGATCTCAACTGGTTGTTAGCTGAGCATTGCAACCGTAGCCTTGACGCCTTAACTGCAGGAAGAATGCCGGCAGGGGCAAAAGCAGGAGCTGTAGGTTGCACTGCTTACGTATTGCCTAACATGTCTCCTTGTGACGTTGGATGATTTTGATTGTTCAGTTCATCGCTCACTTGAAAATAGAATAATGATGTGATACTATGAGTTGATGTGAAAGTAGAATTCTTGCTTCTGAGCGACGACACAGATTGAACTTTACACCAGAATGAGGCCTCCAGTCCGTCGCACACTGTAGCCGTACTTGAAAAAGACCGCCGGGCGGTAGTTGCCAACCGTGAACTTCGGAACGGTTCAGCCAGCCTGAGGGCCCCGCGGGCGGCCGTGCAGCAGTGCCACCGTGCCACGGTGACGGCCCGTGGCACTCCGACGGCCGGGCGCGGCGAGTAATCAGGCGGCCAGAACTGAGCCCGGCCACCGTGCACCGGCGTACTACCGTGACCGTACCCGGCGTACACGGTCGCCAGTCTTTTACTCAAAGCCTCCCCGTTAAGTCGCCAGTACTACGGTGCGGTAGGCTTGTGCCCGGCCCCGCCCGGCCGCCCGGCGGCGGCGCGGCTCAGCGGCTGGCCGGGCCCGGCCGGACCGTCACGGCGGCGGCCGGGGCCGGGGCCGGCACTGATCGGGATGCCGCATGATCGGTCAGTGATCCCGGCCGCCCCGACGGGCAAGTTGGCTCGGAATGTGGCAGTGAAGGCAGTAGTGCACTGAGGGGGGTGAATGCAGCAGCTGGTTCGATGCAGTGACAACGGCCGTGACTGCATGTGCTGACTCCTTCGCTCACTAATAGTATATATATATCGTTCCTTGATGCCATGAAAGTGACTTATTTCATAATTTCATCTGTAGTAATCTCATTCTCACTGCGTGTTGCACAGAGGCGGCTCAATCTGGGGGTACTATGGTGGAGGAAAGGGGGTGGGGTAATCTTACCTGGGCAGCCTTACAGGGCGCTGCCCGACAACCGACTGGAGTGGGGGGGTGGAGATCAAGGTACGTTTCGGAAATGTGTACTGAGCAGGGTAGGGTGGTCAAAGTTTGCTCAGATAGGTGGGTCCCAAACAGATGATGACGGGGGTATCGATGACGGGGGTATCAATATTTATATGGTGGGTAGGAGTGACTAGAAGGGTGGAGAAGGTGGGGTGGGTGTTAGAATGATGAGGGGGGGTGGGTGGTAGTGCAGTTGGAGAGGTGTATTGACAAAAGGTGCATATTTGACGGGGTACTGAAATCTTATCAGGACCGGTGGTGAGTTACCATACACAGGGTGGGTGGTGAATGGATAAAATAGGGGTGAGTAAACATGAGCGAAAAAGCGCTGGATGAGGCGATGATGCGAGATGGAGACGAAAAGAGGAAGAGGGGTAGAGGATATGGAAATGCGTAGGAGAGAAAAAGAGAGGGAGAGGGAGAGGGAGAGGGAGAGGGAGAGAGAGAACAAGGCGGATGTGAGAAGAGGAGAGGAGAAGTAGAAATGATGGAGAAGACCTTTGATGAAGTGTTGAAAACTAGCCAGGAGCTGGATCAGCTGCGCATATTGAAAAGGGGGCGGAGAGAGCTATGGCAGCGTTACTTTTGTAGATATTGGTGAAGTGGGGTTGCAAATACCAGGGAAATTTTGTAAAGAGGATATGAAGTGGTTGGGTTTTGATGCAAGCTCATGTTGTAGTTTGAGTACTCTTTCACAAGGAGAATGATTGATATGAATATGCACTGCGGCCTTTGGATTCTGGAGGTTTGGTATTGACTCTCATCTTGCAGAGAATTGTCATAGATTTTCATGCCTAATACGTCATCATCGTTTGATCCTGTTCCACTGACACCGAAAACCATCAAGAGTGAGTTGTTGCGGTTAATCGCGTGAGGCTCAGCTGATGCTTGTGCTGTAAAAGTCCTGGACGGCGAGATCTTGTACAAGCAGAGCTCTCTCTCCCTTTGTTCGATGGACTGCTGCGCCCCGACTTGCGCGTGCATGGAAGACCAGCAGCGTTTGCTGGTCCTTCCGGTGGTTGACAGCAACCTGGGGACGTGAGTCATGGAGGTGTTGGCGCCCTTTCATTCCATGACCTTGGTCGGGATCAGGTCTCAGCCCGAGATGCTTGCAGAGGATTGCGATCTATGGAAGCACTTCGACTACAACTTCAACCTCGAGACGGACGGGAGGGTATAACATCTTCGTGCGAGGGAGCCACGCATGTAGTAACGTGCGGTGCCTTCCAGAAGGTGAAATGGCCTGAAGGAGCTCAAGGGGAAGGGCCAGGATCGAGCCCGGCGAAAGGTACAGAGGAAGGTGTGCTGTGCTGCTGAGCTCGTCGGGGGGGGGGGGGGGGGTGCGTAGTGATGGCGATTGCTCGCAGGGGACGAGGAACAACCTGCAATGCTTCCGCCTCCACAGGTAATCTCGACCCTTGCCACTCTCGGCCAGTTGATGGAGCATGCAGGGAGTGTTCCAGAGGACGCGGAGCAGCGGGGCGTGCTCGAATCGAAGCTCGTCGAGGTCTTGATCGCGTGAGCGGCTGTTGTCTGTTGACCGTCTGGACAGGTTCGGGCGTCTTCCGAGTACCCCACAAGGAGAACGAGGTTTGAAAGAAGAGCAAACCACAGCTTCGCTGACGTTTCTTTCAGCAAACACGAGCATCCTCTTTGGAAGAACAAAGAGGTAAGATGGGAAGTGAAGTGAAGGACGTTAGGAGCTGAAGAATGCTGCAATCACAGTTGTGAGGGGGGTACAGACGCATCTCGAGCGGGTGACTGACAATATTATGTGATGGTGACCAGGCGGGACTGATATTTTTTGGTAGCGTACAACCGAAAGATTGGGGCGGAGCTTGAGGAGGAAGAGCAGAAGCATCTCTTATTCGGAAGATGCTCATCCGCCTGAAACATGTACAGTAGAGGAATTCATGTGCGATTTTAGAGAAGTTTTGTACAAAAGTCAGAATGAAGTCGAAATATCACATTCATATCATTCTCATGACAGATCTCTTCTTGTCAGCAAGGGAATCAAGTTGTAGATGAGCAGCTCTGAGCGAGAAGAAGAGCGAAGGATCGAGGATAACGGAGAGGCGAGGTGGAGGAAAGGACAGGGCTGGCCGATTATTTTGGGTATCCAATGTTGTCGAGGAGAGATCGCCAGGCCTGACAAGCGCGAATGAGCAGCAAGCAAGGGACGCTCCTGATTACCCCACGAACGTGCTGGATGGAGCGGAAGAGAGTCTCGAAGACAGGCTTCGCAAGGTCTCGCTCAACCTGCAGCAGCAAGAGTCATTCTCCTCTCCTCCTCCCACTTAGTCTGACAGGTCCGAGGACGTGATCGATCGAAGCGTTACCCTGCGATAATTCTTCAGCATCCACCTTAAGGGAATGCTCCCTCCTCCTCTTCCTCCTCTCTCTGCTTCTCTCCCTCCTCTCCCTCCTCTCCCTTCTTCTTTCCCTCCTGTCGCTCCCGTCGCTGTTGTTATCTCTCCTTCAACTCCTTGCTTTCCTCACCGCGATTGGTTTCCCATCAGTCGTGTAGTAGACCGATCGCATGCTCCTCCCCAGTGACGCTTCAACCTTTCTCATCGATAAGAGAAGAAAGAGGATCGGGAATCGGAGGACGCGTGATAGAGGAGAAACGCAAAACTCACGTTATTCACTGCGTTGATGAAAAGTTTATCGGCAGCCTGTAGAGATGGAAGTCAGTACTCTCCTCCTCCTTCCTCTCCTTCTCTCCTCGTCCCCTTACCATCACAGTGTGGTGAAGCTCCTCTTCCTGTGAAGCCGTTGAATCAAACGGGTTGAGGAGCGCAGGAAACATTACCAGCCTCTTGGTAAAATTGGAGGAGAAGGAAGTTTGAAAGGTTCCGTTAGCTTGCGATGAGTTCCTTCACGTAAGGTGAGAATGGGAAGAGGAAGGAGGACGACGATGAAGAATGATGGTTGAGAAATAGGAAGGTGGAAGGAAGGAGGAGGGAGAGGGGAGGAGGGCGGAGGGAGGAGAGAGTATTTACCAGCTCAAGGCACGGTAATCCACTAAGGTATTGAGGACGGGGGAGAGCGCCACAGAGGAGCCGACGAGCCGGAGGAACTTCAAGGAAGTGCTGGGGGTGCTACCCTGCAATGAAGTGTGAGCGAGGAGGACGAGGAGAAGGTAGAGAGGAAGGCGGTGGTGGTGGTGACAGCAAGAGAGGTCGAGGATTGAAGCAGGAGCAGCAGGAGAGGGCAGAGAGCAAGTTGAGGAGCGGAAGTGGAGGAGTTGGACTAGGAGGATGAATTGGGTCACCTCGTCGAGGGTTCTGTTGGAATAAATAGCCGTCCACAAGTCCTCCCAGGAGATCCTGCCGTCCCCGTTGACGTCGAACTTGGAGAGAGCTGGAGAAGAAAGATGAGGAGGAGGAAGCGAGGGCTGCTGATGGTACTTGAGCTGACTTCAGGGTTGAGGATACGCTGGTAGAAACTGCGGTCGCTTTGCCTGCTCGTGGGGACGTTGGAACAAGAGGAGGAAAGGGAGAGGAAGAGAGAGGGGCAGATGAGTTTTCGTCAGAATGATTGGTGGGGGGGTGGGGGGGGGGGGGGGCAGCAAAAGGAGAAGGGGAGGAAGGTACGAGAAGGGATCTCGAAGGGTCTCATGCACGAGGAGGACGCAGACGGGGATCAGCAGGGGAAATCGTGCGGACCTTGTGAGCAAGGAAGAGTTGGTACGGGCAACGAGGCCTGGAGGAGCATCAGGTTGTCTGTGAGGAAGTTGCTTCCCCTCTTACCGAGCGAGCGATTGAGCTCGAGGAAAAGTCGCGACTGAGCGTCCGTCAGCCCGATGGCTTCGAGCACCTACAGCCTCGTCTGTATCCACGGGAGGAAAGCGGAGGAGGGAGGGAAGGAGAAGAGGAGGAGAGGAGGAGAGGAGGAGAGGAGGAGAGGAGGAGAGGAGGAGAGGAGGAGAGGAGGAGAGGAGGAGAGGAGGAGAGGAGGAGAGGAGGAGAGGAGGAGAGGAGGAGAGGAGGAAGGGAGAAAAGGAGGACGGGGGGACAGGAGGATTGGAGTTTGCTGTCACCTTCCTGGCCTCCACTTCAGCCCGAGCCTGAGACCAAGGCGATATTAGTGCAGAATGGTCAGAGCAGAGAGGGACAAGGAGGAGGGAAAATAAGGCAAGATGTAGAGAGAGGAGGAAAGATGAAAGGGAACGAACCTGCATGATAAGCGCGATCGTCTCCGGCACTCCAGGCTCTTGCAGGACGGGGATGCTGTTCCAGGGATCTTGTAGAATCTTGCCGATCTGTGCAGGCCAAGGAGAGGCGGGATGAGAACGGCAGCAGGGGGGGGGGTGCTGAGGCTGATGAGAGTGACGAAGGCGGGTAAAGGAGGAGAGAGGTCTGACAGGGCAAGGGAGGTAGAGAGGAGAGGAGAGGAGAAAGGAGGAGGGGAGGAGGAGAGGAGGAGAGGACCTCTTGGTTAACGAAAAGATCGAGAGACCATCCTGTGTTGCCAAGCTCTAAGAGCTTCCCTTCGAGCGCCTTGTCGATGTCAGAGCAAGGCGGAGCGAGAAACGGAGAGCAGGAAGGAGGGAGACAAGAGAGGCAGAGCATCTGACCTCAACCAGCCGATTGATGAGCTCGTAGGCTTTGTCCTGGACGTCCTCCGGAAGTGGATCGATCTGTTCGACTATCAGTGCTCTCCCATCTCCATGCTGAGTCCTGCCTGCTTCTGCAGCTCTCGGGCCAGCTGCAGGAGGAGAAGGGGACCACGCGTCAGAGCAAATTGGCAGAGTGAGGACACGGAGGAGGGAAGGGGAAGGAACGTAGAGAGGAGATCAAAGAGCGAGGGCGGCGGTGAGGGAAGGACAGAAAGAGAAGGGAGAGGAGGCGTCACAATTTCTCCTGAGGCGATAGCAGCCAAGCCATAGAGCGCGTCCTCGTTGAGCTTGGAAAGGACCTGATGAAGGTAAGACGGGGGAGGAAGAGAAGCATGCGCACACCAGGCGCGTTGATCTCTCTACTCCCACGCCGAACGCGGGAAGATGCGAGCTAACAAACTCGGGGACCTTGGGGGACAGCACCTGATCCCTTCGATGTCACGGTGGTGCGGGCAAGGTGGCGGAGGAAGTGGACGAGGAGGATCGAGCTAGACAGCAGTGCACCTGCAGGGCCCCAACGCTGATGAGACGAGCGTTGGAGATGCGAAACTTGGGGTCGATGGGGATGAAGTCAGCAAGGGTGGAAAAGAGCTTGTTGGCGAGGCGGAGGAGGCGGAGACCGATCTTCTTGAGGGACCTGCGGAGCAAGCAGGAGAGGAATTGCGGAAGGGCGGTGACTTGTTGCAAGAACGCACGGATGCCAGATCTGAAGCCCCGCATCATGCTCGAGGCCAGCAGGACAAGTGACCACTTGGCTCTTGATCTGCCAGGAGAATGAAGGGGGAGAGGCAGGAAGGTAAGGAGATGAAGCTCACCCCTCCCCGCTCAGGCGGTGCCTCCACCCCCTCAGCTTCATCCCCAGCATCCCTCGGAGCATCTCAAAGATGGTAGACATCACGCGGACTCTGCTGTCCCTGTCGTCGACCCAACGGACGGGAATCTCAGAGACAACAAGATCGGATCCTCGCGCGAGGAGGAGGAGTTCGGTGTCGAGGAACCATCCTGTGCTGCGCGTCTGAACCCACGACGTGAGAAGAGAGCGCAAACAAGGAAGAGAAGGAGTAGGATGATGATGAAAGAGAGGAATGGATGCGATGGAGAAGGGGGTCGCAAGGAATTGAGAGGTGGAAGAACACGTCGAGGAGGACATACCAGGGGAAGAGCCTTATCCAGGAAGTCCCGAGCAAACACCTTACAGCCACACTGAGGATCTCGGATCTTGAAGTTCCAGAACAAAGTGTTGAGGAAGATTGACAGCGACCGAGACGTCAGCTCCCGCAACCTCGATCGCCCAACCACCCTCGCTCCTCGCCTGAGCCTGGAAGCGATGGCTACTGGTGAAGTGCCGTTATGGACGCACTCTACAAGCGACGAGAAGTTCTCGAGGCTCGTTGAGAGATCGACGTCCATGTAGCACTGCAAGGATGCTGTATTGTTCTGCCATGCTGCTCGTAATGCGCGCCCTCTCCCTCGCTCCTGCAGCTGCATGCAACCCACCCTACCTTGGCCGTTCCTTCTTGCAAACCTCTCGGCAACCTCTGCAGCAACAGACGTGTGAGCTCTATCAAGTGTCGAGATCGTCACATGATTCACCGAGAGTTTGATCTGTCGAGCCGTTGTCCACCACCGTCACACTCCACGCCCATGGTTTGCTCGTCAGGAACTGTGTCAGCTGCACTAGAGTGTTCTCGAGGACGTGTGCCTCGTTAAGAGCGGGAAGGACGACGTGAACAGAAGGAGGAGGGAGGACATTAGAGGCATGCGAAGCAAGAGGAATCAGTGTTTCATGGCGCTTGACGCCTGCGGCTCTACACGATGGGAAGGAAAGCTTCGTTTGGGGGGCTGACGGTCCTGCCGGGCGAGACAAACCGAGCGATCCATGGAAACAGAAAGAATATGATGAGGGGATAGAGAGGAGGAAGAGGAAGAGGAGCAGGAGAAGAGGAGGAGAGGAGGAGGAGGAGGAGGAGGAGAAAGAAAAGGGTGATCTAAGACGGATAGTTGCAAGGATGGGTTTCATGGCAGCATCGGGCGCTAGAGAGGAGATGGGGCGGGCCGGCTGTAGTGATTGGCTAAAACAACTTTACTCAAAGGTAAGTTAAAAAGCACAATTCATTCTAGTTTTTCTCTGCTTTTTTTTTGTAGGCTTTCGCTGCCTTTTCCGTTTCCTAGTATTTTGTTGAGGCGGGTTCGTAGGTTTGCCTTTCTTTTTCAGTCAATAAAGATGACAGTTTTCCGAACTCTCCGGGCTCCGATGGCAATTTTTTAACCTCTAGAACTTGTCAAAAATGCTTCACAGCCACGACAAGGAGGATCGGGTGGGGGGAAGAGAGTTTGAACGAGGGAGATTGAGATAGAACAGAGTGCTAGATGATGATGAGATAGGGGTTTGCTACGAATCATCAATACCTGGCAAGAAGTCGATCCTGCGTACTCACGATTTCTGGTTCACAGCAGTTCCTTGTAGAAGCAAGACGTTTCGCGGTGTGCGATGGGCATGTGTGAGTCCAGGGACGTGCAATCATGCTGCGCCACTTCTGATGAAGTCGCCGACGAGCGAGTGAGGACAACGGTCAAGGTGAAGGGCATGCAAGCTGTCAAACGAAAGTCGAGCAGGGTGGGGAGCCAGAGAGCGTTTTCCGAGACGGATGACGTGATGAGGGTGAACATCTCTCGTGCCAACCGCCCAGGAGGTGGTTGACTGTTAGCTGCAGAGTTACTTGAACTTGAAGAACGAATTGCTCCAGAAGGCTATGGCAGAGAAGGAAGAGGCTAATGCTAGGAAGGAGAAAGCAAAGAGGATGGAGAAGCTGGAGAAAGCGAAGAGACAACTTGCAGAGCTGAAGAAGAGCATTCGCCAAGATCCTCACTCAGAAGCCAAGCTTCAAGAGATGAAAGCCATCAGGGAGAGGTCAGACAGGCTCTGCTACACCTGAATCGTTGCACTCGCTTACATTTCTTTCAGGATTTGGAATCTGGATACTGTCAAGGGTGGACAACAAAGTAGGAGGAAAAGCACCGTCTGAAGAGATGACTCTTATCATGCTATGCACTGATATTACGTCTAGTGTATTTAGGAAAATCCCATACAAAATTGTTTCAAGTTTCGAGGCTCTGACGTAAGTGGCAGTGATCCAACTGGCAGTTCCCACAGGACAGAGTGCAAAATGTGGAGCAAGATCACGGGGCACACATAGCATCACAACACGCATGGGATGAACGCACATCTGATCTAGTCTTCATCTAGTCCCTTTAATTACATTTATAGCCTTTGAAAGAATACTCAAGAATAATCCCCACCACGTACTCGTCCAGAAGTTGAAACTGCGACAAAAATCAGCCCCGTGCCACAGAAGAATGGTATGAGAAGCGTCTCACCTGTGATTTGGCTCCAAGCCGCTGGTGCAACCCCATCCACACTGCAACAGGATACTTTGACAACTCCGAGAGCAAGCTTTCTGCCAGTGCGATACATTCTGATCAGAGAAGTTAGCGTTCTGATACAACCCTAGAAAAGAAAAAGTGCAAGCAAGAAAGGAAGACAGGAAAGCAGATGATAAGATTTCAGCACACCTTGTCCCTCGTCACGACGACCTGAAGCAACGAGCTTGGTTGCTGCGAAGATGCCCGATGAGAAGAAAATTCCCTTGTAGTCAGGGGTCTTGAACAAGACATTCGCGATATCAATTGCAATGAGCAAGACTTGTCTGGATCTGTGATCCTCCAACTTCCAGGTGTTCATTGTCTCCGCTATCCTCTCGATCAGCCCACACTCAATGAGCTCCTTTCGGTGCTTCGGGTTGTACGCGAGGCTTCGCAAGGGATACAGAACACTGTAGGGCGCAAAGTTGATACCTGCCCAGCTTTTTCCCTCAAGAGAGTATCCAAGAATCTCCACCATTGCCGCGACTGTGTGGTAGTGGCTGATCGTTGTCAGCGGCTCGTAGCAGGACCCTGTCAGATTTGCGATAGCCATGGAGGCTCTGCAGACCCTTGCGTTGTACTTTTCCCCATAACCCGCCTCCTGAATCGCGGGAATCAAAGCCTCCTCCACGATCTTGAGGTCATTCAGCAGCTTCTTTGCGCTGTCACATCTCGTCAGGCAGTTGATCGCCCCGACTGACACGTTCTTCGCCCCGAACAATCCATCTGTCACCAGTGCCTTGAGCGCCTGAACCAGCCCTGGATGTTTGATCATCACCAGGCATGCTTCCTCACAGAAGGCTGCACAGTTGTTGATGACCAGCGCCGCATCTTCCTGCATCGTCGTGTATGTTGTGCTGAGCATCTCCACAAGGCTCTGTAGAGCCCACGAATTCTCTACGATAGCCTTGCAGTTCTTCTCGTTCCTGAATGCAAGTTCGCTCAATGCGCTGCATGCATGATATCGAACATGCCACGAAGGGGACTTCAACAGCTGGCAAAGAATTGGGATTCCTCCTTCGTTCCTGATCTGGTTCTTGTTCCATGAAGATCGCTCATGTTCCGTGTGCGATCGTTCGAAGAGAAACTCAGCAGCGATCGAAGCGTTTCTATGGTTTGGCGACTTGAGCTGCCCACCCAATCAAATAAACAAACAGGAACGTGTCATGGAAAGGGAGTCATCTCACCTCACGAATCGCAACACTGATGTCAGGATCTCTATAGCCCTCAGGGGGTTCTGTGCTGCCATCAACGGCCATCCGTGTCTCACTATCAATATCTACAGCCTCCATCATGCCAGTATCTTCTAAAGGGATCATGTTGGGTGATTAATTCTATCTCATACGCCTTGTCCCGTACTTCCGATGACCAATTATTGTACTTCAGATCGACCAGAAGATCAATACAGAAGGATCTAGCGTCGGTAACGTCTAACGCTTCAGATCGAGGACTTGACAGATTATACACGTCTGGATGTATTTCCAGTGTGTCTCCTTCTTCCGAATCAATGGAACTCGATAAAGCCGCTGTTGCCTTGGACAATCAAAGAAAAAATGTTGTCCGATCCAGACCAGTTCCCATTAATCCCCTGCAAAGTCTAGCTCACGTTCCCTGCTGTCTTTCTCGGCCGTTTATCCGTGTCCTTCTGTTGGTGCTCCGCCTCCTCTCTCTCTCTCTCTCTCTCTCTCTCTCTTGCTGCTTGCAATGCCTCTCCAACTTGCATGCGCTGGGTCCTTGCGCGATGGCTCAGGTTATAATGAAATCGAGGAGTAGGGGGGGCAGGGGTACACATGAAAGGGGGTGGGTGGTTGTTGATGAGTGGTTGATCTTATCGGATAGGGGGTGGGGGTAAGACTAACACATTGTTCACGGGGTAGGGATATCAAGTGACCACCACTTCAGGCATCGAAATGATGGGTTAGTGACGTGAATACCCCTACATTTCAAAAGAAGAAACCCACATAAGGAGGGGTAGACATTGTTGATCAAGTGTTGGAGAAGGATTCAACAGGGGTGCTGAAACTGGTCGAGGGGTAATCATTGGTAGGGGGTTTCTGACTGGGGTGGGTTCTTGGGAGTGACCCCTGGGTGGGGTGGTGGAGCATGGAAGCTTTAGGGGGCTGGGGGTATCTAGAAGGAAAGATTCCAAGTGGTTTGATGCCGTGAACGGGTAGTCTGACCATGTGTCCGGTAGGGGTGGTCATGAGCGATATCATGAGGGGTGGACAGGTGGGGTAGCCTAGTGAACGACGAAAGATCATCAGCCGGGGTGGGTGACTTGTATGATTCTGTAAAAACGGGGGTAGTTTGGGGGATAGAAGGGTGATAAGATTCTCAGGGGAAGGCTCTGAGGTATGGCCATCTGACATATGAAGAACATAGTAGAATGATGTACCTAGGAGGTAGGGCTCCCGAAATCTCGCTGGATAAAAGGGGGCAACCAGCCTGCTTTGAGGTACTGCTGTAGGGGGTGGGTTAAGGTCTCATGTGGGGTGATGATGGAGAATATGAGGGGTAGGGGTATCCAAGTGGTTTTTATGCTGAGAATTGAAACGTTGCGGTCTTAGAAGGAAATCTCTTCCAAAATGTTTTTAAATTTGTACCACAAACACCCCCTCGCACCTCAGATGGAAAAATACCCCCTCCTCTCTGGTGCATCGTCACGTTACCCAAGTACCCGCCCCTGCACTACCCTACCCCTCATGTCCTTGTTCTCATGGACGCGCGATTCCTTGACCCTCCAGCCTCTACCTTGCGCCTACTTGTCTCATCTGGAAATCGTAAGTGCCTGTAGGTCTGACTGTGCAACCAATCTAGCAGCACCCATCCAAAAGATGTACCCACCCCTCGTCAAGAAGCTTCAAGTTTGAAGCTCTGGCTATCCTGAGTTCCTTTATGAGTACGGAAAAAAGTACCGTTCACTGTCACGGGCTGCCGACGGTTGATTCCGGCCGGGGCGGCCCCCGTTCACCAGTTGGCACTGGGGCGGTTGAAATGTGGCACTACTGGCGGACTCTGCGCCGGGAGCCTGACTCACTGGCTGGGCCGGGCCCGGGCGTCACTGAGCCTGTGTCATTGTGGCCAGTGACACTGCCAGTGGTCTGCCCGCCTGGGTCCGGGAACGACCGTCGTGTCGGATGATGCGCACGCCGGGGAGGGGCGCCACGCCACCCGGCCGGGCGCCGGCGCGGTCGGTCGGGCCGCCGCCGGTCCGATCAGTCGGACCGCTCCGAGGCTCACTGAGGCGGCGACAAACGGTTACATGACGTTACGAGATGACGTGAGCAGATCCAGCATTCGGCAAAAGTTCTAAATGCACGTGACAGGCCCGGTATTGGTTCGTGGGATTCAGACTGACTACTCGGGAAAAGTTCGATAAATTCATGAAAAGCTCTTGATGGTACAGGAAAAGTTCACTAGAACCCCTCAATAGTTCCAAGAAGGTTCTAGTTAAAACCACCACCCCACCTCCATTCGGAGAGACCCAGCCCTCAATAATGTACCCCCACCTCCTTCTTAGTCTTCAGTCCCCCCTTTTTCTCCAGTAAAAGTACCCATGTCAAAACAAAAGTTTAACCCCCTACCTACTCGCTCTGGTCCCCACCCTGTTCTGCTACCCCCGCATCAAGGCGAACCCTCCTCCCGACCACTCCTATGCTCGTTGCCCCTACTCGGATGCCTCGTTCATCCTCTCTCTCACTCTCCTCCTCTCCTCCTCTTTCAACCACGTGCACATCCTTTTCACCTCTAATTCAGCTCTATCGAGCGTTTCATACACTGGCTCTCTTCCGCCGGGTGCTGCTCTTGGCCTTGCCTCACCTGGAATGATGCCGTGTGGTGTGCTCCAGCCCTGCTTGCAACATCATGCTGAACTACGATATTCCTTATCACCCTGAACAGTCTCGTCCGTGTCGGCGATTGTGTTTCCATTCCCTTGCCTCCTTGAAAGTCCCTTCTGTGATAAGTGTCACCCGTGATCCTGGTGGATGGTTGCGATCACAACGAGGTAGTGACGAATCATGTCATTGAAAAGTTTCTTGACATATTCCACCCCTTCCTCCTCTCCTCTGTTTATCTAAACTAGCTCCTCCCGATTTCATATCCTTCTACACAACTCGACCTTTGGAACGATGCAAAGTCACGTCATACCCTCCAACCATTCCGTTCATCTCTCTTCTCATGCGATTTCCCTGTGCTTGCTTGTCATTCATTCTCAGAGTTCGATCGTTGCACCAGATGCTAGCTAGCTCAAGGAGTCTCATTTTACAGCCTCAGGTCTTGCGTCGGGGGTTCCCTTAATTCCGCCATGTTCCGTAATACTTGGGCAACGAAGGTAGATTGATCATATGCGAATTACTGGTGTGACCTTTGCTCGATCAACAGGCAACCCTGCTGGTTGCCCTTTCCTTGTTATGTTTCATCCTTCCAACCTCCGAGGCTGCGAAGAAGAAGAAGGGGAAAGGTTGCGAATGTCCTGGCATTCCGCGACGCTCTGAACTCCCGTACGCACAGGCAACAAGAACGCAAAGGGAGCTAAGAAAGCTGGTTCCGATCCTCTCAAGTGTGGTGTTTGCATCGCAGCTGTTGCAGAGATCCAGAAAGAACTTCAGACTACAGAGAACTCCACCAGCACGCTGGACCTCCGCTGGGGTTTGACAGCAGAAGTCACTGAAGGAAGGGCAAAGCGCATCGGCAAGGTGGACTAGAGACTTCTTGTAGCAGGCTGTGAATGTTGTTGGTTGCAGGTGATCCCTTACAAGCGCTCTGAGCTCCGATCCATTGAGGTAGGAGGAGCGCCTTCGAGGCTGCCGAAGGCTGACCCATTGTTGCCGTTACCAGGTCATGGAGAAAGTATGTGAAACGATGAAGTCGTACGCGAAATACGAGCGCGTGAAGGGAGAAATACAGCTGATGAAGACCACCAACGTGACGGCCCTCGAGGTAGGATCAGCGATCAATGTTGCCGGCGCTTCTGAGGCCATGCCAGGCGGAGTATCCCGAGGCTCAACGCATTAAAAGGGACTCGGAGGAATCGCAGAAAGATCGTAGCAAGGTATGGCGAGGCCTTGGTGGAGGATAACGGGATTGATGGTGATGCAGTTCGAACGATTCTGTGAAGAGCTGGTTGAGAAGAGTGAGGAGAGCATCGTTCAATCTGTGAGGAATGGCGACAACAACTCCGCCATGGTGGACGCTGTCTGCTACGGAGAGGTAACTTCCTTTCATAGCCCCAGATGACCTCGCTGAATGTTCTGACAGGAGGCCGTGTGCGGCAAGGAGAGGGCTAAATGCCAGCCAGGCTCCTACAGTAGCTACATGGGACTTGCTCCATGCAGCCTCTGCGAGCAGGGCACGTACCAGACGGAGGAGGGGCAGACAGGCTGCGTTGAATGTGCCGCTGGCTTCAACACCTCACTTCGAGGATCCGCATCGGACGGTGAGCTCCGTTTCTCCTCCCCCATGCTCCCTGTTTCCTCACCTATTCCTGTCGTCCCCTCTGCTCTCTTCCTCCCCATGCTCCAGTTCGCTTCTCCTGACGTAGGAAGCAGCAAATTGCACTGCTATCTGCAAGCCTGGAAGCTTCAGCGACAACGGACTAGAGCCTTGCTCTCCCTGCGGCGTTGGCGCGTATCAGCCTGAGGCAGGAAGCAAACAGTGCCACGCGTGCCCGGATGGAAAGAACACAGAGGCGACCGGCGCCATGTATGTGACTGAGTGCGTGTCCAAGTGCGGAGATGGCAGGAAGTCTACGGAGGAGGAGTGCGACGACGGCAACGTGTACCCTGGTGATGGATGCGACCACCAGTGCAAGGTAGAAGCTGGCTCAGCCTGCTCCTTCTTGAGCTCCGTCGGATCCAAGAGCGAGTGCAACAAGGTGGTCTGCGGAGATGGGAAGCGACAGAACTCCACGGACGGGACGGTGATCGAGATCTGCGATGACGGCAACGTTGCCAACGGGGACGGATGCTCCTCGACCTGCGGAGTGGAACCTGGCTTCTCCTGTGATCTCAACAAGGACAAGACGGAGTGCCACGAGGTCAAGTGCGGAGACGGTGTGCAGGAGATCTCTTCGGATGGCTCGCGAGACGAGAAGTGCGACGATGGCAACGAGAAGGACGGCGACGGCTGCGACAGCTCCTGCAAGCTTGAGGAGGGCTTCATCTGCAGCGGACGCTACGGTCAGAGAACTCTTTGCTACCCCGTTACCTGCGGCGATGGGCTCAGGGAGACCTCGGGAAGCAAGCAGGAGGCTTGCGATGACGGAAACACGGAGGACGGAGACGGTTGCTCGAGCACCTGCAGCATTGAGTCCGGCTTCCAATGTGAGCCGATGTCGGGAAGCAGGAGGGGAAGGAGCAACGCAATGGGTGTAGAAGGCTTCTTGACGCAAGGGATGGACAACTGTACTCGCATCCCTGGCTCGAGCAACGAGACCGGAGGGGAAGAGAAGAAGGAGGGAGGGTTCTTCTCCAACCTCTTCGGGGGCAGCAAAGCAACGGAGCCGCAGGCGTCGGAGCTGTAAGAGGCCATGGAAGATGCAAGGATCTTTATCATGTCATACAACAATAATAAATCAAAGCTTTATCTGTCAAGCTAGCGATCAACAAAGGACCTTCTCCCTACACCTTCCCCACCTCTGTCTTCTCCCCTGCCTTGCAATATCTATATCTTTTTCTTTTCTCTCCCTGTTCCTCGGCCTCTCCTTCCTCGTCCTCTCTCCTCTCGGTCTTCGTTCTACCTGCCTCCCCGTATCTTCTGAATCGCCTGAATGTGCTTGACCATCTTCCCCTTTCCCGTGGGCTTGGCCAGGCATGAGTTTCGGTGCGCTTTTAGCTCTATCCTCGGGAGTTTCTTGTAGCACCAGTCGCACTCCGCGTACACGCCGAACGAGCAGGACATCTTGTGCTCCTCAATGTGCTGGACGTCAAACCAAAGGTCGCATCCTTCGAACGGACAAGATCGACAAGCGCGGAAAGGACACGTCAGCTGGTGCTGCTCGACGTCGCTGGCAGGCAACCACTTGCGGCAACCATCGTGTTGGCACTGGGAGCTCTTGCGGATCAGCTCGAGGGGTGCGACGTCTCGTTTCTCGTGATGCGCCTTGATATCCTGCAGCTCCACGTACTCGTCCCACGTCATCCCCTCCCAGTCCGAGCCGATGGCGGAGGCAGGACGAGAGTCAGACGAGTAGGTGCTGATGACGTCAGCATCCCGCTGCCTGTGCGCAAAACTTCGAGCTACCTCGTGCTGCACGCGGCCGTGAGGGTTCGCGTGTCCCTCGTTGTACATGATCGGCGATCTCCCCACATGCCCCGCCAGCTCGTACCCGCTGACCAAGGCGCCCTCCACGCTGGTTTCAACGAACCAGTCGCCTGCGATGCCGATGCCTGTAGCAGGGTCGAAGGCGCAGAAGGGGCCGAAGGAGGGGTCGGAGTGCTCTGAGATCCAGTAGGCGCTCGCGGGCTGGTCGATGTTTCCCTCCTCCCACAGTATTGCCTGCGACATGAGGACGTGTATCTGCGAGTTGACCATCCCCAACGCGTGCAGGAACTTCTTGATCGCTAGCTGACAGACGACCGGGGCGAGCTCGCCTCTGTTCTCCTCCGACCAAGTCGCGGTGAGGTGAAGCGTCCAGGTGTCCACTGGCGTTCCCTGCGGCCCCACGCTGGGAGCGTTTCTGTGATGCTCAGTGCGAGGGCTTCCTCCCCAGATGGGCCCCTGAACGGCCTCAGGTTTCTCAGCTCGCAGCCAATCGGTCACAGAATTCATGGGGTCGTAGGAGGTGAACTTGGATGACTCGCGGTAGGCGCTCTGGAGGGGCGGGAAGGCACCTTCCTCAACGAAGTAGGCGTCGTAGGGCGAGTAGACCGGATGGCTGAAGGTGACGAGCACAACCCAGACGGGCTTGAACTTGATCAAGCGCGGGATGCTCGCCAACTTAGGCTGACAATCGGAAAGAAGCTGATCAGCATCCTTGGGAGGAACGCAGAACAGAACGAAATCGAACAAGCCTTGCGACCTGACCTGCTGCTCAATGTTCTCCGTCAAGACCTCGTACTTTCCAGTCCCAGCCATGGGCAGTACTGCCTGCACCCTCAAGCCAAGCCTTGTGTCCACCTTAGCAAGAAACTTTCTTGCGATCGCGGACATGTCAGGCTTTGATATCAACCAGGGTGAAGCCCCATGTCCTCGGCCGCTGCTGTGACAGTGACTTTTTCGATGCGGAAGATGAGGAAGCGGCAGGTCAGAGGCTTGCAGATGAGAGTGAGGGTCTAAAGTGACGCTGCGCATGTTGGAGGAGGATTGCTTGCTGGCGTTGCTGTCTGTAGTCAAGTGCCGGTGAATCAAGATCGACTCGATGTTCCTCTCTCCTTCGATCAAATTGAGCGTGGCTGCGAAGCCCATGCTGTTGCCATCTGTCTCCGACGCCTTGCTCAATATCCCTACCCGGGGGTTCCACTCTGCGATGATCGCCTCCTCTGCTAGTCCGGCGAACATCTGCCTCATGTACGGGCCGTTGAAGCAAAAGTAAGGAGCGCCGGACGAGTAGGTGATGCCGTTCCTCTCCAACGCTCCCAGACGCCCCCCGGCCCTCAGGTCCGAGTCGAACACAACGACTTCGATCCGATACTGCTCACGGATGGTCTTAGCACAGATCGCCCCAGCCATGCCTGCCCCGATGACGGCGCATCTGGGAGAGTAGTCCTCGCGGTCGGGAATGGGCTCAGCGGGCTCGTGGACAACCTTGCAGATCTCGTCGGCAACGACGTCACTGACGGGAGCGACGGGTCCCTTCCCTCCCATCAACGACCAGAACTCCTCAGACTCCTGATGTTGCTCCAGGATCGTCAGCTTGCACTTGACCACGTTCGTCTCCATCCTGTCCACGTACAACTTTTTGATGTACGTCTTGCACGCGTTCCACTCATGCTTGTAAGCGTCCTCGCCCTTCCAGAGGAAGAGAGTGTTCCAGCTGTCGAGTAGAAAGATGTCTCCAGCGTTCAAGGACTTGTGAGACACGGGAAGAGGGAAAGATCGGATGCTCAACTTGTTTCCTTTGAGCCGATACAACTTCGCATCTACTCCCCTCTTCGATGACATCAGGTTCTGAGAGGAGGTTGATTCACTCGGGACGCTTTTCCTCCTCAAAGATCTGATAATCTTCGTGAAATCTTCTTTCGACATCATTCGGTCCTTCGGCACTTTTGACATGGCCTTATCCATATCGTCAATATTCTGCACAATCCCCAGGAAGCCAAGAGCAGCTTCGAGTTGATGTGAAGTGAAGGGGTTAGATTCCAGCTCAAGATCGTCATACACCTGAGAGACCATCACCTCTACCTCCTCCTCCATCATCTCAGCTCTGTAAAGGATCGTCTCGTACGTGAAGTCTTGCTCCGGCAAAATCACACAGATAGCGGAGATGAACCAGGCGCTCCTGGAGTGATTCTCGGCTTCGATCATCTCACAGAATTGGTTGAAACTCATTTCACCCGAGGCATCAACGTAGCGGTTGATGAGTTCGAAAACTTCCTCCATCTCTAGCGATAGACCCAGCTGCTTCAGCGCGTGCCCGATGTCCGCTGCGTCTATCGTGCCGTTGCCCTGGCTGTCGTACTGCTTGAACACGCGCTGATATTGTGAGGCAGCGTTCTTGCTCATCATTTGGACGAAAGGGCCGCCCCAGCTGCTCTTCTGCAGGCGGATGGAGATCCTTCCTCCCATGAAGTGCTTGGTGATGTTGGATGCGTTGGTGGGCAGCTCAATCTTCTGACCCTCGAGGATCAGCCAAGGCATGTTGTCGCTGTCCGACGACTCCAGCTTCACCCTAACCTCCCACTCCTCTTCCCTCGATTGCTTAGGGATGATAGGGTAAGGGCTGCTGTGCCAAGAGTTTGGGTCTGACTCATCGAGGTTGTTTCTGGTCAGTAGCGGCGATCCCTTCGTTGACATATAACTAACCTTCGCAAACTTGCTGTAATCGATTCGATTCACTGGCAGGGATGCCACCCACGAGTTAAGCCCATTGTAGATGTTGTCTGAATCAAACGGAGCAGGTCTGTGCCTGTGCGCGCGAGCAGGAGCTTTGATAAAGAAGCTGTTGTCAAGCTGAAACAATATCAAGTAGTCCTTGTTCATGTTGTTCATCGAGAAACTATCCCTCTCAGGCTACTAATACATCAAGATCGATCTCTTCCTCTCCTCTTCCGGCTGCCCTTGCTCGTGCCATCTTCGCCCTCGTGCCATCTTCGCTCTCGTGCCATCTTCGCTCCCTCCTTGCCCTCCTCAGACTCCTCAGGTTCCTTGTGCCTACTGGTTGCGCGCATTTTTTTCGCCAGGCCCAATGAATCAGTAACCAAGTCCGCCTCGTGTATTGAGTAAAGATATCCATAGGGCAGCAAATAGTTGAGGTCATTTGCTTAATGAATTGCTCAGGACAAAACCGCGGAGTAGGTTCGCCAGAAATAGGAGGATGCACAACCCATGCATAGAGGAAACGCAAGTGGAGGGAGGAAGGGAGGAGGATAAAGGAACAGGATCAGAAGCAGACGCAGAAGAGACATACCAGAGAAAGCAGAAAATTTTCGATGATGATGCAATACTCACTTTGATCTTTCAGGCGTGATGAACTGATAGAGACGAACCATGGACGAACCCATGAGTGCTGATCGCCGAGCCTCCTGTCAGAGGACGACTCTGCTCAGATCTTCATTCGCCACGGCTGGAGGGCTTGTGCTGCTGCTCTGCTGGTATGTGAGACTGCTGCTGTCATGGTTGAAAGTGAGGGTGCTGCTTCCAACAGCGTCGGGTGGATGTTGAGCAAAGAAGGTGGCGATCAAGCCTCCTCGTTGGTTCAGCGAGGAGATATTGGTAAGGCATCTCGTCCCCATGGACAGCTTGCCGATGTATTGTATGACAGATAAGTCGTGGAAAGCGTTCAAGCACCAGTCGCAAACGGAGACCTCGTTTGTGGAGGGAGAAGATGAAGTGATGAAGAGAGTCTTAAACCACAAGAACGGCAAGTTGAAGGTCAGAAACCTCCCAAGACGATGAGCGAGGACCATGTGAATTGCTGACGAGGATGTTCAGAAATATCAGCTGATGCATCCTGAAATGATAGAAGAGCTAGAAAACGCTATTCAAGATCAGGTTGATTTCATCTTCTCATTTGAAGATACATATACGTGATTTCTGAGGTGTAGATTGCCGAGGAAGTGAAAAAGAAATTACATCTGGCTCTTGAGCAAAAAAAGGTTGACTCAATTTCGAACGAAAGCAAAACTCTTGATGCAAACGATTAGAATCAGGCTTTCATCAACTTGAACAGAACCATCAAAGAGGTATCTAATGAAAACCTAGTTAGAGACGTTGCAGTGAGTTTGATCCATTGTCGGAAACAGATGAAAACATCTATCGCACATCTGAAAGGGTTACATGTTGGAGCAAATGTCTCAAGCATTACATCGAATCTAGAAGACAGCATCTGTAACTTCATGAATTGCTCGGGCTGGCCAGCTGAAATGAAAGAGGTCATGTAAATCAGGCCCTGATCATTGATGAGCCTGACTTGAGCTCAGCTCAACAAGGAAAAGAGCGAAATACAAGCGAGGCTGAGCAAATACGTGGCAGAAGTAGATGAAGACAAGAAGGAATTTCACGATATGAAGAGCAAGTTCTTCGACAAGTACTTGTCAATGGACATCAAGTCACAACAGAAGCAAGACGAGGTAGTGGGAAAGAGCAGCATGCTTCAAGCGTTTCATTCTTATATGTTGCAGCTCAAGTACTGGAGACAAGTCGTTGCTGCCTATGAGCATCGCTTAAACCAACCGCGTACAGGTCGACTAATCCGTTCAGAAGTAAGTGCCTTGACTGGTTACAGCAGCGGAAAACTCGTCAGCCTGCGATGAAGTTGAAACCATCAGCAAAGACTCTGGAAGGTGCTAAGAAACTCGTGTAGCTTCGATGGAAACTTATCTGCACTATCCAAACTTTCAGGTTGACGGTGAATGCTGGGGCAGGAGTGAAATGCTTCTGGCTGATCAAGTCGAACAAAAAGGTGATGTAAGAATGTTGTGGAACTTTCACTAAGTTGGAAAGAATGTTTCACTAAGTTGGAAAGAATGTTTCACTAAGTTGGAAAGAATGTTTCACTAAGTTGGAAAGAATGTTTCACTAAGTTGGAATCTCAGACCCTCAACGTTCAATTCTCTAACGTCAAGAACTATGGGAACTCGAGCATTGCGGTGTTTGTCGTTAACACCTCGTCGGCTCCTCTAACGGACATCATCGACAACGTGAGCAAGGCGACTGCGCTGTTGCTCTTTCGCTGACTTCATATCAGATTTATCTTGACGCCCCGGCGACCACCTTGAGGGGGTATGTTCCTGAGTTATCGATGCAGAGAAACACCAGCGAGGTGAGCGATGCCATCGAACGTGCGCCGGTGACGATTTGTGTGAAGATTTTGATCCACAACGACTTGGACAAGGAGTTGTTGCATCCTTCGACTTTCAAAGTATCATGGACCAGCTCGTGAGCTACAATCGCACACTTACAAACACAACACAATCAGAATTGAGCTATATGTAATACACAAACATGTACATGTTCCGAACTTTCGAAATGGTCAATTTGAGGGCAAGAACAACTTGGCAAGAAATAGACGTAAAAAATAGAAGATACCAGGGACAAGGCAAGCTCTCCAAAACACAGAAGAGTCCAGTATCATGTCTGCTTCCTGTCGTACGGATGGTACCGATCGATCGATTCAGATGGTTGGTGCTTGACATGCGGCCGGAAATTCTGGACAGCATGATGTGATCCCTGTCGCTGATATGAGCTCATCTCTACAACGTATTCGGGTACCTCCCCCACTCGCTCCGTCGACCTCCAGCCTGCGCTGAATCGCATCGCGTCTCCTGCTAGCCATGATTCATTCCCGCAGTCTACCAAGACAAGGGTCCACCATCATGAGGAGGAGGCAGAGGCTGAACGCAGCAAGTGAGACTATCACCACCTGTCATTTTGATCTCAATTCACACTTTTCACGGGACGACCTCCCACCACGTGCTCCATAGCCATGACCCTCCATGTGAATCCACTCCCTTGCCTGATGAGCTTCAGGGCAGGTCAGCTTCACCATGAGCACAAGAAGGTAAGTCGTTGCAACCTTGATCCTCCGTGTATCCGCTGGATCTGTGACAGTGGGCAGGCCAAGAAGATCCTTGACAAAAAATGCCATTTCAGACGTATACCTCAAAGATCGCTGTGTTACCATCCTGTCCTTCATGACCAAAGGTGCAAGTAGGATACATCTCATCCTTGTACACTCTATGAGAAGATTCGTGATGGAAGCAATGCATCATCGCATGCTGCTGCATCGTCGACGAGTCGTTGAACAAGATCTTCGGCACCTGAGGCTGGAATGCCCCCAGGCTTCTCCTGGGAGGTCCTCTAGGGCCCCACTCTGAGCCTGGGGCTGGCCTACTGGTCTCCCCTTGTCTTGGAAAGGCCTTCTTGATCTACAGAAACATGGCTTCAATCGATCAGACGCATCGGGCTCCATCAAGGGAGCGGGGGCGAGACATCAAGGGAGCGGGGGTGAGACTTCAAGGGAGCGGGGGATGGAGGAGGGACCAACCTCCACCTCCTTTCCCTCTACCACATGCGGCCTCCCGTCTTGTTGCTGACTGATCAACTCTTCCACCGTCTCCCACTTCTCGAAGGTGATGAACCCGAAGCCTCGACTTCGCCGCGTATGCTGGTCGGTGCAGACCTGCGCCTCTTTGATGTTGCCGAACCTGCTGAAGTATTCTCTGAACTCGAAATCCTTGACTGTCGGCGCCAACCCACCCACAAAGACTTTGTGGACTCTGATGTCAGACGGCACCAGAGGATGCTGCACTCTCTTCTTGGCTATCATCTCGCCGTCTTCACATGCTGGCCCGACTCGAGGGATAGCGAGTTTGGCGTCGAGCAACCTTCCTCGGATGTCATGCCGTATGGCAGACACCTGTTCTGCGACCTTGGGGTCGTGGAAACGCACAAACCCGAATCCTTTTCCTTTCCCGGTGGCTCTGTCTCGCATGACCACAACGTCATAAAGCTTCCCAAACGTCTCGAAGTATGCCCCCAAGTCATGTTCCGTCGTATCCCAAGACAGCCCGCCGATGAAAAGCTTTCTAGAAAACCTCGATGTGATTCAAACGCAATAGACACGCAGAACAGAAAGGAAAAGGTGGTGAGCCACCGACACAAGAATGGACACTTTAGCTGAGGGAAGTCTTTCATAACATTGTGACGAAAGTGAGAGGGAGAGACAGAGTCGGAGTCAGGAAAACAGATGAGAGAAGAAGCAGAAGCATAAGTAGAAGTAGAAGTAGAAGAAGAAGAAGAAATAGAAGAAGTAGTAGAAGAAGAAATAGAAGAAGAAGAAGAAATAGAAGAAGTAGTAGTAGAAGAAGAAAAAGTAGTAGTAGAAGATTTAGAAGAAGTAGAAGAAGAAGAAGAAGAAGAAGAAGTAGAAGTAGAAGAAGAAGAAGAAGAAGAAGTGAAAGAAGAAGTAGAAGAAGAAGAAGAGGAAGAGGAAGAAGAAGAATGGTTCATCTCATGCTGTCATTCCTCATGTCTTACCCTTGGTGCTCGTTGTTCACCATGTGAAATTTTGTGGAGGCATATTCTGAGGCGGGTTCCGAGGCGTTCCGGCCAGTTTTCTTTCGGGTCCTGCCTGAGAGTCTGCCCGCCCGCGGCGCCGGCGCGGCCGGCCGGCCGCAGGTTGAAGGAGTTCCGTGCCCCCGGCCCGCCGGTCCGCCGCCGGCCGGCCGGGCCCGGCCGAGCCTCCGACGGACTGAGTCCGACTCGGAGTCCTCGGACTGCCATCATGATGATCTGGCACCGTCTGGCGCCATGTGACGGTCCGATCCGGGCACCGTCACCCGTGACCGAAAGCCGTGAACGGTTCGGAACTGGCGCAGCCTTCAACCGGGCTTTGCCAGTCACGGTTCAAGCCCCGGGCCGGCCCGGACGGCCCCGGGGGGCCCCGGGCTCACCGTCACACGGTCATGCCGGGGGCCCCCCGGCCCGGCCCTTATCATAGTAGTATCGCGCCGCCGCGGGGTTCACGGACTCGGATTGAACGGCCCGTTACTCACGCCACGGTACGGTACGGTACTACGTCAGTGACGCGGCTCCCCGGAGCCTGAGGGCAGCTCGCGGCCGCCGGGGCCCGCGACGGGACTGGGCCGGGAGCAACTTCAGTCGGGGGAGCCGGGCCCCCCGCCGGGCGCCGCCGCGTCGCCGCCGCCGCCAAGGCGAGTCGGGCCGGAGGTTCAGTGTGTCCTTGATTTGAAATAAAAAGACAAAGAGTATGCTACATTGAGTACCATGACAAATGTAACTGAAAAATCCAGTACTACCACTTGTACCGCTAGCTGTGGATACTGTCTCTCAAATCAATTTTACGGTCAAAACGGGTGAGGCGGGTTTGGATTTTGAATTCTTTCCGTACACGCCTGGATCAAACGTCCGCCTTCCCTTTCCCCCTCTACCTGCGTTCTCCTGCCCCGTCTCCCGAGCACTTCTCTTACTCACCCTCCTCCTGCCCTTGATCAGCTCAGCACTAACTCAGTTCTGCTCCTTCTCCCGAGATGCCGCAGCTTGCTCGTTCCGTGGTGACGAACATCTTCACCCGAGCCGATGCGGCTCTGGCCGAGTCAAGAGATGGCTTCCCTTTCTCCCAGGCCAAGTATGCAGTTCGCTGCGTCAAGTATGCTGGCACGACGTCCATAGGCAAGAGAGCCTTCGCTCTCGGAGACTCTGCCGTCACCCTCACCGATCGCGTCATCGAAGCTGGGATGGAAACCCAGTACTATGCCTCGGCTGAAACTTTCGTCAAGGAGCGGGTGGCGCCGAAGCTGAGGGCTACCCGAGAGGCTACAGTCGCCACGATCAAAGCAGCCAGGGCCCTTCCTCACAACACGTCCAACTACGTTGTCTGCAAGTACGAGGACGTGAAGAGCGGTGTCATCATTCGCTACAACAAGACCAAGATGATCATTGTGTGCCGGGTGAACGGAGTTTGGATACGAGTGAAGCTCTTCTTCTCTTCTGGGTACGACCTTCTGAACAACTTCATCAACTCAATCTACTCGACTTTCATGTCTGCCAAGTCCAAGGCTGTCAACCTCTTCGATTCTCTCAAGCAAATCGTCATCTCCACCAGGTTTCAGATCACCATGTTCGCTCAGAACAGCTGGAAGACCGTGACGATGCGGATTGATCGTTATTCCGCGTACCTTCCCTTCATCCAAAAGCAGAATCAGCCTGCTGCGATCGAAGAGCAAGAGCAAGAGCAAGAGCAAGAAAGCATGCCCAGTCCGGTTTCCTCCCAGATCACAATCCGCAGCAATGGCCCAGCCTCGTCGCAGAATCTCATTGTTGAGGACATTATGTCTCAGAGGTTCGGGAGATCCCAGGTTGTTTCTTCCTCTCTTCTCCTCCTCAACTTACTCCTTCACTTGCTAGCAGGCAGGAGCAACGAAGCTCGAGCAAGCCTCTGACTTGCCAGCCACCAGCAGTCACGAGACAGCCTCCCGCTCGTCTCCTGCCAGCCTCACCCCCAGTGACATGATGATGGCGATCTCTCCGGCCCTCCGGCTCAACGTCTCATCTCTCTGCAACTCGAGCACCGAGGCTGAGGCCTATGAAAACCCTCCCCCCCTCGAGAGCGAGCCGCAAGAGCTCGACGAGGCCCCCGTGTTCAACGCCGAGAGGAGGGGCGGCCTGTGGGTTCCGAGCCCGATCATCTCTGAGCGCAAGTCCCACACGGATAGCGCGAAGAAGCTGAAGAGGGAGGAGGGAGACGAAGACGAGGCAGTGAGGAGCTGCTGGCATGCGAGAGGAGAGCTGACACTTGACCGCAGGGCGACCAGGCCGATGAGAACACTTTTACTCAACGACCTATCAAGTTCAAAATCCAGGTGAATGCTCGCGGGGAGCCTGCGGTCCTGAAGGATCTAAACGACGCAGGCAAGCGGAAACTCAAAGACATCAAGAAAGAAGAAGGGCAAAACTTCCTCAAAGGCACAGGAGCCTATTCAGGTCTTCAACTTCTAGAGCCTTGAAGACTACGGAAGGCCTGTCGTTGAAGCGAGTCGACGTGTCAGTGCTGTACTGACAGTTGTCAGACCTTTTTTTGTGACGGCATGATGAGTAGCGGTCACGTTGGTCATCATGCTCGCGCTTCGCATCAGTAAAGATTGACCAGCAATTGACCCTGTAGCCAAGAGGTCCTTCTCCTCCATCCTCTGCCTGTTCGTTTGTGACGTCGAGCATGAGCTACCATGCCCTCACTGTTTGTGACTGACAACGATGGACCGAATGACGAGACACACGTTGGTTCTCTTCTCTTCCACTCTCTTTTCTCCCTATCATCTGCCAAACGAGTTGCTGATCACATAGCCACGACGACCTCCACCCCGGAATGGACGTTGCTGTGTACCATCTGCCTGCGCCTGGTATCCCAGAACTTTACGCTTCAGCTCATCTCTGTCCTCAGCCATGGCGTTTCCTCTCTCCAGCGACGTTGATGCGATTGTGGTGTCCAAGGGAACTGCGAGCTCCTTGGTGGACGGCTTGTTGCCCTTCTTGGTCAGAAGTTTGAAGAGAACCTGAGACTCTCCGTCTTGCTTGACAATCTTAGGATGCTCGCTGCTGCTATCCGACGATGTGAGGTCGAAAGGAATGCCCAGGTCAAGTTGTCTCCTGCGAGCTCCCCCGCTCGCCGCTCGGTTCTCCTGCAACATCTTCTGGAACTCAGCATCGAAGGCCTCGTCCTCGAGCGAGCGTTGTGTGGCCTGAGGCCGCCAGTGAACGACAACTTCTTCATCATCAGCCTGCATGCAGATGTTAGATGGTGACAAGAGAACATCTGCCTGAACCTGTTCGTCCTTGTAGTCAAATGCATCGTCCTCCTCAGCATCGTCCTCCACTCGCTGCTCCCCATCATTGTCATCACTGTCCTCTCCTGCTCTGTCGTGCTCCTCCTCATCCTCAGATTCTCCTCCCTCGTTTTCTCCGGATTCAACGGGTTCATCTTTGGTCGTGGGCTTAACTTCCAGTGCCAGCAGACCTCTCAGGCGGCTCATTTTCATGTCGTTCTCCAGTCGCGCGATGTTCGCGTCGGCTGCTTCCACGTTGTCGAGACGCTTCAGGTCTGGTCGAAGGGACTCGAAGGTGTCGGATACCGTGAACTCCACGTCCATAGTCAGCGAAGTTTTCCCCAGCAAGTATCGTTGGAAGTGAGCAAGAAAGAGGTCAAGCCGCTTCTTGGGGATTCCTCGATCGAAATAATGGCCTGAAGTATCCAACAAGGAGCATACCAGCCTCACTCGGAAGAAGTCGGAGGGCGAGTCGGGCAAGTAGCCTGTTCTTTCTGACCCTGACGAGATGAAGGTGTAGAGCGCATCAAAGATGATCGAAGAGTCCACAACGAGGTCATTGTACAATTCTCCGAGGAGTTTGACAAGTCCTAGCAGTCGCTGCTGCTTGCTGAATTCATTAGCTTGCAGCAGGTATCTCATTTCTGACAGAAGGTCATCGGCGACGTAGACCGCCAATGTGGAATGGTAAGAAGTCAGGCCCGAGATCAACGAGGCCAGCAGGTAGATCTGGTTGTATTTCATTTTTTGCACCTTGAGCAGGCATTTGATGAGGTATGACTCGTTCTGAAAGAAAAATGTCAGGATCAAATGGATTCCGAAAGCATCATTGACAATTTCACCTCCTTCCAATCGAGCTTTCTCAGTTGCTTCTTGACAAATTCCAGCGTGCTCTTAGAGAGTTTCGAGAAGAGAAGATGTCTGATGTATTCCTGAACAGCAGGGCGTTGCTTTCTTTGGGCACGAGCAGATCTTTCAGGCGGTCGACACAAGTAATATGCGTTCTCAACCATCGTGTCCAGTCGGCTGTAGAGAAATGTCACAACTCTTCTATTTGGAATAGGCAAGTGGAAACCTGTCCAAGTTCTTTGCGTTCTTTAAGCGCATCATAGTATTGAGCATGTTCTTCGTTCGTTCGTGTGTTGTTTTGGTTCTGTATAAGAATCGTCCACAGACCTTTACGATAATTTGTTAGCTCGACAGCATTTTCATCCTTCATTCACCTCCAGAAGGTTACAAGCCAATTCAATGTTCTGATATGCGAAGTCGTCGATAAAAGCTTGCAGGCAGCTAAAGATCGCAAGCGGCTTTGCCACCTTGAACTTCAATAGTTCTCCTTGAAAACGCACATTGCGAACCTGGAGAAACAATTCACCGAGGTAATTTCACCCAGTCGACATTGATACCTTTGATTCGATATTGGATTCTGATTTATACTTCATGAACTCATTGAATTCTTGCTCGAGCATCTGAGAAAGCATTTGTCCAATATCTGATGAATTGTCAGATTATCTTACTCCAATCACTCTCTCGCACCTGGAAAAGCTGGTGCCAACACAGCAACAAACCGGGCGTAGTAAGGAATCAGCGATAACGCTGTCCTTGGGACGTTGTAGAGTGCCCGAGCCAGTTTTCTTCTATTCAATTTGTTGTTTTGCGAACAGAATGTCTGAGCAGCTTGATCGATGAGATCTCTACTTTGACAAGTTGCCAAGTGAGCGAGAAATTCTTCCCACTTGGCTTTCTCAGCAGCATTTACGTCCTCCTCCTTGTCCTCCTCTTGATTGGCCGTGTCGGGTTGTGTACTAGTCTCGCTGGATTCCTTACTGGGCTCTCCACTGGAGCTGTCTGCTGCTGGCTTGCTGGCTTCCTCGCCACCTTCAGTTGCATTTTCACTTGAACTCTTTAACTTGGTGGCCTCGACATCACTGTTCAAACTTGGTACCAAGTCAAAAATGTTCGGCAGATCTTCATAGAAATCTCGCGTATCCATGTCCTCGAAGACATTGTCTTCGAAATTCTCTTCTTCCCGTTCGCGCTGGGTCCCAACGACAAAAGCTCCTCCTCCCAATCGAGTTGTGTCCTCCGGGTCTTTGGGCAACTCAGGCATCTCCACCTGAAGTGCTTCGGAGAGAGTCTTTGTGTTGCTCAGCGCCTTTTCAAGATCAGCTCGTTTTTTCTCTGTCGCTTTCATGCAATCTTCAGGTAAATCACCTCGGAGAGTCAGCTGCCTGCGATTTTCCTTTTCTTGCTGTTTCAATGAGGAATGCATTTCAAACAACACGCTGACTGTGCTCTCGTAGTACTCCTTGAGGATGCTGAAAAGCTCTTCTCGATGTTCATCAGAAATCACAGGGCTTTCAGTCGGTTCTACAGAGTTAACCTCTTCCTCCAGCAATGTAAGCAAATCGTCATCTTCACCAGATTTTCGTTCTCTTCAGCATCAGTGATCTGCATTGACTGCATTGAAGTAGCAACGGCTTCAACAGGAGCTTCAGCATTTTCGGGTGTGATTCCTTCAGGTTCGACACACTCAGCATCCTTCTCTAGCGAGCCCATGGCCTCTTCTGCGGGCTCACCAGGTTCTTCAGGCGATTCTTGCATGTCGTTGTCAGTTGTCTCTCTCGTTGGTTGAGAAGCGTCATTTTCAGCTTTTCGTTTCTGATATTCCTCGAGCATACCATCAGCCTCCATCTGCCATTGAGGGCGTAGATTGAGCAAGTCATCAGCTGCGTATTTCACGAATCCAGAGACAATGCTGAACAATGTTGCCCCGGCATCTAGTTGCTGAGCTTGCAACTCTTGCGCGATAAGCTCCTTCAGCGCCGAGATGAGAATGGAACCATCTGTGTAAACTCCAGCAACAAGAAGCTCAGTCAAGAGCCTCAACATAGTCCTGCGTTTGGTGAGGCGATCTTTCCTATCTGATTCCGAGTCCACAGTGGCCGAGTCCTTTCTTACCGGCTGAAAGATTGAGCTCAACTTGGGAATCAATTGTTTGGTGAAATCTGCATAACGCTGGTGAAGCACCGATACGACTTGGACCATTGCTGGGACATCGTTACTCTTGATCTTGGAGTCCGAAACTGCGTCAACACACTCGCTGATGAATTTGCTCATGTTGATCTGCTTGATCCCAGAGACAATGCTGTCCTTGTTCTCCAGCGACACCATCTTCAACTTCTTGATGATTGCCTCATTCTTCTTGATCGATGCATCCAATAATTTGAGATTGACGTCCAAACGAGCATTTGCCGCATTCAAGTTGGCGGATCGAGTGTCATTCTTTGCCCTCTGTGCTTGCTTCACCTCGATGATTTTTCGTGAAGATCAGAGATTGCCTTTCTCCGCCTCAGCCGTTCTTCTTCGGCTTGCTTCCTTTGTCGCTCGAGCTCTTCCTGCCTTCTGGCGAGCTCCTCAGCCTCTTTCCTCGCTGCCTCCTCCTGCCTCAGTCGCTCCTTTTCTTCTTCTTGCTTCTGCTTCTCGACAGGATCCTGCGGCGGCTTCCTTCCCCCCCGTCCTTGACCCGATCCTCCTCTGCTCCGACCGCCTCGTGCAACCTTGCCCCTGTTTGACGGTGCTGGGTTGGGACCCTCCCGGCCCCCCTCACCATCCGGAGGAGCTCTTGCAGCTCCACGACCCCGGGCACCGGACATAGCGCCGAGGAAGTATCTGAGAACGACATGGTCAATCCAAGCTCTGACTTGCACACTGCAACTCAAAGGCCATGTCCTATAACGTCGCGTGCAACACACCACCTACACTTCACGCAACACTGCACTACTGGGCCGGAAGATAACATCACGACTGAATTTTACCATGTGCGAGCTTACTCTGATTGTCTGATATCAATTCCTATTTCCTTGTCCTCCCAAAAACTCAATCATTCTTTCATCTCGTCTTCCTCTTGCACGAATAACCCTTCCATCACTCTACCATCTTAAGGTTCCATGGAACTTCACGAACCCTGCATGAAGCTCTGAACAAACCAGCTCATAGCTTGTGCAAGATGGTGCAAAATCATCACAACAACAACCTGTCACCGTGCCTCGTCCTCTCCATCAACAAGCCCCCTTCCTCCGGCGAAGGAAATTTGCTTCGCACACAGCATCTCGTGCTGCTGAACCTTGTAACTTCATAAGGCTTGATCTAGCACAGCTCTCAGTTTCAGCACGTGACATCCTCCATCCTCGTGCATCATGACTACTTCTTCCCTTCCTCGTCTCTCTCGCTCCAGCTCGCCATTCTTCCTCCTCAAACTTTCTCCCTTGTGCGGCCAGCATGACCTGTCCCCGCAGGTCCTGCCACTGCCGCTAACCACCCCGTGATATTCCTTGCCTTACCCCCATGTGCCACCCTACCATCAGGGCTGACTCGACCACCCCGTGCTCCCGTTCATTCCACATTTTGCACCCACCCCCTTTAGCTTGTCTCCTAACCTTTAGAGGGTCTACTACCTTCGATGTGTTTATGGACGCCCCTTGGGGGTACTCCATTAGGACCCCTACCCCCCCAGGATGTGAACGATCAAGGGCAAGTGCGAGAGCGAGAGCAAGGAGCAAGTGCGAGAGCGAGAGAGGAGAGAGGAGAGAGGAGAGAGAGAGAGAGAGAGAGAGAGAGAGAGAGAGAGAGAGAGAGAGAGAGAGAGAGAGAGAGAGAGAGAGAGAGAGAGAGGGGAGAGAGAGGAGAGGGCTCGAAGAGGGCTCTCCTGGTCGTCTCGGGTCAAGTAAAGGAGATACTTTCATTCAAAGGAAAAAATTACATGGCTACGATGACCTACATCTTATTATTCACATTAAAAACAGACCAGTCACATGTTGCCGAGCCGAACCATCACTTATCCTCACCCTGCCTTCCCACTGTCCGTCAACCATGCCGCTCGTACACAAAGTTGCTCTCAGGCATCGGCACTGTGCTCCCCGAATGGAGAGGGGAGGGTGGATTGTTGGAGTTCCTTGCCATCAGAACTGGCGTCTGACCTGCAGAGGGAGTGCGGGACGACTCCATGATCATGTCAAAGGCTCCAGATATGGAGTTTCCTTGGTTAAAATGTCAGGAGGAGGACCATGGAGCAGCGAGCACGGAACCTGAGGCTGACGTAGAGGACCCTGACGTCCGGAACCACGGCAGATCGAAAGATGCTGAATTGCGGAAAGATCTCTTTTCTGAAACTCCTTTCGTCCACTCCCGCCCTCTTGTTGACATGAATTTGGCCCGTAGCTGCGAGGCAGAGGGCAGGCAAACATTAGTCGCGCATGGCAGCAAGGGGGTGATGGGGGTACCTGACGGGTTAACTGCTTCTTCTTTAGCAACCTTCGGTTTCTCACCTGAGGATGGGTCAGTCAGAGCGAGGGCGCGCTGACCCTCAGACCTTCTGCAGTTGAGAATGCTCCCGGAATATGTCATTGAATGTCGAAGAGATCACTAGATTTCAATCAGCCCCCACCCGCGCAAATTCTGAGAGAGTACCAGAAATAGGAAGAGCGACCATCACTACTCCCAAGATCGCACATATGCTTCCAAATAACTTTCCCACACCAGTTTGCGGGACCATGTCCCCAAATCCTGCAAAATCTGTCATAATCCGCGCGAGCGTTCCTCAAGAAGCCACAAGTTACAGGGAATCACATATCAGCTTACCAACAGTAGTGATGGTGACGATAGCCCACCACATCGTATCAGGTATTGATCTTGCAGGGAGTCATGGATTTCGCGAGTGTATGCATGGGCTACTCACAAGAAAGAATCGCTGTGGGGATAGACAGACGTGTTGTCCATTTCCGAATAATAAAGTAGGGCTGCATCAACCGTTAACAAGAAGTTGGAACTTCCAAGGCGCCAAATCACGGAGCAGAGAAATGGTGACCAGGTGAACTCACCTGAAAACAACAAGGAAAATACAACCATGCAGAAGAGTAGAAGACCCTGGACACAAGATGTCAAAGTGTGCTTCGGGGAGAGCATCTCGTTACCAATTCCGAGCGGCACGCAGCGGCAGTCTTCCATAACACAATGAGGCCATCCGAGTGCCTCGTAAGCTTGAAGATTCTGCATAGTCACACACTTGTTAGCATGGCAATGAAAGCATGTCACTCCACACCTCAGGACCCGCAAGACCCGAACTAATTTTGTTCCACCAATCCCTCTCGCATCTGATCCGACAGAATCAGACAGAGCGGCTTTAAAAATAACCTTCCAAAAAGTACATGACCAACGATGGTAATATTGCAACGACGTCCAAAATATTCAGTAGGTCCTTTAGGAAGGCAACCTAGGCAACCTTGTCTACGTTGACTATGAATCTGCAGAGGTTATGAAGGCAAGGAAAGGGAAAGGGAAAGGGAAAGGGAAAGGGAAAGGGAAAGGGAAAGGGAAAGGGAAAGGGAAATGGAAAGGGAAAGAAACAAAAACAGAACAGTTAGATGGAATTAGACGAGGGAGAGCAAGAGACCTTAGCAGAAATTCCACGAGGAAGTACATCACAAACGAGAAATCCATCTGCCTCACGATGTTCATGCTCATCTGGGAACGATCATTTGTAAGACTCGAGTCTACAACTTTGGAGAAGGGCAAAACACGACGAAATAGAGTGAACCAGCATAAAATTTTGCAAGCATGAACCAAGGAGAGAGCTATACCGGACTAGATTCGACCTCTGGTATAGTTTCTATGCACACAAGGACAACAGAGGATATTATCTAGAGAATTTTCGTTAGCTACTATAAAATAGAACGAGGATCCGAGATTTCTTACCAGCACAAGGGAGACCAAAGAAAGAAGCCAAGCTCTGATTGAAGACGAAGGCTCCTCCAACAGTATGAACAGCCTATTCCAGCAATGAGTGATAGAGCTCTCATCACCCGTTGGTGATCTCACTTGCGGCGCAATCCCCTTTTTGGTTTACCAGGACGTTCAGCGATTTTGTCTGTGTCGTATCGTGCTAGCATTTCTTTGATGCCCTGAATGAGAGAAATCAGCATAAGAAAAAGGTTCAAGAATAACAATTCACCGGTATGTCTGCCCTGTGCATCGAAAAATGCTGCAGTTCATTAATCCACGTTTCGGGAGCAAGATGAGGTGGCTAAACAACAAGGTCAAGGAAAGGTTCACCAGGTTCAAAAATGCTCAAATCTTACTCGGAGAGGCAAGACACCTTCCCTGTAAGAATTCAATATTTCCACAAATGCTAATGGATGGCGATCGAGAATCAACTGGATCAGACAAGTCAAATACCACGATAAGCAAACAAACTGATAACCTTCTCTTGATTGAACAGCACACCCGATGGTTCAGTCACTAGACTGGTCAACAAGGTTCCTACAAGTACGATGACAAGCATGTATGTCACCCTCAAATAAAAAAGTACCAGGATATCGTCGCAGGGTCCTTTCATATGTCACATTGATCAACCCTCCACAGATAATTGTAATCTTCCGTCCCTTCCCTTGGTTTGCCATCAACTGATAAATTGAGAATGAAAAAGATGAGCAGATCAGGAGGACATTCAACTTTCGAAAGTGCTCAACATACCTTCTCTTTAACTCCTAGCAGCACAGAGGTCCAATTCCGCACACAATTTTCAGAAGGGGAAGGCGAACCAATTCGTTTTTCCTCCGAGTAGCATGACCACCGACGCATGACCGGATCTGAGTTGGGTTGTTGAGGCAAAATGGCTTCCTCCGACCTTTGTTCATCTGGGTTGGACGCCCAACTTGGAATCCTCACTTCCATGATGTCCAACCACTCGGAAATCCCTGATTTTGAGTTTGTTGTGTCGTCTACCACTCCCTTTGAATTATCACTCTCCACCCCATCGTCCTTCTCTGATCGTGAATTTTGACCCTGTCCCCAAGAGAGAGGGCCGGTCACCCTGGAAGCGAGAAGACACCATCAGTTTCCAGCAACAAACAAAAGACCTGTTGGTCCCAGCAAACCTGGATGAAGCCGAGGTCGGTGAAGGAACGCGTCCGTTAGCATGCTGCGGACCGTCCGCGGGCTCTTCATCCGCGGACATAGGTTTTGAGTTCGATTTCAGTTCCCAGTTGCGATGCAATGATAGCTTCCTCATTGGAAATGAATTGGATCTTTCCATCGCCGGGAAATCCATCTCGGCGTCTGCTAGCGAGTCGTTGATGATCAGCTTCTCTCCCAGAGTGTCAGCATGCAAGTATTCTCGTTCTCCATCATCGAGTGTGATCTGAGCTGTAGCTGTGGGGTTACTGGAATGAGCAATTGCATCTAACACCTTTTCTTGGGATTTGTTTTTCAGAACATCACCATTGAGAGCTGGGATCAGGGCCTCAAACGAGTATCTCCTCGGAGGGAAGGAATTGAGGCGTGCTCTTCTTACTCCGTCCTCCTGACTTTCAGATAAAATGTCAGGAGGACGATGGCTCGCCATGGGTGCACCGAGGAGGGCTAATGCTTCACTTGGAGCATGGATTGCAATATTTAACGGAAATCATTTCCAGCAGTTTGTGATTGACTCTATTGACCTCCAATCTGATATGCACAGTCTGAGCACTGCTTGGGTTCAAAGCACCAGTCATGCATAGGAACTCTGAGCTTCATAGGCTGCGATCCGATAAAGTGACGTGTGCGTCGCTTCAAGTTTCAATAGACTGCAGGATAGGTAGGGTTGTTTGAAATAAGAAAACGCACACCTCCTCACAAGACGAAGATGTTCTCACGTTCTCATCCCCTCCTCCATACCCAACACTATAATGAGCTCAATATTCGCATCCTCATCTTCACTCCCCTCCTTCTTTCGCACTCCCCAGCACCGCCGCTGCTAGTGCAGGGCCTCGACATGTTCGAAGATTTAGAGAGTGATTGTAAAAGGGTTTTATGAGATAATGTATTATAGATAAAAAGTTATAGAATAACATCTGGTACTCTGACCGCGATCCTTATAGATCGAGGTATCGCTCTGGACAGTATTGACAAATGAGGATGGGCTTACTTTTGTACCATAAAATATTTTCGACTTTTAACAATAAATTGTACCCAGCCCCTACCTCCCCAACATCATGGATAAAGTTGCATGATTGGTAGGGTACTCATCGAGGCTAAAATAACAACTTGTACAGAAAAAGTCTGGAAGTTGTAAAAAGATGATAGTGAAAAATACATATATATATATCTATAATTTAATCTTAAAAATGTTCTCAGCCAAATTGGCCCCCCGGACCCTCCCGTTGGACTGTTCATGACCCACCCCACAAGAGGACAACCCTGACCCTCCTGATAGCGATTTCCGTCCCCTACGTCCACTACCCCCCTTATCGCCCCTTGGCACCCCCAATTAAACGTTAACCTACAGGCCCCCGGAGGGGTATTTCGGTGGCCCTTGGAATCATTGACCCACCCCCTTCTCCTGAGTATCCAAACGTATCCCAGGAGGGGTACAAGGTTGTGATGTAAAGCCACCCGGATGAGTGAGCACGATGTAACACAAGACCGTTACTACTATAACTTTATTATCTCATAAATGTAACGGTCAGTCGCAACTGGCAGGTTCAGTCTTTTGTAACGTTGCAACTGAGACATAACTGTCACTCCAAGGGGCACGATGCTGCAGTGGAGGGTGGGCGAGGGGAGAGCAGTAGAAGTGCGGCAAGGAGCCGTACAAGATACGGTGAGGTCAGAAAGCTCGAGACATGTTGGTTGGATGGAGCCGCCAGCTAGACGCATCTTCAGGTCCAGGAAATCTGTCATGCTGGCCGACCAGCAGTAGAAGAGACAAGTGTAGATGAGGTAGAATTGATCGGATATCGCAGATGGATCGTAAGGTGAAGGATGAAGAGGGGAATGGAATCGTGTGTTGTTCAAAGTTGATGGTTTTGCGCTCCGTGTCTCGATGTGAGCCGGTGCATCTCATCCATTGTGACATATGAGGGTGGAAGTGACCCGAAGCAACTGTTTTCCTCTCCTGACGAAGTTGATGAGACGATCTCGTTGAGTGTTTGTCTTTCAGGTTTGTGAGCGACCTCCGGAACAATGAGGGGCCCCAGTCGTTGGCCCGGCTCACTGGCTTGCATCAGCCTGGTGGTTGCCGTGGTGACAATTTGTATCATTCCGTACGCGAGGAAGGAGAATGTTCCGGTCGAGATGACGGCGAACAACTTCCAGAAGGGTGCGAGAGCAGCCGAGTTGAGATTTCATCGCACCTTTCAGCTGGCAACGAGGGACAAGGAGGAGTACAGGAAGCAATCGCGGCTGGCAAAGAAAGATTCGATGCTTGCAACTTCATTCCACAAGGCCTCTCAGAAGCTCTCCAGTAACGCTGTCAAGCTGCATGAGGAATCCGAATCCAACAATCTGAAGCTAAAGGAGGACTACAAGGAGATATCCAGGGACATGCGACGCCTTCAAGTGCAAAGGAGTGCCCTGGGTCTGGCTAGAAGACAAGTCGAAAAGGAGGAAGCGCTGAACAAATTCATGGAGGCATCAATCCCCCACGTGCAGACAGAATTAAAATATGTCGATGGAAAGATGGACGATTTGCGTCGTGCGAAGGGTTTGATTGAGAAGGAGCTGAAGAAGGGTATCCAAGAAGATCATGCTGCTCGAGTCCTCGCAGACAAGTCACGGGTTGAGCTGGATCGTTATCAACAGCAGGCAGTTCATGCTCGCCAAGAAATGAATGAAGCCAACACAAGAAAAGCCATTCTCCTGTCTCAAGCCAAGGTAGCGAGCAAAAAGGCTCGTTTCCTCCAGGCAATGGCTGGCCATTCACAGGGCAAAGCTAATGAGGGAGAGATCGAAGGTCTGGCAAATAGATACGAGCTAGAAGCATCATCTCTGAAACACAAAGCTTCAGAGAGCAGCAAGGTGGCCTCCTTGTGGGATGCGAAGGCGAAAGAGTCTCTCACTTACCTCACTATGCTGATGGACAACGCCAAATCTGCTGCTTCTTATGTGGAAGATGTAAGGGGGCTTGGAAGTAAGATGATGCTGGAGCACAAGGAGGAAAAAGAGCTCGCGCATGAAAAAGCAAGGTTGTTGCGAAGATTGAGGGACGAGAAGAAAGAAGAAGACAAAGCTCTGGAGCGATTGCACCTGAGCAAGAAAGCTTTGCAGATTGGTGAGAAGAAGACAGAAGATAGTGAGAAACGATTGAAGGCGATAGAGAGGAACTATCAAGCCTTGGGAGAAGAAGATGCAGACAAGGACAAGCATGCGAGGATCTATCTTCAAAAGGCTTGGTTGGATGACAGACAGGCAAGGGACCTAGGAGCTGCCGCTCAGATGCACCAGAACGCAGCCTTGGTAACTTTGTCATTGACTTTATGTTAAGCTGACTCTTGCCAGGAATTGTCAAGTGCTTCAAGAGCTGAGGCGACAGAAGGAAAGGCACTGGTGCAGGAAGCTCGCGACCTTCTCAAGTTTTCCAAGTATAACGGGGAAGCCAAGAAGGAGCATGAGGAATTGAAAACTTTAAGTGGAAGGAGAGACCATGTCTCTTCTGTTATTGGTTGGTGACGACACTTGTAAATGTTACAACTACTGGTCTCATTGGAACTTCCTTTCCCTTACTTCTCTCAAAACCTACTTCACATGAAGGCCATTGAACCCCTGAAGATTCTTCAGCATTAATGATAATGTCTCCTCACTTCTTTCGGCTTGAAATCCTGACAGTGCAAAGTTCCATCTTCGCAAGAAAAAGAAGGAAAACAACAACCTGCAAGTCCTGCTGCCTCTGTACTTGTTTCGCCACTTTCGCCGCCCACTCCTCCCGGCATTCCTTGTTCGCCTGCCATTGGATCAACGAGAGGTGCAACTTGCACGTGCAGTCTCACTTCCAGCTGCCTTCTGCTTCGAATCGCTCTCATCTTGAAGTAGACAGTCAACCGGAGACAGGTCCCTTAAACAGTACTGACCTCCTTCTGAGTCTCAAGGAGAGGCTTGATGTTCTTGAGCATCTCTTCCATAGCCTGTTCAAAAAAATTGTCCCAGTGACCTCTCATACCTAGCAGGACTCTATCGTTCTATCTCTCATACCCGCTGCAAGACTTTGCGCCAGTTCCTGTGCGAGAAGATGCTGGCAAGTTGCGACAGGTCAGCATGGCACCTGTGATACAACCACGAGTACCTTGCTCCTTTGGCCCTTCTTGTGATTGCAAGGATCTCAATCCAAACGTCCCCGTCCCGGTCTGCCTTCTCGTCTTCCATCGTGACTTCAAATTTCAATTCTCCCTCGAAATTGTTTCCCCTGCCAGATGTCAACGAACCGTTCATGACTGCTCCCATTGCTCACATCAGGGTGCTGCAGCCCATCGACCAAGTGAGCGTCTCTCCTTTGTTAGAGGCGTCGGACGCGGTTGATGTTGCGTTTGATTGGTCCTGAGCTTCAGCCCTCGGCAGGGGATCACAGTGAGACATCTGGGCATACCATGTGATCTCAGTTTGCCGCAGCGACAAGCAAGAGAGGCATTCACCCTCCATGGCAAGACAGCATAGCCGAGTCTGGTCTTGATCGTAATAGCAAGATTGTCGCGTTGAATCTTCTCAGGCACGAGAGCTTGCTGAGTTGCTAAATGTGCGCTGGCGCAACAACCCAACGGTCATGATCAGAAGCATCCGAGGAGAAACAAACCCGAGCCAATCAACCGTGTCCAACACCCGCAGCGACTTGACGGCATGGCAAGATTCGACAAAATCATCGTACCCGTGACCAACCTGACACAAAGCAAGAGAGTCAAGAGTTCACAAGACCTCTACGGTCAGCCGCACAAACCTTCATCTTCTTCTTGAAGCACGAGAACCCAGGTGGAACTTGCGATTTCATCGTCAGGCCGCTCAGCTCATGATTGATCGGCAGGTTCGTCAACGTGGGCAAGAACTCGTTCTTCATGTATTTTGCATTCGGTCGGAGGAAGGTCATAGTTGGATATTGGCTCTGAATGATCACCGGCCAACCCCCTTGCACTTTCTTTCTCAGACTGTACGCCATATATCCTGCTGCTCCTGCTGACAGTACGTAGCTAGCCTCCTTTGGATTCCTCCAGATCGCGCCTCCGATGCCTGCAACAATGCCCATCACGCCCACGCTCCTCCTGCTGTCGCCGGCTTCAGTGGTCTTCCCCTGGGCCTCGCGTGCTCTCTTTGAGAATGGAGCGATGGGTTCGTCAGAGCCTGGCGTCCACTTTATGTCAACCTGGAAGGAACGTGAGGAGGATCACATATCTTCCTCGTGCCCGCTCACCATGGCCAGGCAGCCTCGCAGCCTTCGGCTGGACTGATGGAGATGTTGAATGGTCGAATCAGCCGGAAGAAAGCCTCCACATAACAAAGTGCCGAGAAGAAGCTTCTGAATTAAAGCCATGCCGATCTAGGAACCCTTCAAGACCTGTCAAGACGTTTCAATGTCAAGATTTCATCACCAAAGAATGATCGCTGCCGCCTGTTCTGCATTTCGACCGAACCGTAGTCTTGGATTCGTGTACCGCTTTTCTAGTCCATGCAACTGACATTCTGGACCCATCATTCCAACACTTACACACGTTCTGATACGTATACACCTTCTTTCTCTCTCTCTCTCTTTCTCTCTCTCACTGACCTTCCCCTGTTTGTTATCTCCTCACTCTTCCTCGTCCTCGTCTTTCAATTTTCTCTTTCGGAAGTTTCTCAACCTCTCTCCCTCGGTCTTCAGGCACTATCTTTGCTCTTCCCGTTTGCTGCCGCCTCTATGTGCCATCCGCCACCTCCTTCTTCCTCTGTACAATCTTCGTATCAGCATTCCTCTTGTATTATCACCCTTTTCCTTCCTCCGCACTCACGCCTTGGGGCTCTCCTACCCTCCCTGCATGCTTTCTCGATCGCTCTAGTCGCATGCAGAGTCGCATGGACCATGAGATGGGGAATGAGGGCGATGAGAACGGGGGCCCGGTCACCGGGTGCAAGACCGTACCGTACTACGGTACGTTCAGTGCCGCGGTACCCGTCATGACAGCCTGTCGACCGAGCAGCATCATTGTGATGTACGGTCACTAAGTCAAGTTCAGTCATTAGATGGTACAGACAAGCACAGGATTACACCATTCATATACCCGAGTCAGAGGACAAGCTGTACAGACAAGTACAGGATTACACCGCTCAGTGGGCAAGGCGGAAGCTAGATCACTACTACTATAATGATTAGACTCTCAGCGAGACTGTACAGACAAGTACAGGATTACACCATTCATGCACCCGAGTCAGAGGACAAGGCGGAAGCTAGATATACTATGCTATGGTCAGAGTGTGGCCTGAGCCTCGGACCGTCTCATCATCCGACCGACACTGACTGAAATATTTCTCTGCAGCGCTTTCAACAAATAGAAAACCCGAACGAGGTTCGAGTTGCCAGATTGAGTCCTCCTGCCCGTTAAAATTCTCCAAGTCCTTTACAGTTCCAAAAGCTTTTCTGCGCTCTGTAGGAAACGGGTAAGGGCCCGGCAAGTCGAACTCAGGGGGCAGTTGCTAGTGAACGACAAGCAACGGAATGAAATTACCTTCCGAATGCCGGAAGCTATCTTCCAGAATGATCTTCGAGGGCTTTCACCTTCATCCTCGGCCTTAAACTGCGAGTCAAGCTCAGTCAGAGCAACGGTAGGACGCCATCAATCTTGGCTATCACCCGCATTGCTGCTTCTTTCTTGACGTTCACAGTTCCATTCTTCCACATCTCAAGGATCTGGGGTTCTGTTCCATATGTTCCCGAGCTCATACCAATGTCTACTCTCCAGACCGCGCCATCACACGCGCTATTTATCGTCTTGCTTTCTTGTATGGTGTGCCCGATCACCATGCGCCTGACATCTCCAGGAAGAGCTTTCAGAGTTGCGTTGAGAGTGGCGCATGTGCCTGCATCTATATGTGTCCCCCCGTATCGTCTCATCCATACCATGCTGTCAGGCGTGCTTGCTGCTGGCAACGGCAGTCCATCTTTCTCGCCGCGGAAAAAGGCTGATACTTCCTCATTGATCTTTTTCAACGCCTCTGACGGGTTCTCGTGTCCGATAATGTGATCAAGATCGATTCCAGCATGCACAAACAGAGTTTGCCCGACAATCAAAGCTGTTGTTCTTTCCTCAGCCAAGATTGTTCTTGATATCATGCCTCCAGGATGCAAAGCCATGTACCTGCTTAGACCGGCAGATCCAGACAGCCTGGAAGCTAATTCATGACATTGCAAGTTGCTAGCATGGCATTCGAGGGGCCCTTCATGTAAATCACAGAGATTTGCGTGAAACTCTTCTTCCGTTAAGGTTGAGTTGTTCATGCATTGCCTTTGCCATCGAAAGAAATTTTCCAAAGCTCCACGTGTCGCATATCTTGCTGTATGTGTAGACAAGATTTCATGGTTCCCTATCAATACGTGGAGAGCCCCTTCATGTTGGCGTGCCTGAACAGCAAGCTTGCGAAGGAGAGACAAGATTTGAAGCTCGTCATCCCCTCTATCAAGCTGATCTCCTACTTGGACAACTACAGTCTTGCCACCAACCCACTCGTCCCTCTCTGGATGCAAAACCTCTGCGAGTCTTAAAGCCCGTCGTGTTGCTACAATGTCTCCGTGGAGGTCTCCAATAGCTACCAGACGATCGGGTTGAGGTAGAGGGGTTCCATCAAGATGTGCCGCGATCCGATGTCGCTTATCCTTGTCGTCCTGCAAGCCAGCCAACTCCTGGATCGTGAGGGCCAGGACACAGACCATCAACAAACACCGCATGCTCATTTGAGACTACCACACACTACGATTTTTGCGTCTTGTCAACTATCTGCCAGAAGAAAATCCTGAGGGATAATCGGTGTCTTTAAACACTCAAAAGCCAAGGATCGTTCAGTTGTCGAATTTAACAAGATTCAATCTCTTCGAATGAATAGGGGTACTCCTTCGTATCAGCAAGCTCACTTCGCATGGCAACTCTCAACGGCTGATCGAGTCACAATCGTCACTATTCAGTTGGATGTCCTCCTTCTTCCCTTGAGTCGGTCTGAGCAGTATGTACTTCCTGCCTTCCCAGCATGGAGCGGCCACCCTACCCACCGTTGCCCTTTTGACCATCCAACTTTGACCACTGCCGGGCAGCCTGGGCACTCCGCCTCGCCGACCGGCCCCGGGCGGCCGCCGCGGGCCGCCGCCCTCAGGCCCCGGTCAGTACGGTGCTGAGACGGTGAATCCCGAGTCCAGTTCTTGCCATCTCGCGACAAAACCGAGATGTGAGCTACCGTATCCAACATTTCCTCCAACTTGGGGAGATGGGAGACCAGTGCTGAAACTAGAAGAAGGTGTTTCTCAGTTTTGAACACTCAGCCGAAGATGGTAACCGGCCGGCCCCCGGGCCGCGGGCCATGCCATCTGACAGTGATCGGGCCCGGCCCCGGAGTCCATTAGCCTGCAATTGCGCAAGTTCAAAATCCTCTACGTGATGATCTTCAGGGCCATGTTGGGCCGGGAAGATACGTTCTGCCTGGTGCCTGGAACGCCTTGCAACCGTTGGCAAGTTGCACGGCCCGGCAGCCTCGGAGGACCGCCCCGCGATCACACTCCTGAATCTTTGCCACTCTGATGATGAGCCGGGTGCTGAGGACCGTCGGCCGGCATTGCACTTCAGCCTGAGTCTCATGCCGCATCAGTCCATAGCCTGCGGGAGAAGATGGTGGCATCATACGGTACTTTGGACGCAGTGCGGCGCCTGGAGGTTAACTGGCAATCCATGAAGAAACTTGTCAGCTGCCAGATCGTGCGGTGAGGGGTAAACTGAGACAGAAGTTCATCAACCGGGTGGCCCGAATACTGCAGAACCGAGCCTCGGAAACTTCTCATCATGTGAGGGCTTGAGCCGTGAGCTCCGCCCCGCTGGGCGGGGATGACTTGAAAAGCACTACCACACGTCCCAGATAAATCAGGCGAGGGGATCCAGTCATTGACGCTCGGCATGATGAAGCTCCGCCAAGGAGGTGTATTCCGGAGGCTGTGCTGAGTGTCCAAGAAGGCCAAGCCTGCCCTCCTCGATTGTCCTCGTACTGATTTTTAACTTAACTTTGAGTAGAGGTCGGACTCAGCCGTAAATGATGATGTGTGGGGTTGACTAAAACTTTCCGAGCTGGGACGAGGAGCGACTCGGCCAGCAGTTTGTGCTGGGAATCATGGTGGAGTGCCGAGAGCAGCGTGAAGGGCAAGGAACGATGAGCGGGGTGGAAGGAGAAGTAACTTACTTCATTGATAGAGGAGGTGAAATTAGATGAAGTGGAGAAGATATGACTCAGAGCAAAAAGAATGAGAAGTAGGGAGAGAAAGATGCAGGAGTAGGAGAGGAAGGGGGGAGGAAGTTCAGAAGAGGGGAAAGGATTGGAGAAGGAAACTTGAAAGATTGAAATTCTTTCAGGTCTTCGAATTATGGAAGGAATGTTTGATTTTCGGCAAGACATTGTGCCAGCATCAGAATTACAGCAAACGTTGCCGGCTGCTGCAATAGGTGTCGAAGACAGATCTTCAACGATACTTCTCGACATTCCCAACGTGGGACGATACACACGCGATCCGACGGACATGGAGAAGAAGAGAGCCTGGAGCTCCGTGAGTGCACATGGACCTAGCAAGATTCTGCGACTTTCGCTCGCCCACCCTCTCCACAAGATCAATCAGTGTGTCATCGTTGAGATCCCTGCAATACCAGAACTTGGCAGCCTCATGCACTGTGATCCATCATGGGTAGACCATCAACTGTTGCATCATGTTTTGAGAAGCATGGCAACTCAGATGATTGCTTCAGACTTGGTCACTCAACAAGATATCTGCTTCTTGTTTTTTCACCGTGCTCTGGCTCTGCTGACGACAGAAAACTTAAGTGCGCTCGATGCCCTCTGGACAAACACGATGCTTGAAGAACCACGAGGTTTCATTGAAGATTTGATTCGAATCAATCGATTGACTTTCACACAGTAGAAAGTTTGAATCAAGAAGACATCTTTCAACAAACAATTGGGGTGATTTTGTTGATTGCTATACTGAGTTTTGAATGTTGAAACTTGGTTTAAGCCGAGAGAGAATCCTTACAAATATCAAGCCGTAATTTTTAAAACAGTGAGCTTGATTCCTGACCTGATTGTCATAATTTGAAATTGGTCAGATTTTTGACATCTTTGACATTTCGATACACTTTTGTGCTGATGCAATGAAACGGCAACAAATTTTAGAGGTGATGCGAAATTGAGTACATTCAAAAGATTGATAGCGATTGTCATGGAAGGGACTGGCGTTAACCAGCGGAGCCACAGTTGGAATGCTCGCAAAAGTTGACAGAAGGTGAGATCGATTCTGAAAAGTCGATCAACAAAACTTGACCTGTACCAGAGATGATCTGGAAGAAGAATTGATACAAACAAGGATAGAGACGGATATCATGGAAAAGGCCACAAGAAAGGTTTTATGTTCAAAATGCAAAACAAAGCGTGCAAGTATCAATCTAAATATCAGCATTGAATCAAGAACCGCATCGAACTTGATACGTGTCAAGACTAGCTCCCTCGGACAGTCTACAACCAGCCAATCGATCTCCAGACTCGGATTGTCAATTGGCCTGGAACACTCAAAGTCGACAAGCAGCAAAGCGATCAGCTTCAGTGACGAAATTGGTTTCACAACGAAAATAAATCTGAACACAGGTACAAATCTTGAAAGACCAAGTAATGCAACAGCCTTCAACGAATCGAGCAAGGGAGCAGGGCTCAGCCCATCCAGCACGGGACCAGGCTTCGGCTTATTCAGCACGGGAGCAGACTTCGGCTCGTCGAGCACGGGAACAGGCTTCGGCTTCGGCTTCAGCTCATCAAACACGAGAGCAAGCTCCGGCTTCGGCTCGTCGAGCACTGGAGCAGGCATCGGCTTCGGCTCGAGCACGGGAGCAAGCTCCGACTCGTCGAGCACGGGAGCAAGCTCCGGCTCGTCTAGCGCGGGAGGAGGCATCCGCTTCGGCTCGAGCACGGGAGCAGGCATCGGCTTCGGCTCGAGTACGGGAGCAGGCTGCAGCTCGACGAGCACAGGAGCAAGATCCGGCTCGTCGAGCACGGGAGCAGGCATCGCCGTCGGCTCGTCGAGCACGGGAGCAGGCATCGCCATCGGCTCGTCGAGCACGGGAGCAGGCACCGGCTTCGGTTTGTCGAGCACAGGAGGAGGCATCGGCTTCGACTCGTCGAGCACGGGAGCAGGCACCGGCTTCGGCTCGTCGAGCACGGGAGCAGGCATCCGCTTCGGCTCGTCGAGCACGGGAGCAGGCATCCGCTTCGGCTCGTCGAGCACGGGAGCAGGCACCGGCTTCGGCTCGTCGAGTACGGGAGCAGGCACCGGCGTCGGCTCGTTGAGCACGGGAGCAGGCACCGGCTTCGGCTCGAGCACGGGAGGAGGCGTCGGCTTCGGCTCGTCGAGCACAGGAGGAAACTTCGGCTTCGGCTCGAGCACGGTAGCAAGCTCCGGCTCGTCTAGCGCGGGAGCAGGCACCGGCTTCGGCTCGAGCACGGGAACAAACTTCGGCTTCGGCTTGTCGAGCACGGGAGCAGGCATCGGCTTCGGCTTGTCGAGCACGGGAGCAGGCATCCGCTTCGGCTCGTCGAGTACTGGAGCAGGCATCGGCTTCGGCTCGTCTAGCACAGGCATCGGCGTCGGCTCGTCGAGCACGGGAGCAGGCATCCGCCTCGGCTCGTCTAGCGCGGGAGGAAACTTCGGCTTCGGCTCGTCGAGCACGGGAGCAGGCACCGGCTCGTCGAGCACAGGAGCAGGCATCGGCTTCGGCTCGTCAAGCACAGGAGGAGGCACCGGCTTCGGCTCGTCAAGCACAGGAGGAGGCATCGGCTTCGGCTCGAGCACAGGAGCAGGCATCGGCGTCGGCTCGTCGAGCACGGGAGCAGGCATCCGCTTCGGCTCAAGCACGGTAGCAAGCTCCGGCTCGTCTAGCGCGGGAGGAAACTTCGGCTTCGGCTCGAGCACGGGAGCAGGCACCGGCTTCGGCTCGTCGAGTACAGGAGCAGGCATCGGCTTCGGCTCGTCGAGCACAGGAGCAGGCATCGGCGTCGGCTCGTCGAGCGCGGGAGGAGGCATCCGCTCGTCGAGCACGGGAGCAGGCATCGGCTTCGGCTCGTCGAGCACGGGAGGAGGCGTCGGCGTCGGCTCGTCGAGCACGGGAGCAGGCATCCGCTTCGGCTCGAGCACGGGAGGAAACTTCGGCTTCGGCTCGTCGAGTACTGGAGTAGGCATCGGCTTCGGCTCGTCGAGCGCGGGAGGAGGCATCGGCGTCGGCTCGAGCACGGTAGCAGGCATCGCCGTCGGCTTGTCGAGCACGGGAGCAGGCATCCGCTTCGGCTCGAGCTTGGTAGCAAGCTCCGGCTCGTCGAGCACGGGAGGAAACTTCGGCTTCGGCTCGAGTACGGGAGCAGGCATCGGCTTCGGCTTGTCGAGCACGGGAGCAGGCATCGGCTTCGGCTCGTCGAGCACAGGAGCAGGCATTGGCTTCGGCTCGTCTAGCACAGGCATCGGCTTCGGCTCGTCGAGCACGGGAGCAGGCATCGCCGTCGGCTCGAGCACGGGAGCAGGTACCGGCGTCGGCTCGTCGAGCACGGGAGGAGGCATCGGCTTCGGCTCGAGCACAGGAGCAGGCATCGGCGTCGGCTTGTCGAGCACGGGAGCAGGCATCCGCTTCGGCTCGTCGAGCACAGGAGCAGGCATCGGCTTCGGCTCGTCGAGCACGGGAGCAGGCATCGGCTTCGGCTTGTCGAGCACGGGAGCAGGCATCCGCTTCGGCTCGTCGAGCACAGGAGCAGGCATCGGCTTCGGCTCGTCGAGTACAGGAGGAGACATCGGCTTCGGCTCGTCTAGCACAGGCATCGGCTTCGGCTCGTCGAGCACGGGAGGAGGCATCCGCTTCGGCTCAAGCACGGTAGCAAGCTCCGGCTCGTCGAGCGCGGGAGGAAACTTCGGCTTCGGCTCGAGCACGGGAACAAACTTCGGCTTCGGCTCGAGCACGGGAACAAACTTCGGCTTCGGCTTGTCGAGCACGGGAACAAACTTCGGCTTCGGCTCGTCGAGTACGGGAGCAGGCATCGGCTTCGGCTCGTCGAGCACGGGTGCGGCGTTTGCAATTTCGAGTGGTTCTAGATGTGGTTGTGGTGGAGGGTTTGGTTTTAGCACTGAGAGCGCTCGAACGATCAAGAGCACCTTGTCTCCGCCCTATGCATCGACAAGAGGTCCTGATGGGATTTCCTCCAATGAGACGGGACATTTTATGTCGATTTCGCACATGGATGCTTACGCTAATGAATCATTCGAGGAGCTGAGATATGGCGATTACGAACAGGGTCGAAGATTTAAAGGTGTAACAAACCTGTCAACTTTGAACGTTGATTCGTCCTCCTGTACTGCTGGTGCAAGGAATCCGTTCGGTACAAGTAGTACTCCTACGGTTTCATTTTTGAGGTCAAACGCGGAAGAATCAAGGTCTGACATATCCAATGACCCTTCGAGACCTCAAGATCCCAGATTTGCGGAGGCAAAGTTTGTGCAGTTCGATCAAGGAAGGATTAAGTTTGAAGAGACAGGATCCTTTGGCGTTGGATTCGTGAAGGCTGTCTATCCTTTGAGCAGAGAATATCCTTATTTTGAAGTAATGATTCTCAAAGAAGCAGACTGCAACCTCGGAATCGCTGTTGGTGTTTCCTGCACAACATTCGTTGTTGGAGCTATGGTTGGGAAACAGGTCGGATCTATCGGTTATCATAGCCATGATGGAAAGTTACACGCCTGTTTGAAAGATGCCCTTTCATCCATTCAAGTTGAAATGGGGTCACTGTCCATGACAGGCGACAGGATTGGATGTGGGATAATCTGCGCACCCAATCTAACAAATACGATCTATTTTGTGCGCAACGGAACTGAAATCGGACGGGTGGCTGTTGATTCTGATATGTCGTTTCCCTTCGCTACGATCACCTCTAGCAAAGGAGCCGTCGTGGCCTATGACTGCAAGCCCTTACCTCCTTGTCCAGTTTTGCCTGCTTGCATATTGAAGACTTCCAGTATTGATGTTCTTGACAAGGTCACAGGCAACTGGAGAAAGGCAAAGAAAGTTGGAAAAGAAAGTCGCCTAGGAGTTCCAATCATGTTTGAAGGGTCTGAAATCCTGCATTACGCAAAAGTCGAAGAGATCAAGACTGCAGCTGCACCTACTGCTGTTGAAGTTGAGTGTCCAACCTTATACCAAGCTCTTGAAATGCTGCAAGAGAACGAAATCATCGTACTGAAGAACATCAAATGTGCTCAATACTTCCTATCCCCCCTTGAGATAAAGAAGCCTTGCAGCATAGTCGGTGACACTGATAACCATGATGTATTCAAGGTCATTTCGGTTGGGCCTTCAGTACTGAAGATTTCTGCAGCGAAGGTCCAACTAGAAAATTTTGAAGTCCTTGCATTGTCGTCGAACAGGAAAACTTTGGGCGTGACAGAAGGTGGTTGTTGTGGAGTGTTTCTTGCTTCAGGTTCTTTGACAATTAAGAACGTTCACATCAAGTGTCCGAATGGTTCTGCCATTTACGTGGATGACAAGGGCTGTGGTGGTCTTACAGTCGATGCCTGCAAGATCGGGCCCTGTGGCAGGCATGGAGTGATCTTGAATGCTTGCATTGAGGAGATCATTGTAAAACATTCAAGTATCGAAGGCTGCGAAAGGTATGGGCTTGTTCTGAATACTCGTGTGAAGGCAAATTTCTCAAACTTAACCATCGCAGCTTGCGATTACGGTATCTCGTCTGTTGAAGCAGCTTTCAAAGTGTCTGATATAACAATCAAAGCCTGCAAACAAGCAGCTCTTCGCGCTAAGTGGAGTGGTCATTATAAAGAGCAAATCTGTTTGGAGGGATGCACGCTGGAGCATTGTTTGAAACCAATCGTTGCCGAAGGAAGCAATCTAGAAGTCATCGTACCCTCTTCTTGTATCATCGAAAATTGCTCATTAAGGAATGAGATCAAATCAGGTGCAAAGATTGACTGGAAAGATGATCCAGATCCCATACAAGTTACAGAACCTTTCACTGAAAAAGATAACCTTAATCGATACATGAAATTGCTTCTCGGTCTTGGAACAGAGGTGCTTGCAAAGGTGGTAAAACGATGTTACAAAATAAGATCTAACAAGAATTGGCATAAGCAAGCAGGAAAAGAAATCGCATCTCGAATGAGTGATTTCGACCGTTCTAAACTTGGCGATTCTATTGATAAGTTGAAAGGAAAGGAAATTGAAACTTGGGATATTACGCTGCTGTCCGCCTTACTGTTGAAAAGTCCACGCTACATTGAAAGGCAGAGGGAGGAAAAGGCCGTGGAGACGCTGCGAGATCTGAGAAATGACTTGGTTCATTCCAACAGCTTCTCCGACATGCAAATGGATCACAAGCAATTCCAACAGAAGTGGGGAGAAGTAAGGGATTCGTTAGAGATCTTGGTAAAGTCTTTCCTATCCTCAGAACAACCCCGACTGATACAGCGTATGGACATGCTTTACAAAGAGCGGTCTGAAGTCAAGGACACGAAGGATGATGTCTCTCAATCGATCGACACAGTTTTCCTAACGCTGAGGGAACTTGTACTGGAGATGAAGAGGATGCAAGACAGAGAGTCGTCAAGATCGAGAGAGTCGATCGAAGATCGTGCTACAAGTCAATCACACAATGAGATGAAGGTTCCAACAATCTGTGTTTTGAAGGATCATGGAAAGTTTTCCATCTCTTCGAAAGCAGGGGCGGCTGGCTCCTCCGTGTATGCTGCATCCAAAGAGGGGACTGACGAGATGTTTGCGTTGAAATTTTTCGAATTTCCACCAGGTCTGAGGAGAGACGAAGTGAGACCTGTGCTGCAGAAGTTGGTCTCTGTTCAACATCCAAATGTGGCTCCATTCCTGGGCTGGGACTATCACACCAATCACATAGTAGTCGTCATGAAGTTCGTTCGCGGGATCTCTCTCGCCCAGTGGATGCTGGGTCAAACCACAAGGGGAAGGGCCTCGACTGTCAAGCGCAGGCGTATGTTGCTGCAACTCGCTGACGGAGTCTCAGCTTTGCATCATGTGGACTTGGCGCATCGGAACATCAAGCCCGTCAACGTGATAGTTGACGAGGAGGCAGACGTTGCCACGTTGGTTGACATCGGCTGCTTGACTGATGGCAAGATAGACGGAGAGTGGCAGAGGAAGCCGGCGTCTGCATGCATGTACATGAGCCCTGAGGAGCTGCGGGGCGTGAGAGGCAGCTCCTCTGTCATGAGCGACGTGTGGGCCATGGGCATCATCGGCTATGAGATGCTTGCTGGGTGCTATCCCTTCCTGCTGAAGCAACCAGAAGCTTCAGGACGCTCAGCTGGAGGGCAGCTGGGCCCTTGCGAGGCTGTCCAGGACAAGGAAGCTCTCATTCGCATGGTGACGGAGCAGCCGTTGGCTCCCTCCCTCACTCTCCATCCGCGGGTCTTGCGAGTGCTAAGGAAGGCGGCGGACAAGGACGCAGGGAGGAGGCACAAGGACGCCGCGGAGTTTCGGGCGGAGCTGTCTGCTGCCTTTACAGCTGAGCCAGACGCGCGAGAGGCGGCAAGTCAGTCTAGTGATGCCGCATGCGATCTCTCAGTCAAGGAAGTCGCTTCGATCTTTCGTCAGTGCAAGTTTGAGGAGGCGGCAGTCGCTGTTGAGGCCAACGGGGTGGATGGTAAGACCCTGTTGCTGCTCGACGACGACGATTTCTGCAGAGCAGCAGCTGAGGGAGGACTGGGCCTTACCCGCCTACAAGCGAAGAGAATCCGAGCAGAGATCATGCGCTATGAGGAGCAGTGAGGGGACCGTACTCAGTGACTAGAACCCTGCCAACCTTTGCACTGACTAATGAATGTGAATAAAATCGGGTTGAACCGGGTCGGACTGAATCCGGACCTGACCTGCCTCCCTGGGATCGTGTCGCATGAGTTGGCGGGCACGGGCCGCCGCCGCCGCAGCGGCACTGCAGCGGCAGCGGTGGCACCGTGACTGCACTGCAGGCGGCCCCGGCCCGGGCCCTGCCCGGGCCGCCGGCACTGTTTCCCTAATATTAATCAAACGGGCCTGCCTCAAGATTGACCGCTCTAATTTCGGCACTGGAAGGAGTATGGGCGGGGACGATGAGGCGCTGGTGGGGGCGAGGAGGCTCCTCCTTGGCATCCTGGTCGTCATGTCGGCCCTCGCAGTTGTCTTCATGCTCGTGTCTGACGATGGGTCGGGGACGAGGACGAACTTGCTAACCAGCATGTTGTGTTGTGAAGGTTGTTGTATTTCTACTTCGCCCTCGGTAACATCGAGTCTTTCTCCACAACCTCCTACTGCGGGTGGATCACAGGACGAGTCGTTCTCACAACCTGGAAGATCTACTGTTCTCCATCTTGCAGGACAGGCTGAGATCGACTATACGGCCAATGGACATAGAGTCTCTCAACACATGGAATCCGCGCTCAATGAGCTGAACAACATCGAAGATCATGTGAAGAGCGGCATGCCCAAGTTTCTCAAGGAGTCTGCAGCCCAGAGGGAAGCTGACCTCATGAATCAGAAGTTCACGCAGGACCTTCAGGGAGATGCGAAGCCACGAGCAGAGCTTGCGGTCAAAGCTAAGCATGACGCCATTAAGAAGTTGGGTCAAAATGACCTTGAGGAAGCAGCAAAGATGGACACTTCCTTGAAGAAAGATGCAAAGAACGACAAGAAGCTGTACAAAACGTCAAACGTTTATGTGTCACGCGGGGTCGAAGAAGCTGAGAAGGAGGCAAAGAAAGCAGTGCAGTTCAAGAGCTCAGAAACCAAGAAGAAATTGATTGAAGAAACATCCAAGAAACCCAAAGCCTCACCTGCAAAGGAAGCGCTGAATTCGTACAACAAGAAGGTTGTTGCTACGGGACCTTCTGGTTCTTCTCCTGACCTAAACAAAGAAGAAACTGTAATCACACACTTTGTTCCGATCACGTCAGTTGGTCTTGAGCAGAAGGAGCAGAAAGTAGCCAAGCTTGACCAGTTGCCTCATTCCAAGAAATCAGACGTTGATGAAGAGATTGTCTACCGCTTGGCTGCAAAGGACATGCAATTCAGGGACGAGCAGATGAAACGACAAGCACACAAAGCTGTTGCCACTGGAAAAGAAAAGGTTCTTGCAAACAAAGACAACGGAGAGCAAAAGAAAGTTGTAAATCCTCCAGAAGGAGACGAGTCAAAGCCTGCAGTTCAAAAGCCACATGTAGTTTCCCAGAAGAAAAATGTCAAGAGTCCTCACACTGAAAAACGCTTGAGCGGCGTGCTGAATAGGATTGACAATTTAATTGGGGGATACACAGGGGGGGCTAGCAGGTTTTCCTTGCAATTTCTTTGAAATGTAGCTCATGTTTATTGCAGGCATTCAAAATTCTTTAGACACTTTGATAGCGAAAGAGCAAAGCAAGCGGCACAATTGAAGGTGATGCAGAGAAAACGACATTAGTTGCTGAAGGGGCAGAACTGATGCAGCTCTGATCAACAAATCGAAGTTGTGTGCCGGCCCAGCAAATCTGAAACAATCTACCGATCAACGGTAGTGATCTCGTACAACTTCTCCCAGAAGCCTTGTACATGCGGAAGCAGCTATCAGCTTACGGTCCTGGACTGTTGCATGGCATCCGAGAGCTTCCGACTGACTATGATCGAATGGTGCTGTGCTGACTGTGGCTCGGCCGTTGATCATGAAGATTGGACCGTTGCACATGATGTTCAGTGACATGATGCCTTGAATGTGTACAGTACCCACAACAAAGGTGGTGGCAAGAGAAGCCCGGAGCCAGGCAGAGGTTGCGAGTATCAGGATTTAGCACAGTCCGTTGGAGGATTCACGCGCGGAGATCCGACACGGGGCGGCACTCAGAGCTGCAGAGGGGCCTGAGAAGATCATGATCTCTGGTTCTCCTGGATGAGACTCCAACGTCAACCAAGCTGTCAGGTTAACTTCAAGGCATGCGATACGACGTATGTCTTCAGGCTTTGTCAAGATACCTTTGTCCTTGTCCATCCATGAATGAGCATGTAGCTTCCATGTGGTTGGACACAAATCCTTGAGCCTGGGAATAAAGCAAAAGAAAGCTTAACATTAGATTGACTGAGCACACTCAGTACATCAGAGTCAACAGTCAGGGTCAGCTGCACCCTGCGCTGTTTCATCGACTGACCTCCCCCTGCACTGCGAGTCACGTGGCGTGCGATGTTGTGAGTCCATGCATTAACGATCGTTGGGACTGCGAGAGGACAAGGTCTGCTTGTTCAAGGAACAGGTACTCTACGACAGATGCTGGTGGAAATTTCAGAAACCACCTGGACTTAAGCAGGAAAACTTTGAAGAAGGGCGTTTTGTGTAGGAAAGTTGTCCTTGCATCCAGGTAATTTCTGGAAAGTCTTCGCCAGTTTTTTTCGTAGATAGCAATCCGTAAGATCTCGGGATGCAAGGATGTTGACCAGAGCATTCTGTGCATGTACAATTATGTTTGGAGTTGTAATTTGATAGATGGAATGAACCAAAATGGTTTTATGAAACCTTTTCACAGTTCACGAAGCTTTCACAAGAGCGATCAAAGGTAAAAGTACAGGATGAAATAATAAACAAACAAAATTGCTGATATCAGGACGATTCTCCTCCTCAATGCCGGCCCAGCCATTAATGATCATAACCGCTGCCAAACCTTCTCAGTCACACGCACACGTGGGCTAGTCGTTCACCCCCAGAGCCTTCTGGAAGGACTCCACTCGCGACACCGGGGTAGTAACGTTCTCATTCTTCTGCTTGCAAAAGGGATAAGAACATGGAGTGTGAGGGAGGGAGGGAGAAAGGAGAGAGGGAGAAAGGGAGAAAGGGAGGGAGAAATCAGAGAGCAAGGAGGCGAGTGGGGTGAAGGCGAGGGAGGGACTGGACAGGAAAGCAAGAAGAGGATTGGGCCGATGCAGAGAGGAAAGCGAGGGAAAGAGAAAGAACCATGTCAGGGGCCGTCTGTTTTCCTGCCTCGCTTTCAGGCAGCTCCGTGCAATGGTACAAGGTGGTGGAGTCTGGATGGAAGCTAACGCAGCCCTCCCTCGAAATGCTGCACGAGGCACTATCAGCGACTAGTGGCCCCGTCCTCCCCGCCTCACCTGCACACTCGGTTCGTCCCAGCCTCCCAGATGGTCCTCGTCCTTTTCGAGCTGTCGAAGATGAGGAACTTGAACTCAACGCCGTTGGGGAAGGGAAGGGATATCTGCCTCTGAGCACGTTCGTTGCCCCCCATCAGCCACCGTCGCCTCCACTTCGTCGAATCTCACCTCCCACCTTGTCCTCCCCAGCTTGTCGTCATGGCCCTTCAGCAGGGGAACGGCCTTGGAGGGGTCCCAGTTTCCCAGCACCTCACAGCTGCCGACCACAGAGATATACTCGGAAGCAGACTCTGTCTTGTGATGCACGGAGAAGCAAACGTCCACACAGGGTGGGGCCCCGTTGATCTCGTGGCGGATGTGGTGGGGTAGTTGCGCGGCAGACGAGATCTCGATCTGCCCGATCTGGCTCAGCATCCCCGGGAGCAGACGTAAGATGCTCACCTGCCCATTGCTCCTGGTGCTGAACGCACGGTTCGGTCCGTCCTCCCACAAAACCTCCTCCAGCACTCCTTCGGATCCTGCGCAGGTGCGATCTGGGATGAGGATGTACTTGAACTCGTAGCTCTCATCCGCACGCGGCACACTGTTCAAGCATGTCAGTGCATGTACTTCAGCCGGCCCGACATGAAGCAGAGCAGACAGTGGAGATCGCTCCTCCGAGCTCTTTCACCTGATCTTCCTGGACCAGCGGAGCTCGCCAGGGCCTTTGGTCATAACGAGCGCCTTCCGGATATCCCACTTTCCCAAGAGGTCGCCAGATCCGACGACAGCAGGAGTGTAGGAGACCTCTGATCCTTCTCTCGCTTCGAAGTGCACGATCAGCTCGATGCTGTTTCGGTCGCTCGCCTGCACCGCCCGCTTACACCCGAAGCAATCGAAGATGCCTCCTCCCCTGAGCCTCAGCCTCGTCGAGTATCTAAGGCCAGGTGGTAGGAGGAGAGAATTTGGGCTCTTCTCTGTCTGAGACTGCTGGATGAGCATGGAGCATGCTGCAAGAACCAGCCATGGCGCCGCTTCTCTGACCATTGCTCCCCGCGTCACCCCAGGGACGCCCACATAAGGGGAAAGGGGGGGTAAGAGGTGGATCGATAAAGGCAACAGTACTCCGCAAAATGTGTTTTAGACTTACACCCCTTTTTTGATAGTCAAATTCTTGAATTGATGAGGGGTACTTGGGACAAATACAGGGAAACTTTTTACCGTTCTTATTCAAAGACTCAGAGGCTCCGGCTTGCGGCGGCGTCGGCCCGGGCCGAGCCGGCCCCGGGCCTGACAGAGCGCCGGACCCGGAACTAAGTTGGGCCTCAAAACTTCGGAACGCAACTTTCCGCGCGGCAGTGCCTCAACTTGACCCGTGCCAGCGGGCCGGGCCTGAGCGGCCTGTCCCGACGTTTTGGGCCGCATACAGGCTGACTCGGTGGCCCGGCCGGGGTGGCCCGGGCCCGGCTCCCGGGCCCGCCCCAACTTGCCAACCCCCCCCCCCCCCCTTTCCCCCGGCTGACGGGACCGTACTCCGGGAGTCTGAATATTTTACAGAGGCAGTGAGGCGGGCCGCTGGGAACTTGACGAAAAAACCTTTCAACTTCAATCTCATGTACCTTTCAACCGCCATAACATGTCGTCCTGTGATTCAGTAGCCTGAGAAGAGAGAGAGGAGAGAGCCGTGAAGAGACTCAGGGGAAGGGGCCAAGGGAGAGGGTGCGCTTGAGGGTGAGGGAAGGAGAGCAGAGCGTCTAGGCAGAGCGATGAAGTATTCCCAAGGGGAGGTTGAAAACAGCAAGTCGGTGCTTGGAAGGAGCTGCGATGAATGGAGGCGAGCTCAAACTGTATCGTGACCTTCAGACAAGATGAGCGTTGGAGCAACGCAGGTTTCTGAGCATGGAAGAAGCATGGGGTCAATCGAGACTGAAGTGGAGGTGGAAAGATTCGTGGAAGAGACCATGGGACTCTCTGACGGAGTGACGGAAGATTCAGACATCCTCGGGAGGAAGATGTCGTGGAAAGAGTTCGAAACGCGCTCTCGCCTGATCCGATCGCTGCAGCAGATGCCGTTTGAAGTACTGAGGAACCTCTGGCAGGCTGCAACCGCCCTGGAAATCACCCCCAATGAACTCCTGCAGCCCAACGAGGAGCTCTCTGCCTTCATTTGCTCTGGGTCGGTTCACCTCAGGAGGTTGAACGAGGCTGCGGCTACGGATGCGAGCAAACGAGATTCCGCATTCTACATGGCAAAGGGCGAAAGCTTTGACGTGTTCAAGCTGTACAACATGGGTTTCAAGGCGTATGGTGGAGAAGGGGGCGCTCTTGTGGTCCTCATCAACACAAGGATGTGGAAACTTTACAGGACTAGAATCCTCACTCAGTACTCAGCGCGGTTGGAAAGGTTCTTGAACGGCGTGCTCAAGTTCCCAGCAAAGAGAGGGTTCCATCCCTTCAAGCTCCGTCGAGTGCCTGGAGGGACCGTCGTGGTGAAAGAAGGCGACCCACTGGACGCCATGGTAAGAAAAGCCAGCTCCCTCGTGTCAAAACTGACTTGTGACCGCGTCGTCCTCGCTGCCGTCGCCATCAGATCTGGTTGGAGAGCGGCACCTGCTCAGCTCTCATCACTTTCGATGAGACTCATTGCTCGAAGCTAACGATCCCAGGGAGACCGTCAACTCCCGTGATGCGCTTCGTCAGGAAAGTGGATCAGTCCGAGGACGTTGGATCTTCAGTCGCCTTTTTCTCCGATTCGAAGTCGAAGCTACAAGGTGTTCCGCCTCTCAGCCACACTCGCCTTGTCTGAACAGTCTCTAGCAAGCCGAGTGCTCTCTAGCACCCGTAGCAAGCATGTCGAAGGTTTTCCAAAGTGGCTCTGGACCGTTTGCGTTCCAGCGGTAGGTAGCGACTAATTGAGAGGAAGTGCAACTGAGAGCCGAATAGCTTCAACGAAACAAGCCATGACACCGTTGGCAGGATGAGGAGGAAGCGTATTTTGTGATGATACCCATGAAGCAAATCCGAAATCTTCCTGAAAGGCTCCTCGAGAAACTTGATCAAGAGGCTTCGGACCGAGTAATTCGATTGGTCCACAGCCGTTGGAATGCGCAATGACGTTCCTCCTCAGGTTTCTGTGTGGATCCGTGCTCTCAAAGCTGCTGCTATCCGAGACGAGAGCGACCGCCTTCCGTCCTCTCGCAGTCGCTCATTGAACATCTCGTCATCCTCCATGCCGAATTCCGCGAGGTACAACGATTCAGATGGAGCAAAGCAGGGGAGGGAGCATGGCGCTGTTTCCTCGCGGTCGGAAATCATGAAAACGAAAAAGGTTCAAGTCAACGTTCGCCACTTGACCCTTTCACTGACTGTTTTTTTTTCATTCAGACTGGTGAGAGGTATTCGACCCACAAGTCTCCAAGAACAAGAGCACAAAATCTGTTCTCGCCAGATCTGGACTCGAGATCGATACATTCTTTCCTCACTCCCCGCACAGAAAATATGCTGTTGGTCCAAGGCAGGACGGTGGAAAAGGGCTCCAAAGGCTTACAGTGAATGAAATTTGACCTATCCCCGTTGAAATGGTCCATCTGACTACTTGTCCTTTGATTTGGACTTGATGAGTCCCAGCTGTAGAAACAAGTCAGATGCTCGTTGCTTGATGATTGCTATGATCATCATTGTCACCGGTGTAAACTTGATATTGATGCCAGCACTTCGCTGCCATGGGAATCTTCTGTCTTCCTCGTCGTAGTTTTCCGGATTGAAGCCCTTCTGATATCCTTGAAACACCATCTTACTCACCTCTTGTCGCGATTTCTTTCTCTCCTCATACACTTTCTCCATCTTGTTCATGTAGGTTTTGAAGACGTAATCTTCCTTCTCAACTATCCTCCTGTTCCGTTCGATCTCCATCCTGGTCATGCCCTTCTCAGAGCTCTTTGCCTCCTCCGCCTCTTGGGAAGCTTTCAGCTTGCTCAGTTTCCATCGTTGCTGCAAGCCAAGTAAAAACCTTCCACATGCCTTGACATACCCGAGGTACCATCGTTTCCTGTTCGCTTGAACTCCAGTCGTCGGCGATTTGTACAGGATCTGACGTTCGAGGGCCCAAACGATATCGGGGAATTTCACCTTCAAATGTTCGTCAAGCCCGTCAAGCCTGCAAGAATAGGGTCGCTCATACCGCATAAAATCGCCTGCTCAAGCCTCTTCTTGGCGAACTTGAGAATCTGACGCAGCTGTCGTCAGGTAGCCTCAGGTCGCTCGAACTCAGACTACTTGATCAGAGTCGTGAACACTCCTGGCGATCGCGTTGGGAACGTTCAGTGGCTTTGAAACTGAGAAGCTAATGAGAAATCGTCTCGGATTCAAGAAGATGCGCAGTACAGCGATCATCGAAGCCATCGTTGTCGTCCAGGGTCTCTTTGATCGAGTTGATGGCTTTCCTAATCCAAAGCATCAAAACATTGTTATAGACGATTTTACATACCTTCTAGTCAATTTTTGCTTGGTATCCTCGAATGACTTGATCTTTTGTGCGATGAGAAAGCAGGAACTTCACAGTAGCATCTTAACTCAACCTTGTCAACATTCTCCCTTTCGAAATGCAGCCCTTCAGCGTCCAGGGCAGGTGAGATGCGACCCTTCATCGTCGACACATCAGAAGGGCAGAGAGTACATCCACTCACCTGAAATTCCCTCGAATGCCCTTCACTTGTCCTGTTTTGATAACTTGACGTCGTGGAACTTAGCGAGTCCTCTTCAAATCCGTGAAGTGTCCTGAACCAACCATCGCGAAGAGGATCTATAAAAGTTTCAAGTGAGGATCAGTGGCGTCCATATTCTCATCTTTACCATCCATCTCTTTCTGATCTTCTTCAGGCCTTTCCAGGGGATTCAATTCGGACTTGGGGTAATTGATTATTCTCCTGTTCCCCTTCAGATGATGAAGATTGAAGTATGCGAATGTGAATGTCTTGCCGTATTTGGTCCCACCTGATACACAAACCATCACTCAAAGACGAGAAGTCATCCGATAGTACCGATATGGAAGGTGTCCCCTCCCGCCAGCGGCATGGCGCGCCGTTGCAGGAACATTGCACCCACATGAGTGCCGCCTGAGCTGCAGTCTCTGATCTCCCAGCCCGTCCTCCTCCTCCGGATCGTCACGTGGACCTTGGACACAGACTTGCATTGGTCGTCGATCACGACGTTGCATGAGGAGGATCGGCCGATCGTGAAGGGGCTGTCTTCACTAACTACCCACAGAACGCTCTCTTCGTCTTCATTCCCATGAACTATCCACACGCCCTCTTCGCCATGCTCTGAGCCCGATGCAGCTCCTTGCTCGCCACTCCTGCTGCCTAGTGAGCTCCGACTCAACAGCTGCTGCTCTCCTTCCCGCAGGCCGACCATCTTGTTCGCCATGTTCGGCTGCTACTCTCTCATTATTGTAACCCCCCCCCGCCCCCTTGTCAAATCTGACAGAAACCAAATTACTCAACCCGATGGGCCTTCCGAGTTCCCCGACTCCCGCCGGTTGAACTCAGTCCCGGCCCTGAGTGACTGAGCACCGGGTCACTTTCATCGGATCCAGCTCACCGTCAGGATTTGTACAGGGTCGGACAGAGCCTTGTTCGATCAGCGTTGACGGACGGCTGGCATACGATCCATCAGGAGGGGAGGGGGGGAGTTCGCACGGGACATCAAATCAAAGGCTTGAATCTTCTTGTCTTAGGGGGGCTAAGGTTAACGTTACAGTCTATCTCCTCACTTCTTATTCGCAATCCAGTAGTTAGCAGCCCATTTGTCGCCCTTGATGACGTCACACCCTCCATGCAGGCTGCGATCAACACCGTCAGCCTCGGCCGGGCCGCATCCACCGCTGCATCACCTTCGTACGTCCAGGTTGCATCCAAGGTCATCAGGGGGACAAATCTGCGCAGCCCTGTCAGGACATAGCGACAATCACTAGTCCTTACCTCCTGCTGTCGCTTCGCCAGCATACTGTAGAATATGATGGCATTCCCGGCCTTGGGCTTCACCTTGAGTCCTCGGGAGCAATCGGCGAAGTCCGTGACCTGCAGCAGCGGTCAGCATCGAGTTCCGAAGGTTCCAGACTAACCCGTCGGTCATCGCCGTTGGCAAAGGGGAACACAGTCTCCCCGCCCTCCTCCACATCGGAGAGGTAGAAGAAGACCTGGGAAGGGGTCTGAGCAGGAGCCGGGCACAACACGACGGGGCTACAGTGATGAATCTGTTCTGTCCGGGTGAAGTCACGAACCCTCTGTAGATGTTGGGATCGAAGAAGTCATGATGGGCCCAATAGTGTTGGTTCTTCGAGTAGTGCAAGACCTTGACACGAGGTCAATCGCAACGGCACAAATGCTCTCCTCTTCCACCTGCATGTCTTCAGCCAGCTCCATCGGCAGTTTCACCAGCTCCGCCACCCTGGTCCTGATCTTTGCAACGAGAGGGTCTGCCTGTAATGTTGCGGTTGGATGGTGGGGAGCAAGTGGAAATGAGCTCTTACGGTCTTGGATAGCCATGCAGTACTGCCATGAGCATAGTGAAAATTTTCAGATGACCGCTGCAAGAATGTTTACCTGCTTGTCCTGGCAGATCCAACTCCATTCTTAGCCTCATTACCCTGCCGTGGCTGTGACTGAAGCGTCCAAACATGGCCGATGTTTGAATACTGCTTCAGCTATTGTAGATCTCCCCATTTTCGCTTTAGAAAACTCGATCAAATATTCACACTCATCTGCATCATGTCAGTATGTTTTGCATCGGAGCGTCAGGCTGGAGCGAAACCTGGTTTGAGGAAATCGGCAACCAGAAATACTCTCGGGGACGTTGACAAAGTTTCAACCTGCACCTCACTGCAGCACGTCTCAAACTAAAGCTTCTGGAGAAGGAGGAAAAAGACCGATCCTCTGAAGGAAGCAGAATCGATTGCTTGAAGCCCGGATGTTCTACTGGAAATACCTACAAGTGCGATCTCAGAAAATTCGTGGCGAAATCTGCAGTGCATGGAATTTACATAAAAGTCCTTGTCACAGAGGGCGAAGACTTTGTCGGGAATTTCGATCAGATCTGAGATCTGAACACACATGCCGGTTACTCCCGCAAAAAGACAAGAAAGAAAAGGATTCAATACCGGATCTCCATTCGATGCCACGAGCTCCCGTACCGGACGCTGACACAAATTCTTGAGAGTTGCGATGGTGACGAGAAGGTACGAACACCTTCAGCTCTTTGGTAGCCCGAGCAATAAGATCGGCAACTTTGTCGACACCAGCTTTCTGCTCAGATTGATCAAAGGTCTTGACGACTGCAATCCTGTTACCAGGGGAACTTCGGTTGCGGGTGGGACTCCAGTCGAAATCTCCTTCTTCAGCGTTCTGTTCATCGACCAAGCAACAGAGTCGCAGTTACATCGGTATATGGTCATCAGAAACAAGGCGTTCTCACGAATCATAGATCATGTTGTCCCCCACCGAGTAGATGCGAATCATGCGCGTTCCCTGCTCACGGTCTGAACCTCTATGCAGCAAAAGAAGCACCATCAGTGCTACCGGCAGAGAAGGCGCTCGGTTGACGGACTTCCAGTTGCTCGTCTTCTTCATGACCAGTCTCAACACATCGATCTCATGCAGGATCCTGCAAAGATCGTGAGGCCTCGCCAGCAGCCGACTCCGAAGGATTGTTTCGCGTCATTACCTGCTGACATCATGCTCATCTTGCACGTGAATCTCGCGAACGAGATCGTGCTCGTCCAATTTCCTGACGATGAAGAGAATGTCAGTCGAGCGGACAAACAGCTTCGGGAACGTGTTGTCTCCGTCTTAAAAATCGGGATGCAACTTACAGCAGTTTCTGTCCTGAAACTGCATGGACACGGAACAGATTTCGAAGATGGCTGAAGCCTTTCTCTGTAAGCCTGAGGGTCCATCACTCTCAATCTGTATGATCATCACAACTCACCATGCGCTCACATCCTCTTTTGTCCACTGCTGCGGAGGGATTCGCTGGATTCGCACTGTGCTGTCGCTGATAGGACTATCTTTCAATTTGCTCTTGCCGTGAGCTTTGCCTTGTGATAAACAATTTGAGCATTGATCTTCTTCAAGCACCAAATAAATACCTAATAGAGTACTTGAAAACGATGAGTTCATCACGTACAGGTACGTTGCGATGAGGTATACAGCTATGAAACCAACAACCATTCTATGCCTCCCAATCTTCTTGGTTCTTCGCCGAAGGGTCCCAACATATTTCGACCGGGTGAAGGAGGATAGGCCGAGAAGCATGTTTCTCTTTGACTCTGTCAAGAATTCAGAGACGTCATGTACGGACGGTTGACATTTTGCCAGACCTGTGGGTCCAGAAACAAATTTCCTTCACCAAGGGCCACCTCGCCTGTCAGGGTACAGAGGAGCTCCAACAAGGGATCTTAGAGCGGGAGGGGGATAGAACAAGTTGATTCAAGGAGGCAGGAGGGAACAGCAGGAGGTCTCAGTCTCTTCCTCGCTTGTCAGCCCACCAGCTCCTTCACTTCCCCAGCCATGACTGCCACGAAACTCGCAGTCGGGGCAAAACGTTTTTTTCTTGCTTCTTTTACGGCTTTAAATTGTTTTTAAACCGTTGAACACAGTCGGACACGCCGCCGGCCCCGGGCGCGGGCCCGGCGCGGTCCGGAAGTTACTAAGGCTTACTACGGCTCTCCGACCCAGTGTCAAGTCACTGAGTAAGGCTCCGGGTCGTCTCCCGAGTCCCAAAACTCGATCGTCACAGTGACTTCAAGTAGCCGGGATCATTACGCTGCTGACTGGCCCGGAGTCCGTCGCCTCACAGGAACGGTACGCCGTGACAGCGCGCGGGCGGCCGCACGCCGGCCCGCCGGGAGGCTGATCAATATAAATAACTTGGCAATTGCCAAGTTACTCAGTGCCAGTCGGAGCCCGAGTGAAAATACGGCCGGGCCCTGATCCGACATAGGAATCGCGCGGATGTCAGGATTGCTGTCCTGTGTATTCACGCTGAGGCGAGCGCAGACAAGTTTTGGCCATGGTGTTGGGGAGGGACAACATGGATGTAGGATGAGTGAGATGAGGAAGACAAGACGAAGACGAAGATGACGATGATGGAGAGCCGAAGTTTGAAGTCTCTTCAATGATGTGATGTCGCTGCCTTCGCTGCTGTGGGTGATGGAGAGTTTCTGGGCAATCCGCCCATGATAGGCTGCGTCTCCAACGGATGAACAGGATCCTCGGCGATTGCTCTAGGATTGCAAGCAGTGCTTCGACATCATCTTCTCTATGGATCACAGTATCTCCTCCTACAGTCCATGCACATGAAGTGAGAGTGCTCTTGTAATCTCTGGTGAACAAAAGTATGGAGGGTTACCTCCTGCTGGATCTATGCAACACCTTCGATGGGGATGAATGGCCGGTCCAGAAGTTCTTCAGCGCATCGTTTGTTCGCCATGACATCTCGGCCTTCTGGAGGTTTTCAATCGGCAACGTGAAGTTGCAATTGTTGGCGATCAAGCAAAGGAGGAGGACTCAGAGGAGCGTACTAAGAGCAGTGTTCTACAGCTGGCTCTTCCATGCGTCGGAAAACAGTGAGGAGGTGATTGGCGCCAGGTTGCACAAGTCCACCACAGACAAATCGTTGGATCTCTCTGCCCTCAAGTTGCGGATTCTTCCGCAGCAAGTCGTGAACGTCCAAGCAGCACTTGCTTCGACCCTGACAAAACTTGATCTGGCAAGCAACTACATTTCATTCTTGCCAAGACAACTGTTCGAACGTGTCTTGAACCTCAATGTTTTGAAGCTAACAGATAATCGTATACGATCCCTGCCATCCACTCTCTCATGCTTACAGTCCCTTCAATTCTGCCTGCTGGACAAGAACGATTTCGTGGTCCTGACGCCAGCAGTAGGGGATCTGAAATCATTGCATACGCTGCACATTCAAAGCAACCCAAACTTCACAAGCTTTCCGCTGGAGCTTGGAAAGAAACATCACGTGTCACTGGGAGGGACTATGAGAGAGCTGCTGTACGACTATGATGTTGTTGAATACCCTCCGCCTGAAGTCTCTGAGAATGGTTTAGCCATGCAGTTCGATTTCCTTTCTAGGATATGGAAGGCAGCAGAAACCGGGTACCTATCTCTGGGAGGAATGAACCTGAAGTCTATCCCTCACTTCCTGTACGAGCATCCCCTCCGGACGAGGATCACTGAGCTCAACATCTCGCAGAACAAGATCGATCGCCTTCCTCCGGCGTTCGGCCTGATGACAAGCTTGACTAGGTTGCGGATGGATGAGAACTTCTTTGTCTTCCCCAGCCAGCACATGATGAGGCAGTCTTCCTCCTTCCGCGACCTGGAGAGCAGAACCTTGACCGAGGCTTCCAAGCTTCCCTTCATGCACTTTCTTCGTCGGATCGCCACGTGCAAGTACACGAGAGAAATTGTCCTGAGCGGAGGTGAATGGATGTTTGACGGGACGAGAGTGGAAATCTCGGTGAGGTTGATAGCACCAGAGCTGTTCTTCTACACAAACTGCGCGATCCTTGACGTGCGGGGCAATGATATCAAGACGATCCCAGAGGAAATCTGCAAGCTCGTGACCATGACAAAGCTCTTGGCCGACAAGAACAGGGTTCGCACAGTCCCGGACACGCTCTCCAAGGTCACGTGCCTTCAAGGTATGTGGTGGGTTGAGTTTCTGGGTTGACGTTGAGATGCCCGACAGTCCTCTCTCTAGCCGTGAATGAAATCAGAAGTCTCCCCGACATCTTCTCAGCCCTTGGCCAGCTCTCGCACCTGAATGTCTCCAGCAACCAGCTCAAAGTTCTGCCCAGCTCCATCACTAGCTGTGGATTGCTGTCTCATCTGTGAGCCTGCTGACGATAAAGCTTTCCTCTGACCCGACTGCTGCAGCTACGTAGATCGCAACGAGATTCACTCCTTCCCCAAAGATTTCAACAGGCTCCTCTCGTTGAGGGTCTTTCACTTCGGCCACAACTCCATCTCCCAGCTCTCCCCGCAGCTAGGAGCTAGCTGGTACTTGGAGGATGTCAACGCAGAGGGATGCTTTGCGGTATGTTGTCGTCCCTGTCCTCACTAGCTGATCCCGCAGCAGATCCAGGAGTCCCCACAAGAAATTCTCAACGGCTCCACGAGTTTCTTCCACAAGGTGGAGGCATACCAGTCCCCGCACACGAACTTCGATGCCTCCCTCCTCGTCCGCCTGCTCGCAACGCCCACAGGCCGGAGGATCACTCAGCTCCCGCCTGAGATGAAGACGCTGGCGAACCTCAAGGAGCTGATGGAGAGGCTGGAGCGAGAGGTGAAACCTTCCATGCTGTCACTTCCGATTGACCTGTAAGCACGGGGTTGCAGACGGGCACTCCTGTGCAGGAAATAATGTTTCCTTCCTGTCTAGAGGGAGAGGAGGAGGATGAGAGCCGGATAATCGAGTACCTTCCGCCAGAAACGATCTACACCAGGAACTGGAGGCTGACCAAGATGGCCCAGGTGACCAGTTGTGACTGTGGTCTTTCCTTGCTTTCCTGTGCATGTATCCCATCCCATACTTCCTCGCGCTTTCTCACCTGCCCCTGCCTGCTCAGGTGGATGGAAAAGATGCCAACCTGGTCAACAGGAAGATCAGGGCGAAGCTCGCGCCGTACCGCCGGCGACCTCCTCTCGTGCGCTACCTCTGGGGGTTGTGGTCCAGCTCTTCAGCGGGGCTCGCAGACTTCTCCGGCACAGGGATGGTCAACCTCAAGTTTGACATCCTCTCGATCAGCTGGATCACCAGGCTCTCGCTGTCTTACAACAGAGTGTCAACTCTCCCAGCTGGGATCGGCAGCCTCACCCAGCTGCAGAGTCTTGACCTCAGCCACAACCTCATCACCTCCCTCCCACCGCAGATCGGCCAGCTGACAAGCATGAAGCAGCTGGATCTTAGCTTCAACATGCTTGACTCTCTCCCCAAGGAGATGTCCTCTCTCCCCGACTGGTCGTATCCCCGGGACCCGCGCGCGAAGAATCTTTTCTCCCTCGACTGGATCACAGGCAACCCCATCTCCTTCCCTCACCCTCAGATCCTCCAGCTCGGTCCCTCCCACGTCCGCGGCTTCCTCCGGCTCGTGGCTCAGGCGGAGGAGACGGGGCGCCTAGACTTCCAGCAGCGAGAGCTTCCTATCTTCCCTGAGCAGCTCACAGGCTTCACCTTCCTCCAGCAGCTGGACCTCAGCAGCAACAAGATCGACCGGATCCCTCCCGCCTTCACCAGCATGGTCAACCTCAAGGAGTTCACAATAGCCGGCAACAACGTCGATCGACTCCCCACCAGGATGAGCTCCCTGACGTCGCTCGAGGTTCCTCGCCCCCTCTGCTTCCTCCTCCCCCCACCGATCTCCTCCTGACTTCCTTGTTGTCATCCATCGTTTCCGATCGCTCCCCTCCCTTCTGTATCGCCAAGTGCTCTCTTGTTTATTTTTCCTCCTCTCTTCCCTCTCCACACAGTGCTGGACTGAATCCTGGTCTTCTCCTCTGCCGTCCTTGATTCACTCCTTTCCTCACCGTCTCCCTGCACAGATTCTCGACGTGCGCGACAACCAGCTCAAGTCAGTCCCGGAGGGCATCGGCATGCTGCATGCTCGACTCGTCCGCCTCAACCTTGGGAGGAACGTGATCGAATCTCTTCCTCCTTCCATCGGCCTCCTCTCAAACCTCAGGGTCCTCGAGCTCAACTGGAACCTGCTCTCCTTCCTCCCTGCCGAGCTGGAGAGCTGCAGGCAGCTCGAGGAGCTGCTCGCCAGCTACAACCAGCTGCGGCAGCTCCCCCATACCTTCTCCAACCTCACCAACCTCCGAGTGGCAGCGATCCAGAGCAACAGGATGGAGCTCCTCCCCTCCTGCTTCGGCAACATGCCGAACCTGACGAAGCTCGCGCATCTCAACAACCCCTGGAAGATGCCGCAGCAGGAGATGCTCTCCTGGCCGGAGGAGTTTGAGCAGCACGACAGGTCCAAGATGTCCATGGGGATGAGGGTGTGGGGGAGGATCCAGCTGACGGAGAGGATGCGGTTTGCGAAGGTGGATGCGATCAACGAGGATGGGACGTTCGACTTGGGATTCGTCGACACGAGAGACACGAATGCTGAGATCAGGAAGGAGAGGAAAGTGCGAGTGGAGGTGATACACTCGCCTTCGTCTGTGGTTTGAAGATATGAACAATGATCTTGATGGTGGTGTGATGAAAATGACTACCAGACTTTATGCAACTGCTGCTGCTGCTGCTGCTGCTGCTGCTGCTGCTGCTGCTACTAATGATGATGATGATGATGATGATGATGATGATGATGATGATGATGATGATGATGATGATGATGATGATGATGATGATGATGATGATGATGCTGATTTGAATGCTTGTCCCAAATTAGATGGTCATTTGATGACGATGAGCAGATGGCTGGAGAGCTCTTGATCAAGCCGCTGTCTAGTCATGACCGGCTGGTGGATTTCATGAGCAGGATCCATCTTGCTTCTAAGCACAAGGAGGTGACGCGAGTGAGGAGCTGAGGTCTTGTGCTCTGACATGGCTGCAGCTCGACCTCTCCGGCTGTTATATCTCGGAGTTCATCGACTACGACGGGGGAGCTGGTTTCAAACACGTGGTGGAGGCCGGTTGGTACACGAGGGGACTGAGAAAGCTCCTCCTCTCGCACAACAGGCTGTCGACGCTTCCTCCCTCCATCTCTCGACTTTCTTCCCTCACTGTCCTGCAGCTCCAGCAGAACTCCCTCCTTGCGCTCCCGGAGACTCTCAGCTGCCTGATCAGCCTGGTCGAGATCGACGTCTCCCACAATCTCCTCACTGTGCTGCCCTGCGGCCTCGGCATCCCCGCAGAGCTGGAGACGATCGTCACCCATCACAACCCGCTCCTGGCTCCTCCCCCCGAGGTCGTTCGAGGAGGAGCGCAAGTCATCAGTCGATACCTGCGAGGAGTACACCTGGCTCGGAGGACAGGGGAGCTGTACTGGGAGCAGCTGGGACTGTGCAGCATCGACACGCTGACGGTGATGCTGCCTGACGGGGAGGCGGCGACGCTGCGAGAGCTCTATCTCGACGACAACCTCCTCGTCGTCTTCAACCCCTCGGTCCTCGCCGAGCTGGCAGCCCTTCGCGTCCTCCGCTGCTGCAACAACTTCCTCACCTTCCTGCATCCTAACGTTGGGCTCTTCTGCACGCAGCTCGAGCAGCTGACCCTGGACGGCAACCGCCTCTCCCACCTCCCTCACACGCTCGGCACGCTGACGGGACTCCTTGCGATCTCTGCGGATAGGAACCCCCACCTGCTGTCTCCTCCCCCGGAGGTGAACGCGCTGCCCTCCTCGGTCAAGATCCGCTTCCTCCAGCAGATGTCACATGCTGTCTCGCACCAGCACGCTGACCTCTCTGACTTTGGGCTGCAAGCAGTTCCTCCCGATCTACTGGAAAACAGCAGCATCCGCGTCGTCCTGCTCGGCCACAATCAGATTTCGTCCCTCCCCCCCTCTGTCCAGACTTGGACCTCCCTCGTCGAGCTCTGCTTGCAGGGCAACCGGATCAACAGGCTCCCTGCTAGCATCGGGTTCTGCACTGCTCTGACTTCCCTCGACCTCCGCCACAACCGTCTGCGCCGGTTGCCTCCGGAGATGGGCAGGATGCGAGCATTGAACAAGCTCCTCCTCCTCGGCCAGCAGTCCAGCTCTACTCGGGACACGGCTGGTCTACAGCAGGGGTTCATGTGGAGCACGGAGGAGGCTACTGTAGGACACGTTCATAACCTCAGCGGCTGCGACGAGTACGTCTGCCAACCCAACATACCTAAGCTTGTCTGCCCATCCTGCCTCGCTCAAGGGCTGGTCATGGCTGGGACCTTCGACAGTGAAGAGGTAGAGACTCGGCTGCACGCGTACCTGTCGCAGGAGGAGGAGAGGCAGAGACGGGGGAAACCGTCGGTGGAGTTCCCTACCGTAGAATGTCCGACGTGCGGCGAGAGGACGCGGCTAAGCGAGCTGAAGGAGCCGAGGAGGAAGGACTCTTCTGCAGTCAGGGAGTGGATCCCTTCCAGGCTGTGGCATCATGACGTGTGGAGTCCTGAGCTGCCTCAGCAGACGTTCTCCGCCTTCTACACGAGGAGCAGCAGGACAAGAAGCCCTTCGGACAACCGCCATATCCCCGACATCATCGAGACGCCTCCCATGCTCGGGGGGGAGGGAGACGCGCATGACACGCAGGCAGTGGTCTCGTACCTGGCCCGCTGCCTGGAGGCTCGTGGAGGCAGCCTGGCGCTCTCCAACTTTTACCTCCTCCAGTTCCCGCTCGAGGCCCTCGACCTGTCGGGCCTCCGCACGTGCGACGTCAGTCACAACAGCATCAAGGACCTCCCGACGGATCTCGACCGGCTGACTCGCCTCCGCTCCCTCCGGGTGGACCACAACATCCTTGAGATGCTCCCCCCCGGCCTTCGCTTCCTGACTTCCCTCACCGAGCTGCTCGCCAACGACAACATGCTCGAAGAAGTCTGCCCGGAGATCGGAGCTTGCGTCCACCTGACAAGGCTGAACCTGCACGCGAACAAACTCGTTACTCTTCCCCACACCATCGGCAACTGCTCCCTCCTCACACAGCTCACCATCCACCAGAACAAGATCAAGGTCATTCCCCCCTCCCTCAGCAACGCCAGCAACATCACCATGCTCGAGCTGGACGGCGGGCCGGAGGACTGCCACTTCGTCTCTCCTCCTCCTCCCATCCCGAGCCAGAGCTCTGCCAACTTCATGAGGTACCTCAAGGAGCTTTACACCTACTCCAAGGAGAAGAGGCTCTTCACGCCGGGCTACGGGCTAGAGGAGGTGCCAGGCCTTGTCCTCGAGGCCGCCACGTGTGTGGTGGCGCTGAACTTGGACGCGAACAACATCAGCCAGCTGCCGGAGGAGATCGGTCACTTCACGCTACTGGACGAGCTCTTCTCCATCTGCGACAACGAGCTTGTCGAGATCCCCGAGAGCGTCGGGAACCTCGTGAGGCTTCGGAGCCTGAGGCTGTCGGGCAACAACCTGACCATGCTGCCCGACAGCTTGTCAGAGCTTGTCTGCCTCGAAGAGTTCCTGGTGGACCACAACAACCTGCAGGACTTCAACCGCTGCTTCAGCACCATGACCTGCCTCCACACGCTCTCCATCGCCGACAACAACATCAAGGAGGTCTATCCCGAGTTCGGCCTCATCTCCTCCCTCACCTCCCTCAACTTCGTGGACAACCCGGTGGTCCTACCTGGCCCCGAGGTCAGCACCAGGGTGACGGAGAAGGTGGTCGACTACCTGGGGAGGATCAAGGTGTCTCAGTCGACGGGCTGCCTGGACCTCGCCAACTTGGACCTTTTCTCCCTCAACCATCAGGTCAAGGACGCGTACACTGCACGGGTCATCGACCTCCGCCACAACCACATCGCCGCCCTCCCACACGACTTCGCCCTGATGGTCCACTGCCAAGAGCTGCTGCTGGACGGGAACCCAATGAGCCACCTGGAGGACTCGATCGGCAAGCTCGTCTCCCTGGAGGTCCTCTCGGTAGAGAGGATGGCCGACCCCCTTCGGGCCTTCCCGGAGGTCTCGTTCGCCGGGCTGAGGAAGCTGGTAGTGCTCAAGGCAGCGCACAACGAGATCTCCATGCTGCCGGACGTGTTCAAGTTCGTTTCCCATGTGGAGTATGTGGACCTCAGCAGCAACATGGTGAGAGTTTGTAAGGGGCTGAAGAGCCTGCGCTGACCCGCTGTCGCAGTTGACGCAGCTCCCTCCCTCCATGACCAACTGCCGCCAGCTCAAGGTCCTGCTGGTGAACAACAACCGTCTGAAGCAGTTGTTCAAGGGATGCAGCAACCTCAAGTCCCTTCACACTCTTGACATCTCTCAGAACAAGCTCACGAGGCTGTCGAGGGGCCTTGGCGGCCTCTACCTCAGCGAGACGCTCAAGAACTTCGACCTGTCGGGCAACGAGTGGGAGATGCCCCCGGACGAGATCACCTCCAAGGGAGAGCAGTGGATGCTCAAGGTAACGACTAGCACCGAGGGGCCTCGTGTGTCTCACTTGCTGCTTGCAGTACGTGGGGGAGTTGTGGAAGGCGAAGCTGGCGAACGGGATCAGCCTCTGCAAGTTCAGCCTGTCGAGGGTGTACGAAGATATCATCCAAGACAACCTGGTAGAGCTGGCGCTGGACGACAACGAAATCTCCATCATACCTCCATCCATCAACCGCCTGAAACGACTCGAGGATTTCTCCATCCAGAGGAACAAGTGAGCCTCTCGCCTCTCTGCCCTCCTCCTCCTCCTCGCCCCACCAGCTGACTGGCTGTGCAGGCTGACGGAAATCCCCGAGGAGCTCTGGAACCTCCGGGCCCTCTCAGTGCTGAAACTGGACGACAACAAGATCACCTCGATCTCTCGCAACATCGTCCGACTCGCTTCCACTCTCACCTGGTTCAGCATCGAAAGAAACTTCGTCACTTCCTTCCCCGTGGAGTTTGCTCAGATGGAGGTCCGTAACCTGCTCCCCTCCTCCCCCCTCTCTGACCTCACGATCCTGCTCGCAGATGCTCGAGATCTTCAACTGTTCCACCGCCGGGCTAGACGCTGACGTCAGGCACGCGTATGAATCCGGGCTCGAGACCTTCATGGCCTACATGCGAGCATGGTCGACCGTCAAGACCTCCGGCAGGCTGGACCTCAACTGGGACGCGTCGCTTGCCTGGGATCCCTTGCAGGAAATGCCAGCGCAGCTCTGGAGGTTTGCGGACAGACTGACTGTCTTGTACCTCAACGAAAACTCCATCATGCATCTCCCATACAACATCTTCCTCCTCTACAACCTCAGGCACTTGTCGTTGGACAAGAACAACATACAAAGCTTGCCCTACTCACTCTGCAGACTGACCGCTCTCGAGGCCCTTTCCCTCCAGGACAACAATGACATGTACGACCCTCCTTATGACGTCTACCTCGAGTTCGGGCTGCCGGGGATCATGAGCTACCTGAAGGCCCTAGACTCCGCCCCCTCCTCCAGGACCCTGGAGATCCAGTCGCTCAAGGTAGGGGAGGACTCGCTCTGTGCTCTGGTAGTGCTGAGCCAGGTTTACAGCTGAACTCCCTCAAGATCAACGACGCCATCCTGACGACGCTGGAGAGTCTCAGCCAGAGGAAGGCGAGGGCGGACGTCAGGCTGACTGACGGCCGTCGGCACAACGAGGCGGAGTCGTTGCAGATCGCGCACCGACTTGCGCTCATGCACATCAGCTCCCTCAACCTGGACTACAATGAGTTCGACGCCGTCCCCCCCGATGCCCTCAAGTTCACGGACCTCGTGCTGCTGTCGGTGGCGCACAACAAGGTGGAGTCGCTTACCGACAGGATCAGCGTGCTGAGCAACCTGACGGTTCTGGAGCTAGAGGACAACCTGCTGCAGCACCTTCCCCAGAGCCTTGAGGGCAACCGCTCGCTGGTGAAGTTGACGCTGAACAGGAACCAGTTCCAGTCCTTCCCCGAAGTCATCTTCGACCTGTCGGGCTTGCAGATCCTGAACCTTGCGCTGAACCAGATCGAGCTCGTCCCAGAGGCCTTGTGCGAGGCAAACACTGCGCTGAAGCTCCTTGCGCTGCAGCACAATCAGATCCATGCGCTGCCCAGCAACATCGGGCTCATGGCGAACCTGATCCTACTGGACCTTACTCAGAACCACATCATCTCCCTCCCCTCCAGCATCTCCGCGTGTCAGAGGCTCAGGGCCCTCTTCCTCTCCGGCAATCCCCTCCCCTCCTTTCCGCGCGACGTCCTCCTCCTCTCAAGGCTGCAGCAGGTCCTGTTCCTCTCGAGCCTCTCCCGCCTCCCTGACCCTCCTTGCGCAGTTGCGATGCTCCAGCACACAACTCTCCGGCGTGCCTCCTGAGCTGGGGCTGCTGACTTGTCTCAAGGAGCTGCTCCTCTCCGACAACGAGCGGCTGGTATGGCCGACCCCGGACGTTCTTGAGCAGCCCATTCAAGACGTCCTCTCCTACCTCCGTACTTACCTGGAAGCGGAGGAGGAGGAGGACGGGGGTCAGAGCGGCGCTTCAGGCCCTGAGACGCGGGGGGTCAGCGTTGACTCCTTCCTCGCCCACAACGCCCGACTGGCCGAGCTGATGGTCGAGCTGCAGGAGCTGACGCTGGAGCTGGAGGAGAAGCAGAAGGAGCTGGCGAAGCACACGAGGATAGGGAACAAGTCCAAGGTCGCGGAGCTGCAGGGGGTGGTGGACGAGCTAAACTACGAGAGGCAAATGCTGGCCCACGAGCTGAGAGAGACGGAGGAGCTGGGAAAGTTGGACGAGAACCTCCTGCTGATCGAGGCTGAGCTTTCAAAGATGGAGAACCCAGCCGAGGACTCGGACTCGGACTAGGAGGACGAGGGGGGTGGCAGGGGAGCAAGGAGAGGGCAAGGGACGAGGAAAAAAGGGAATGGTGGGAAGTAGAGGGGGTAGGGAAGGTGAGGGCGATGGAAAGGTTGTTGTACAGACTGCAAGGTTTGCAATGTAAACTATGAAAGAATGAATGTGAAAAGAATACAAGCAGACGCATCGCCGGAGGGGACGTGAGCCCGTCACCTGGCCCCACTGGGAGTCAAGAAGCAGGAGGGAACAACGTAATCCTCCGACACGTCCCGCCATTCCTCCACCGCCATGACTCGCAACTCGTACTCCCTGCCCTCCTCCAGCTGTATCGCCTCCGCGTTCAACTTGCTCTGGAAGGTCCTCTGCGACGGGTCCCAGGCAAACAGCACCGTCCGCACCTCCTTCTCCAGCCCTGACCGCAGCTCCATGTAGCGCATGCCCAGCGTGTACAGGTTGCTCCCTTGCCGGTTGATCTCTCCTGCCTGCCCGATCACGTACTCGCCCAGGGCCCTCGCGTCCACCTCGATGGTGTCAAAGTTTGACTTGGGAGCGCGGAAAGCTCGAGTGCCGTAGGAGGTCGGCAGTCCAGCCTCGCACTTCAAGGAGAATGTAGTCTTCACCCTCCACAGGTTGCTGTGCTCGAACTTCAGCCCCTTCTCCCCCAGATACACTGCAGTGATGACGTCATGCGCCTGCAAGTAGGTCAACCCATCCGGCGAGTTCTGTGCCAGGAGGGCTTGGATCTTAGGCCACATGACCGGGTCGCTGCTCGCCACGTCTTCAGCTGTCAGGCCCCGGACGTCCACTAGGTCATATCTAGCGTAGGCGTCCAGAAGCACTTGAATGGTCTCCAGGAAGTGCCCGAAGCTCCCGGCGATCTCCTCCCTCAGCTCCGCGAGTCTCCGCGCTCCCAGCCCCTTCCGGATCTCCCTGCTCGTCTCCCAGTGCGACAGCCAGCTGTCCAGCTTCCTCGTCGTCCTGCGGCCGTAGGCGTTCTGCAAGCCATGCTGAGTGGTAGGGGGACCGGAGTTGTCTACCGCAAGAGAGATGGCGCCTTGAGTCGCGAGATGCAAGGGAGTGCAAAGGTTGCGATCGAGCAAGTTCACGTCCGCGCCTCCTTCAAGCAGCACGTAGCAGATGCTCTCCAGGCCACACTGAGCCGCCAGATGCAGCGCGGACATCCCGTCCGTCTCCTCCAGGGAGTCTACGTCGAGTTTGAGCTTACCCTTGCTCAGAATCATCTTCACAGCTCCTTCCTGCCCCATCTTGACCGAGTAGTGCAGCGGCTCGATGCCCAGAAGGTCCCGAGCTCGCACGTCCGCTCGAGCATCGAGCAGGAGGCCGATCAGATCAGAAGTGCCGTTGACGCAGGCCACGTGCAAGGGGGTCCGGCCCAAGTCATCGGCATGACTGAAATCGGCCCTCATCTCCACCAGCACCTTCACGACCGCCGACCGGCCGGCAGCACACGCTTGATGCAGAGGCGTCCAGCCCATGGGGTGCCGGAGGGTGCGGAACTCTTGAACCACTTCCTTCTTGCGGAGTTTCGGTGCCACGTCACCGGGGGCGTCGCCCTTGATCCACAAGGTCGAGCTGGCAGCATACTGAAGTGGTAGGCGAACGAGCTTAGGTAGGCGCTGCTCAGCTGGAGCCTTGCTGGACCGACCAACCGGCTCACCTCCAACAGGAAATTCAGCTCCAATGATATCAAGCTCTAGATCCCTCGATCGGCTGAGAGCACGAACAGCATGATACCTTCCGAGCGCTGCTGCGCGATGCAGAGCGCTCTCTCCATGCTTGTTCAGCGCGTTGACGTTGACGCCATACTGAATTGCCAGCTGGACACAGGCTGGCCCTCTGGCCTCGTGCTCTACAGCAAGGTGCAAGATGGTCTCATTGTCTGCAGTGAGACAAAGGACGAGGTCAGGGTCATGGTCCAACAGGAGCTGCATCGTTGCAACGTGGCCATTCTTGGCTGCTCGATGGACGGCGGTGTGGCAGACCTTGTGGTCTCCGATCCAAGGATCGACGTCGAAGCAGGCGAGGAGGGAGGCAACAATCTCCTCCAGCCCTCTCTCAGCAGCGAGCATCAGAGGCGTGATTCCGTGCGGGTCAGTTAGGTTGACGTCGATGCCGTAGAAACCGACGTGCCGGATGTCATCCGTGTGCGGGTGAATTACGCACAGGGGAGCTGCTTCCGGAGCTGCGAGGTCCCAGACTCTGACACCCGAGTCAGGGGTCGAAGAGGCGATGACCAGGCACTTGTCACGATAGGAAGCAAACTGAATGTCGTAGACCGGGCCTCTGTGAGCGTTCTCACCATCTTCCTCCCCACAGAAGGTCTTGTAAGGGCCCTTGGTGAGCCCTTCCGCTGTCTTCAGCCTCCACAGGAAAATCTCTCCGGTCCCCGAACCTGAGATGATCACCTCGTAGACTCTCTCCTCGAAGACAGGGTAGCGGAATTTCTTGGACTTGGCGCACATGACGGCGCTGTCGTGGCCCTTGTAGATTCTTGTCTTCTGCGTGTCGAGGTCCAAGATGCGGAAAGTCCTGTCGTTGGAAGCGGTGAGGAGGATAGTGGACGTCAGCTGGATCGAGTTGATCGACGATCCTTGATGGAAGGTGAAGTACTTGAGCAGGCTCCCTCCTGACAGGGACCAGACAAAACAGATTCCCATGCGAGAGCCGTGCACAACCCGGTCGGAGGCGACATCCAGATCCACTGAGACCACAGGGCTGGGGAACTGATTCGGCCGCGTGTCTTGATAGACGCGGATGCACCTCGCTGTGTTCGCATCCCACAACCTCACTGTCGTGTCTTCAGAGCCGCTCACCAGATACTTACCTGGGGTTGTGCTCTCCGAGCTCTGCACCTTGACGCACGTGATCGCTCCCGTATGACCGGAGAACACCCTCGTCACTTCCTCCAACCCCCTGATGAAGTTGCAAGGCTGAGACTGCTGAGTCGTCAGGCTCGTCATCTGAATGGAGCCGTCGGTGCTTCCCGTTATGATCCTGTCCTGAATGATCTGCATCCCACGCACGACGTTGTGATCTTCTGACTGCCGGACGAGCAGTCGGCTCCGTTCGAGCTTCAGCCAGCCTTCGCTGTACTCAAGGCCCGTTACTCGGATGGTGCTGTCATCAGAGGCCGAGATAACAGCGCTCGTCGATAGCAGATGCTCCACCACTCTCGCCTGCCCGAGCATACACGCTGCATGTAGCGGAGTAGAGCCTGCCAAGTTCGTCTGCAGGACGTTTGCCCACCTCTTGGCCAGCAGCTGAACAGCCTCAGCCCTTCCCTGCTCCACTGCCATGAACAGAGGCGTCAGAAAGTTCGTGTCGCTCATGTCCACCATGCATCCCGCGCCATGTGGGAACGGGTCGAGGATGTACTCGATGACCTTCAGCTGGTTGAAGATGGCCGCGTAATGCAGCGGCGTCTTTCCGTCCTTGTTGAGGGCGTCAGCTTCGATCTCAGGAGCTCCATCCGACCCGCGCACGAACTGCCTGACGGCCAGGAGGTCCCCTTTAGCAGCCGCCCAGTGCAAGGGATCCGGGAACTCCATGTAGTTTTCCCACGGTGAAACCTGCTTCTTCTGCACGACCATCTTGCTACCGAACTCGCTCTCCACGAATGATATGTTCATGTTCTGAACGGCATCGGCGAAGCCACTCAGGATCTTGCGGTTGGAGGACTGGTGCGCTCGATCCTTGGCGCTGCTCTCGAACCTTCTCAACAGGGCCACGAACTCCTCGAAATCGAGCTCGGAGTCGTCGGACTTGTCTCCGTCTGCAAGGAGGGCGCGCAGCTGGTCGCTGGAGAGTTTGATGCCTAGCTTCTCCAGCGCTACCCCGAGTTCAAAAGGGTCTATCTGTCCGCTGTTGTCAAAATCAATCTCGTTGAACTGCTTCCTGTAGTTCACAAGGTTCTCAACGTCTTCCGGCCACTCACAATCGTCTAGCAGCTTCTGAGGCAGCTCGTATTGTTTCCCCAGTGTCAACTTCAGCATTTCAGTCTTCTGCCTCGTCTCCTCGTCGATTTGTTCTTCTTCGCGCGTATCCTCATAGAAGCTGGCCTCCCAACTTTGCATCCTCTTTTGATTCTGCATCTGCTGCTCTTGTTCATTTCTCATCCTTTCCTCTTCAAGCTGTCTCTTCACTCTCAATCGCTCTTCTTCCACTCTCTTCTTACGCTCCTGCTCTTCCAGCTCCGCTTGTCGTGCTTGTACCTCATACTTGTCGAATTCCTGTGCTGCTTGTGATTCTCCATGGACTTGTGCGAACTCCTTGGCAAGAAACTTCGCGTTGCCAATAGGAATAAATCTCTCTTGCGTTGTTGATTCTGGGTTGTACCCCTTTTCTACTACATCGTAAGAACGCAGCGGCACCTCGTCACCTGGATTCACAAACACACCACCAACACGGCGCGACCGCATTCGTTCAAGAGCCTCATTGAGGCCGAGCCTCCTGCTTGGCACTTTTTGTGCGTTACTATCAGCAAGAAAATTAGGTTGCTCCGCAACTTCATGGGCAAGATCAGGATCAAGCGATCGCTGGGCGATGTATCGCTCCACCATGTCAGCGAACTTGAGCTGGGGTTTACAAAAAACCGCTAAAAGAAATGCATGAAGCAAGCACAGGTGTCATATGGCATCCTCAGGAAGCTTGTCTTTGTAGAGGCACACCCCTGATCATCGTGACCTTCTCGCCATATCCTTCATCTTCACCTGGCCTCCTTCTCCTCCTCTCGTTTCCTCTCTTCCGTTTCCTCATCACGTTCACGATGCACCTCACATAGCATGGCATCGCCTGCCTGTTTAAACTTAACGCCCGAACTTTTTAATTCTGAAAGTTCGGCGGAAGGTTAGAATTATTGGACGTCTTGTACTAAAGTTTATGATATGAAAACTTTCAAAGTTTAGGAGCTGAGCCCGGCGTTCAACGTTTGCCGGGCCGCGATTCCCGCCGATGCTTCGGAAGACTTGAGGTTGAACTTAGTCTCCGTCTATCAGTCGGGGCAGCTACACGAGTTTAAAGTCTCTTTACTCATAGTTAAGTTAAAAATCAGAACGAGGACAATCAGGAGAGACGAGGCCCCCGATAAAGTATGAGTGCTTGTTTTACAGTGGCCCGAGAATCAGCTTGCAACAGCTGTTTAATGTTCAACAAAAAAAGTACAATCTCTACAGGCTCAGCACTGCTGCGCTCGACAGGTTAACTAGGTTTGATGCGTTCAGAACGGGCAGCGACTTGATGGATGCATCTGGGCCCGTTGACTTCTGACAAAGCTGGGAAAGGAGGAGAAGAGTCTGGAGAGAGTTGTCCGTATTCGGAAGACCCAAGACGGGCCAGGTTGACAATGGAATCGCAGAGGCAATCTGGAAATCGCTCTTCCTTCTTTTGTACAGCCCTTCACCAGCAGCGATGGTGTAATCATCAGCGTCCAGACAGAGATCTGCGACTCTTTTGCAACGCTCTCCCTCCTCTCTGTGTTCCACACTCTGCACCGGTGCCTTCTCCTTGCTGGACAATTGCATTACACCACTCGGAATCACTTGACGCAATGATGGTATTTTGGTTTCGACCTTCAGTTCCAAGGGCAGAATGAGCGAGGTCTCCTTCCCGTGGATCTTCAGAGAGATCTCGAGCTCAGCCTGACGGGAGCTTGTTGAGCAGGATCCACTCGAGATCTTCACAGCGAATCCAGCAGAGGCTCCGCTCGCCCTCCCTTCAATCTCGGCCTCTGAGAAGATCTCGACGCTGAGCCTCTGCTTCGAATGCAACTTCTCATCCCAAACCGGTCGTGGGAGATACGGCGAGGCAGAGCTCATCTTCAATTGGAGGCTCGCCCTTCCTGCGTCGGATTCTTCTACCATAGGCCTTGAAACTTTCTTCAGGTGTCGTAGCGTTGCCCACTCTGAGTCCGAAGAGTTGAAATGCAGGCTCGCTTCAATCTGCACGTTCCAGCTCTCCAGGGGAGTGAACGTGATAAACAAATATTTCGTTTCACCAAGTCCCATGGATTGCGTCAAGGTTCCATTTCCATTCCTAATGACCGGGATCACCTGAGGCCTGTGGTCGTTCTCGATGTGCTTGGATAACGCGCGAGTTCCCGACATGGTGCACCACTTTCCACAATAGCAGCACTGGTACATGGTGTCTTTTCCACGCTGTTGCACGATGGGCTCGATCTCTTCCATGCACGCACTCAGAAATCTGCGGGATCCCACTGGCCTGCACTTGGGAGGTCCAAAAGCATCATTCGAAGACTGACCATCGTCGAATGGAAGGGTTTGATTCTGTAAGAAAGGATATCATTAGAACGTGCGCGGATGATGTATCATGAGCAATGCAACTAACCTCTGATTCAACCGGCGAGGCCATGTTGTCTTGATTGTTGACTCAGGAAAACTTGTAGATCTGGCGGACGTTCGAGGAGTGCGAAAGAGAATTCGGGCCACCTGCAAAACCTGCAGCTTGTGGGTTCTATGACAGGACGATGGATGAACAGGAAGGGGAGACCGGCAGCAGGGTAGCGGGGCAGTGCAGAACGAACAGGAGGGTTTCGTACGAAAGACACGATGCTGGGGCAAGAAACGAACGCCGACGGGGACGTCGGGTTGCCAGGGGGTAGTACCCGGAGAATAACAAACTGCATAGAAGGGTAGTCCACGGACCTAGGGGTAGGATCGGGATTCGTGAATACTTCTAGCGATATTCCTGGGTGGTCAGAGGTATAAGAGTGGGGTAGGGTTGGAAAGTTTCCAGAGATCCGAATTGAGTGGGTCCTACGTCTTTGCAGGGGTAGGGGTGAGGGGTGTTTCGGGCTCGAGTCGCAGATAGGGGTAGGGGGTGAGTCTCGGAAGTTGGCTTTCATTTCCTTTTACATGGGACCGATGACGGAGAGGGCAGAAAAGGGCTAGGTGGGAACCACAAGGGGGGTCACTACCCCACCCTTTCGTTTCCCTGAAGATATGATAAATGACCCCTCTATAAACCCATGGCGTGTGGTCATCAGAAAACTCTGGAGGGTGGGTGATCATATCAGCGCATTGACTTTTAGAGAAGGGTGGGGGTAGGGAGTTCGGTACAAAGTGAGTCCGAAACGACACCTGGGGGGTGGGGTAGGATGAGGTGGATACAAGTCCCGATGCATGCGGTACAGAAAGTAGCATAGAGAGAGCGGTGGGTACCGAAAGTGACAGTTCGATGGTAAACCTGACGGTACTGGGTCGCAGGGGTGGGTCAGAAGTAGAGTTTCGGAATTCTTGACGCAGTAGTAGTTGGCGCATCATCATGGTTTAACAGCGTTTGTTGTAAAGGTGATTGCCGTCATTTGTATGGTCATCAAGAGCCAACTTTTCATAAACATCAATCAATCACGTTACCATCGGAAGTGGTGGGTCGACAACTAGTGCCCCACCTCCCCACCACGTCCCTGGCTCTTCCAATGGCGAGTCATGGCGAATTCCGAATTTGGTCCGCTGCCTACCCCTACCCCTTTTGTCCTGAAACCACAGCAGTGTACTACCCCACCCATGAGACCAAGGGAGAAACCCTGGAGTAACCCTCGTCAACATAATGACAATGGCTACCCCTACCCCCACTTTGACCATTCCATGGCTCGTTATTATATATATTATTACTGTCTTTAGGACCTCGGACACCCCCTTTCGCAGCTCCAAATACCCCTACCCTCCCTGTATCAACTTTTTGAACACCAACCCACCGGTACCGGCATCGTCAACTTTTGTACAGGACAAAATTGTTTTTTTTGGGCTTCCGTCGATGTGTCACTATAAGCAATCCGCAGTACTGAGTGTCGGATTACTGTAAACTGCTTTATAATCTATATGTCATACCGAATATCACATCGAAGGTTATAATAATGTAATTTAAAAATATAAAATTTTATCTATACTAATTCATCCTACCGAAATCATTCAATGGTAGAAATTATATAATTTATAAAAAGGTAGTAATGATTACCTTTCTACCTTTAGTCAAAGTTAAGTTAAAACATTAGTGAAATTCCGAGCCGGCAAGCCTTGACTTTACTACTTCAGTTCCGCATCGTCTGATGATAGTATGAAATTCCGTTCGAAGTCACGGTATACGTACTGAGGTACTGATGACTTCAAGTTGACTTTAAAACTTTTAGTCACTGAGAGTGACTGATTTGAGTAATAAGGTCGGGCTCGGAAAAGTAGTTCTCGGCCCGGGCAGCCCGGCCCGGCCTCCGAGAGTCAGCCTGTAAAATGAACACGATTACGTCACGAGCCCGAGTCAGAGAAAGGACTATCAGAATGAAAGGACAGTTGGCTGCCTCGTACTCGTGTTGAAACCCAGCGCTTCCACAATTTAGGATTGTGCTGCCTTTTGTGTTATCCGTGTGTATTTTTGAGGCGGGTTGGGTTTTTTTGCTCATTCTATCATCGCCAGGAGCAAGGAGCACCGGTGAAGCTCTTCACAGCCTCTTCCAGGGAAGGACGGGTGCATCTCTTGATCGAGGAAATCTCCCGAGTCCCTCTGCCAGAGGTAGATGGAAGTTGACACTGTGACAAATTTTCCCTAGATATCATTCGTAGGCAACAGCGCGTACAGATACGTCGACAAGGTCCAGACCTTCAAGCCACTACTAAGCCGGAGCTGTTCAAGAGCGTGAAGATTTTTGTCATCGAAAGCGTTCGCTTTGCGTGAGTTCGTGCACTCTCGGGCGGAGTTCGCAGCGAAAACAACAGGCGTACGTCCCTTCCATCGACACGTCTGTGGGTGCGTGAGGTGTTGGAGGTGGAGTGATAAGACTCGCCCGGCGGGACGACGCGCCGGTCTGCGGCTGTTGCTATTGCTGTTGCTGTTGCCGTGAGCACCTCATGCTTATGTCGCCGACAACATCTGGTGGGCGGTATGCGTCGTACAAGTGCGCGACAGCACGTTTGTTGGCTTGGCTGACTGAGAAGGAGCCACCGACGCCGCGAACGGTGCGCGCCATGCTCAATGCCGCACGCAGGCTGTCGGAGAGATGCGAGATGATGCCAGCCGACGTCAAGGCAAGTCTCGAGCTCGCCATCAAGTTGCGGAGGGAGGTTCACGAGCTGTACACTTCGCGTGTGGCGCAAACAAACCCCGACGACGAGCGCCATGCTCACTTCATCTCGGCCCTCGAACGTGTGCGCGCGTGGTTGCAGCCTCCTTCAAGCAAAGAAGAGAGGCGCGACGCTCCAACGAAGCAGCTTGAGCCTGAAGCCGAGGAGCTTGCGAACCGCTTCGAGTTGCTTGATGTTGAGGAAGGTTGGGACGAAGTGGACGAGTCCGTGCCAAAGTCACAAATGCTTGTGGGTAAAGACGTGCTCATCGATGGACTTACGAGTAAGCCAGAGTTAAATGGACGTACGGGCTATGTGGTTGAGCACCTCTCACACAACGGCCGTTACAAGGTTCGCTGCGGCGACGAATTCTACAGCCTCAAGCCGGAAAACATCAAGCATGCTCCTATGCAAGAAGCGGAGCAAGAGCAGTTTATTCTTGGCGAGGCTATCGAATTTGAGGCGGCGTGCTTGATGCTTGATGTCCAGGCTGCGCTCGGCGAAGTGGCGACTGCTTGGAATGACTACAAAACGGGCGCATCTCGCTTCTTACCGCTGCCGCACTTACGAATGCGTGCGTCAGCCACGCCGAGCATCTCGCTAGTGCACTCGAGGCGAAGCATCCTCGGCTAATGAGCCTCTCTCGCGTCGTGTGCGTGGCCCACTTGTCCCGCGCGATCAAGACGACGATGTCGCAACTGAACGTTAAGTTTGGCGTCGCGCTTGACATCGTGTGTGACGTTGCGTTTGGCGATGCAAGTGATCGGATCGTCAGGCAATTCCTGAACGCGCGCACGATCAATGGGACGGCCATCTTCCTGATCGAACAGGCTCTCGAAAGCTATCCTTGCTCGTCGCAAAAAGATGAAATGGAGCTCGAGAAAATGAGCCAGAAACTCATCATGCGGCGTGCAACGCAATGCACCAAGGAACAAGCACGTGCCGTGATGTCGATGATCGCCAAGGAGGTTGTGCTGCGCTTTGCGCCGGTCAGCTATGGCGAGGACGAAGTAAACGACTTCTACCTCGGCGAAAATGGCATTCTCTTCACTTCTGACTTCCTGCAAAAGCTCTGTGCCGCAGGCCTCGTGCGGCGCCCGCGAACGTGGAGCGCGCCAAAAACAGGATTCTTCGGTGAGCCATGGGACGAGGTCCGCAATCCCGCGGAGAGCACAGAAGATCTACTCGACTACATGGGGGGACTCGTTCCAGCGCTTTTCTATTTTGCAGATGCCGAGCTGCGGACGAAGCACGGCTCGGTCGAGTTTCCAGAGCTCAGGCATGCTACGCTCATGCCGCTGTCGAATGTGCTCAAGAAGGCCATGGATCGTGGCACCGTATCCCTCGCCTTCGTCGTCTCCATACAGGCCGCGCTGCTCTCCCTTGTGTGCGTCAATGGCGAGCGACGATGCAAGCGTGTGCACATCACGACGAAGGCGGCATTCGCGAAGGCTGCACAGCAACTCGGTGGGGCGCTCGCGGCGCTCGAAGGCGAAAGCTTTAGAGGACGGCATACTGAAATCTCGACGCGGAATGTCCAAATGTTCAAGGCTTGGGTGGATCATGTCCACGCGCTGCAGACAAGTCCGCCGCCCGTGGGTACACATGTTCCCGAGATCCTGGCTATCGCGGAGCGTCAGCGTGACCAGGCGTTGCTCGAGAATCCATGGGTCGCTGGGCAATACTTGCTTGTACTATGCCTGGGCGTTGGCATGGGAGGTGGTGTGATAAGCATTGACGACTTTGGGCAGACGTCCTTCGTGCTTCATGTCGGAAATGCCCTACGCACCGTCGGTGCGCTTGGCGAATCCGATAGCGCTCAGCTCCTTGAGATGCTCACGCACACATTTGACGAAGACTGCAAGTCGATTTGGTTTGCTGGCGTGCCACGGAATAACTTCTCGAAGCACTGGTTTCACCGGATGGGAATGGACGTGACACTGATGAAAAATCGTAAACTTACTTCAATTGAGGCAGAGGACATCAGCTTGGCCTTCAAGCGTGCGGCGGCGGCGGATTTCGCCGACTTGGCACTAATGGGCAGTGCCGACCCACTTCAAGTCATCCTTCAGGCAATTCGCGAGGCGTTCGAGGAGGACCCACTCGTCGGCATCAACCTCGGTGCAGTTGGTGCACAGCTCCTGCCTTTGGCGCAACACCTTGTCAACGAATTAGGACTGCAGGATGAGGTTGTAGCCAATCTTGTGCAGCTTGGTCAGGACATGGAACGCAGTTCAGGCACACGGAAGAAGGGTCGCCATCGTGAGAACAACGACTCGGCTGGCCCGGACCGCAGACACGCGCTTTATCTGACCATCATCGGCGCTCTTTTCATGAAATGCGAGCGCGACGCGCCCGAGAGTTCCGACCCATTGCATCTCGGGAGAAATCCCGATGGTGGCGCTCCCACGATGCGAGCGATTGATCGCGATACTCTTCCGCCCTGCTCGCCACTGGAGCGTGCATATCTCAAGCGTGCAGGTGCAGTGCTCGTGGCGTTCATTCAGAATATTAAGGCGACCAACTATCGACTTCTGACATTGTAGACAAAATTTTAGAATCACCAGCTGATGAAATGTGTGAAAATTGATTCATTTAAGTTTTGCTTTCAGAAGTAATCATCGCCGTATGCGCGACCAAACCGTGTCTTGGCGCTGCTCACCGCTACGCCTCACCCCTCGTTCACAGTTTCCCTTTCGCGAAGTGTCGAGGGAAAGAACGAATTCGCGCCAAACAACATGTGCAAGGGATCAAACAAATGAGCAAGAGCGCGCTTGAATAGCCGCGACCGTACATTAAAGATGGACCTGTCAGGTCACAGTGCCAACGTCCAGCCTATTGAGTCGCCATCGACGGCGATACTCGTGACTGCACGTCGACTCGGTAACGTGCATCAATGACGTGATGCTCTACGCGGCGGCTTGCAGATGCACATCATTTGAACCATGTACATTGTCTATTAGAGTTGGGTGAGGAGAGGGTCCAATGAGAAGGCTCTCGCCGCAACCAGTCGGTCAGAACGATGTCTTGTGAGCGGCGTCCCTGCTCAGGGAGGGAACCAACGAAGAGATTAAGCTTGGAACCGTGATCTCCAGCGAGTAAGAGTGTAACGACCGCATTCACATCAGGAAGCGGTGCTTAGCTCGTAAGCAACAGCAGGCGATTCGTAACTCGTGCAACACAATAATCGCAACTCGCGTGTCCCACAAAAAATGACCAAAGCGTGAAATTTCGCTAGCGGTCTCAGTCTGCATGTCTCAACACGTGGCTGCGGCTTGAAGGTCGCTTGTAATGAGAGCCGCAAGATCTCGAACGCTTTCCTCCGTTGCTTGTGGTAGAATGATGGCGTGAGCTTCGTCATCGACGGTCGGAAGCTCGAAGAGCTGAATGGTATCCTCGCTCGGCCGTGGAAACACGATCAGGCTCATCTCACTCCGGCTATGCGGCACGCCAGAAGCTTCCCGAAGCGACTCGAACAAAGCCTCGAGCCGTTTGCTCCTTTCATATTCCGCCTTCCAATCGAGCTGTCGAAGCGTGCACGCCCCAGCGGTGCGATCAGTCCGTCTCGGCTCCCCGATATAATTGCGTCGTTCACACGCAGATATGGCACATACGCATCTCCGCCTAGTCGCCTCTGCATTTCCTGCTCGTGCTCGTATGCGTGGCATGCAATCACAATACAGCCGCAGACAACACCTCCGCTCCACTTGTGCGCACTGATCGAAATGCTGTCGATGTCCCTCCCAATGTAGCAGCGCGATGCACGCTCGTCGAGTGCCCAAAACCTGCCGTGGAACGAGGCGTCGACGTGAACGTGGGGCGCTATCCTGAGGCAAGACATCGAATTCCCCAGTTGCTGGGTTGTGCTGACCAGCTGTCATGCGCAACGTTTCCACTCACGTCGTCGTTCGCTCCACGAAACGTCGTGTCGAGTGTGAGCATGAACTTGCGGGCGTTCATTTGCTCGCTTGATACGCGCACTAGTTGTTCCAGTGAATCTAGATCGATGGCACCGTCTGCCATTTTCCTAGCCACTGCGTGCATTTGGTCGTCGCAGAAGAGTCGCGCCGACTTCTCGATTGAGTAGTGCGCCTGGTCGGTCCAAATGATCAGTGTTCGTCTCGAGTATTAGATGCTATGTGGTGCACACATGGTAGTTGCCACTGTCCGTGCTCGTCGTATTGTCCTCCTCTGCGTCGCCATCGCCAACTTGCACGTCAGCACTCAGCATGGAATCGTCGAGTTCAACCCTTTCAGACGTGCATGTCTTCACCACAACGCCTTCGCTGCCTTCGCAGAACGTAATGTGCACGTAACTGTCGTCGACGTCTCTCGCTATTCAGCCTTGCGCCGTAGCGGTCATATACGCCCCGGGCCGTGGCGGTTGTCCGCCAACGGGTCGCCGCAGCTGTCCCATGTGTAGAAACCAAGCTTCCTGCGCTCCCCGCAATGCTCGAACGCGCGTTCGAGATGAGAAGCAATATGGGCCGTCGAGCCGCTGCTGGAGTCATCTGCCTCATCCCCTCTAGAGGAAAGGTAGTCGCCCAAAACCAACCCGCCTCAGAAACAAGCTAGGACAATACATAAGGCAGCTCAATCCTCCTATTCTACCTGCGCGAGCATCCAAACCGTGACGAGGGGTACTCTCCCCCAGACTCTCCCCAAAATGCTCGTGGAAGGGGGGAGGGGGGGGGGGTGGTACTCTCCCAGATATGCATGCGAGGGCAGTAGGCTCTGACGAAAGGAGAGACCAGAGGAGAGAAGGGACCTCGAAACAAGCACCGAGTAAGCAGCAAGGAGAGCAGGGGGAAGACTAAAGGTGTAGGACTGAGCTGGATGATGATTTATCAGAAATAACCAAGGAAAGCAGTGAAGGAAGTGAAAGAAGGAGAGGGAGTGAAGGGTCGTGAGAAAGTACGGAAGAGAGCGAGGGAGCGAGTGAGAGGGAATAAGTGCCTGGGCAAGAGTGATAGTCCCTGCAGCAAGCATCATCACGACGGCAATTGCCTAATGCGATCAGACAGGAGCACTTTTGTCCGCCCTTTCAAGGCAATGCTTGATCTCATTAGCAGCCTCACAGGGAGGGGAGGATGAGCTTCCTCCGCTGCTTCTCGTGCAAGGTCGAGCCCGACGACAGCCATGACGGGTCGGGCTCGTCGCTCCAGCGAAGCTTGGAGGAGGCGAACAAGACGATCTCACAGCTCCAGGCGGAGCTCCAGCAGGCCAAGGATCGTCTGGTCCACCACAAAGACATCAAGGAGAAGCTGCCAAGCATCTCAAGCCCTACTCTTAGAGTTTCAGACCATGAGGAGGAGACTCAAGCTCCAGCCTCGTCATGGCGCCTCCCGGACGAGATCCGATCTACCCTCCAAGAGCTTTTCCACATCTCCCACGACCCCCAGCGATCCAAGCTCCTCCACAACGACCTCCTCGTCTCTCTCGGCGTCGACGTCTCGGCCCTCATCCAGCACGCAAGCCCTGGCAAGCTCTCGTACGAGGACTACGAGGTCAGAGTCGCAAGGGAGTGGGAGCTCGCTCGCAAGGCCAGCAGCCTCGCTGACATGGACATGCTCCGCGTCATGGCGGAGTGCATCCCCGGTGGGAGCGTCGAGAGTCCTCTAGCGGGGCTACAGGGGATGACTGCGAGCGCTCTGTCGGCTCTATGGCAGACGGCGATAGCGGGGAAACTGAAGGAGGCGCTGGGGAGGCCGGGGGAGGCTCGAGGGCGGGAGGCAGGAGTCTGTTCGACCTTGCACAATAGCAAGTACTCTCTAAACGAGGCAGAGGCTACAGACAGCGAGGAGACGCGCGAAGCCGTGTACGGGAAGATCGAGGAGTACTACCGGGGGCTGATCGACCGGATTGGGCTGCCTCAGACAGGACTGATGAAGGCGATGGAGGAAGAGCACTGCCGGGGCGAGGACGCAGAGGAAGGGTTTACGACGAGCAACTACGGCATCAGGACGACAGCAAAGGAAGAGTGGCTGAACGTCACAGACCCGGAGAGGAGGCAGAGGCTGTCTGAAGGAAAGCGGATCATCCGAGGGATAGAGGAGCTGAGGGAGCATGCGATGACGATCAAGGCGGACCTGCGGGAGGAGGAGCTGATCGCGCTGCAGCTCTACACAGGTAAGCAGGAGAGAGCGAGGCAGGAAGTCTTTGTTGGATGAGACAGGTACCACAGGGCCGTTGTACTACAAGTATAACTCCATCCTCCGAGCCCCAGACCAGGTGGCCAACAAGTACACGACGACCCTGCACTGCATGGTCAGCGGACTGGTCAAGCTGGCTCGTCACACGCCTCTGACGGAGGATCGGCGAGTGTGGAGGGGGCTGAAGGGGCTGAAGCTGCCGAAGAGCTTCCTCGAGGAGGACAAGCTCGGAGTGTCGGGAGGGGTCGAGTACGGGCTGCTGAGCACGACGACAGACGTGGGGACGGCGATCCAGTACGCGGAGGAGGGTGCAGAGCCGATCGTGCTGGAGATCAGCTGCGGGGCGATCGACCGGGGGGCGAGCTTGGCGTTCTTGTCTCAGTATCCCGGGGAGGAGGAGATCTTATATCCTCCGCTGTCTTACCTGGAGGTGCTGAAGAAGCCGCGTCAAGAGGTGATGGAGGGGAAGCGAGTGAAGGTGCTGCAGCTGAGAATCAACGCGAACGTGATGAGCTCGACGATCGAGGACATGCTGGGGAAGAGGAAGCAGCTGTATGCGGGGCTGATGGAGAACATCGCGAGGGAGGTAGAGCGAGACCTGAGGGAGTGGGAGCCGGAGATCCAGGAGCGACTGAAGAGTGCAGTTGCTGATAGGTGTAACCGGCGTGATAGGGTGCTGTTGGAATCGATTAAGGAAGAATGCCGCACGCTTGTCGAGGCGAGTAGACGGAGGGAGGCAGAGTGGTACAACGAGGACTCGAGATACAAGGAGGCAATCGAGCTGTCCAACTCGATGAAGGACATGGCGATCAACAAGCTCAGACATTGGATCGAAGACACTCAAGGAGACTGGAAATGCCCAGCTTTGACAGGCGACTCGATGAAGTCAGTGTACTGGAAGACGATGGCTGGTCTGATGTTCAAGATTGCCTCCCTGACTCCAGCAGACAGTGGCAGACAAGAGCTGTGCAAGCGACTGTGCGGGATGTACGGCTTGTCGATCGCAAGCGAAGAAGAGCAGGCGGAGCCGCCGACAGTCACAGCAGTCGTACGAGGGCAGGGAGAGCTGATCCCGCTACTGAAGGCGGCAGGATGCGACATGGATGGGCGGATAGAGGACGGGAGGACAGGGCTGCATGTAGCGGCGATGCTGGGGAGGGCGGGAAGCGTGAGGGAGCTGATAGAAGCAGGAGCGGAGGTAGGAGCGAGAGACGGGGAGGGGAGGACATGCATTCACTGGGCGGGAAAGTATGGACATGTGGAGGTCCTGAAGAGGTTGAGGGAGATGTGTGGGGTAGAGAAACTGAGAGATTATGTAAGGGAGAAGACGAATGACGGCTGGACATGCACGCATTTGGCGAGTGTTGGAGGGCAGGTGGAGACACTTCGGTACCTTGCAGAGACATGCGGGAAGGTGCTGCTGAGCGAGAAGACGAATGACGGCTGTACGTATGATGGCTGGACATGCGCGCATTTGGCATGTCAACGAGGACAGGTAGAGGTACTGCGGTACCTTGCAGAGACATGCGGGAAGGAGCTGCTGAGAGAGAAGACGAATGACGGCAGGACTTGCGCACATGTGGCAAGTCTAGGAGGGCAGGTGGAAGTACTGCGGTACCTTGCAGAGACATGCGGGGAGGAGCTGCTGAGAGAAAAGGACAATTTCGGAAAGACGTGTGCTGATGAGGCAAGTGAACACGAACCTGTTGTCGAGTATCTTCAAGGTATGGGGATCGAGTAATCTCAGACTGATTTTATAAGTACAACTGCGAAAACAAATATGTCCTACCATCGTGGCATTGCTTTATGCTTGGGCTCAGGTAAAATGTGCACCGCAGGATCCAAAGGGTCCAAAACCTCGAACGAACGAGAAAGTGGGGATTACTTTCGCTGGCCACGATTAGCATTAAATCACAAGGAGTTGGAGGCAGGTTCTACATGCCACTTCTGCTACCTATGGGACGATGGATATATCTCCTCATACCGCACGATAATCAAATTATTCACACAATAGACACAATCGACACAATTCCATACCCACCACTACGGAGATGGCTGAAGAGGTTCCGAGAAGAACTCGAGAGGCACACAGGATGCAGCTGGAAGATGGAAAGCAAATTTAGAACTATGATTTCAGGGCTCCACCTCATCTTTACCCGAGCAGCTCACGTGCTGTGGGAAAAGATCTCGGGAGAGGAGCAGGTATCTGCTCTGAAACAAGGTGGATGGAGGACATGTCAAGCTGCACACTTATGATAGATAGAATGCTAGTATCGATCTGCATAAAGATAGGAGAAATAGATGTAAGAGAAGCACTAACAGTCATGAAGGAATGGGGGAATGTACCAAGGAATATCATACTGCGACCTTGTGCGACAGTTGATCACGGTTCTTGAGAGCATCGACTCATTGAAAAACAATATCACAGCAGGTATCAAAGTGACAACAAAACTGATTCATCTTGTTCCTAGAAGACATTACACGACGTAGACTGTGATGTGCTCATACACAGGTAGGTACCGAGTCTCCGAAACACTAAATTGTCATGATTTTTTTAATGACTGAAAAAGAAGGCAAACTACAAATCCGCCTCAACAAAATACTAGGAAAGGGAGGAGTGGAACTGGAGTAGCGGTTTCCAGAGCGGTTTCACCTGCGAGAGGGCTGTATGAGGGCTTGATCAGCACTTTCCTGGGGCGGGTCGGTTGAGTTTTATTTAGCCCCCGATGCCGTCGGGGATCTGAAGCAGAAGGTTGCGATGGCGTGGGAAGCGAAGAGAAACCTTGTGAGGGGACGAGCCTCAAGTCAAGTAGTCATAGTAGTTGAAGCATGCCTGCAACGAGGGACGGGCAGGTAGGATGACCTCTACTTGACCTTCTCCTCCTCCCCCCCCCCCCCCCCCCCCCGCGCAAGCACACGGCTTGCTACCACGTTGTCTTTGTCCAGCAGGCAGGCGATGAGCGCTGCCAGACTTTCAAGCTACAATCGTACCGTCCTCTTGGTCGCACTTACGCTTTGGATTTCTAATCCTGCGAATGCTAGGAGGAAGAAGACTAGTCAAGATGTCCATCCGTGCGATTCTTTCGAATCCTTCCAGGAGGCGATGGAAGCAGCAAACAATCTTGCAGCTTCGAGGAGGACGAGAGAGGAGAGCAGATGCCTGCAGAGAGCTATTCAGCTGTCTCCGCGCCACCCTGAGCCCTTCGCTCGCCTGGCCGAGATCGCGGTCACTGACGGCCAACACCTCCAGGCTCGTGAGTATGTTGAGCAAGCACAGCGACTGTCACCAACCTCATCCAAGGTGCTGTCGATATCGGCTGCCATCTACTACTCCCTTGGTGACCTGCAGAGATCAGTGGCCGACTACGAGGCCGCCATGCTGCAACAGGATGGCCTGACGATGCACAACTTCAACAACCTGGGGATCTCGTACGCGGCCAGCAACCAGCACGCTTCTGCGGTGCGATCGTACAAGTCCGCCCTGCGCCTCTGGACCCCTGAGTCGGGTATGATGACGACAAGCATTCTTCTGAACCTTGGGAACACGTTCGTCGACCTGAGAAGATTCTCTGAGGCCTTTGCCTCCTACCGGCGCATCCTTCACCTAGATCCCTCGTACGCCATCGCCCATTACTCACTTGCACGTGCTCTTGATCGTGCAGGAAATCCCCTCGAAGCTCTCTCAGTCTACAGACAAGCGACGATGGCGGACCCGTACCTTCCTCACGCCTACAGCAACATGGGCATCACCTTGTTGAATCAGAATCGACCCAATGACGCTGTCAAGGTGCTGGAGTATGCCGTCCGGTTGCGACCGATCTCTGCTGAGTTCGACAACTTGGGGGATGCATATGGTGACAGTACGAGGTACGAGGACGCGATCGCAACCTATCAGAAGGCGATAGACGTGGCTCCCAACAGGATCTACCCCAAGTCCTACTACAGTCAGCTGCACTACCTGATCCACACTTGCAACTTCGACCGTCTGAGGGAGGCCTGCGAGAACCTTGAAAACACCTTGAGCTGGGAGCTGCAGACAGGGCAGGAATCCGGAATGACTCCGGTGGAGGCTCTTGTGCTGATCGGAACTTACACCGACCACAGCTTGTTTCTTCGCGTTGCCCGGAATTTCGCGACCCGTTCACTTGCCCGGGTGAAACAGGCAGGTTGGGTTCCCTTCAGCAAGCACGCAAGGATGAAACCTGGGAAGAGGCTCAGGATCGGATACATCAGTGGAGGGTTTCGACATCATCCGGATGGAAAGAACATGCAAGGAGTGTTTGAGCAGCACGACAGGTCGAGGTTCGAAGTTTTCTGCTTCAGTTTGAAGAGAGATCATGGCACTCCCGTTCAGAGGAAGCTTCAATCGACGTGTGAGCACTTCCTGGACTACACAGACCTAGACAACTATCATGCAGCTTCACAGGTCAACCAGCTTGGCATCCACGTCCTCTTCGACGTGAATGGGTACACCGGCGAAGGCGTGCGGCAGCAGAGGAACATTATCCTCGCCTTGTCCCCAGCAAAGCTCCAGGTGAACTTCTTGGCTTGGGTCGCAAGCAGCGGCGCTTCTTTTATCCAGGTTCCCTCAGTTGGCTCAGGATGGTTGATGTGACTATGTGGGCAGTACTTGGTCTCCGATAAGGTTGCGAGTCCACCTGAGTTCGTTCAAGACTACTCGGAGAAACTTCTGCTATGGCCACACTGTTACTTCCCCTCCGACCTCCGACAATCAGGGGGAGAGATCCGCCTGCCCAAGGTTTTAGGCCTGTCCAAGGTTGATATTGAGAGGTTCTAATCGTCCATGTCCAGGGGAGGGCGCTGAACAAGAGGAGGTCTGACCTGGGGCTCCCTCGTGACGGTCCTCTGTTGTCAGGGTTCAACCAGTTGTGGAAGATAGACAAGGCGTGTAACTCAATCCTTTTTCCCATCGGAGGAGCTGATGTCTTGATGTAGAGACTGTTCCTGACTTGGATGGACATCTTACGACGAACGACTGAGGTGAAGGCAACATTCGTTATCGCTGCGTGTTTGCAACGTAACGTCAACGCAGCATCACACAACCCTCTGGCTTCCTCTGTTTCCAGATGTGGCCAAACCGCAGCTGATGCGAATAGCGAGAGCAAAGTTGGGGAAGGTGGAACGCAACTGGGCAGTCTACACACGTTGTAATGCTGACGTCAGAATGCAACGACGAGGATCGTATGGACGAATCTGTTTGACGAGAGCGAACATCTGCAAGTGAAGAGCCTTGCAACCATGCAGGTCCTGACTTCTCCTCCTCCCTCTCTCCATCCTGCTGCTCGTCTGATCATTGGACAGCTCGACACCTTCCTCTACTGCGGTCACACGTCGGGCGCCGACATTCTCTGGGCTGGCGTACCAACCGTGACGCTTCCTGGAATCATGCAGGTCCTTCCTGTTTCTCAGTGACCGTCACCTTTCTTGTGACTTGATCTAGTCGGCGCGAGTCGGCGCGAGTCTCCTCAAGGGCCTCAGCCTGCACGGCCACCTGGTCGCCAGGTGCGGTTGCAGGCTCACGCGACTTTACATAACTCAGTCCGGAGCAGGACGGCAGAGGACTATGCGGATGTTGTAGTGAGAGCGATCCGAAGCCTGCAAGCCAGCGGCGAGTCGAAGTGGCTGAGTGAGAGAAGGAGAGAATGTGCGGGAGTGACCTGAAGTGGCGGATGCGATGATACAATCAGGTTCGGTGAGGGCGAAACTTGCAACGGAGAAGCAATCTGGTTCGTTATTTGATGTCTCAAAGTGAGATGAGCCTTGCTGGGTCCATTCTCTCATGATGCAAATGTTACAGGTGGGTAAAGTCCATGGAGTCAGCAGTCTCTATGGCCTGGGATATCGACTCTTTCAGGTTCTTTGTGTCTATGTTTTGGATGTCAATCGCGATTGACGTGCATAAATGTAATCGCAGTTTGAATCCAAGAAACGTCATCATCTCAGGACATGTTTTCTAGCGTAGTCACGTCCTCGCATCGCCATTGCGTTATCGCGTGATGATCATTCTGCTGAAGCGTCTGCCCGATGAGCTTTTCGATGATTTTCTGCCGTTGATTCTTGATTAACATCGATGCATTTGCGAATTTGCTCTGATGCTGTAAATACAAAACTCAGGGGAATCTCCCAGAGAAACTTATTACCTGGATCTTGAGGTAGCCTCGCTCGAGACTTGTAAGAATCTGAGATTCCAGCCATACATCATTGCTCTTGCACACCTTCACATGTGCCTGACAGAGGATTCTAACGTGGAGCAATCATTCCAACTTCGTAAAGGTGAAGCAGTCAGACCTTAAACCTTCTTCGAATTCGCAAATTTCATCCTCCATGAATAAACTTGCAAAAGACATTCTGATCCATACATCCAGTTCAAGATCGTAACTGGACCCTGAAATCATCTGCATGCTAGCTTCCAACATTTTCTTTGCATCTTCGACCTGTACGTTAATATCATGTGAATTCAAAAGAGGAGATAGCAATGGTTTACATTGGAACCAGGACCAGCTCTTCTAAGGTAAACAGCATTCACTGACAGGAATGCTGCTTCAATCCACCTCGAAAGATCGCCTTGACAGTTCTCTTTGATATTTCTTATTTCCTTTGTGAGGCTCTGAAGCTGATAAAAGATGTTTTCGTTGATGTCATCTAGGCTCAATAGTATCATGCAAGTGTACAATGCAGCCCACATTCTTTCACTGCTGTGTTTAGAACGATGACGAACCCTATCCAAATGCTCAATAGCGATTGCTGGGAGTTTACATCTCCAAAGATACTTTGCAATAAGACAATGTGTAGCTGTTGCGAGATCATCTCTTATACATTCTGGCCTTATGTGCTTCAAGCTTGATGATTTCACAATGGAGCAAAGTCTTGATATAGTGCTTTGTGCACGCAACAATTCGAATTGATCAAGTTGTATCGAAGCTGCCCTTTCAAGACATGTTGCAAACAGGATGAGATGAGAAAGGTTTTCATCGTAGAAAGTGGACATCTCATGAACCGGTTGTTCGTCTAGGCAAAGTTTTCGTTTCTTTGTGCGTCCCTCCGACTGGTCAGCTGCTGAATCCACTTCATTCATTCGACTTTGGGCCTTCAGAAACAAGGAGCAACCCTTTGACTTTTTTTGAGACAAGTTTGCAGTCGGATCGCAGGTGCCCAACTCTTCACAACCTTTCAAATGAAGGTTCAGAGCTTCCAGGATTCTTGCGCTGCCGATGCAACAACGTGAGGATCGAAAAGTCTGCAAAACCGCAAGCTGATGTTGCCGGGCAGGTGCAAAGATCCGATGGAATGTTGGAACTATTTTGCTCGACTGCTCACAAACGGGAAGAGCTTCTTCTCCAGAGAGGTTGTATATTCTCCTCAGGACCTGGTGATACTGTTGGATTTGTATGCATGATGTGCTTGCTTGTCCACCATTCAAACGCTCCATGATGCCCGATGCTGCGTTCAAGTGCTCTAGAGCACACGGCCGGTTGTTTGACCTGGACCTCAAGATGATTGGTGTGTCATCACAAGTTGAGATCACCTGAGCTCTATGTGGGCGGCAGCCAGGCAGCAGATGGCAGTCTTGTCACTGCTGCTCTCCTTGTCAATCGCAACCTTGATGCAGCACCTGGCGCCCTCAATGTCCCCCTGCATGACATGCACGGAGCTCTGCACGAGAGCAACGTAGCTCACGCAGTCTCTGGACTCAGAACTTAGTGCATGCTCGAGTGCGGCAGACAGGAACGCATGCGCTTGCTTGAGGTCCCCCTCCCGAACGAAAGTCTCCGATATCATCAGGGACATGTACGATTTGATCTCATCGGCGCCCCGGGAGACCTCGAAACTCTTGATGCACTTGCAAGCTCAAAACTTCAGGCAGAACACGCTCGTCCTTGACACGCTCACCTCCAAGGCCTTGCGGAAGTGTGAACGTTCGTCCACGACATTGTCGGTGTAGGAGCGGTAGAGGCAGCCCAACCGGACATGCAGCCTCATCAGCTCGAGGTTGAACAGCTCAGCTGCTCTGCTCGCGATCGTCTCCTTGAGGAGAGCGATGGCGGCGGCTACGTGACCTCCTTCCTCTAGCATGCGCGAAGCATGCAACAAACCCTCTGCCTGCATCTTTTGGCGGGAACGGGATTGCTAAGTTTTCAAGAGTTTGTGGCACTTTGACTTTTTTTTTGAGGGACTTTTTCGGTTTTCAAGCTAGAGCTAGCATGCGTTGTGTTGAGGAGGAGGAGGAGGAGGAGGAGGAGGAGGAGGAGGAGGAGGAGGAGGAGGAGGAGGAGGAGGAGGAGGACGGCTGCTGACCGACGAGCACACAAGAGCAGAGGAGGAGGATTCCATTTACACACAAGAGACGTCATTGCAAGCGCGAGCCGCCTCTCACTGCCAGCATGGCTCTCGTCGATATACCTTACCCTAGAATGCTGCATGGCCCCTGCGGCCTCAAGGACTTGGCTCCAAGGACTTCTCCAGCTTCAGCTTTGCTAGCCTGAGAGCCCCCAAACGTCTCAGCGGGAGTGCTGAAGAGCGTCCCCACTCCCCACTCACCTCTCCTGCAGGCTCAGGAACGAAGACCGTTTGTGCAGCTCGGAACCTGTGACGTGGGTGAGGATGAGAAAGTTCGCGGCATCGCACGCGCACCAGGGGTTTCAACATGAGCGCTGGGAGGAGGAGACTCCATCATCTCGCCGCTGGTGTTTTCTTCCCTAGGGCTATGGAGACTTTAGGCAGAATCTATAGAGGAAGAGTAGGACAGGAGGAGAGGGGATAGGAGGATCGGGCGAGAGGAGGAGAGGAGGAGAGCAAGAAAAGTGGCAAGGAAAGTTACCTCTGATTCGCAAGCAGCGAACGGAGCTGGTGAAACTTTTGGATCAACGGCGAAGTTGCGGAGGGACCTTTGAAGCACGTCAAGTGCTTCTTCTCCTCTGCAGCGCTGGTCTCCATCGACGTTTCGTCCTGCGAACTGTCATCCTGTTGCTCGCAACATGAGCCATGCTTGCTCTCCACTCGTGCGTGTATCTTTGCCAGGCCTCTCTTGACGTGGACTCGGAAGTCTGCTGGGCGATCCGACATGTAGTCATCCAGATCAAAGTCGTCGTTCTCCTGGATATAGTCGTGCAAGCTCTCGAAGCCGGATCGTGCAACAGAGGAGTCCTTGCTGACTATCTGGTCAAATATGCTGTGCACCCTTGAAAACGATTCGGAGCTTTCCTTGGTCATCTTTGCGCCTTGTTGTTTGAACACCAGCTCAAGGTAAGAGCAAAGGATGGGATTGCTGTGAACAGGTATCAAAGTCAGATGATTCTTGATAGCTGTCCCTTTCAGCTTGACCAACTCGTTCAAAATCATCTTCAACAGACGCAGGGGCCTGAATTCCTTCCCTTTGTATTGGGACGGCGGGTGTGCAGTCAAGAACTTGTGTATGTCTCTCAGAAGAACGTCGATGTTCATGTCGTCCAGGAAAGTTGAAATTCTCCTAGTCATTTCCAACAGACACCGCAAGACACCATCAATGAAATCAAGAGTTGGTTCCCGAAGGCCCGACAAAGGAGCTTGATCGTAAAGAAAGTTGATCAGGATGGTAAAAACTGCATTCGGCCGCGCGAAGTGAAGCACATCCACGACCAGCTCATTCATAGAGCGAACAACCTGCTCCATCATCTCGTCGTCGTGGAGATGCGGATCATGCAAGGTCCATAACAATTCTTCCATGAGACGACTTAAGACCCTGTCGCTCACAGTCTTGGCCGCTGTGGGGACGCTTGACAACAAGTAGTGAAGGGAGCGAAGGGCATCTGTGACTCCTTTCCGTGTATCCGTATCATCCCAAGTCCCCCCAGTTGCAATACTCTCACCGACAAGTGTGATAAGAGTATCAACAATGATGTCCACATGAGCTAGGACTTCGTCCGCGTCCCCTCTTGTCTTGATGGAGTCGATGATGTCACATAGTTGAAGAACAGCTGCTGCTTGCTCTCGAGCTGTTGAGCTCGCACGAATGTCGTCGATCAATGAGCAGATCATATTGTGCATGTTTTGATCACAAAACAATGATTTCTCTGCTGATTCGAAGCGCCTTTCCCCATGAGCCGATCTGGAAGGCTTGAACGGGTCCACACTGATCAAGTCTACCATCGGCTTGTGCACAGAAACATTCTTGTCGCCATGCAAGGAATGAGATTTCATTTCCATGGAGGACCTAACCGCAAAGCCATGTTCCTTCACCGTCAGTGGCGATTCTGAATCGCTTTCATGACGGGGCAATCTCTCATGAGGGTAATTGGAAGGGGAGGGTTCTTTCATCGACCCCCGGCAGAGTTTCATTTTGTTCAGTTTTGTGTCTATCAGGTCCTTGTCCTTGATCTCCAACTTACTCAGGTGCTTCCAGACCTTTTCACCGATCATGCTGTATACCGCAATAATGAACTCGATGGCCGAATTTCTAACTGACGCATCTCTCTCCGAAACAAAGGTACCTATAGTCGATATCACCTTGCCCGGATTACTCGTGACCTCGTCCAATCCTTTTTCTTGAACCATGTAGCAGGCTACAGAAAGACATTCTGCCTTGGCCCGTTGATTTCGGGTGTGGAGCAAAGTATCCAGAAGGAGATTGAAGAACTTGCTCGCTGGATACAGCGCAACAAGGATCAGAAGAGCTTCTCGGATCTGCTTGCGGACGTTCTCGTTGTTGGCTCCGACTTCTTCCATCAGGCAAGGCAAGCACATTTGCGCTTCATAGTCAGATAGGCAGTAGTTTTCCTTGGTCAAGAAATCAAACAGATTCCTCAACAAGTCCAAAACTGCCAACACAACAATTGTGTTGTTTCCTTTGCCAACCAGACGCAAGGAGCAAAATTTCAGGATCATATCCAGATTGTCAATCACCTCTTCAGCTTCAATTTGAAATGAATTCCCCATAATTCTCATGCCTTCCACTTGCTTTTTGAATTCCTTAGAGAAAAGTTTCGAGTGTATTTCAGAATCTATACATTGAAACATCTGCTCGCTCATGGCTTGTACCAAACTTTCGACCTCTTTGGCGTTGTCAAGTATCCATTTGAATTTCCCATGTCGCTTTTCTCTCAGGTCCTTTTGATTGGTTCGCCGAAAAATCCTTTGATTCAAGTTTGAAGGTGCAGATGCGGCAGATCCTTGGGAGGATGAAATGTTCTCCATAGCGTCAGGCTTCAGAATACTTTTTCTTACCATGGATGTGGCAGTTGAAGGCCTGCTCAACGAAAGACTCTTACGAGAATTCCGTGTTTCGCTGTCTTTCTCTCTGAACTTCGCGCTTGAGATGTTCCTTGACAACAGCGAGCTCCGCACGTTCCCATCTCTTCTGTCCTGTATGGGCGATCTCATGGATGAAGAAAGTTGAGGCGAGGGAGGCCTATGGGCGCTCAAAACCCTTCCGTTGGAGTCTTGAGGGTCAGGGCTACTTGGCGACGATCGATGGGGCGGTCTGTCCTGCAAGTGATGTCCTGCCGCATGACTGGAAGAGCCCTCTTCGTTTGCTTCTTGCGCTGCCCTGCTACAAACAGCTTGAAGGGTTTCTGCTAGAGCAGGCTTCTGATCTCTGATGATCTTCTCTAACGTTTCTGTGCCGTTCAAAGAAATGATGGGAACCAGGCATCTCTCCGCTGCTGCCCGAATCTGCATGGATTAGAGATGCCTTAGGATATTCAACGGACTGAAGGGAAAGAGCCATACCTCAGCGTTCCTGTGTTGCAAGCTATCTATAATCGGTGGGAGAAGGCTAGACAGATCTAAGTCAGTCTTCTTATCCATGTTCTGAAGAAAATCAGCCATCCATCTGTCATGGATGTCAGTATCATGCTTGAGTTCAGCCTAATGATGTTCAGCTCATACCTCGTTGCATCCTCACGACCGGCGGGAGCTTCTACTGAAAGAGCGAAATGCGCATGACGAACAATGATATCGGGAGAAAGGTTCTTTGACAGCGTCTTCATGCATTCAAGAACCGCATCTCTTACGACCTTCTTATTGTCTCCTATGAGGGGAAACAGGGAGGGCAGCACAATCTTGTTCACTTTCTCCATGTTGGGCCCAATCGCTTCCGTCAACTGGCTGAGCAACGAGATCGACAGCATGACAATATTCTTATTGCTATCTCGCAATCTTGCCTTGAGCTGTGTCCAGAATTCTCCACCATTGACGTCCACGTATGGTCCTTGATGGCCCAGTGGTTTCGCTTTCTTCAAAGCGTCTTCAATGGCAATCAGAGAACTGTGGCGATCCTTCCAGTTGCTGTTCGAGAGCCCTTCCAACGATTTATGGACAATGGTTGCAAGCGGTGTTGCCTTGAATGATGCGTCATCAGTGAGCAATTCTTTCTCCTTGCCCGAAGCCTTGCAGACACGTCGAGGGGCTGCTGTTGTTGACATGGGCGCTTCTTGCAATTCAGGAATGGAGCTGAACGCCTGCATTGAGTAAGTTCGTATGACATGTAGCGCATGCAGTTACAGTTCACCTCATCTATCACTGTAAGTAAAGCTGGCTTTACATCCGTCAAGAAGTTTCGGATGTCAGAACCAAGATGGATTCGCATGGTCTTAAGTATTTCGATTGAGCTCTTTTTCACCGTTGGATTTGGCGAGGTCAGCCTGAAAATTACTGGTGTATGAGGAACGATTTGGCGCAACAAGGAGGGATTTACATGTTCTTGATGAATCCCAAGAGCATCTTTGGATCCAAAACAGAGAATCCGAATTCCAAACAATATACTTGACAGAAGGCAAGAGCTTCGGAATGCACCTTCAGCATGTTTCAGTGTTTCACGATCCACATCAATGGCATGCGCTTCGAACCTTTGGATTCTTGTGTTGACTGACTTGATCGATCACAGCATCCAGAACTTGCTTTGGATTGATCGCCTCTCCAAAATTTAAGAGACAGTCGGTCACAACTTGCTTGAGCTTATGGCAAATCTCGTCAATTCCAATAGCATAACAGGAGGAATAGATACCTTGGCGTCAGAAAATTTGTCAACAAGTACCGGGATGTAGCTTTCGATGAGGTTCATGCTTTGCAACGAACGCTGCATTGAGACATGGTTACGATTGATCATAGATTTCCATCAAAAATATTTCTTCAAACAGAGCGTAAATGTCCATTGTGCATACAGGAATTGATATGATCAGTGCAAAAGAAAGGAAACCAGTCGGGTCCCTGTAATCCTTACCTTCAAGAACAGATCTGCAGCAATCTGAAAGACTTTAGCCAAGACCTATGCACAAGCATCATGATTGCCGTCTTCTCACCAGGAGACTTACCTGCATGTTGGTTTCTTTGCGATCGATGAACATTGCAGTCAGTAGCCTCAATAATGCCTGGTTTGATGAAGCATAAGTCCGAAACAGAATCCTAGGACACTCACCTGAGCAATGTTCTCTTGGCCCATAAACTCCTCTATCTTGGTGACGTTCTCGAGTTCTGTGAGAGCTTCAAGCTTATCCTTCCATGCCCCAGTTTCCAGTCGCTCGAGCATGTTGGGATACTTGGTGTTGATTGCTTCTTTAGCAAAACTCTCTAACTCCTCATCTTTCAGGGCTGTGACTGACGTGCTGCTTGCTGTATCCTTCGCTTTTTTGACCGCATTCGAGCTTTCTCGAGCTTTACTTCCCAATGGTGTAGCTTCGACTTTGGTCGCCTCCCTTCCATGACCTTTCGCAGGCGATAGCTTCGGACTAGATTTTGCTCTTCCAATCACTTCCTTCGGGTTGCCTTCACTGCAGTCACACGAAGAAAGCAAACCTTAATTTCAGCCAACCTGCATCATCTTCCAGCGTGAGCAATCTCGGTTTACTTCTCGTCTTGACGCTCGGAGAATTCCTCGCTGGTGAGGAAGGAACAGATTTGGTTCGCTGACTTGTTGAGCTTTCAGCAGTCTCTTCATTCTGCCTGGACTCCAGGCGTGCTCTCAGCTTCTCGTCCAATATCTCCATTGGAATATGAAGATTCTCTACAGCAGCTGCAGACGCGAGACACGACATTGAGGCCTTTGCTGCATCTCGAACCTCGGATGCACTGCATTCGATCACTGCTCAACCGCGAATGAGAGGTAGCAAACAATTACTTGTCATTCGTTGCTTTTCCAATGACTTCAACCAAATGCTTCACCCAGAGGCTCAAATCCTGCCAAGTACGTCAGAAGCATGTTCCGAAACGGCCCATCACTCAATGAACAGGAAACGAGGGATCTGAATTGATCCATACATCAGCTTTTCTGCGCTCTACCAACACTTGAAGCAATTTCACCGCCTCAATCTTAGCCTGTTGCCCATGTAAATTCAAGAGCAATCTGGAACATGCGATGCAAAGAAACCAACCTTGATACTAATTTTGGGTTCGAGAACTTTGGAAATTTCGTCCAACACATCGTCTGCACACAAGGAACTGAAAAGGAAAACGACTGAGGGATTGAACACTCAGTTTTGCGCTGACCTAGGATACAACGAAAGGAACGCAGCATGCAGCGCTTCGGTCACTCGGCGATCTTTGTCTCGAAAATGATCCAGTAGGGGTCCAATACACAATCTTGCATATGGAGAAAAAGACTTGCGAAGTCCTGTACGAAAGTGAATGGAAGGACCTAAATTCGACATGCGAAAACTTCATTAACAAACCTCCTGCTAGATTTGAAATGCAAGTTGCAGCGGTGGAAACAACCAGTACCATCGAATCGTTGAAAAGTTTGAGTAGAGTTTTTACAATCTCCCCGTAATCTCCAGGAGCTATCCTTGGCACCTGGAAGCAATGCTACTTCAAAAGAGACACAGGGGGTAAAAGAGAACGAAAACGCGAGCAAGAAAGACGTCGAATAGCATTACCTTTGAAAGTTCCATCAAAGTATTCAATTTCTCGAGTCTGATTTGCCATTTTGGCTCAGAGGTCACTTGCTGACACCAATCCTCTGGGATCTGCTTCAAAACATTCACAGGATCTGAAATCTCCCACAGGTCCAGCTCTGGGAGAGTTTGGACTGGTTGATCTTCCATGGCCTTGACGTCCGACCCCTGTCCAAGGTTCTGATCGCGACCCGTTGTATCTGCTGGGTCCTCATTCTCCTTGATTTCCACGCTCGACTTCTCCATTTGTGCTAGTGCGTCATCGATTTCCTTCTGCTGCGCAGGCCGCAGATTTTGATACTTTTCCCTGAGAGACGAGCCTGGGGAAGAAAGATTTAGCTGCTGCACACCACAAGAACGACATCACCAAAGACTTTGAAGATTGACAGGGCGATGGGGAGTGCTTCAGCTCTCACAGAGGTCACGGTGCTATCGAAGAGCTGCACAGAAAGCGATATGATCTCCTTCAACAGCGCCTTGTCAAAGGTGGGCAATCCTTCCGACTGCAAGTAAATCCGCAGGGACTCCACGGCGGCGGCAGCTATCTTCGGCTGTTTCGAAGAAGCGGCTGCCATCAGTTCGGTGACCACCACGTTGGAATGAAGCTTGCACATCTGCAGCAAAGCTCTCTGTGCTTTGCCTCGACATTTGGCTTGAACCAGCCCCTTGTAAACGAGCCTGGCTGACAACTGCGGGCTAATTTCCTTCATCGAATGCTCGGAAGCATTTTCAATGAAGCACACCGCCGCCTCAATGCCTTTCTCTTGCACAATCACATTGGAATCATCGACGCCTTCGAGAACATAGCGCATTACCTCTTCCTCCTTGCATCCTTTGAAACCGCTCCTGACCTTGGCGGCTACAGCTACCAGGCAGTCGCTGCGATCCTTCCAATTCTTGCTTGCAAACTTCGACTCAAGGGCACCCATGTCCAGGTCCGCCTGCCCTTGGCCGTTCTCTCCGTCCCCTCCCGCGGTATCATCGAAGTCGCTGAACTTTCCCGGTCCCAGCATGTTCAGCCCTCTCGTCCTCTCATCCTTTCCTCCCCCTGGATCCCGCCATATTTTCCTCCAAATCTCATTTGATGATGTCGACCCGCCTCATCAGCCCCCTCACATCTCAATCCAACATCACTGACCCGCCTCAGTTAATGACAGGCCGGCCCAGTGATCGGACCGTCGACGGGCCGCCGGGGACCCGGGCCGCTCAGCTGTGGGCGAAGGCGACGGCCCGGAGTCGGATCATTGCTTACAGCCGAGACGGCCGGTCGCCGGACGGCTCAGCTCGTTTAAAATTCTCTGGTCAATCTGAGTTCCTTCAAACGAGTCACACTCTCGGTGACTAGCTAGTGACTCGTGACCATACTACTGCCGATCTGAGTGGCTCCGAGGCTCCAAGGTTGATTCATTTCTCACGATCATGACGACTTCTAATTTACAGTGAACGCGTAAATGCTTGGAGAAATTGCAAGCCTCCCTTCCTGTAGCAGAAAAGCATCAATTCCTAGGTTTGCCTTTCGCACCAACCATTACATCATCGCTGTCATAGTCTTCATTTGTCTCTGCTGATTCCGTAGGATCCATATCAGACAATTCTCGGCGACGCAACGCCTGTTCGAAGCAAAAGGCCTCATCGACGTATTTGTGCAGAGCAAGCAACGACTACCTTTGACAGAAACGTGAAGAGCTTGGCGTTCCCCTCTGCTAGCTGAGACCTTGCTAAGTCTAAAGCTGTCTTGCCCCACTCATCGGGCCTCGTCACATCTGTGTGAACCACGAGTCACGTCGTCCACCCACATCCCTCACCGCATCACCTGCTCCATGATCGATGAGCACCCGCGCGGCCTCGAGTTGCTCACACCAGACTGCCTCATGGAGAGGCGTGTACTTGTAGCCTGCTGCTCCTGCACAGCCATGAGCACGCATCCAGCACTTGGAGGTCCATGGGATACCTCTCTCTGCACCATGCACATCAGCTCCTGATCTGATCAAGACCCGGATCGTCTCGATGTGCCCGCCGGCGGCTGCTCTGTGCAAGGCAGTCCATTGCATCTTGTCGTGGTGGTTCACATCTGCACCGAGTTGAAGGAGTTTGATCACAGTCTTCACGCGGCCATCAGCGGCAGCATACTGCAAAGGAGTGTAGCCAAAGTTGTTGCTGGCATTAACCAGCCAAGAGGCATTCTTTGCGATCGTCTCTACTGTATGTGTGTGTCCATTGTATGCCGCATAGTGAAGTATGGAGCTCCTGCGCTTGTCAGTAAAGTTCATGTCGGCCCCAAGGACTGCCAACAAATCGACAGCATCCTTGTGTCCACATTCGGCTGCTTTCAAGATCGCACATTGATGTTCCTCGTTGATGAAGTTTACATCAGCCCCCATCTGTACAAACTTCCTGATCTTCTCTAATTTGCCCTTCTTCGCGGCTCGAATCAGTCTTAGATTGGCTTCATTTTCTCTGTCCAAACTGAAGCCAAGACACGCACCTCCACCCGTAACTCGCAGGCAGAAGTCTTTTCGCATGGCCTCCAAGTGTTTCAATCTTGTTTCGAATTGAGCTGCCGAAACAAGACCCCTGTCCAGGGATCCATCCCGAGTCACCGAGAGGTTCCTTGCTCCAAAACAGATGTCCGGTCCAAAATACGATCTGCTAACGAATGCACAAGGTAGTTGGTATGAATTGTCGCGGCAAAGCGAAGAAACCCTTGCTTTGTGCTCTCCCTCCGTCAGGCAAGCATAGAATCTCGCAAAATTGAAAGTACCGGACAACCCCTTGCAGGTGGTGGCTGTCTTTCCAGGTATCATCAGAATTGAAAACAGCAGAAACCATTGAGGGGCCCGTAGCTTCAAAACTGAGAATGGAATCATAAGACAAGGACTTGTCATGTTCGTCCCATGGATGGTTGGGCCCTGTTCCTCTCAACAATGTGAGTGTAAGCTTCGATTGGTATTGTGTGTTGTTGTGTTTGAAAATTTCTTTGCGGCAGATGACGCGCACGAATCAATTTCCATTGTTCTACGTTGAGGCGTGTCTGCTCTTTGCAAGGCTTCAGAGTTTTCAAGTGTTCATCACCACCCACTGCGTCTTGAGCAGAAGAGCCCTCAGGTTGTGCTGAGACCCAGCCTAGGATCACGCTCTTGTAGTGCGAGACATGTCAGCCTCTCCGCGACATCCCCTCCTTCTTTCCACTTCCTGCCTGCCTATTGCAACCGCACGGCCCCCTGTGGCTCCTGCATTAGAGATCCGTATCCCTGACGGGGCGGGCTTGTACAACTGTCGTGACTCGGGGCACTCGGAGCGGCCGGGCCGGGGCGCCCGGGCCCGACTCAGGAAACTGCACTGCCGCGCGGTCGACAGTACGTTGAACGATCAGGGTAAGGCTTCGGACCGTCAGACGGTCCGATCAGAGCGCCCGAGCCTGATGAGAACCAGTCGGTCTCTCCAGCTCGGTCATGCCGCAGTGCCCGGCCGCCGGCCGGCGGGGACTCCCCGTCAGTCCACTTAGGTGCGCAGTAACATTGGGTGACTCAAGCTACACACGCAGGCAGATTCTCAGTGAAAACTTTGTACATGCGGCAGCTCACGGGTTGACCTTTCACTTGTGAAATCTACCGACCTCCTGCGGGGTCGCTGAAGGACTTTCTACCTCAGGTTGGTTCCAACCCAGACGTATCTCTACAAACGCCTCACTTGTTTCTTGTCTGTCCTGCGATCACCATGATGTCAGTCAAGAAGTGAGAAAAGGAACTTGCCTCAGGAGGAGGGGTCAACGGCAGCAAGTTGGGGCACCCATCGAGCTCTGAACTCAAGCTTAAGCGCCTGCAACTGGAGAATCAGAAGAGAGTAGGCGCACCAGAGCAGAAAAGGATGCACGCAGCTCACAATGAGTTACCTGTTGTTTCCCTCAGCCATCATACTCGAAAGCAAGGTGTCATGTTCGTATGCTTCATGCTCGTCATGATGTCGAGAAATCTCGATCAGAGAAATCTACGTTCCAAGTATCACACATCAAGGCCTCGGAGTATCGCACCTACCGGTTGTATTGTTGAGACTGAGTAATTCGATCGTCTCCCGCTGCAGCTCGACGTTAACGTAAACAGCACCACGAGGAAAGGCTCTCACTTCTTCACAACAAACACGAGTCTCAACAACCTTACAATGTCCCTTATCACACGGCTGGGCGGCAGAGAGTCAGCACAAGAGCAATGGAAACACACGGATACATGAGAAGGGCCAAATCTTCTTCCAAGGTCTCTGAGATTGCCTGGCTAACTGTTTCAAAACATCGCACTTGTGAAAATTCCATACCGGCATATAAACAAACGCAAAGAGCGCTCCGACACACATCACAGCAAGAACCTGTACACGCCAATTTAAATTCCTGGGGCAAAGACGTTCCGAATACCGCATCGAATACGTTGGAACGATTTGAGCAGAAATTCCAAAATCCTTCAGCGAAGGCCTGAAAAAGAAAAGGAAGGCATCAACACCATCCTCCTATTTGCATCACTTGCTCACCCGAATCATGACCTCCACCAATAGCGCAACTGTTATGAAAACCTCCAACAACTGCAACACATGACGTCACAAGATGTCAGGTTGCAACGTCCCCAACCAGAAACCACACGATGTGTGGAGCCTCGTCGTACTTGTAGAAGCTGTATACAATAGCAAATACATTTATACATATCATGAGAACCTGCAGACTCGTGTCACGCCATGAAACTTTTGAGTTGGTTGATTACGTAATAGTAACTGAACCATGAGGAGAAAACGATCAGTCGAGCATAGCCCCTCAGCTGTTGCGTTTCATGCGCGTACTTCCTCTTGTTGTAGCTGAGCAAGAAGTGAGTCGCTTGTACTTTCCACGATGTCCATCTCACCGGAAAGGAATTTTCCCGAAAGAGCTTTTGATGCCGGACAGTTTCGGCAAGCCCCTGAACCCTGACAAACAGCGCATCAGCAGAAGCTGCTTCCCTCCAACATGCCAGTACCTTTCGATGTCTCGAGCTGGCCTGCGCACAGTGTGGGAATATTTTCGTCTCCTTGCTCCGAGTCTCCAGGATGGTGGTGGCTGGGACTTTCTGACTCGTCCGCCAGCTCCCCGAACGGAGTGGGCAACATCCCTTGCGGTCAGGGTAGCAGCAGCCAAGGAGGCCGAACTATCTAGAGCGAGCTATCTCCTTCCTGTCCTTATCTGCAGAAGACCGAATCAACATGGTCAGTTCGCTATAAGTTATGGCGATACCCTGATGACCTCCCGACGAAGCCACAAATGCATGCTGGGAGGAGAAACCAGTGACCCAATATTCCCAGACCTCCAAGTCACGTGCCTTCGTTCCTTCAAACTCGGCTCTACCTAACTTATCATAGCTCATGTCCCTTCGGCGTCTCTCTCCTACACCCGTCTGCTCCTCCTTCGCTGCCCTCCTCTTCCTCCTCCCTCAGCCTGCATCGTTACACCGGTCCCAGCAGAAAAACAAATTCGTGTAAAAGAGAACAAAAAAACCGACCTTGCAATGCTCCGATCAGAATCGTATGGCCGGGCGGATGAGCATGGGATAAGGAGAAGAGTGAGGAGGCAGGAGGAGGAGGAGGAGGAGGAGGAGGAGGAGGAGGAGGAGAGTAATGATGACATGGACCAAGTAGATGCAAGGTTTATCTCAATAGCCTGTACGCACTTTCTTATGTGACACCTGGAGACACGATGACCAGGAGCTGCAGCTTGTCTAGTTGCTCCCTCATTCTCCTCCTCGTTCTCGACTTGTCTTGCTGTGTTCCGCAGCCATTGAGCCAGACCCCGAGCGCTGACGAGAAGGTCAAGCACAAAGATGTGTGCAGGACACGTGATATCGAAGCCATCTACGCTCGTGAAGGGCTTGCAGAGTTCTTCCGAGTCCATGATAACGAGCGGAGACTTCATGAGGAAAGGCCTTGGCAGAGGAAGTCAAGACGGTTTCTTGCTTGCAAACCGATGGGTGGGATTGGAAACTACATCAGCGGTTTGATGTCATGCCTGGCTATGGCTATGGCCACGAACAGAAGCCTGTTGCTGGCAAAGCCTCCTCCCACTCCTCCTGAAAAGACCACAACCTATGATGTTCCAGTATCACAAATGTTTGACTTCCCGGTCAACATGTCTCTTGGAATCTTTGGTCCTGTGGAAGACATCCCATTCTTGGTGGACAAAGATGGAAATGCTCAGGAGACAGCTGACTTACAGATGATAGACATACGTTCCCATGATCTTCTTTGCATCAACTTCTCATCTGTTTACCACAAACCGATTGTGGTGATGCCTGCACATCTGTGGTTGAGCGCGATCACAATGAACAAGTTCCATTCGCCATGGTTTCAAGAGCATTACGGCGTCGACCGCCACGGTGTTGTGCCGTTCGTACAGAAGGTTGGCCCAAGTTTCGTCCGTCCGAAACGGGAGCTTCAAGCTTTGATCGACCAGCTCTGGGGGTTTCTGACCAAGGACGTCAATCTTAACAATGTCATCGGCCTTCAAGTCCGTGTGGGCATGCCCATTGACACCAGAGCTTACAACGACAGGCCTCCACCGGGTTCTGCTCCCGAGTTTGTCCGATGTGCCTACTCCTACATGTCGGCGCCATGCAAGGAGAGGCCTTCGGCATGGATCATCGCAGCAGACCAGATGCAGAGCAAACGCGAAATCATCGTACAGATTGCTATCAACGAAGGCCCCGTGGTTGCTGCTGCAAACGAGGAGGGTCTCAGAAACACTCTGGGCATTCCCGCTGATTTCTTCGCGCACGACGGCAAACTCTCTCCTCCGGCTGGCACTATCAAGCAGTTGCCTTTCTCTGAAGCTCTGGCCCAGCTCGGGTTCGCTTTGCTGGAGTTTGCGTCCGGTGCGAGGGCGCTGGTCTTGGCCTCGTCCTCTCCTATGAGCACCATCAGTAGCATGAGGGCAGCGGTTGTCGAAATGTTCCTCCTAAAGCTGGCCGATCTTCTGGTGATCACTGAGAACTCGACATTCTGGATACCAGCTGTTGCCTTCGTTCCAAGGAGACGCTGGGGGGACGGAGAGAAGGAGCATCGTTGTAAGGAGCGAGGAAGGAGCTGTTGCGATGATGGTGTGTACATCATGACAACGACTAGGAGGTTGTGTTGGACCTCTAGCTCTCTCACAAACTGACTAGTCCATCAGATGCTATCCCTTGCCGACCTTTGAGCCGACGTCCGACGCGGGGTACCGGAGTCGTGCAATGACTCGTTCTCCCTGCTACTCTGACTCGGTTCTTGACCCTTCAGTCACGTGGCTTCCCCCCTCGTGATATCAAAGTCTTGCAAGACCGTAGTAGGTCATCTTTAGAGATGTTTACAGACATTCAAAAAGGAGAGAGAATATGTGGTTTCGGGTTAGGTTGTAGGATCCTCAAAAAACCCAACTAGCAGATCTTGGCTCCAAGGCAGACAAACAAAATCAGGACAGCACACTGCTTTGAAGATCTTCCAGGCAGTCTAAGACATTCACGAGGTCATCCTTTGCATCTTGTAGACCTTGTATTTCCCTGTCATTGCAGTCACACCAAAACGGCAAAACCCTTTTCATCTTTCACGTACTTCTCCACAGTCATTAGCTGCAGCAGCGACAAGTTTTTCTGCAAACTAGATCATCTCAAACGCTCTCTACAGCTCTCAAAGAACCTGATTGACCCCATCTTCGTCCTCCTCGTTCGAGCTTGGCTGTTTCATGAGCATGGTCAGCCCGAATGCACGCAAACTTCTCATGGCACAAACCTCTGCAAGTACTTCGATAAGATGCTGCAGCTCCGGATCTGATTCGTCACGAATCTTCTTTGATCGCCGTACAGCCGGTCCACTCTTGTGAATCTTGTTTTGAAGATATGGCTGTGAACAGAAAACAAAATTGTAAATGGGCCAACTTGCAACGAGAAAATGTCGTTATGTAGCAAAAATGATCACAAAGATTCAAAATTCATCACTTGAAGGCTTTGGAATAATTCTTGTTTGGCCCCATTCTGTTGACCCCACAAACCATATGCTTGACGCAAAATCTTTTTGCGAACTTCCTTTTTCAGCTTCTTTATCTGGAGCATCTCAAAGTTTTAGCCACTCCATGACAAGATGCCTTTGCAGAACCTGATCGTAGCAGGGATTCTCGTAAGGGCTTCTCAGATTCTTGTCTGGGGTAACGCTTTCAACTATAGCTTTCAGCCTCAAAGCTTTTGTCTGTCGCACTCAAGTTACTTTCTACCCCAACGGACTCCAAGCTTGCCTTCAATCTCTCCAGGTCTTCGGCAGGATCTTTTGTGGCCGGCCTTGCAAGCGGCAGCTCTTGCTTTGCAGTTCTACTCCCAATGCAATCAATCTCACAGTGATACTGGCCTGGACCAGGGATCTGCATAAAGTGAGGACGGAGCAATCTCTGAGCGCGTTCATATCACTTTCTGACTCCGCAGAATCTTCCATTCGAGATCAGACTTGGCCTTTCCGGTTGGAAATCGGACGTATCTTGGTTCAGAGACCAGCCTTCCTCGGTGAGTGATAGGAACCTGATACCTACACAACAGAAAAGCAACGATACAATCATCAGGCGCGTCCCAACACCTTGCAGCTATCAACACTCACTGTCCTGGCCCTGGCATCTTGGCCTTGTAGTATTCGATCCATTCAAGCTCCGTCTTAGGCTTGGCTGTACTGAAGCGAACACCTTCATTCTCCTGCCGTTTCTGGGGACTGTACGATCCTGGCCCTGGGATGTTCCTGGTCCTCCTGATCTCAAGATCTATTAAGGTCTGAGCCGTACATGTCAGTGAGAGTCAGATCGCACAGACTCTCTGCCGTGAGGAGGAGGAGAGTACCGGTAGCTTCCCCTCGCTGAAGATCCCTCCTCGAGCACCGAACATGTTGTAGCGGTACCGGACATGCTCCTCTCGGGACTCGCTCGTCTTCCTCCCCGGCGACTGCGAAACCTCCGACATCATGCCATGATTTTATAGGCAACCGCTCACTGCGGCGGCTACTACCAGACCTCTACCGTTGAAACAATTGACCCGACCGTTGCAGCAGTTTGACCACATACATGAAAAAGGAGTCGATTCGACCTTTTCTTTTTTTGACCATATCAACATCGTTTTTTTTCCATCGGACCATATCAAGGGCACACTACTACTGTGACGGTGTGTAGAGCATCGTGGTCAGAGTGAAACAAGTTGAGAGAAAGGGAGTCCTCGAGATACTTTGATGACGTTACGAAGAAGTTTAGACATCAGTCGCAGTGCAAGTTGGCATACTTTGTTCATTTTTCTATTCCATTTGACCAGTCTGCTCACCTTTACCCTCCTCAGACCGTGGATCTTCATGCTCTCAAGATAAGATCATGGTACGTCCTGCAGCTACAGAGGAAAACAAATTCATCGGGCTACATTTTGCACTTGCGGTGAGTGGGAACCAGAAAGAGGAGACTCATTTAGCACTCCGCTGAACGATTGGCAGGTCACCGTTCCAGTAACTAGCGTTACGCAACAAGTTGGCCACTGCATCATAGCTCGGACTGGTCGCTACTCTATTTTCTCAGCTCTGCAAGAATGCTGTCCAACCATCATCAGGAGCGAGGAACCCTTCATAGGTCGCTACGGGATGACGGAGATGGAATTCAACAAGGTCTTGGAGAGGAATGGCTTTACCAAAGTCAGAGATCGGAAAGGAACGATTGGACCTGCTGCCGAAGACTGTAAGGACAGAGGATTCCTTTGAAGTTTGGCTGATTTTTGTCTCTTGCTGCAGCGATGAATCATTTCTTTATCGATCGCAGATGGAGGAACCCCGAGGTGGTCAAAGAGCGAGAAGAGCTAAAGCAGAGCTTCTTACAGCTGAGAGAATCTGCCCATGTGTTTGCTGGACAGTGCACAGTCGAACGATTCTTGACGATTTGCCACAATTATTTTGTTCAGTGGGAGGCTCTGACCAGGTTCCATCATGATTGCAGGACAAAGGGCTCGCGGGGTTTGTCAAAACGGAATCTCTTGCCGAAGCCAATCGCGAATAAGCCAACCATCCTCCAGCTGAAATTTTCTTCGCCTAACTCCGCGTTCCAGCCCGTTATCAAACTGAAGCCACAGATGAGAACTTGGGGCATTCAACCAATCGATTCCTTAACAGTCGTTTCGCCTGCAATCGTGTCAGAACAGGAAACGATAGATTCTTCTGATCAGGGGGCTAATATCTGCAGGGACTTTCTATGCTCAGAATACCAGCAGCAACATGCGCAGCAGCATCATACGCAGCATCAGCACGAGCAGCAGCAACATGCGCAGCAGCTGCACGAGCAGCAGCATGAGAGACAGCAGCAGCAAGCGGAGCATGGGCAGCATGGGCAGACAGACCAGCAGCCTTCCGATCAGGCTGTATCAAATCAAGACAAGGAGCCTCGTCAACCCACCGACTCTGAGGTCGCTGGGCTCGCAGCCATATGGAGGGAAACAGAAACGTTGAAACGAGGTTGGCACGAGGCACTGTGTTATCCTAAATGCTACAATCCCTTCGCCATGGCGCCGACCTCCATGCTGGTGCCTGCGGATCAGAAGCCCAAGCGATCACGGGGGAGGCCGCCCAAGCATGGCTCGGGAATGCACTGGCACACAGAGGAGCCACTTGTCTATCAAGTAGTTCACGGGCAAGTGCATCTGATGGGTGCAAAACAAGAGGCGTAAGCAATGAGATGTATCTGTTATAGACTCCACTTGGTTCCCTACACGTCTCGAAGCATCACAGACTCTCCTGCCTTCTCCGCGCCATGCCAAGTGAGATCGTCTGAGTTGATCAACCTCGGTCCACTGTTGATTTTCCACCCCTACCCCCGATCACATACCTACCACCCCTTCTAAGATATGTTCAACACCCTACCAAAATACCCTAACCTACCCCACCCCACCTACCCTTCCCATTCTCCGCCGTCTGCCGCAATGGACGGCTTCGCAGATTATGAGAGCGATGAGGAGGCACAGGCGCCAGCACCAGCAGCCATCCAGGACGAGGAGAGTGACGAGGAAGAGGACGAAGATGCTGGAGCAGGGGAGAACGTAGAGCAGTCCAAGGGGGGGGAGGAGGAGGAGAGCAAGGAGGCGGAGAGCAAGAAGGAGGCAGCCCCCAAAAGGAAACTTCCTTCCGCCTTGGATGCACTGGCCTCTGGAGGAGCGAAGCCATCTTTCCTGAACACTGGAGGAGGCGACTTTGAAGTCGAGGAAGTGCATGTGAAGGACAAGGGTGACTCGAGCGACCGCCAGCAGGAGCAGCCGCAACTGAGCATCGCTGCTGCTACTCCCTCTTCAAACGACCCTGCAGAGTCAGCAGCTGGTGGGCTCAAGCAGTCATCAGATGCCGCGAGGAAGCGCAAGGGAGCAGGGGATGCTCTTGCAGGGCAGAAGAAGGATGTGAAAGAGAAAGTCAAGCAGCAACGTGTCCGTGGGCAGACACTTGGAGGCGAAACAAGGCGATGGAAATCGGAGGGAGAGATGTTGCTGAGACAGCAGTTCGACTGACTTGGCTCTTCTTTGCAATAGATCCAAGTTTCCCAATACTTTGGTTTGATCTTGAGATGTGTTCGCAAAGGAAAGCAAACAATAAATACCTTTTGGTCCCTCTACTACAACAACTTCATCACCTGCGTTGACTTTCAAACCATTTTCCAGAATTTTATGTTTTCCCTTCAAGACAGAGTTCCTGAAGTGTAAAATGAATATTCTAGCCAAGAACACCTGACACACAGTACCTGTGCTGTGTGATTTTCGATCGTCTTGTCACAACTCTGTGTTGTTGCATTGAGTCCATGCGAGGTGTCAGATAAATGCGAAGAAAGAGGACGAGCCCTCCGATTCTCTTCCACAGTTTCATTCACTTCCTGAGAGCTGCTCCTGCTGCTCCCTGCTTGGCTCGGCAAGCACGACCTTACAATGAGGCGTCAGCAAAAGCATCAGGGCCATAGAAGTGGACCACACCTCAAAAAAGTCTTCTGCAGTTTCCGTGTTTGCCGATTCGTATGTGCCATATCCACATGCCCCTCGATTCGGTGCTCGAAACAAGCAACCTGTGCTGTATGAGAGACAGCCTCCCACCACCTCTGAAGTCCTCAATCCTCCACTCACCGCTAACCCATCGATCTCGCTACCAAAGCACGCTCTTTTTACGCATCCTTCTGGATACAAACACCTTCGATGGCGCAGATCCAGCATATCAGCGGTCTTGTGCTGAGCACACCACATTCTTGCATCCCCATCCACACACCCTTTGGCCCGATACCCGAAGGAAGGATTCTTGGTACAAGAGGGGAAAGCACACTTTGCGTTCTTAACATCAACACAATCGTCTGGCCGATGATGAGAGCAATACAAGGCCACTCCTGATTCTCGCTTCCCGAACACCGGGCGCTTTTTGCATCCTTTCGAGATGCATGTCGGGTTCACCACGTCCACAAACGTGGCAGGCTTGTGCTGCAAGCAAAACATCGCACACCTGCCAGGGGCGCCCACGGGACCGAAGGTAGCCTTCTTGGCGCAGGTCTGACACTTCCCACGGAGAGAGGTCAAGGAGATGGTATCAGAATTCCCAGCGCATCTGACAGCTTTGACATGCTCTAGACACAAGAACGCTTTCCACCTTCGCTCCCCCTCAGCCCCGACGACGCCATACGAGATATCTGGTGATTTGCACAAACAACATGCCCTCAGGATGACGTGCCTATCATCAAAATCCCCAGAATTGGTGTCTGGCTGCAGCATCGAATCCCCACCGTCGCTGGATATGGTTGGCTGTGTGCGATTGCAACGTTGGGGAGCAGGATCAACCTGTAGGAGATCTACCTTTGGGATTGAGATCTCATTGATTGCCGATTGAGCTATCCACAAGTACGTGAGGAGATGGAGCAAGACCCTCATTGAAGCAGACATGGGCTTTCCTCCGATCAGAGGTAGGTTTCATCCCTGAAAACTGCGGGGGCTGGTTGAGGAGGAGCTTGCGTTGTGAGCGCCCATGACACAACGTGCCGCTTCACAAGACGAGAGCGACTCTGTCGTCCTCACCTATCGTCTTGATCACTTCGTCTTTACAGCATGAACTGATGCATCTATCCTGCTCCTGCTCCTGCTCCTGCTCCACTTCTTATGCTATCCGGTCGCATCCTGGGCTTTCCTTGCTTTCGCCCCCATCGACATCGAAGAGGGTGGGTACATGGATAAGGGGTTAGTCCCCATTACCATGATGTACCCCTTGTGGGAATATCTTTGCATCCAAATGGAGTTTTGGGGGTTCAGAAGAAAGAGGGTAGGGTGAAGACATTCTAGGTACTTAAAATGAGGGGGTAGGGGGTAGAAAGTCATTCAGACTGAGGAATCGGACGTCGTTTTAGCGAGTTTGTCGGCAAGACAAGGAAACTTGTAGCTTGACTTGTTCATTGGGATTCCGACAGGAGCGCACAGTGTTCTCAGTTGTCTGCCCGTCAATGGAGATCGCGCACTGCGTCGGAGCAGCTCCTCAGCAGACAGCTTCGGCCTTGCCGCCCCACTGTCATAAGGAGAAGAATGGGTCGAGCTGAGCCGGCATCTCACGCAGCCAGTACTCGCCACCCTTCCCTATCCTCATGTTCTGCGTTATCTGCTCATACCGTCACTCTGCAAGCCCGACGAGCAAAGAACGCAACTTACCCCTGTGTCCCATACGACCATGGCGGTACTTCCATGGTGGACCTGAGTGACGGTTCCTGGACCCTGGCACGGGATCCCGTTGGATACCCGGACGCGCTGCCCAAACCTTCCCATCAGGTCCCTCCCAATGACCCGGGGATCGTCGAGCTCAGCGGAGTTCTCGAACCCGCTGCTGTGTTGCCTCTTCTCGAGCTCCTCAAACATCTTGTCGGCAAGTTCGTGGAAGTCTTGACTGCTGATCCTGGGGATCTCTCGGGAGGATTGCAGGATCCTCTCCGGATCGAGTTCCATCGATTCCATGTGGGTCAGGATGAAGAGCAGGCCCTCGAAGTCCGCGTCTAGCAGCTTAGCGGAGATGGACTTGAGGATGGCGATCGAGATGGACACCAGCGATCCCACGCCCTCGAAGAAGAGGATGTCCCACAGGTGGCACACTGTGTCGAACCTCAAGAAGGACGTGAATAGCGTCATCCACCATTCGAGCAGAAAAAGCTTCAGGTCGATCTTGACCCTGCTTATGTGCGCGTACACCTTGGGGAGGTGCTTGGCAAGGAAGACTTTGAAGGCCATCAGGTAGCTGTGGATGCGGCCCATGTTCATGTGAAACAAGTTCTGAAACAGCTGATTGTCGAGGATGTTGATGAACGACACAAAGGTCTCCTCCAAGCTTGTGTGCAGCAGCAGCACACCCGCTATTGACCCCATCCCCTGAACGTAGCCCATCCCGGGGTCATAGAGGACGAATGCTTCGAGGACCCGCCTGAGATTTTCTGTGTAGCTGCCTCCTTCGCTGAAGATTTTCAACCTCGGGAGAGTTCGAATGAGGTCGAGACGCACTTGGATGAAATTTGTCAGGATGGAATCAGACTGGGATTGAGCGGTATCGTCGTTCTCCGTCGTTCGAGCTCCAGTTTCTCCCGCAGACTGGTGCTTGCCGTCAAGTAGCATTGACTCCATGGCTTTCTTGTCTTGTAGTGCTATGGCCGAGTGCAGATCTCTTGCTCTAGCATCGTAGGTGCAGAAATCGTTGATGTCTATTCCCTTCTTGTTGCCGATCGCAACCATCCACGCAGTTCCCCGGAGACTTGGGGGAATGCCCTGGAAAAGAACTTTATGGACAGTCCTTTGCACCTTGTATTCCTCCAGAGCGTTCATGATCTCCTGCTCTCTGCTTTGAACTCTCTTCGCTATCAAGTCTCGATACCTCTCCAAGACATTGTGGATTGATTTCAAATCCAGATCGTTGCAGAAATGAATATTCTGTTCGCTGGACAAGAATTTCAGATCCGGGTTGTGGTAAGATTGCCTGTTTTCCTCAACTTTTGAAACTGCCTGCGACAAGAATTCCACAAAGAGGCTCAAATCCGCTGGCCCATGATATGACTCTGTACAGATTTTTAGAGGGTGGTAAAGCACAACGAGCCTCGACTCGTGGAAGTCTATAGGAGGGACTGACTTGACCAGTCGCTTCAACACCTTGCACTGGTTGATGTCGACGAAGGTGAATCTCAGCGCACCAAAGAAGATGCGAGAGAGAATGAGAAACCAGTCAGGCGGATCGCTGCGGGTCATGAACATCAAGACGGTCGGGAACTGGATGTGCTTCCTCGTGAAGAGGTAGCTGAAATCGACTTCCTTGTCTATCCTCTCGACGAAGCCATCCTTGCTGAGGTACCCCAGGATCTCGTTGTCCAGAGAGTGGATCGAGATGAAGATTGCCAGCGGGAGAAACTTGGGCTTCCCTCGATAGGGAATGATCACGGTGTCGGAGCCCTTCCCCAGCAGCAGGATGATATCAGGTTTCTCTCTGCAGTTTTGCTCGTTCTTGATGGTGAGCTTCGAGTAGAGATGGTCTTGCCAGACAGACTTCGCATGTACTTCGCTGTCTTTGAGAATGCCGAAGAAAACCCTCCTGCGGAATGCACGGGCAGCACGGGAGAACTGCTGGCGCGGAAAGTTGGTCCACGGGAACATGAGCAGTCTCGGGAGCCGAGAGTTCTTCAAGTAAAGGTCATTCGTTCCGAACGACTCGTCCCTCCAGTCTGCACTCAGAAAGTCCTCGAAGTCACAATCATGCACAACCCCATCCGCAGTAGTGGCCGTGCTGCCTGCTTCCGGCGAACATGCCGAATCCCAAGACTCGTTCAGGTCGTCATGAGCTTGATCTACCACCGTCTCCATCCTCTCAAGGAGCCGCCAACGTGAACTCACCGGCTCGACGAGCTTCTTAACGATTCCCTACTTGCCCTATGAGTTGGCTCGGTTTCTCCTGCTTACACCATCCCCTATCCGCTCCCTCTCACAGCGCTCTTCGGGCACGTTCCAATCCTCCTGGGCTCTCCAAACATGCCTTTAGAGCATCTGGCAGCTTCCAGACTCCGCTCCTGCTTTTCTTACCGTCAGTATACATCGCTCCCTTCATCTCCATCATGATCGCCCTCGTCATCGTCGGCTCGCAGGTTGCCGCATCGCAGGCAGCATTGTCGGCAGGAGCGAAACCGTCCCAATGTACCCTCGTCCCCGCTCAACCCGATGGTTAGCCCTCATCTCCGCCCCTGCTCCCTCCTCTCCCCGACAGCACGCGCATGTGGCTTCGCAAGGCAGTCCGCGCAGAGCTCGCTTCCTTCCCGATCGGTCGATCGCGATCATGCGGGATTGTCGGCATGCCGAATGTCGGGAAGTCTACCCTGTTCAACGCCCTCACCAACACTCAAGCTGCTCAAGCTGCAAATTATCCGTTCTGTACCATCGACCCCAACGGTGACTGACTTTGCTCGCCTGTTTCGAGTGAGAGTGAACGCATGCACAGTGGGAAAGGTCGCTATCCCCGACATGAGACTTGAAAAGCTGGCCAAGGTTGCTGCAAGTGCGAAGATCATTGGTACATGGCGCTCCGATGAACAAGGGACTGATCTATTAACAGGGGCACAACTCGAATTCGTCGACATTGCCGGACTGGTGAAAGGAGCAAGCGAAGGAGCAGGTCTGGGGAACAAATTCCTATCGCACATACGTCAGGTATTACTTCACTTCCTGCTGGGAATCGAAGGGCGCTGAAGAACGGAGTTCTCAGGTTTCCATGATTGTGCAGCTAGTGCGATGCTTCGATGACAGCAGCCGAGAGATCATCACGCATGTGGACGGCAGCGTCGATCCTGTCAGGCATGCCCCCTGTTTTGGCTCTTCTACCACTGCTGACCTCTGGTGTGAAGAGACATCGAGACGATCGAGACTGAGCTCCTCCTGGCCGATATCCAGACACTGTCCAAGAAGGACGGGAACTCAAAGAAGTCCGCCAACGAGCAGGAGCTAGCTGCCAGGATCCTGAAGGACCTTGACAAGGGGATTCCTGCACGGAAGTTCATCCTCCAGCCCGAGGAAGTTGCCTCCTTCAGAAACTTCTCACTCCTCACCGGCAAACCCATGCTCATAGTGTGCAACGTTCCAGACTCGCAGCTGTCAGGCAACAAGTACACCGAGGCCGTTCAACAGCTGCTCCAGAAACGCAAGAGCGAAGATCCCGAATACGTGGAGGAACAAGGGGATGTCATCAACGTCTGCTCGAAGCTGGAGGAAGAGGTTTCCTTGATGGACGACCCAGAGAGCAGGGAGCAAATCTTGCAGGAGTATGGATTGGAGAAGACGGGATTGTCGAAGATCGTGGCAGAGAGTAATCGGAGATTGGGTTTGCAAACATACTACACTGTCGGGCCACAGGAAGCCAGGGCATGGCAGTTTCCGGAAGGCATGCTCGCGCCTCAAGCAGCCGGCATCATCCATACAGACTTTGAGAAGGGTTTCATCAAGGTAAGGAGAGGGTTTGCTCCGAATCCCAGCACGGCTCACCCCGCCACATTTTCAGGCTGAAACGATCAGTTATGATGACTACATCGCATGTGGGGGTGAGCAAGGAGCAAAGGAAGCCGGGAAGCTCCGCCTGGAGGGGAAGGAGTACGTTTGCCAGGACGGGGATATATTCCACTTCAAGTTCAATGTGTGACGAAGAGAAATGAAGGGAAGACGATCGGATGTCTCTTGTGAGGGATGAGAGTTCAGTGTTTGCGACCCCCAGCCTACATGAAGATCGCTGGGGATGCCGCATACACAACAGGGGGGCCCTCGTGGACGTCTCCATCCCTGAAGTAGTCGTTGGTGCTGTTCCATCATGTTAGCTCGCCGGCTCCTCTCACCACCAGCATGCACGCAATACCTGTTGACGGGAGCGCATCCAAACATGCCGGCAATCGCACATGGGCCGTTGACGCTGTCTCCGACGCCTCCCCACTCAGGAGGGACGCCAGTGTCGCCCGCATGGTGACCCTTGACTTGATCGTCATGCACGAGCGACGCTAAGAAGGAGAGAGGTCACCGCAAGGTATTCGTCCACCGTCTGAAGCTGATTGAACGGACGTCCGAGAGGGACCAGGATATATTGAAGCATCTGCAAACAACAGTGACCTCTACATCTTCCACCCATTCTATCAGAGCATGATTATGAATTTTGATATTGAACGGTATGTTTTCTGCAACACTAAACTGAGTGTAGCTCATAAACCAAGCCTTGCTGCTGTTCATATTCTCAGTCTGACTACAATCATGAGTGCCGGGTCTCCAACTCGGCTGCCAAGTTTATATGCCCATGTAAGCATGTGAGCTACGCCCTCTCGTCTGCTGCTCTGCCACGTTCTGCTCCTCCTGCCTTCGCGCCTCTTCGTTCTCAACACGTCCATGCCACCATCTGATCCCTCCGCCGCCTGTTCGGGAATGACTATTCCCGATCATAGCGGAATGACTATTTCTCAGCCCGCCTCAGCTGATGTGTCGACTAGAGCTTTCACAACGGGGAACTTCCGAACTTTCACAAATTGAAACTGAAACACTGACAGGGCCTCGGCCTCGGAGAGCACAGGGACAGCCTCGGACAGATGATCGGACAGACCGCCGGAAGTTGTGTATTCCTTTCTCACAGGTTAAAATCATCTATTCAATCATAGGTACGCAAAAAAATTCACAAATACTGCAGATACAAGGCAAGCGTGTCTCAGGCTACCTTGTCCGCGCAAAAATAAAAAAAATGTGACATGTGGCTAATGTTTGATCTGAAGTTGCCCGCGGCATCAAAATTATGTACACGATTTCATTTGTTGCAAGATTCGATTGCCAGAATCCACTTTGACCGATCAGTTTCTGAAACACAAGCGCACTCAAAAGTTCTGCGCTTCATGTTATCGCGAATAGTCAGTTCCCAGTGATTTCCGCTCCCTGCCTTTGGCTGAGCAAGACATGATTTCAAGGAGATGCATCCCTGAGGATCCTGGCCCGCAGCAAAGGCATCAGAGCTGACATAATACTCCAATGATGTCCCCGACAGTACAAAGAAGCGGTCCCTCCAGGAAGAATTGTACCACCCTCGCTTCTTCATCCAGCCTGTGTATTTGGGCGATCCTTTCTTCGCCGATTCTCTACAAGAAAAAACATCAGTGATGAACTATGCTCAGAGCAAAGAATGCAGAAAAAAAAACTCACTCTTCAGTAAAAATCGTGGGTCTTCTGTCAATTGCTTTGCGTCTGTTTTCAGGCTCAAAACAAGAAATTCCCTGATAAACAAGTGTTTTTACCTGTCATCCTCTACGATCTGTTTCAAGTGATCGATCCATGATTTCATTTGAAACTCGTCACTGCATCGACATTCATACGTCCTCTTCTTGACATTATCTCGAATGACGAAAACACTGGAATCATCTTTGTCACGCTCCACGTTGCATCCCGAAAGAAGTATCGTTCCCCTTGGAGATAGACCATTTTGATACGAGTCGGAGTTTGCGTAGTAGTCTAGACTCCTATTCTGCCTCAAGACGAAATATCGGCCTTGCCATGCAGTGTTGAACCATCCTCGCTTTTTCAACCAGCCTTCGTGCATTGTGGAGGAAGTCCTGCACAAATGATTAAACAGATATAATTTCCTCATGGCTATCTTCAGGAAACAGGATAATTACACTTACATGTCATTTGGCAACATCTTTTGAGAGTTGTTCTGCCTCTGGTTTGATTCCCAACTAAATAAGTTGGTGAGAGAGCTGCTTCGTTGAATGGTGGAGCTGCCCCTTGGCGATTCGGATACAGACGGGGAAGGAGTATCAGGAGGCTGATAAAGGAGAAAATGAGATGAAAAAAACACAATAAATCAAATGGAAAAATCTAAAATGACTCACAGAGTCTTTCCATCTTGACTGCATTTTTTCCGTGAAAGAAAACGAGCTCACTCGACCAGTGTCACATTTTTTCACCAATCTCCCATCGAACAAGCTGTTGAAGTACGGGCACCAGCATTTTCTACAAAAAACAAAATGAAAATTAGGAGACGATCGATAAAAAGTAAGAAGGTACCTGTGCTCAGGTGAAAGAGAGATCACAATTTCATGCAGCAAAGCAGCTTCATCCCTTCGATCCTGCCGGACCAACAAAGCACTCTGATGATCGAGGGTGCGTACGTGCTTCGGATTGAGAACAAGAGACTTTTCAAAGCATTCTTCAGCACCATATAAATCATCGAAATCTTCAAGCAGCAACAGACCCAAATAGGCTAATGTACTGCATTTGAGCTCTTGATCGCATTCCATTGAAAGTGCGGTTTCGTAATGCATTTTGGCAGCATCGCGTCGTTTCACTTCATGCTCAAGTCTGCCGAGATTGAAAATAATCTTTGGTCTCTCTGGGTCTACCTTCAAAGCGTGGAGATAGAGAGTTCTGGCTGCATCGAATTGACCAGTCCGATGGTTAATGACCGCAAGCGAATGGAGCGCCTTCACATCGGTCTCGTTATTACACAAAATTCTGCAGAAAATCTCAGAAGCTTCTTCTAGTCTCTTCTCCGATATCAATTTTTCAGCTTGGACGTGCAGTTTTGCATTGTCTAGTTGTTCTTTTCCTCGAATGAACGAAGATTGATTCAGGTTGAGTTTTACTTCCATGTTGGGGCTCACGATAGGAGCAAGCGACATCTTTGATTCTGTTCAATCGTCCAAAAGGGGTAATGTAATCCAGGTTGATTGCTAGCTAAATGTCGCACGATTGAGTCTGCTATCGAAGCAACAGCGACATGAACCAGCAAACAAAGCTAAATGGTAACAAAGTGACAGCCTGGCTGTACCTATGGGAGGCAGTTGATGGCAAGCTAACAAGAATCAGAAGTGGATAAGAGGGGAGAGGGAGGGAGTGATGAGGCCAGAGAGGGAGAGGAGGTGGCTGAGAGGGGTCAGGACGGGAGAGCGCGTGGCAAGAGAGCGAGAACCAGAGGGAAGGCGATTGCGGGAGGTGCTGTGGAAGTGAAGGAGGGGTTAGGGGTCCTTTCAAATAGGTGGGGTGGGTCAACATAGAAACAATTTGAGGTGGGGTGGGTCGGTAGTTCTGTACCCTTTGATTCCAGATGGGGTACCATGACCCGGAGGGACGACCAAGTGTCGTGGAGTGAAGAAATTTCTCATAGGCCACATAGGAAAAAAACAGGAGAAAGTGAAGCTAGTCAAGAGGGTGAACAGAAGGTCGGGTGGAAACTACGGCGAGAGGGTACTGTCATCCTTTTGGGTAGTCTGGGAGGTAGGGGCTTGAGATGCTAGTTTTGGGGTAGGGGTGGGGGTTGTATGAACGAACAATCCGCGTACTTTTGGGGAACGAGTGGTAAGACTACCCTACCACTTTCTCCGACTCAAGACAGTTTAAAGAGGGGGTAGGGGTCCACCAACATTCCTCAAGAAGGCAGGAGGCTGGACCCGTTTTTGCAAAAAACTCTGCCACGTTCCACCCCACCCCTCACTGTTCAGCTGACCCTACCCTGTGTCTCCGAGTGAAGCTTTCAGAACGACGTGGTTAAGTGGGGGTAGGGTACCTCACCCCCTCGGATATGAACGAGGCTCACTGATGAACCCTACCACTACATTCTGGGGAGGACAAGAGATTCTGATATGTACCCCCACCCCCTTTCTGAATATGAATCATACGGGTATTTCATGCGTCACCATCTCCATTTTTCCCCGGATAGTCTGCTCTGCGCCAACAGCTGCATTCCTCAGTTCGCACATTGTAAAAATTTAGTTGTGGTACAGTTTTAAAAGGTAATAAAATAGAATTTGGCACAGAATTTGCAACTCGAACAGTACTATGCATGGTTTTACTAAGATAATTCATGGTACTAAACCAAAAACAAGGGTTCGTCTACGTACTATTTAAAATTATAATACCTTTTCCAATTCGTGACCTTCAAGTTCCCTTGGACGACTGGTTTTTTTTTCACCGTTCCCTTCACGGTTACGAGATCACACCCGCACTGCAGGCTCGGACTCCCACGGTTCCGCCGGCCCGGAAGGGCCCCGGGCCCGGTCCTGGTCTGGCCGGCGCCGGCGCCCGCCCCGGTGGAAGCCTGTGACGCAGCCCAGGCTGAGCCTGAGTCACGGTGTGACTCAGGCCCCACTGAGCGGGCGGTGGCTTTCTCTCGTCACGTGTGAATACGCCGAAAAACGGTAAACTTTCAAGTTGGCAAACTTACTTAGTTCGCGGCACTGCCGCAGTCACAGTCGGATACTATGATTTCACTGAGTCAGTACAGGCTGATCGGACAGTTGGGCGGCCCCCGGGCCGGCTAGGCCGAGCTAGTGCGACTCCCGACGGTAGGCGGCTTAGGGCGAAGGAGGATCTCAGGAGCAACTCGCACTGAGCCTCGGTAATTCTCAAAGCTGAGCTCGAGTTCAAGTGCGATGACGTCATTGACCCCTTGCTTGAGGAAGCTTGCCGGCACATACAGGTCGTGCTGAGGGCCCATCTCCTCCCAGTACATCCCTAGGTTGATGCCGTTGAGCCAGAGGTACCCCTGAGCGCATCACCGTCAGCTGCGGCGAGGACGGAAGGACGTGGTAACACTGCCACTGGAACACCGGGAGAGTCGGGATGGGAGAATCTCACCTTGCCGAGCTTACGGGTTGAGATGAAGGTGTCACCAATCTGATCTGGGCGCAATTTGAACTCGCCCATCAGAAACAAGGGAGCTCGCTCGCGTTCTTTGCCGCCGGCGCCTCCTGGCAGCGAGAGAGACTTCAAGTCAGGTTATCAGGCTGCACGAGGACAAGGTACTTGATCTGAGGGCGGCGCGCAGAGCTTCCAGCGGGAAAGGGTCCAACACGAGGGGGAGGTTGAGCCAATCGCCTTCGATTTCATCATCGCCGAAGAACACTGGTCCAAACAAGCCCTTGGAATCTGCAAAACGATCAAGATGCTTATGAGAGCGTTGGAGTTGCTGGTGCTCCGGTAAGCAGCGGCAAGGCTACCTGTGAGGAACTGTCCGTAGTTGACCCTTCCGAGGTTCTCTACCAGGATGTCGAGCTGCTTGATGCCTTGGTCAGGCCCCACGAGGAGCGAGGCAACACTCGGGCCCTCCTCGTGCCGCGACATGACGGCAGCAAACTCGCGATCCATGAAGACCTGAGCTCTGTCCTTGACTCTCCCGACGGTCAGATTCTTCTCTCCGTTCTCCCTGCTGTTCAAGGAGATCCCAGGGCGGCTGTAGAGGACAAATCCGTAGTCGGCATTGATCAGCTCAAAGGGGAGAGGCCTCTGGGATGAGACTGCAATGCCGGAGACCTTGTCCAGGACATCCCAAAGGGACGATTTCCACGGCAGCTGCACGGTGCCCAGGTCCACAAGAGGGATTGCAGGCGGCTCAGGAGGAAGAGGCGTTCGAGAAAAGTTCCGCAGCAGAGACTGGAGCGCTTCAAACTTGTCCAGGTTGTCCGAGCCCACCCCATGCTCCCCACACTCAGATATCGGAGATGAGTAGTCGTAGGATGTGATGATGGACGCATACTGATACGGACGTGAGTTGTCTAGAATGTTTGCTCCGCTCCAGAAACCGAAATTTGTCCCTCCGTGCACCATGTACATACTGAAAGAGAACCCTTGCTCTATCATGGTCCTGAGTGTAGTGACCGCTGCCCTTGTAGAGGTACGGGAGACGTTCGCTTGACCCCAAACGCTGTACCAACCTGGATAGTATTCTGAGCAGAACAGGGGTGCTAAACCTTTTGGGTTCATCTCCAGCTGAGCAAGCATAGCCTCTGTCACGTTGCCACTGGGGCCGAAGTCGCCAGCGCTGAGGACGACACTTCCATTCAACGATCCTCGTCGCATGCTGTTGATGTCCCCGAAGTCTGTCGTGTACAAGATGACCTGGAGCACGTGGTCACTGCTTGCAAGACAACTGGAGTGTGGAGCGAAGACCTGCGGTCCAAGAAGGCTTCTGCAGAGGTGGATCAGATGATTGAGATACTTTCGATCAGCTGCGATCTTCGAGACATCTCCATAGCTTCCGAACTCGTTTTCAATCTGAATCATGATGACTGGACCACCGTGCTGGTATAGAAATCTCCGAAACCTGAAAGATCTTCAGCTGAACCTCGTCTTCTAGGTTGAGAAGGCACTTCGCCTGGGGAGAAGCATCTTCCACCAAATCTCCACCTCCTGGATGTAATTTGGCTCGTAGGTCCGCAGGACGAGCTCTTGATTCTTCAAGAGCCAAGAAGGGAATCCTCCGAATTCCCATTCAGCACCTGGGAAACAAAACAGCATCAGCAATGCTCCTCTCTCTCAATAGATGCGTCCGACATATGAAAGGGCCGGGTCTCAGGAGTACAAGCAAACCCAGCTCGTGGGCCAAGGCCATGAACTCTTCAACCTAGGAGAAAACTTCTCAAAATCTTCTACTTGATCGCCATACTGTTGGCTGCTATACATTGTGTGACCCCGAGAATCTGTACTGTCGCTTCTTACTCTCGTGAAAATTCCAAGCAACCTAAAGTTCACGCACTCATGAAACCTACTCACCAGAGAAATATCATCACATAAGTCTGGATCGCATTAAAGCCCAAGGCCTTGACTCGCTGCATTCGATCGCGCCAGTACCTGCACACGGATCGTCATTTCGAATCGTTACATTGCAATGTTCCCCATTACGCTTTTGGGATTCGAAAGTAATGCAGTTCCCCAGCAAATATCTGGAATGGCTGACCATCTTTGTAAAACTTGTTATCCTTGATGGAAAAGCTCCTCTTCTGGTCTCCTGCCAGCTCCTAGGATGAAACTCAGATGGCAGATAGTCACTTTGTAGAAGCTCACTGCATGGATCTCCCTGGACACAAGAGGGAAGCCATCGGCATGAAAATTGAAGATGCAAATCGCCACGAAAAACGTGACCAAGGGGCGCAATACAGCCATTCGTGGAGAAACCCACCAAGGAGTTCCAATGACTCCCCGTTCTGACCTTCAGTCCTGACCTTCAGTCTGTACAAAGTAGACTATAAATAGCAGTGTGTAAAACCAAACATGAAATATACACCACAGTTGTTGACATTTCAACTATTGAGGATCAATACAACTATATAATGCTTTCTTCCCCGACTTCCATCAGGCTATGCTAGATGGCATCGAACACTAAAGACCGCAAATTCAGCAATAGAAAGCATATCAGCACGGACCCTAACTAGCTATACGTCTAGCCACACGTGTAAATCGCCTCCTGCGACATAACTGAACAGCACATTGCAGTAATTTGAAAGGCAATGCCCTTTGAAAGGCAGATCGAAACGCAACCCTTACTTCTTCAATGGTACATAGAGCGATATTGTTGTCCCTCTACTCTCTATCGATCCCCTCTTTCACGTGCACACCATACAAGAATGATATCACTTCTCAGGCACCATTGTCAGCTAGAAAGGCATCGCTGTATCCGCGCCATCCCTGTTCCAACCTGGTTCCGTCGCTCGGACATTTTTGTTGTGCCGCTCCGACAAAAGTCTCATCAGGAAGAACTACTCTGAGGCGCACCTGATTTCCATTATTCCAATTTCACATTTGGTCCTGTGACTCTGAAATCTACTGCATTCGTACCCTGATTTTGCTTTAAGTACCCTACATTTGTATTGATTAAGTACCGGTATGAGGTCTCAAAAAGGAAACTATGGTAAGGTGGTGCCAAATTTACCGAGAAATTCAGACCTTACCTCAACTCGTTCCGGCGACAGCTGTCCAGGCAATGCAGGCGCCGCAGCTACCGACCTCGTAAGTCATCCATGGGCTCTGCCAGCAGTTTCTCTGCTTCTCATGTCCTCAATCCTCATCCTACTCATCTCCCATTATCTTTATAGTGCCCCAGCTTGTCTTTCTTCTCCAATGACGGCATATTCCACTTTCAGCATTCCACCCTCCCATTCCAGCGCTTCTTTGCCTAAGAATGCTGCCAAATTCTTCCACTTCATTGTACATGGATATCCTCTTCATGTCCCTTGAATGTTCTCTGTAATGAAGATGTCTTTGAGTTACTGTCACTTACTATATCCTCTATTTCTGCCTGTATGAATTGTCCGGATTTCAAATCTGATTTTCACTGCCCACCAACTCCAGCAGTTTTCTGCTCTTTTCTTTGTTCAATGGTGTCTCTTGTTTTCATTCAATAGAGTTTTGTCCATTCGTCTACAATCCCCGCATCGCTAAAATCCTCATTAGCCAGGTGGAACAACCGAAGGAAAGTCGCTTTTCGCCATACCAAAACAACGGAGGGTAAGAGATTGGTTTTCGGGGTGGGAATTTGAATTGACCCTGGTCTAGCACTTGCTTGGCACTTGCTGGTGCGGACTTCTGTATCATAGCAGCAGATTCGAGGTTGAGTCTTGGCTACTCTATCCTTTCTCGGAATACTCCCAAAGTTGCTCAGCTGACAACAAAGTACGTTGTTTCCCCGAATGTCGAATCAGTGTCTGATCCGATTTCATCTGCCAGAACATGCATCGCATCAAGTGGTTGCAACGCGGACATGGTTACACTTCAGAAATATCTCAAGTTTAAGATTCAGATGTATCTTCATCAACATGGAAAGGTTATCTTCAAATAGCTCTTGACAATGTATATGGCGCGTTGACAGCGGTTTTACACAGGAGATGTCAACTCCAGCCGTTGCACAAATGCTTGCCACAACCTTGTATCATCGTCGATTCTTCCCGTGAGCTGATGAGAGTTTCATGCAGCTTGTAATGATGTTGCAGCTACTATACTTTCAATATCGTCGGAGGGCTGGACCAGAATGGAGAGGGCTGTGTGTTTAGCTACGATGCGATCGGTTGTTTCGAACGCTTGAAGTACACGGTAGACTTTGTCATCCATGCTAGGCGTTATGGGAATGACAGAAATTTGCAAGGTTTCGGGAAGTGGTCATGCATTGATTGAACCGTTCTTGGACAACTTGGTCGCCTACAAGAACACAGATAACAAACCAACTATTGAGAGGTAATTTTTTTTGTTGAAACTTTATTGTTCTAAAGCTCATGAATTAGGTCCTGTGATGAAACTTTAGAGCTTGTGAAGGACATTTTCTCCTCGGCGGGAGAACGTGACATTTACACGGGGGATTTTGTTGACATTTACATCATTGACAAGAATGGCACTAGATACGAGCAGTTTCCTCTCAAGAAGGATTAGATTGATTTCTTGCTTGATTTAGCTGTGATTGAGATCTGGTTGGATTTAAAAGCAGAGAGGAATGTAGGCTTGTGATAGACATGAATATTAAAATTTGGAAGAACATTGTTGAACCATGAAGTTTGCTTATCATCAATTTCATTTGGAATGTCCTACTCAGGCTAGCATAACTTTCCTTATGACAGTATGCTTACTTATCAGAGACGGCAAAGTTGGGCTGAACGGAGTACTGTCCGAATGCTCCACGGTAATCGCCGACGGAACCCTGCGGTCAGGACAGTGAGATGCAAGACAGGAAGGATGAAGACATCACGTTGTCGCTGGCAGAACCATCACCAAGATCGACTACTCCTCCAAAGGCGATCTCAGACTTCTTGGGGGCAGGAGCAGCGAGGGCAGAGAATTCACGGATGTCAGAAAACATTTTCAGAAGCCTAGCAAAGTCATGATCAGTTTCTTACACAACGGGAGAAATGCGGAAAGAGCTTTGTTGAACATTTATAAGATTTGTGTGCAAAGCTGGAAATGGAAGAAGCTGCAACTTCTCCATCCGATGAAAATAGCGGCGTCTCAGTTTGTCACTGATACAACTGATTGAACAGGACTGTGCTCGGGTGAATGGTCAAAAAATACAAGTGATTGAACAGGACTGTGAACGGGTGAATGGTCAAAAAATACAAGTGATTGAACAGGACTGTGAACGGGTGAATGGTCAAAAAATACAAGTGATTGAACAGGACTGTGAACGGGTGAATGGTCAAAACCATGAGCTCCCCCAATCGAAACCACTCATAGCTCATCTGCGTACAACGGTATCTCCTTCATGGATTGCTGAGGTTTCGAATTCTCTCATCTTCACCGATCAGACTCCCTATTCCTGTCTCCTACCAACACATCGTGTTTCGCAGGGGTTATTGGAAGTACCCTCATGCTGCTTCTCTCTACAGCTCATCCCCCTCTGCTCTCGTCTCGACCGCGCTCCATGCGCAGAAATAGAACCGTCAAGGTCAATGGTAAAGTTTGAAACTTTCCTCCAAAACTTGACTACGCCAAATATCAAACTTGAAAATTTCTCAAGTTCAACCCGGGACCCCCCGGGCGGTGAATCATCATGGCACGCAGGTTCAGTGCGGCATGCGGCGCCAGCCTCGGAGTGTCAGGACCGACCGTCCGACGGCGGGGGCGGCCCGCGAGTCTGCCCCGGTTGGCCGCGCCGGCGGCGGCAGCTTCAGCATTGCCAGTGAGGGCCGCTGCCAGGAGTGGCCCGTAGACGCCAATTTAATGGCTTCGTGGACTTGCTTTAGCCATATGTATGAGTCATTCGCTGGCTAATACCCTGGCCGATTCTGAGTTATCAGCCCCCCGCACTGTCACTAAGATCCCAGCCTAAGTGAGCTATGATCAGTGCCCGGGCTGAGCTGCTAATATTTATACTAGACTGAGTCTCCATTGACGACAAACGTCATCCCCTTTGTTTCTGCCCAACACCCGTAAGGTCAGCAGGAAAGAGACAGGCCGACAGACGGTAATCTCACCGAGGTAGTGCCTGGCGTGTTGGAGGAAGGGAGCCATGTCGTGGTTGGAGATGGGCAGGAGGCCGATACCGACAGCACGGATGATCTCTCTCCTGACCTCGTTGAGCAGAGGCCCGGGCAGTATCCCGTACTGGAAGCAAATCTGCCGCCCACACTGTCAACCCCCAGGAGTTCAACAGTCGACCGCCGGCTGACCTCGTTCATGGTGCCTTTGGGGTAAACGGCACCGGAGGCCTTGACCTTCTGCTTCAGGACGTTCTGGATCAGAGACGCTCTGTCCTGTCTGCTCTTCGCGGTCGGGGATGCAGCTTCCCTGTCTCCTCTCCACCGATGCGCGTCGTTGACTTGGGATGAGCTGCCGCAGGAGTGAAGAGAAGAACCGGGGAGGAGGACTGAAGAGGAGGAGGAGGAGGAGCTGAAGAGGAGGACTGAGAAGGAGGGCTGAGGAGGAGGACTCGTGGGGAGGACTCAGCAAGAGAGCTGAGCTGGAGAACAACATTGGTACGAGATGACAGGGCACCTTAGCTGGACTTGAGAGTGAATGTAGTTTAACAACCGGCTCATGTTGTTGACTCCTGCATGCAATAGGACGGCGTCGGAGAACCTTCCGAGACTCCCTGGCGGAACATGAAGTGACTCTCCTCTCCTCCTCGTCTGCTGGGGATCTCACCATAGAAAACCTTGAACTCAGCATCTCCCCTGCCGCCCTCTCTGAACATGGCTGCCACGTGCGGATACACCACTCGCTGCTTGTATTCCAGAGACTTTTCCGCTACATCCTCAGGCACCTCCGCCTTGAATCGTTCCCTGCGTTGCTGGTGTCAGAGGAGGAGGAGGAGGAGAGCTCGAGTCGACTTTCTCTCATCCCACAGGGACATGTTGGTTAGGATAAGCCCCGAGCCTGGGGCAAGAGGACAAGGCAGGCGATAATCTCCCTGCAACGCCTTGGGCTGAAGTTAAACAGGATAGCAGCAGGGACAAAGAGAGGAGGGAGAGGAGGAGGATGAGGAGGATGAGGATGAGGAGACTGGAAAGAAAGATAAGTTAGGCTGCCAAGTCAGACCATATCGAGATAGAGCTCTGGGATAGAGCCGTGAAGAACTGCGAGGCAGGTTCCGATCTGATCACATACAAGTCAGGAAGCATCCAGCAGCTGCAAGCATCATCTCGCTACCATCTTGCGGATCTGATGCAGCATGAAGCTGTTTGCGCAGATCTCAATCTTCACGAAAGAGGCTGAGGCGTTTCCCTGATACAAAGGTATCGCTGTCAGGGGCAAGAAGAGAAGGGAATGACGAGGAAATCATCACGTCGTCAAAGTGTAAAGTGATTGGCTCGGCGTGACAACGATAAACGACTCGTTTCGAGTCGACAATGGATCTGTTAACACAACTCAAATTCAGTCAAGGGCAGGAATATGTCGGGTACCTCTTAGGAAACTTTTTCGCACGCCAAAAGTCCAGATTTTCGTCACTGGTGTTCGATTGGGAAGGAACCTGATCAGGAGTAGGTGCAGCAGGAGCTGCACACTTGAATCAACTTCGACGGGTGCAGCAAAGTTACAAGCCTGCTTCATCGTTGATATCCATGGCACCCTCCTTCGTCGAGGCGTTCTCTGCCATCGAAATGTTTGCACCAGGTTCGTCGACTTCCATCGCCCCTTCAGATTCCATCTTGACATCTTGGTCTGCGTTGAGATTGACATCTGTCGTTGGAAACATTCTCATCCTTGAATGATTCTTCTGCATCAGCATGTGTCAGGATTCTCCTGCTAGTTGAATCGATGCACCGTTTGGAACAGAGAATCGGACACGCTGTCCCTTCCACAGAAGTTGATGAAGAATTTGTTGCCGGAGAATTTCTTCAACAAGCTGTTGAGTTTGTCCACCTTCTGATCGATGTCAGCAGTCTGAACATTCAACATTTCCGAGCAAACAAAAGTTATTCCTCCAAGGCTTGCAGCGTGGCTCGACCAAGGGAAAGCAGCAAGTGAGGAGGGCGAGGATGCGATGATGGGTGATCAAGGTGCAGTACAAGTGGCGATGGGGCCCAAGAAGCAGCGGGGAAGGATACCTCCGCCCCGAGAAGACAGGAAGGCAGAAGATACTCGTAGGTTCGCAGGGAGCAGATGTTGCGAGCTATTCAGCTTGTCAGTCTTCCCCTACCTCCTCTCCATCCCTCACCTCTACAGCGTTTTGGAGCTCGAAGAACAGCAAGGATCCTTACCGCTCCTCCTCTTTTTTCGCTGATTTCATTCAGCGCCTTCACCTCCTGAAGCCGGGGGAGTGAGATAGTACTGAGAGCCTGTCATTGCTTTCACCTCCACGTGAACTCCGTCGGCCTCATCATGGCCAGTTGAGCGATTCAGCTGCAGCTTCATCGAGATGACATTCAACGCTTTAAATCTGTCATGTTGGCGAAGAGGAGAGAGGAGGGAGGGAGGGATGGATGGATGGAGGGAGGGAGGGAGGGAGGGAGGGATGGAGGGAGGGAGGAGACAACCTGCGTGCACGCCCTTATCTGTGCGACTTGCCCGGCTCAGGCACCTAGTCTAGAGTAAGGGGACGAGGAGGGAGGGAGAGCAACGAGTTACAGTTGTTTTGGGTTCTCCGGGTTCAACACGGCGATCAATCCAGCCTGGTGACACACCTGTAGGCCCAAGATGAGAGGAGAGGCTACGGGAGACTCGTCCAGCACCTCCATGAGCTCTTGCTCCACTGTTGGATGCGCAAAGCCGCGGGTCCCATCCGTCTCCCCTGTGTCCTCACTGACATCATCAGGCATCTCGCCGGAGGGTTGGTCTCTTCTCTTCACTGTCGATCGTGGCTTGAGCTGGATCTGAGATCCGCAGAACTTGGTCCCGAGGTAACCCACCAGAATCAAGCTGTTGAGCCTTTTCAACTTGTGTGACCGGTAGCTCGTCCCCCCCTGCCCTGCGGCCTTTGGAACTTCATCCCGCAGCGTCTCAGCCTGCCCTTGTGCATCCATCGTCTCAACTCCATTCCCGTGCGTGGAAGTTTGACCTGAAGATCATCGAGTCACCGGATCCCTTCCTCTTCGCGGCATTCCAACCGCAGGTGAAGAAGCTTCTTATGCCACTGAGAGACTGGAGCAAAGAAGAAAAGATGGAGCTCGGTTTCTCTTGAACATCCTTCCTCACAACCGGAGCATGTGGCCGTCTTGATCGCGTTCCTCCTCGCAGACGCATCTGGCAGGCATGAGTCAGTCCTGACACCACCTTCACCATCCCCTCGTGGGCGCTCGAACCGAAGCTGCATCCGTCCTCGCTGCGGTCTCGTTGCTTTCCTCCTTCCCCAACGTCTGGTTCTCCTGCCCTCGGACATGCTTGTGCTCTTCAGCAGCCCCTTGCAACGTGTCAGGGCAACGTTGCTGCGAAAAGAAAATCACCAGAGGTCGCGTTGTCATGCTTTAAACTCTTGTGCAGCTCAGAGTCGACAGAGGATATCACACCATGAGCACAGAACCGCTCAAAGTCCTTCTGTATGCTCTTATCCTTGAAAAAGATTTGGCTGCTGTCAAAACTCTCGTCCTCCCCAGATTCTTCGTCCTCACACGTCATGTATGAGCTAGATCCTCCACGAAGTCGGAGATTGGAGTGGTGTACATGAGTAGAGCGGAGGTAGATGGAACATCCGGCTTGCGTAATGAGCTTTCCTTGGGTCGCTGTCTGAGGAATTGAGGAGAGAAAGACAAGCAGCCATGCCAGATATGCGCCAACATGCTGACGTGAACGTGCCTTGCGCCCCTCCGTTCCTTTCCCGCTCACTCGCATGCTTGAATATCACCCCTTGGTGTTCACTCCCGACCTATACCGTCCACTCGTCTTGTCCCCATACCATCTCTCCTTCTTCCTCTTCCTCTTCCTCTTCCTCTTCCTCTTCCTCTTCCTCTTCCTCTTCCTCTTCCTCTGCCTCGTGCGCTAGATGAGCATCGCCTGCCAAGGGTCTTATTGAGTGTCCTACGTTTTTCCCACCGTGTGGGGTAAACACACAAAGACGCTTTCATGGCTGGCTTATTGTGGGTGGGAATGCGTTGGGCGATGGCGGAAGGAGGAGGAGGAGGGGTGGGTCTGGTGTTGAGGAGAAGATCAGAACAATATCAGGACGAGATCCAGGAGCTCAGGGGACAACTCAAGGTCATGGAGGAAGCAGAGTGCTCCGAGGAGGAGTTGATAGAGACTGGTCCGGAGCAGCGTAGCACGGACCCCGAACGAGACAGGGAGCTGCTCGAGGGGTGTGGGTTGCACGACAGGTCTTTGCAGGATGAGCATATCTCGGGGCTGTCAGCGATGGGAGCGACTGGCAGCCGGAGGCTGCAGGTAGTGAGGTGTAGGTATTGCATGAAGGCGGGGGACGTCAATGTGATGAAGAGGTGCGGGAAGCACCACAAGGAAGGCTGTCTAAGGTACGTCACTTGCCCGCAAGACCTGGTCAACAAGGTTGCAAGGCTCAAAGGAGAACTGTCTGCCGCCATCTCTCGAGCAGAGGCCTCCGCCAGGGATGACTGTGTCGTGGTTGCGAGGAGGCATGCAGAAGGGCCCGCATGCAGATGCGGAGAGATTGACAACGGGGATGTGCTTGTCGCTGTGGACAACCATGTCATAGGTGAAGAGCGAGCCTCCGGCTCTTGGCATCCCGTTCCCTGACTTGCTCATCAGGGACTGACGTGCATAAGGCCTCCAGGCTGATCCTCGGCTCCACGGGCACCGTGTGCAGGCTCAAGATAAGGAAGGAGAGCGGCGTGCAGAAAGAAGTTCACCTGACTCGGGTTGTCATCTGGGGTCATTCAGCTCCGGCGGGCTTGTTCGCTCCGGAGAAGAACTACATCGCGATCCCATCTGGCGTCTTGTGCTGACCAGGACCGTCCCTAGGCGCGCAGCTGCCAGGTTGTGTCTGTACTTTAGACATACAACCTGTCTTTAATTTGAATCTCTTGGGACTATTCCCGTTGAACTACTTCTATGGTGTAGAACACCATGAGTTGAGTTGTGACATTACCAGCTCATGCTCGCACTCCTGCTCCGCGGTTGTCCCAATTGCGGCTGATAACCATGTCTGCACCAAGAAACATGAGACTAACGAAGACGCACTTGCAGTTGTTAACCTTGGCAGCGCAGGTTGGAACCGACTACCCCTCCTCAAGTCCTTTGGTAACGACGATGCTTCTGGAGTCACGTTACCCTGTGAGGAAGCGCGAGTTGATGGAGTTACGTTTCAACCCGCGCCTGGAGACTTGACCTGCTCAGTTGAGTCGTAAGATCTTCTGCTAGTATTCTCAAAACAATCGCACATCTTGTGCAGTCCGTGATGGGTCGTGCGACTGACGAGGGTTCCATTCCTTCCTTCACTTCCCACCTGCCAGTTCCACGGTGTCATCCCACCCGCAAGCAACGGCTGTGCTGGCATTACCGACTCTCTCCGCTTTCAGGATTGTACAGATAAAAACGCCCTGTTGTTTGAGACTGAAGTTGTAATGTGTCACTCATCGAGGCAGATCGTGCAAGTATCACCTGCACAAGGTTCCAGCCCTTGGGGGCACGTGGGAGCAGACCGCTTCCAAACGCGCAACTGCCCATCAGTACAAGTCAAGGAGGTTGAACGAGGGTGCAAGGGTCCTTGCTTTTCGAGGACGGTACTCTCTCTTTGATTGTTCAGTTGGTCTCTGAGCTGATGGAGACGCGAAGTTCAGAGAATGGTCTGAAACAGACTACACGCTTACAAAACAAGATGCAAAGACGTGGGAGGTTTGGTCGGTCCATGCCTGTTTGACAGGTAGTCAGATGAGCAGGTCTTGGTGGTGTTTAAAGATATCACCTGATGTACTGAGCCCTTACCCTTCCTCACAACATACGAGTAGTCGCCTCTCTTGTCCTGGGACTCCTTCAATGAATGTTGCACACTACAACACTAGCTGGTACAGCGTGTACTGACAGCCCAGTTTCGAAGCCCTCCAAGGACCTACAGCATGAAACACGTCGGTGAAACAAGTCCGGCATTGGTTTGAAGTTGAGGTACTGACGGCGCCAGACTGCTGTATGGGACCCGAATGATGCGCTTGCCATGTCTTGATTGCCGTAGAAACATCTCTGGACCACTGAGCCCACTGTAGTCCGATTTTCTGTGCCCGATAAGTAACACCCTGCAAGGATGATATGAGATCTTCTTACCTGAATAAGATATTGCCTTTCGAACCCATCTTAGTATCGTTTCTTGTGATCAATCGTGTGTGCCTTTCACCAAATAGTCCCCTGATTTTTGTTCCAGGTCACTGGGAAAACATCGAATATCAATGCAGACATCAATTCAAGCACAGAAAGAGCATCTCTTGCAGCATCTTCAATGATCATTGATCATGAGTCTCATGTCCTCCTTCCTCTCCTTCGTCTCTTCGCTCCATCTTCCATACCTTGTGACATGTCGCCGTCATCCTTGTCCCCTTCTTTTGCATGTCTCCAAATCACTGTGCCTCCACCCCCCTCCAAAGTCCCCATGATATATCAAGTACCCCTTCATTTCCCCAGAAATACCCACCCTCCTCCACGTCCACCATCCCCACCCTGGTCAACTTTACAGAAAACCCAACTTCTTGCAAGAAAAACAGTTCCTGATGTGTACCGGACCCCCTACCCCCCATGTATCCTATTATGACCCCCAGTTCCCCAAGACCCTTCAACCAAGCTGCGGCCCCTGACCAGACTCCTCGACTCTCCTGATTGTCCTCGTACTGATTTTAACTTAACTTTGAGTAAAGAGTTATAAACCTGAAATTTGCACCGTCTATTTCAAATCCTGAAACCCGTGACGCCACACCCCCATTGAATCAGTGACTATCGGATACCGCCGGGGCCGGGCGGCCGGCCGCTCGCGACGGTGACCGAAGCCGAAGTTGACTTGTGACTCGCCGTACCGTAGTACGGTACCGTACGGTACTTGTGACCGTACAGCTCAACTAGCCTAGTAGTCAGAGTCGCTTCGGAAGCGACTCTGACTAATAAGTTGCGGCAGTGCAACTTTCACAGTCCGGGACCGTTCAACTTGCCAACCGTTGAACTGTGACTTGCAAGTCACTGACTCGCAACGCCGTTGGCAACTTGGCAAGTTGCCGCGCGGCTGGGACTCCGAAGTTCGAAACTTGAAACGCTACCGTCACCGGGTGACTCAGGCTCGCCGATCATGCATGACCATTCCATGGCATTTACTAATGCCCAATTATAAATTAATATCCTTTTAACAAACACTTGTACCTGTTAATTTGATCATAAGCATACAGTTTTTAGTCAATTTTGTACCAGAATGATTTGTACCACTCAGTACTCTTTTATATTCGTTTTAAGCATTTGAGTTCCGGCTTACACGCCTCTTAGCTGCTCTCTACCCTGTGTACCGGTATGTTTATCTGATATGGAGGGGGTAGGGTTATTCGTATATTTCGATACACGCTCATGAAATCTTATATTAGTGTCAGCCATTGACGAGTGTAGTAAATCCAGCCAATAAGTATTTTTGTTTTCAAATCAAGGAGTCGTATGCCAGCTAGCAACGGCAATCTTTTTTTTCTACACCGGTTGTTTTATATAGATACCTACCCTATGTCTATAGGGTGCCACCGAAACACAGGTCCCTTTGCCCCCGATCAAAGAGCAAATAATTTTCATTAAAAATCCTGAGATCTCCATTGCAAGTATCCCTCCCCTCCTCCTTCCATGCTCTTCTCCCTCCCTCCCTCCCCCCCTGCTCCCCTCACTTCCTCCCTGCTCCCTCCCTCCCCCCTGCTCCCCTCCCTCCCCGTTGCTTCCCTTTCCCTTGCGCTCCAGTTATAGACACCAAACAAATGAATCTTCACCGTCGTGTATCAGCAACAAATGGAATTCAGAGAAGGCGAAGGCAGGAAGATTTCGATACATTCTTGGAGCAGGAAGAGACTTGTGATGAGTCAAAGACACCTGAAGATTTGAAGCTTCGAATGATCCTGCATACGTCAGTTGATGATCGAGACTTGCCCAGGATGTACTGGAAAAAGCCAGGCAGTAATTTGAATATCATACTTGAGCCTGGCACAGGGGTTCAATATCAGTGTGAAGATCACAGGGGCGTTGAAGTGAATCGACTGGGCATGATCAAATCGCTGCACTCAGATGCACAGGTTGTCGAAGTGTACATCATGTACAATGGAGTCCTCTTGGAACATGTAGACGAAACCATTATAACTAATCGAGTGCCCTGTGTGGCCCTGAAAAGAATTTTGAACAAAGTTGGAAACCGTGATTGTTATCAATCAATTTACAAGGATACGGATGAAATAAATGCTATACCAAAAATGTGTTTCTTCAGCTTTCCTTGCATGTTGGAGCATGCCAACGATGATCTCCACGATAATTTCAGAGTGCATGGGTATATATTTTTTCATGAAGACGACATCGAAAATAATAAATACTGTGAAATCTCTCACTTCTCGATTGCAAACCCGGCACCACTCGTTGAAACGATGGCGCAAACAACTTTCTGTTCAGCGGCGGAGTACAATCGGATTTGTCGAGATATGACCGAGGTCAAAAAGATGTTCAATCAGTGGTTGAAGTCAAGGAGTGAGACCTTTGAGAAGAATTTTTGTTTGTTGTTTTCCATTGATTTTCGTTGCTTTCGATTGCTTTACAATTTTTGTTTGTTGTTTTCCATCGCTTTACGTGTGACATGCTCGTCACAAGCCATGTTTATGAACTCCGAAAACCTCAGCATCTTTTCGCTGCCTGTTTCACAACCTCGGAATCATCGCCGTCTTTGTCCAAACCTACATCCGCAAGATGTTCCTATTCGCTTGGGCACCCGCTTGTCTCCATGCTTCTCTTCCCCACAACTGATAAAAACATTACATTCGCAGGAATGATATTCAATGGAGACTCTACCTTATGTCTTAGCTCGCTGGTTCTGATACTGAGAAGTCCTGAGGGAAGTTCATTCACATCCGGCATTCATGGCGTTGAATAGTTCATCGATCTTACACTTGCGATCTATTTGCAATCAAGTTGCCTACACGACTGACATGCCTTATGCTTATGTGCTTGGTTGACACAGAGAGGAGGAAGTATGGGTCTTGTAGAATGCCAACCAAAACAACAATCAATTGCCTAATCAGAGAGATCCTTTACGAGAACAATCTTGACACCAAACAACTCTACAGTCAGAGATGTGCTCGAAGCTCAATCATACGAAAGAGGGTTGTGGATGCTTGATCACCAAAAACGAGCAATTCTCCATCTTGCAATGAGCATCAAAAGGATTCGAAAACAGCCCTAGGCTCTGGAATCCATGGCGATGCTGATTCCTACAGCTTCCTTTGAAAAACAAGCTCGAGCTGTTTGAAACGTCGTCTTGCAGTATGTCGCAAAAAGTACAAACATTCACACATGATCCAACCTTGGATGGCCTGGAGCTTGAATACGATGAAAGAGCCATTGGCTGAGAGCCATCTGGGATTCAAACAAACGCCGCCTGCGCCGGCGGGTGCGGATGCAGCAATGGGGGAAGGGTAGGGCAGGCGATTTGGTTGTATATGCACCCCCCAGGCGTGTAAAAGCGTGTAAGGTCAAAAATAGTTTTAATGTTTGAAACCTTGTTGTTTGGAGGAAGCAAGAATACTTGTAAACCTAAAACTGCTCGACACGGTCCCCGATTCAAACATACTTTCAACCATTATCGAAGTTTCTGGTACAAATTTTCAGCGCGCCGACCATTCAAAAATCCTGGGCTGAGGTACCCCGCTCGAAAATGATCAAAAGCGAGCATTAGAAAATGCCATGGAATGCGCCCGGCGCGGCCAGTCCCGGGCCGCCCGGGCGGCCGGCGCGGGGCGGCGGGGGAGGACGCGTACAACTTGGCAACTTCCGGGCCGCGGCCGTGCTACGGTCACGGCTGAGAGCCCGGGAGTGCAGTCTACCGGCGTGATCATGATGCCCGGCGGCGGGGCCACGGGCCCGCCGTCCGACCGTGTGGAGTGCAGCCTGGCGGCCGCCGGCGGCGGGCCTCCTGGTCCTGCGCCGCGGGCCTGCGGGCGAACGGGCCGGTCCCCCCGGGCCGGCCAGGGCGGCCACGGCCGGTACCGGCGCCGCCGACGCGCCGCGGCGGCGAGTCACCGTCGCCGCGCGGGCCCGGCCGCCCGGCCGGGCCCGGACTGCAGTGCGCCAGCCTGGACTGCCGCCGGGAGTGTCACCACTGAGCGGGGATGAGGGCAGGGGATAGCACAATGATGAGGAGGTGACGGGGCAATATGCTGAAGTGGCGGACGAGGGCACAAGCTGAAGAGCTGGAGGGGGAGGGAGAGAAGAATATGAAAGAGAGGAAGCGGAGGGAATGGTGGAGATGGAGGAATGAGAGCGAGAATGGGGAAGGATGCAGAGGAGAGGAGCAGGAAAGAGAGGAAGAGATCGGTGAACGCTGAGGAAACGACAGGTGTAGTGTTTCACTAGGAAGGATGCATCTTCTGGTGCGTAGTTAGCAGGAAAGTACAGGTCAGAAGGAAGGTATACATCAGTGTTGCAAAAATACGGAGTGAGACAACAAAGTTCTCATGGAGTGAGGAAATTCATCTATGCTGCCACTCTCTCCAATTTCTCCAACTGCCTTACATCTTGACAGTATCGATCCTGAGCGGATGGACTTTCTACACTGAGATCGTCGGCAAAGGTAGGTGGATACGTGAAGATGGTTCACATGACAATACATGACGTCTATTCTCAGCGTAGCCTGTCGAACGAGCCATGACAAGGATCAACCTGAGTTTGCTAGCAGTGGCCGTTGCCGCCTGCTTCTGCATCCTGCTGTGGACAAGATCAGCTCCCGAGCAGTCGCAAGTTCTGTTTGATGAGGCTGACAGCGAGAGGAAGGTCAGGAATCGAGTGCAAGGTTCTGAGTTCAACCATGACCAGAACTCTCACTACACTGTGTGGCACCGAGGTTCGTGTCCCTGAAGTTGCGCGTCCTGATCAGTAAGCTGATTGCCAGCTCATTCTCCCTCCTTCAGCGTCATGCACGTCGTTGAGCCCAAGTCGGGGGAGCGCGACCGGCAGGTTGTGATGGAGGCTCTTGGTATGCCGGAAGCGACTGAAGATGGGGATGCAGTCAGGTGGGATGGGCTCGTTGATGCGGCATGCAGAGAACATGCTGCAGAAGGACAACATGCAACTGGCGCAGGAGAACAAGCAGTTTGCAGAGAGCAAGCCCAAGGGACTCTACAACAAGATCCGACACTCGGACGAAAGGCCCGAGAAGTACGAGGAGGAAGCCGTGGACCATCAGATCGACTCGCAGTACAAGAGCAAAGAAGCGCAGAGAGAGTCGCTCAAGTCCGAGCTGGAGAGGAGGAGGGGGGATGTTGCGTCTGCTATCGCTGACGAGTACAAGGTACGGTCAGTGCCGGGCCTCCAACGAGGTTGATAGAGCTGCGCAGGCAAAGATCGATGAGCACAAAAGAGAGCTGAATGCTGAGCGGAGCCGAGCACAGAGAGAGAAGGATGAGGAGGCAGCGCGGAAGATCAGCGACGAAGCCGCCATGGACAAGGACAAGGCCTTGCGGGATGCTCGCCTGGCAGGAGAGCTCGACGACAGAGCAGATGAGGGAAGCCTTGAGAAGAGGAGAGCAGAAAGAGAGGAACGGCAGTCGTTGCTGCAGCTGAAGCAGCTCCATGACGAGGTGCAACCCGCAGTCAGGCGAAGCCCACTCCCCCTTGTTCGCTGATGTTGGTGACGTAGGTGAAGCGTGCCGAGGAAGAGGCGAAGAGGGCGAGGAGAGATGCCCATATGCTTCGTCAAGCAGCAGCTGATGATGTCAAAGTTGCGAAGAAGTCGCTGCTGACAGCCAAACAGCTCATTACCAACGCGCAAAGCGACAGGTCCGATTGGCTTGCCAAACCCTTCAAGTCTAATCGATGATGTCAGAGAATCTGCAAGGAACAAGCAGATGGAGCTGTCACAAGCTCGACTCGCCTTGAAGTCAGCTACTCAGGTCTGGATTGGCACACAACGTGCAAGACAGCTGACAGAACTCCCCAGGTTGAGAAAGAGTTGACGATCAAGGCTGCTCAGTACACGGGGAAGGCGAAGTTGGACTTGTTGCAGTCGCATCTTGTTCGTGTTGTTGTTCACTTCTGTTTGGTGGTGACCCAGGCGTTGCAGTTGAAGAAAGCGTCACACGAGCATTCGGATCAGGCAGACAAGCTCCACCACGAGGCGAATTCTCGTCGAGAAGCTGTACCACTACAAGTTTATTTCGTCGCAATGACGTGGCGCACAGATCGAGAGGCTCAAGGAGAAGAAGGAGCATGCGATGGCACGAGAGAGCAGGGCAGAAGTAGATGTCAGAAGGTACAACTAACACAATCTTGCTCCTCGCCCCCTCTGATTTGTTTTTGAAGGTTACAAGATCAGCTTCATCTTCAAGAGCGGGAAGACAATCGGAGGCTTTCAAGAGCGCAGGTGGGGAGTGTTCTTTAAGTGGAGATACAGAATTTCGATTGAAACCTTTTGCAGGCATCAGAGCACAAAGCTGAGATTGCATACAAGAAAGCTGAACTCAAGTACCGCAACGATGATAGCGAATGAAGGATTGGACATTCGTGGAGCTGAAAGAATTGCAATGACTCCTTCTTTCTCCACTCGAGGGAAAATTCGATACAAGACAGCTGTAGGAGAGAAATAAATTACATGCTGAACGGCCTTGGCTCTTCAACTTGATTTCTCCTGCAGACATCATTCACTCGTAATGCAAGCACATGTAGGAGCACCAGACCTTCGGCTTGTCCTCAACCGGCAGCATCGTATCGAAAACATAATCCCACAACTTGCTGGTGATACCATAACCTACAACTTTGTGAGGAATCATCATCAGAGGACTTGAGACACCTACCAAGGAGCGGGTTCTTGTAGTGATGAGCGAGATGGTATGATTTCATGCTGCTGAAGTGTGATAGGAAGGGAGTACCACTGGAAATCATGCTGTCAAACAGAACAAGGCAAGTCGCAGCGCCGCACCTGTGATGGAGATAGTAGTGTGTTAAGTCATATCCAACATATCCCAGCAAGCCCCCAGCTGTGAAGGATACGGCCTCAGGGGTGTCCAGGAATACCCTGGAGGAGGGTCACAAAATCGCAAGATCAGAGTGGAGCGGCGAACCTGAACAGGTTGTAGAAGCCAAGGAGCAGAATGAACGTTAAGATCGGAGGGAAGACAAGTCGCATGGGGTCCATCGGGAGCAAGTGATGGACACCTGCAAATCGGCCAAGTTAAGATTAGTAGGCCCGGTGGATTCTTCGGTGGGTACCATGAATCAAGAAGTGTAGGGTGATTGCCCAGTAATTGAATTGGACCCACTTTGTACAAGTCAGTTGATTCTGTGCTTGCCTTCCGCATATCTACCTCATCTAGATGGAACAGAAATCGGTGGAGGACATATTCTATTAGCGTCCATGTGAAAAGTCCTCCAAGGAAAATCTAGACAGAAAATCAGAATCGACATAAAATTCCTGGCAAGAATGCAGTCACCAGTCCAGCGCCAAGAGGTGTAAGTCCCATCTTCAAGGAAAGCAAGACCATTCCTGTGATGACAGGTAGCCAGACCAGAGGAACCACATACCATCTGACAGCGATCGCGTGAGCGGCTGCCGCCGATCAACAACAAATGACTCACGGTGTTCGCGAAAAAATTTCCAGGAAGTCAGATTCAAAGAATCGAGCTGGTTCATCCAGAACTTGGGGACGGTGAATGAAATCATTGTAATTGTTGCCAAGATGGCCGATCTACAACAAGATACCCACTCAAGACAGGGCGATTAGAGGTGTATCGTTATACCTGCATGATAATCGGTTTACTAAAGTCCAAGGCTTTCATCCCTTGGTGTTGGGGAGCTGCTTTCCTCTTGGCTCCTGACAGTATTCCAATTCTGTAACGTTGCATCATTGAATGCGCTGCCTTGCTGTGGACATGGACGTCGTCGTTCGAAAACACTTCAGTGATATCTGTGCCCAGGTGGCTGCAGCAACCGTCAGGGGGATCGCATAGTCTCAAATCCTCATCTATACGGAAGCACGATGGTGGATCCACCAGGATGTTCTTTGAGGAACTTGCTCACGTCAAAAACCTGAGGACGACTCAGCATCCTCTCTCTTACGGCCATCGCTTGAAAGTCAACCTCGCCATCCTTCACAACCCATGCATCATTCTCTTTGTCGTGCTTCTTGATCTCGCTCCATTCAAACACCTTCAGCGGCTCCCCGTTGGGTTCGTCCACACCAAGTGGTGGCATGTTGGTTTTGTCTGAGAGTGTCTAGAATGGCAAAATGTGAGTTCACCAACACAACATGCTGAATTTGTGCGTAAACGCTAGAATCAATCATTGGGTGACGACAAACATTCGATTCACCTCTAGATTCCCTCCCCAATTCTTTTCTACTGAAATGGGCTTTGCACCCATTGTCTTGCTTTCTTTCACTATAAATCATCCTTAGGTCGTCTTCACTCTCCCGATCCCCTCTAATGGACGAGTTGTCAGACACACTGACTATGCTTATGCCTCGTCTCAGCCATGAGATTCCTGCTCTGAGAATCGTTTCCGTCAAGAAGGCATTTTGTTGAGACCCTCCTCGCCATACGTACATGGGGGACGCCTCTACAAAGGACAGCAAGAGGATTTTTCCATCGCCTGCTCGTGTCTTCTGCTTGTACTATCAATCTGGAGCGTGCAATAACAACCAGCCTGCATGAGCTGCTTTCCCTCTGTCCTCTCCTCTCTCTCCCGCCCTCCTCGTCCACCGTCTCATCCTCCCTCTGCACCAAAAATCGCAAACCACATGCCAAAGGCTCACCCCTACCCCCATCAATACTCCTCAACCCTACCCCACCCCACTTCATACACTGACCATATCAATTGTACCCCCATGAAGGCTACAGCAGCAAGATCCATACGGGGAGATAGTATGTTGTACATTTTTAATTAGTGCCTTATCTATAAAATATCTCAGCTATACCGATAGATCTCCAACCCAAACACGAATCTGAATGGGTGGACAGCACTGCTACGTTACCCTCATGTAATCGCTGTACCCCCACCTCATAACCTGACAAGCCACGTTTACAAGGGTGACCGGTGGTTATTAGGCATTTCCTTGAATCTTTTCCAAATACCTTCATAATATTTCTGAAACAGAGACAACAATTTGAAAAACCCGTGAAAAAATTCAAATTTGAATTGGATGGGGAATATTACCTGGCGGAAGTCTCTGAGCTGCACCTGGGGTACTTAATAAGATAGGGGGGAGGGGGTACTCGGGACAGGATTAGCTTTCGAATAGGTACCCGTTAGGTTACGCAATAAGTCCATGACCGGTAGTGTCGTTTTCCAACCACCACGTTATTGACCCCTACCCCTATGGCTTCAAGATCCACCCCCCAACACCTAGTGGGCCAGGTCTGACAAATAAAGCCTGCGACCACCCCTGTATCCGCGGAACTTAACCATGACTACTCTGGCTCATACGCTACTTGTTTTTTTTTAAGTTTTACTTATCTACGCCTGGCGGCCCGGCCCGGGTCGCCGGGTGCGGCACCGGCGTCAGTCGGAGGCTCAGTTGAGTCACAACGTAGTTACTGATTTTTAACTTAACTTTGAGTACATACTATGACTCAGTTTCTGTCTCACGGTCATGCCATGATCATCCGGCATTAACTCAAACTTTGGGCATCCGTCTTGTTCCAAGAATGCCTTGCCGCATGCACTAGACGTGGTTAGTAATAAGTGACTTGCCGCGCCGCCGGCCCAGCTGGTGACACATGCCGGGCGGGCCCGGGCGGGCCGCGTCGGATCACGTAGCCGCCTCAGTGTGCGCGGCCCGCCGGGCGCCGCCTCCGACAGTGAGACTCGTTGGAATTCGCCGCTTCCCGCCAAAATACCCGTGCTGGGGAGGCATCGAGGGAGGAGAGACAAGTAGGAGGCAACGACAGAGCGAGAGCGGGTGAGAATGAAGCATGTAGCTCGGCAGGAGGCCAAGAACATGTCGCCGACGAAGCTGCCCCGTCCTAAGAAGCTATTCCATGATGCCGAGGAGGCGGATATGGAGGTGTATCAACCTGCGAGGGAAGGAGCGTGTCTGACCTTGGCTGGTACCGTCAGTTTGCTCTAGTGGACCACCAGCTGCACTCGCTCATCGACGAGGGTGCTCTGTGTCTGGCGGACGAGAACGTGAAGCTGCATCACTATGTGCAGCCTGCGAGCATCGACCTGCCGGTTTCTGGCACCGCGTGAGCTACCCCATCCGCTCCAACATGCATGTCGATTGAAGTGTGCTCAGGTATCTGGTCAAGGAGAAGATCCTTCCTTTCAAGAAGCGGGTAGAATGCAGCATGTTGCGCTCCACCTGTGACACTTGCCGGATGCAGGTCAAAGACCTGATAGGGGAGCTAACGCTGGAAGAGAAGAGCCTTACTGGGAAGGGGGCGGTTCTCCTCAAGGGCCAGGTGCATCCCCAGCTCTTCTTGTCGTTTACCGTGTTCTCATTACATGGCAGTCGTACCTGATCTACTGTGGGGTCATCTGCCTTCAAAAAGGGCAGCGAGGCTGCCTGAGCCCGAAGAGCTCGATTGGGCGCGTTGATATCATGGTGATAGAGGAAAGGGGCTCGTGGACTCTTGCTTACTGTGTGTGGTTAGGTGCGAGGGATAGTGGACGGGTGCGGTCTTTACGATGTCGTTCCTGGGGATGGGATCAGCCGCGAGCTATGGCTTGAGATCAGCCCGAGGTCCTTCAACATCCGGGTGCATGCTGGGATAGCGATGACTCAGTTGATGATCTTCGCTGCTTGCAACGAGGTCGATCGGTGGTGGAGAAGGACTCCTTGTCTTCTGATCTGATGACAGGATGACGCATTTCAGACACCGATCAAGAGCGTTTACGATGATTTCGATCACTCTCCGGCAAAGAGCGTGACGCTGCATTCCGAGGAGGGCGGCGAGATGTGCAAGGAGATGTGTAACTTGAGGGAGGACTTTCAAAGCTTCGCCAGCATCGAAGATGGTGCAGACGAACCAATGAATTCACAAGAGCAGGAAGAATGTCTTTGCTTCGATACCGATGGAAAAGTTTTGCCTCTCCACCTACACAAAGGAGCTGTTGTTCTAAGTGTACGCGTTCCATCTCAACCAGAGAGTCTAGCGGGTGACTAACGGCTGATATCATCTGTGTCTTGACACGGTTGTCCTACAGGATTTGAGGCTTTGCCCACTGAAGACATTCTGGACCTTTCTTTGACGGATTTCCATCATCCTCGCAAGTTCTTCCGCGAGATTTTCCCTTCCGATCAAGGGAGGCTGACCTTGGAGAAGGATCGTTTTTACATCTTAGCGACGAAGGAGGTGCTTCCTCCTGCCAAGTTTTATTTTTGCTGAACATGATGGTGTAGAGAGTCTGCGTTCCCACGTATCTCAGTGCCGAAATGGTTCCTTTCTCACATCACGTCGGTGAACTCCGAGCACACTACGCCGGGTTCTTCGATCCCGGCTTTGGGTACGGAAGGGAAGGAGAAGTGAAGGGAACAGTGGGCGTGCTTGAGGTCAGTCAATTTGTAAAGCTTGTCTTTCTGTCAGATCAGAGTTGGAACCAAAGAGGCGCATCTGTCTGACCACGTCCCTGATATGTTCTAAGACGAATGCGACAGGTTCGTCCTCATGAGACAATCAACATCTATGATGGCCAACCGATCTGCCTTATGGAATTCTTCAGAAACTCCAGCGTTCCGCACCGTCCCTACGGTTCGTCAACAACTCTCTCGCCAATCTTCTCACATGCTTGTCCTTCAGGTTTGCAAGGGAGCAATTATCACATGCAGAAAGGGCCGAAGCTTGCCAAATACTTCACGGAATATCCGCGTGCAGCGCCTCAACAAGTTTGACTCGAATCATATTCTTTTCTCACATTACAAGAAGATCAAAAGCTACACGTTTGATTGAACAGCTGTGTGCTGGCGTGAACATGCCAACAACTCAGACTCATAAAATAAACGAAAAATATCTTGTCCATCTCTACAAGAATCGCAAAAATGAATGTCAAGTTAGCCGGTAGTAGTCAACTTGTTATATGCCTCGTCAATCTTTGCTTCTTCATCTTCGATCTGCCAGCAGCAATCAGGACACTCGAAGCTATCTACTCCTCTTACCATGATGAAAGTTTTGCTCTTGCTCCCGAACTTCTGAGTGTGCCTGCTGACTTCACAGCTCACCCACGTGCCAGAAGGGAATGTTCGCTTCCTATGTCCTTTGCTCTTGGGCAAGAATCTCTATAACATCGTCATTTATGCTTGAGGGGTAGGAGGAGCGCCCACCTGCTCGCCCTTGGCGAACCCTTCGGGTGGCTCGAGCTCTCTTGCGCAGTACCACTCACGGACATTAAGCTCTATGGAAGTCGTCTCCTCGTCCTTGGACTTCGTGCTCCAGTCCTGTTCGTCAAGTGAGCGTCGGCATGCCGGCACAACGAGACTCAGCGACCTCACTCGCGACTTCGAAGAGTCTGAATCCCCTTTCACTCCTCCACTCCTCCCTGACCGACAGGATGAAGTAAGCACCGCAACCCTCGCCCTTTCCTGAGGTCGCAGTCTCCTCCTTGGCCGCAGTCTGGGAGCCACAGCTGTCCACTGAAATGTCATCCTTGGCTATCGCCGGGTCCACCGCCAGGGGCATGCTCAGCGAGTTGATGTCAAGGGCTGCAGGAGGACTCTCGACCTTCCTCATCTTCCTCCTGCTCTCCTCCGCCTCGTCATCGACCGGCTCCTCCCTCTGTTCCGCCGCGGGGGCGGAGAGCTCGGGGACAGCCAGCGGTCTCTTTGTGGGTTGTTTGTGGGTTGCGGTGCTTGTGGGCTTCTGCGGTAAGAGGGTCAGGGAAGCTAGTGTGCAAGCAGGCGGTATTGCCTTCAAGGGTTTGACTTGCTCGGCAAGGTCAAGGTATCCTTCAAACGTTCTCCCTGCTTAGTCACTCAGTGCACAGCCGGCCCACCTCGCACCTCCTTGGCTCTCCCACCGTGCACGAGGAAGCGAACGCTCACGCTCGTCCCCTTCCCCAGCACTTGCACGACTGTTCCCTCCACAGTGCATCTGGGACCTAGACCAGCAGCCTCCATCTTCTCTTTCGTCAGAGCCTCTTGGAGGTCAGTCCTATGGAGGCGTGTCAATCAAAGTATCTCTCGCATGCAACGGGAGCAGTCGACCTGTCGGGATGAGGAATGCCGCACAGACTGACTTCCCTTCGGAAGAAATCACCGAGCGACTCTCCTCCCACCGAGTCCGTCAGACTGTCATCGAGCCTTCCGAACTGCAGGGGCAACGTCTGAGACACAGGGGACGAGAACGATGGCAGTTGAGACTGATACGCCTGAGGGAACTCTTGATTCATTCTGAGTTCACTTGACCGATCATATTTCTTTCTCCCCTCGTGTAAACCAATGGCATATTCCACCTTGCTATCATACGTGTCCTCCCCGTAGTTGACGTTCTTTCTTTGCCTCCGGCTCCTTCTCCCTGACTCCTCCCGTTTTGTCCTATTGGATGCACTGTCGTGCTCAAGGTCAGACGATTTTCTGTTCGACGCTCTCTCCTTCCCACTTGCTGCTGCTAACGAGCTTGCATTCGCCCGGTTCTCGTTCATACTTGCCTGCGGGATGAAGTGGGTTGCAGCAGTTGGAGTCGAGCTCACAACTTTCTTGGTGTTGTTCAGATCGATGGTAAGAATCGGGTCATCTTCCAACACATCCGTCCACACCAGCGGAGCTCGAGTAGGACGGGCATATGGCTTGTCGTACTCGAACGCTCCACGGGAAGCAGGAGCAGACCAAGGAACCTGATGGCCAGAGAGGGGCCGATAAGTTTCAGCAGGTTTGACCACCTGAGGAGGAGGAGTCAGGAAGGCGCTCCTGGAGTACTCCATGTATCTGGAAGCAGCAGACTCTTGCTTCCGATCAACCGTCTGCGCAACCGACCGCAACAAAGGATTGATCGACGACGATCTCTGCTCCGCCTCTCTGAACAGCCTCGAGCCCCAATCCACCTTGTCATCTTGTCTCCCTTGACCCGTTCCTAGTGACGCACCATGCTTGTACGCAGTTGTCGTCTGCCCCTCCTGCCTCTGCTGATCTTCCGCGGCCTCTTCCGCAGGTATCGGATCAAACTCACAACCCATAGGAGGGACATTGGAAGGCTGGGGGCCGGGGTTCTGAAGGACTTTCTGGAAGTCTGGGCCCTTGGACAAGCTGCTGCTGGCCTTGCTGGGAGTGAGGTCGAGCTTCTTCTCTGGGCACACCTGCAGCTCTCTCACCTCCCGGAGACTCGCTTCGTTCACCGGGATCGAAAGCTCGATGAGGTTCCCCGCTCTTACGTCCTGTGGGCACACGATCATCACGCAGGTGTTGAACTCGTCGATGCAGGCTGCGAAGGAGGTGCCTGGCTGGACCCAAGGAGGCACAGTCACGCAGTAGCGTCTGACTGCGTTGATGGGTTGGCTCTCCATGGACGGGGCAGGGGATTGCTTGAAAGCCGAGCTCATGGGTTCTCTCGATCAACCATCAAGGGAGTTCGTAACGCAGCTCGTGTATCTGTCAGCACCCGCCGAGCTCAGTGCATGGCTGTAAACATCACGATGACGGCATGAGCTAGGGCGACAGCCGGCTCCTTGGAAGGCCCTCAGCACGGGGGAGTAGCCTCAGGGCCTCTGCGCAATCACGTCGAAAGGCTGCGACGCCATGAGCGCAAGGCCACCTGCTCGAACATGAGCGATATCAGGCCCCTCCTTTCCATCACAACCATGCGCTACAGATTATAAACTCCAGCCACCTCAAACACTTCTCCCACCTCTCTCCAACCCTTGTATAACCCCCATTCTCAAAACCCGCCGCACCTCTTATCCTTACTTCTCCTTCCTGGACCGTTCTCCTTGCCTACAGTCTCCCTTTCCTGCCTCCTCTCCTTCTCTATCTCATCGCGTTCCTCGTCCTCTATTCCCTCGACTCTCGCCCTCCTTGTTCAGCATCGTCGGCGCGGGCCAGCCATTGGCGCGAGTGAGTAAAACATATTAAAACTGGCCTTTGTACCAGCTGATCTTTCACTTAACTTTGAGTAAAAAGAGAGGAAGGTGACTAAAAAATTCGGAAGTTCGCCGCGCCCTCAAACCGCGGCCCGGCCGGGGCCGCCGGCCCCGGACCCAGGCCCCGACAAACACAGTAGTGACTGAATCATGGTTTCACTCAAAGTTAAGTTAAATCATCTGGTAGTCACACTGTGCAGGGCTAGCTGAGCCCTCGGGAGCGAGGGCTGAGGCGACGCTCACTGGTAGTAAAGAATGACGCACCGGGTCACCGGTACTGATGACTAAACTGAGGGTACCTGGCGACGGAGGGGTCCGTGCCCTCAGTCACAAGGGCTCAAGAAGGGGGGTGGGGGTGGACACGAGATGAGCAGAATGGTTTCGGGGGCATGACTCGGTGACATGGCCGGGCAAGGCTGAACCCGAGGGCCATGTGAGGGGGGTGGGGGTGGTGAGAATTGGGGGCCATTATGGCACTACACCGGTGGCTATCTCCCCCTAAGGTAGGAAAACGATTCGGTGGGGGTCACGTCGGAGTACGGGGGTGGGCCGAGGGAACGAATGGGTCTGGGTGGTCAACAATTGTCACCATACAGTGTCAAGTACCCTACCCACCCTTTTACTGTGCCGGTACAGTGAAAGGGTGGCCCTTGGGGTACGGCGGTTCCGAAACTACTGCCAGCCACCCACTTTCAAAGTGTCGGCACGGTATGGTAATAATGCATTTGTATTGCTGGAGGAAGTTAAGGGTAGGGGTAGTCATCAGGTTGGTGACCGGTGCAATTTGAGCTCCAGGGGTAGGGTGGTCTCCGGTTGAGGCAGGCTCTTTCTTGTCCGCAGTAGCGGCAGGAAGAGACAGGGGTGCGGGGCCAGGCTGAGTAGCCGGTAGGAGCAAAGAAACATGGGGAATGCACTATGCTGTAGTCAGGAGCGCAGAGGCCTCGAGGAGCTAGAGAACATTCAGAACAACCAGAATGGCATGAACAAATCGACGGGGAGCGACAGAGACGAGCTCTCCATCAGCAGATCACGCGCTATGTCCATGAAGGCCCAGGTCGAAAGGCAGAAGTGGATTCGTAAGGCAAGCGGGTATCGATGGGAGGAGACTGTAGACGAGAGAGACACCTTGCACCAGAACCCAGGACAACATGCAGACTCAAGGAGGGGCTTTCACATTGTACAACCAGTAAGTGCAGAGAGGTTAGACAGGGGCGCAGGGGGCAACGGTGAAGTTGTGATAAAACACGCGCGCCAAAACCAGCATGACAGGCGAATTTTCCAGCAGAACTACAATCCGGGAAGAAACATCACACGCAACCTACCGAGTGATCAAGAACAAAACATATTACGATCGTCCGACTTACAGCATGGACAAATTTCAGGGGGAAATGGAATGACGAAGACTGTGCAGCACACTGCATATGACCTTCGATGCAATCAGATTCATGATGTCTCATACGAACTTTACAATGGGTCGGACCCCTTGAACTCTTCAATTGCAAGTAATGCTGCAGACAAATACCCGTTCAAGCCGTCCTCCTACACCTATCTGGATTTCTCCAAAGAGGATAACATGGACCAGAAGCTCTCCTTTGATGATTCGAAGCTTCAGAGCTTGCCAATCAGCTTCTGAGCCGCGCTGCAATTATTGTGGAGCCACAAACATGTCGATGTTCTGTTTCACTTGCTGTCAAACTTGCCTTTCTCTGGACGTTGTGACGTAAATGTTCGCGAAAGCATGACAAAACCCCTGCTAGATGTACGAAGATCTCGGCTGGTTGGCAACAGGTTCCATGCCTATCTTTCATGTTTAAATCCGACTCCTGCAGAATAATTTGCTGATCTTACGCTCTCGTTCTACACCGAGAGTGTGTGACTTGATAGGGGAAATGGATATTAAGAAATAAAGTTGGGTGGATGCGTTCAAATCTTTCGTATCACTGTTTCCGATTTCATCTGGACATATGTGCATTTCTTTGGACGTTTTGGAAACATGACTTCCAAAATGGATTGCAAGTCTCAAAACATTCTAATTTAATCATCGGCATATGCATCTAGTCCCTCCTTTTCAGAGCCCTGCGAATCTCTTCATCCGAATATATTCGACAGTTTGATTGAGATAAAGTCACATTCTGCTCTGCCAATGGCTTGCGAATTCTCCTCTTCAAGAGGCTGGATTCATGTTCACCATACCGCTGGCTACTTGCAGTTGACCCACTGGACAATCCAACGTCTGCCATGTTGTGAGGTCTCAATGATTGTGATTGCACCTGCGCCAAGATCTGGATATCATTGATCAACGGCTTTAGCAGCTGGTCTGCCAATGTGATCTTTCTCTTCTCTTTCATCCTTCGCTTATTCAGGCGGTCTTCAATATCCAGCTTGAGGTTCACAATGTCGATCCTGACGCTTCTCATTTCATCGAGGATTGCAATCAAAGAACCGTTTGTTTCCAGGTGATCATGATAATTTCCAAGGCCTTCGATCTCGTTGATAATGGCTTTTTTAGCTTGGAGGACTTGGAGCTTGTCTCGAGCTTCTCGCAACCGCGACATGAGATTTGATATCTGCTCGTTCTGAAAAGCAATGCCGTTGATGCAGTTGATGTATTCAATGCGCAGCGTCTCCATCAAGTACAGCGGTAGAGTATCGATACTGGAGTGGTCCCCCGCTTCTTCTCCATCATCCCGAGTTAATCTTATTTGTAACTCTTCGCATTTTTGCCGGATATGATCAGAGTTTTTGGTCAGCGCAGCTTCAACGAAGCAGTACAGCTCTGCATTTTGCAAGTCCGTCTCCAAGAATCGAAATACTTGATCGGTGACGTAAAATTTCTGAAGAGAGTCCGGATGCGTGCTGCTCGCATGCAGGTTTGCAAGATTGCGGACCCAGTTCCACATTCTGGACAATGGCCTTCCAATTCAGTGCCTGCTCAGGTGCTCGAGCTTGAGAGCCAGTCAAGGTCTTTACATCACTAGGTATGTTTCATCTGTTCGGAGCATCTACTCTGCTCTACTGCTCTTCCTCTTCCTATTCATGCTCTCCGACATCGTACCGGTAGCCGCCGGCATTTCTGGAAGTTCCCTCACCCTGTTACCCGGTACCTGTTCTCTGCTAGTAGAAGAAGGGGGTAGGGGTAGGAACTCGGGGTGCATGGCATGGAGTAGCAGCAGATGAAGAGATGCTAGTTCAAGATGCCTCGAACTGCTATGAAGACCTCCACCTCGTCATACGTGATCGCTGAAGACATGGCGATTCGAAGCGGAATGGCCTTTGATTGGCGCTCATGACCGTTCAGGAGTTTATCTCAGGACGAGCCTGGATTACAAACGGCAGAATGCCCGTATCGTGATGGATTTCAGATGTTTACTTCCATAGTCGACTCCATGTATTGATAAAATTTTGCACACCACTGTGCTAGATCAAACTTTGATCCCTGTTTCGGTGCCTGACGATAGGTCCTGCAAGTTAAAAATCTTCCTCAATTGCGTCTTTCTTGCTCGATTGAGTTCTAACTTCGTCAGCTCGACGTTTGGATGACTGGAGGGCCCAAACGCCGCTTCATCTCCGACATGAATCGACCCTTGAACTGGATCTGTGTCAATCCTAGCCCGTCTGGCGATGGAGCAACGAAAAGATCGTGCAAGCTAGCGTCGCGGTAGAGATCAAGCAAAGTTTTCCCATCAATTCCACCGCTCTCCACACCCTCCGCTGCCTTGGGAAGCTGCATGCTCTTGAACAAGTTCTTGACGTCAGACAAACTCATCTCAGAGATCTCCTTCTGTTGCTCAATTCGCTTTTTACAATGCCCGCATCCCATCTGAAAAGGAACTTTGGTCACTTTTAACCTTTTTGAGGCTCACAAAACAAGACACCCATGCAATCTTACCTTGTCGAAATGTATCCACCCGTTTTCCTTTGCGCACTGCAAGCAATCATGCTCAGTTTGCAATATTTCATATTGTAAGTTGCGATTCTTTCAATACTCACGTTCTGTTATTGAGCAGTGACAACCAGGTACCAGAACGTCAACAATCAGTGCTTTGGGGCTCAATGCAATAAAGGCTTACGCAGCACTTGCGAAGAAGAATCGCAATTCCAGGAGTTCGATTCCATCATTTCAGGGAAGCAACCAAGTTAGTAACAAGACATCATCACGTGCTTGCGGCAATGTAACTCACATACTGTCAACCCGATAGCAGATCCCAGCCCGTATCAGAAAGAACAAAGTCAGCGAGATAATATATACTAAGAGAAAGGAACTCACATCCTACGAGAAGGATCAAGTCACAGATTCCAACCCATGCGAAAGGAAAGAGCAGACAAGAGTCAGCAACTATGTCAAGTCGGTGAGAAGATAGAAAGTACTCACATCCTATGCAAAAAGGTTACCCCGGAAAATTAGCAAAGATTAACGAATGAGTCAGTCGCTCGAAATCTTTGGTTTAACTTCTCAAGATACTTACAAGCTTTCATGGAGCCAACAGTCGAGTTGAACAGAAACAAAAACAGGAAGGAGACAATGGTCAGTCGTCCGAAATCTCACACGCAGAATTTCATGTACTTACAAACTGTCGACAGCAATTGACAAAACATAAATCCGCGATGATTCAACAAAGGACTTCAAAGTCAGCCAGTTGAAATTTGAATCAAGTGAATAAACTCACAATCTGCCGACGATGGGCATTAAAAATAAGAAACATGCATAGGTCAGTGATTCGATAGTGAAAAGAACATGTAAATTACTCACATCCTATAAGAGACAGCAAGCAGCAAATCCGATGAATCGACAAGGAGGAAGATCAAGTTCAAGTTAGGCATGAGGCAGAATCAACAACAAAAGAAGTGACTCACGTCCTGTTGGCCCCAGATCCCACGAAAGAGTAGCAACAAAGAAAAATGTCAGAATGTCAAAATCAAGAATGATCGAGTGGGGCAAAAACAATAAAAGATTTTGCTCTCACCGTCTGAGGTGACAGACGCCCAACGAGCAAGTACGGAGAGTCAAAGGTCAGCAACCTGTTGGATGCAGATGCATTCAATTCATCTTACGCATGTGGTGCTGTCTTCGCTCGTTGTCTTGATCTTGATCTGCATCGTATCGAGGCATCAGGGGCCGCCTCTTGCTACAGCATTCCCTCCCTCTCACCCGGCAAAGTTTGCATAGTGACATTTCGGCGGAGTGGCGCAGGGGTCTCAACCCTTTTAGATTTTATAGATATAAGGCGTTATAAAACTCATATCCATATATACCATACACCGGTACTGAGAACCTTCCTTTGGTGGGTAGGGTGCTTCACCACTATCCAACTACCCCACGAATATAGAGCAAGTACCCCAACCCTCCCTAGGGATCTTTGTCAGCCTGCCGGAGTGTCACCCCGAATAGAGGAAAAGCAGCTAAAATTTTATTCAAAGTTAAGTGAAAGTTCAGTACGAGGACAATCAGGAGATTCACTGAGGCTGAAATGGGCAAAGGCGGAGAGCCGGGCCGCTGCGGCAGAGCTAATGAAGTTTCAGGCGAACCGTAGGCTTCGGAAACTGAGTTAGCTGGATCGGTGGTGGGACTTATCATGTCGGATAATAGTGACTGACTCGCCGGGCTCCGCTGAGTCTCCGAGAGCCGACGGTGACTCGAAGAGGTTCCCTACGTTTCAACTGGCAAGTTTATGATACATCACAGAAATTCCATGTCTTCCATGTCTTCAGAATCGGAGTCGTTCTCTGGTCTCCATAACGGAGCGAAGGTGAGATCTGTCCAGAAGTTTTCCTGGCAGGAGCATCAGTGGATCCGATCTGAACTTCTAGTGCCGAGCGCACCTTGTGATCCTCCAGGTTGCAGCTCGGATCGACGTCATTGGCAGGAGCGATGCCTTCCGCGTCTTGCCTGTCGAGCTTCGATCAGCGGACACCTCACAGCAAGCCAGTCGAGGGTACGTGGTATCGAGGGTGAGAGCCGTCCGGGTCTGGATGTGAATGGAGTTGAGGAGCTCTGAGGAGAGGTGACGTCATCATCGGACGTGGGCCGCAGCCTTGTCACTTGCCTGTTTCCAACTCCTTGAGGGCGTCGGAGATTGACTGGGGGTTGGGGTCATGGGGCCGCCGAGGAAGGAGCGCAATGGGACTTCACCTTGTAGCTGGTGCACCTCCCGGCGTTCCAGTCCTCCAGCAGGGCGTCGGACTTGACGGCAATCAGGTCCTCTATCCTCGTCCGGAGAGATTCCTTGGTAGGGTCAGGCATGCCGGTGGGCCGGCGGTGTCAGGACTTACCTGCAGTGAGCGGCCGCTCTCCGACAGATACTGCGGAAATCCATCATTCAGGTTGCACTGCCGGGCTCTACTTCACTCGCCTGTTTGAACTTGTTCTGGAACATGGACATGCTCTCGGCTCCCTCGCTCGTCGAGTTGATCGAGACCTTGGAGTAGCTCTTCACGCACAAGGCGGCCGGGGGAGGGGGAGGAGCGCTGGTGGGACAGAGCAGCAGGGCGGCTGGAGGGGAAGGACTTGCGGCTACCTGCACGATGCGGAGGGCCCGTTCGAGAACTTTCTTGTCATGCATCCCCAGCTTGATGGGCCGCGTGAGTCCGAGGAGGGTGCAGGAGGGCAAGTTGACTTGTCACCTGTGTGATGACGGTCGAGTCCAGCTGCGTGACGCCGTCGGGTTGAGCCCTGCAGGATGACTCCTGCTGATCGAGTCGGCGGAGGCGGGAGGGGCGAGAGGAGGGAGGACGCGGTCACCTCAGCGATCTTGTGTAGAATGATCCTTTGCTGCCATTTGTCTTGGATGCCAATCTCTGCATGCAGATAGTGAGCAAGCGACAGACAGCCATGAAGGTCATCGGCAGGACCGGATTCCAACGACAGGTTGGTGAGCCCAAGCAGCCGCATCCCATCGACGTCTTTCAGGTAGAAGTTTCTTCTCGGATGAAGATCAGGCCAGGGAGGAAGAAGGAGGGAAGGAGGGAGGGAGGGAGGGAAGGAAGGAAAGGCAGATGGATGGGTGGATGAAGGGAGGAGGGTGGGGTGGGTGGGAGGGGAGGGAGGGAGGGAGGGTGAGAGATCTAGCATGGTGAGGCGGGTAGCAGGGCGACAGCAGCAAACCTGGAGTGTTCAGGGAAACCAATCTTCTCGATGAAAGCAGCAACCTTGAATCAGGAGTCAAAAGCTCTTCACCCCCTACTCTTCCAGCCTTTTCACCTCCTCCCGATCCCAATCAAGGATGTCCGTAACCTGCACAGGGTGTGAGGGCTCGGGAGGGTTGTCAGGGGTGAGGGGAGGAAGCAAACGAGCTACCAGGGGGAACCACGGGCTCTTAGGGGCCTCCTCCACATCGTTCTTCTTCCCGCGAGCCACCAGCCTTATCCTCATCCTCCCGACTCTGCTGGGGGTGAAGACGCACGTGTACATCCCGTTCCCGTGGTCAATCACCTCAGACTCGATCGGCTCCCCGAACCCGACGACATCGCCTGCAAGCTCCATGGGCACCTCCTGCCTCCCCCCGCCCGCCCCGTCTGCCTCTTCCTCCTCTTGACTCGCTCCCTTGCACTCCTGCACGAGCAGGTTCCACTTCACTCCCCCCGTAGACACCCTGTTGCCGTAGCGATCCCGCGTGACAATCGTGAAGGCCATTGGCAAGTTCTTTCCACCCTTGATCAGCCCGCGGCCGCTCGTCGTACAGTGGGGAATCGAGACGGGCCCATGGCGCACGAAGAGGTGGAAAGGGCTGTTGTACACGTGCCTGTTCCCCTCCAGCATCACCTTGAGCTGGTACACGCCTGCCCTCGTTGGGGCCTCGTAGGAGACGAGGTACTCTCCCTGCTGCGAGTCTACAACGTCCAGAGCCTTGGGAGGCTGGTCAGGAGGAGCAAGGCGTACGTAGAGCGCTCCCCCCGGGCAGGGGTTCTGAAAGCGATCCCTACCGTGGATGGTGAAAATAGCCTTCTCCCCTACGATAACCCGAGCGGCTCCCTCTCCCGTCACCCTCGTCGTGTATGCGTCCAGGGTAGCGGCGAGGATCGAGATGCTGTAGGGGCTGCCAGCGATGGGCACCCGTCGGCCTGGCCCAAAGTCCGTCTCGCTCTTGGAGTCCTCGAGGAAGATGTGGATCTTGTAGTTGCCGATCCTCGAGCCGTCGAAGTAGCAGATGTGGTTGTTGGTAGCAGGACTCGGCATCACTTTGGCCGGTACCCTGATGCCGAAGTCGACGTCCTCGATGTCTACAGTGAAGTCCAGGAAGCCGTCGTTGTCGTTGAGCATGATGCCATAGCGGTCGCGAGGCTGCACGAAGAACATGCACGAGTCATCAGCCCTCGGCTGCCTCTGCACCCCCGGGCCCTCGGCGGTACAACTGGGAGCATGGCATAGGCCCTTGGTGAAGGGCGACTGGAATACTCTCCTCATCTCGTCGTTGCGACACATCTCGATGGGGAGGCGGCGCTGTGCGTCAGGGATGTTCAGGTCAGCCCGCTCTGCGATGAGCAGGCGGGCAGTGTGGACGTGCCCTCGCTCGGTCGCCATGTGCAGTGCGGTCATCTTCTGCTGTCCTCCTCGCTCGTCGATGTACGCCCTCGACACGATGAGCGCCTTGCAGCACCACGAGTGTCCGTTGGTCGCCGCAAGGTGCAGAGGCGTCATGATCTCGTTGGACACTCGGCCGACGTCAGCCCTGGCATCCAGCATCACCTCAACGCTCTGAAGCTGACCTCTCTCCGCGCTATGGTGCAAGGGAAGCTTGCCGGAGCCGTCCGGGTGGTTCATGTCGGCGCCATGCAGGGAAAGGTGGACGACTATGTTGACGTTCCCCCGGTAAGCTGCTTTCTTGAGAGGCGTGTCATTGTACTTGTCCACTGCATTCACATCCGCCTTGTGCTCAAGCAGGACAGTGCAGATCTCCAGGAAGCCCCCAGCTGCAGCTCGGTGGAGAGGAGTGGTACCGATGTTGTCCCTCTCATGAACGAGCTCCGGATCGTTATTGAGCAGCTCACTAACGGCTCGGAGATCGCCCTTGCGGCACGCGTCCTGCATCCTGTTGCCTGCTACTTCCACAAGCTCCTCATGGTAGCTTGATCCTAAGTAGGTTCCTCGCCCACATTCTACCTACCATCATCAGAAACCCTGCCTTCACCTTGATCGACTCCTCCTCCTCCTCCTCCTCCTCCCCGCGCTCTCGTCATTGTTGTGGATATGTTCCCTCCATTTCGCACTAGGATTTAACCTTGTTTTCGTTGCTTACCGCTAATATACTGCATATTAGCGTTGACTTTGATTATAGTCTATTGTTTTAAATTATTTTATGAAGCGGCAAAAATATTCAATTGATTCTAAGAACGTTTTTATTTATATTCTATTGCGATGTTTATAGATATGCGATCAAAAACTATTTTATAGCTTTCATGCCCACTTCACGTGCGCTTTGGCTGAGCGATGAGAGGGGAGAGTGGAAGAGACGAGGGAAGCGGAGGAGAGGAAAAGAGAAGGAGAGAGAAGGAGAGAGAAGGAGAGAGAAGGGGAGAGAAGGGGAGAGAAGGGGAGAGAAGGAGAGAGAAGGAGAGAGAAGGGGAGAGAAGG